CGCCTGCTGCCCCCCCCCCCATGGGCACCCCAGCCACGTGTCCACTACAGAATCAGCTCCTTTTGGGTCCTGGGCAGCGCCTGGGGAAGAGATGTGCAGAAGGAAAGGCACCTGATTCGGGGGGGGGACAGCCCCTGTCCCCGCGGATCTTGGACTCTCCTGTGTCCGGGGGGCTCTCCGGGGGGCGCGGGCTGCTCTCCCTCTCCCAGCAGAGGCCCCTCCCTGCCTCCCCCCCCCGTCCAGGCCCCTCTCGGGGGTTCGGCCAGGAAAGTGCCATTGGGCTGAATTGCGATGGGGAGTGGCCGCCCCCCTCCCCCCCACAACCGCCTTCCAGATGCTTTTCCCATAAAAGGCAAAAGAGCCTCGACTGGGAAGGAGCCGCCAGAGCTAATGGGAGCCAGTCGGGGAGGGGACGGGGGGGGGGCGAGGACCAGAAGCCTACGCTGCGAGGACATCATGGGGTGAGGGAATCGGGGAGCCGGGCAGGCAGCGCCCCCTAAGCCTCCACCCCAGACCCCTCAGAGAAGAGGGGACCTCCCCCGCCCGCCCGCCCTGCCTGGGGCGTTGGACCCAGGCAGGCAGCCGCAGGCATCCCGGTCCGGCAGCCGCTGAGGCACCAGCGCTTCCTCCTGCCGCCACGAGGAGGTGCTGCAGGGCTGGGAGGGAAAAGGCAGCAGCTGGAGAGAGGGGTATTTAGAGGGGGGGGCATAGCTGCTTGCCTGGCCCCCTGCGCCCCAGCAAAAATAAGAGAGTGTCCTTCGATGAGCCCCCGGGGTGGCTGCTTTCGGGCTGAGCGCACGTGCAAAGAGGACCCCCCCCCCCAACACACAAACACTCAGCAATCTCCGCTCTCCACTGTGGGTGGAAATGGCACGCACCCCAATTCCTGGTCTCTGGGGAGGGGGGGCAGGACTGCCTGCATTTCCAGGCTCAAAACAAGTTATTTGTAGGCAGCTAAAAATAGCCGGAGGGGGAGGGCGGGCTCCTATTTCTGTCTGGGGGAGGATGCTCTACCTGCCAGCGCGTGATGGGGGTGCGGAGGGGGGGAAGGGAGCCCCCTCCCCGGTTTGTTTGCCTTAGGAAAGTCGGGGGGGGCGAGGGAGGGGGACCCCAACAGCATCCTGGCGGCTGTAACCAGAGCCGCTTCCCCGGCCAAAACGCGGCGCGGAGCTTTTCTTTGGCTCCAGAAGCTCAAAAAGATGGGGGGGGGAGAGAAATGCCCCCTCCCGTGTCAACAGCGGCAGCCCTTGCGATGCCTCCCCCACCATAAACACTCAGAAACCTCTTCCAGCGCCCCCCCCCAACATCCAGCGTGGGACTCGGATGGCCTGTTTGGGACACCCCCGTGTGCCCCCCCCCGCCGCTCCCTCCCTGGGGCTGCTTCTGGCAGGAGGCGGGAGACACAAGGCAGACCGCGACCGAGGCGGGAGAGAGGAAGGCGAGAAGCGAAGGGACCAGCCGGGCTCCGGATTCGGGAGGAAGCTTGTGGCTAAGGGGGGGTGGGGTGTTTCGGGAGAGGAGAGGGGCCGTGTGTGCGTGTTCAGGGGGCCGGGCAAGACCCCCACCCAGACCCTCAGAGAAGGAAAGGCCAGACCAGATGGGCCTGCTATAGGGCGTGGCGGGGATGGGTTCCCCACCTTCTGTGATCATATAAATGTAGAGTTGGAAGGGATCCCCGAGGGTCATCTAGTCCAACCCCCTGCAGGAATCACAAGTGATGATGCTTTAGCACAAGTGAGGCTTCCAACCTGTTGGGAGTTTTAGTCTGAACCATCACCAGACGGCTCAGGTGGAGCCAGCTTGTTTTCTGCTGCTGCTCCAGAGGGTAGGACTCCAGCCAAGGGATTTAAAGGACAAGATTCTGATTAAACACCAGAGAAAGATTTTTGTCTGCAAGAGCAGCTCGACAGTGAAACACATGACATCGGAAGGGGATGGACTCTCCAAAATGTGGGAATGTTCAGGGTGGCAAGAGACGATATATTCTTTATGAATATCCTTCCTAACTTGCACTAGCAAGTTCCTTTACATGCCCAGCAGATAGCTGGTTGCAGGCTTGTGTGAGCCTCTCATTATTACACAATTCAGTCTGTCTCAGATCGAATTGTACGTTCCTGGCAAGTTCCCTTTAATTCCTCTTAAAAAAATAAAGACACCACAATCTTATTCAAAGTCAATAAAAGAAGTTTACTCACATCAGTTCACGGTTGGATTCCTGAAGGCAGACTTAGTTACAAATATGTACATGTGGATCTACCCCATATGGGAGAATAATCCCAGTGCTTCTGCTGGCTGAGAGCAAACAAAGCTGGTCAAACGAAGAAGAAAGACAAAAAAGAAGGGGGAGGGTGCTGTGTGACTCATCCTTTTGTTACCTGGACAGGTTAGGTGCTCCAGCCAGGAGGAACAGGAAGTTTCAACTGGCTGGACCAAACATTCCCTCGCATGTCTTCTCTAGCATTACAAGGAATGTTGTACTTGACTGCCTCTCATGGATCACATCCCACACAACAGAAGTCTAGTGTCCAGATCAAGGGAAGTCATGTTGTTGTTGTTTAGTTGTTTCGTTGTGTCCGACTCTTCGTGACCCCATGGACCCCATAGCCCCTCTCTATTCTGCCTTGGTCAGACCCCACCTAGGGTCCTGTGTCCAGTTCTGGGCACCACAATTTAAGGAGGATGTTGACAAGCTGGAAGGTGTGCAGAGGAGGGCGACCAAGATGATGAAGGGTCTGGAAACCAAGCCTGATGAGGAACATTTGAGGGAGTTGGGTATGTTTAGCCTGGAAAAGAGGAGACTGAGAGGAGCTGTGAGAGCCAAATATCTCAAAGGCCGTCACATAGAAGAGGAAACAACCTTGTTTTCTCCTGCTCTGGAGGGTAGGACTCGAACCAACGGTTTCAAATTACGAGAAAGGAGATTTCGACTAAACACCAGGAAGAAATTCCTGGCAGAAAGAGCTGTTGCGCAGTGGATCAGACTCCCAGGAGAGGTGCTGGACTCTCCTTCCTTGGAGCTTGTTAAACAGAGGCTGGATGGCCATCTGTCATGCTTCAGCTGAGATCCCTGCATGGCAGGGGGTTGGACTAGATGACCCTTGGGGGTCCCTTCCAACCACGAGTCTATGATTCTATATGGAAAACACCAGGCTGCCCAAGGCTGCCCTTGCTGCTGTTTTAGGAAGGAGGAAGGAGGTGCGATGTTGTCGTCTCCCCTGCCATTGCTAACCAGGGACTCCCCCTCCTCTCTCCCCACGATTCTTACTCGGAGTACTGTGGGCCCGATTCTGTGGAATTCCCTCCTGACTGAGCTCAGAGGGGCCTCTCCCTGCTGAACCTCTAGTACTTGCTGGAGAGTTTTTACATTACTATGATTGCAGCAGGCACTTTAAGGAAGCTTTGATGATGTCATGCTCCGTTTCCACTGACTTCCCTGTATCCCTTTTGCAACCTCACGGTGAGAAACTAAAATGTTATAGAAATGGTTGGCACAAACCAAGCCCAACTGTGTCTCTGCTCCCCCCCACTCCTGCCGCCTGCCTGTTTGCGGAGGGCAAGCTCTGCTTTGTTGTTGACTCAGGCGCTCCACCCAGATCCACCCATGTTATGCTGATCCAGGATCTGATCTCCCTGAACATGCTAGCTGCTGCCTTGCTTGCCCCTCCAAGCTGCTTTGCGCAGGCCCACCCCCCTCCTGCCAATCAGCCACATCCCAGGGATTATGTGGCAGTCTCCATGCAGACAGGCTGAGGGACCCCAGGAGCTCAGGGGGCGGTAATAAGTCCCAGCCTCAGGGCATGGCCTTCCTTAACCCCCCCCCCAAATCATAATGGAGGGAGGACGAAGGCTCCCTTTAGATCTGGCAGCTTGGACCACAAGTTTGAAAGTGGAGAGACACAGAGGGAGAGGGAAAAGGCGGTGCACTTTGCTGCTCTATTTTAAACTACATATTTAAAACTGCTCTGTTTTTATTCATTTAAGTACTGGATGTCCAGCAAGCAAATAGTTTAAAAAGGCAAGTTTTTATTATTTTACTAGATAGTTGTATAGCAGTCATGAAAGCTATAAGACGCACTGCTGTCGTAGGAGTATTGCAATAACATAGCCGTAGATAGCATCTTAAAAGCTAGTAGACTATTGCACCTTGCTCAACATAGGGCTGCCCTATGAGACTAAAGCCATGGAACTCCCAGTAGTGATGTACGGAAGTGAGAGCTGGACCATCACGAGGCTGATCGCTGAGGCATGGGATCGCATTCGAATTCCAGTGCTGGACGAGACTGCACTGAGCGTCCCAGTGGAGTCCAAGGTCAGATCCAAGCTGCTCGGTTCTGAAGCTGAAATCAGCCCTATGAGTGCCTCGGACCTCGGACCTATGGGACCGACTCCTGAAGCTGAGGTCTCCACGGAGGACTTTACGGCCATCTCATGAGACAGAAGACATCTTGGAGAGTCCCAGGTCGCAAGGTGGTAAGATTGGAGGCCACTAGGAGCCAGGGGCCTTTACAGCACTGGACTGATCTGGTTGGACAGCTCTGTCCCAAGAGACCAGGCCCATGGGACTTGACATCTTCCACAGGGCCTGCAAGACAGAGCTGGACGACCAGGACTGGGCCTAGGCACAGTCTGACCCTCCTTGGTACTCTCACAGAACTCTAGCCCAATGGCTGCCACTGAATTAGACTTTGAACTGATTTTAGCAACGAATATGGTTTTAGAATGCTGTGTTACTTTATATAGTCGTTAGCCACTGTGACGTACAGTATTTCTATGATATAGTGGTACAGTATATAGTTTTATAAACTAACAACAAACTGTTGTGAGGAAAGTCTCCAGGGCCTTCTATGCACAAGCGCAGGCAGAACCCTCCCAATGATAACAGCCAGGCTGGCTGGATATATATTCAGTGACATCATTCTTCTTTGCTCTGTGACATCATCACTTCCACAGCAGTGAACTGCGGCGCAAGTGATGTCACCAAGGAGCCTCTCTCTCGGCTCAAGGAGGAGGCGGGCCAGGAGTGGACTGGAGAAGTCAGGGCTGTAGCAGAACGGTGAGCATGAAACTCATCATTCTAGAGGACCATGCTCAAGCCAGCGAATGGGCAGCAAAGTACATTAGGAATCGGATCATCCAGTTTAGTCCTGGTCCAAGCAAATATTTCACCCTTGGACTTCCCTCCGGAAGTACTCCGTTAGGATGCTATGGGAAACTAATAGAATATTACAAGAACGGAGATCTTTCTTTCCAATATGTGAAAACCTTCAACATGACTGAGTATGTGGGTCTTGCGAAGGATCACCCCGAAAGCTACCACTCCTTCATGTGGAACAACTTCTTCAAGCACATCGACATCTCCTCTGAAAACACCCACTTTCTGGATGGAAAGGCAGCAAACCTGGAAGAGGAATGTGAGGCTTTTGAAGAGAAAATCAAAGAAGCTGGAGGAATCGAACTCTTTGTTGGAGGTGTTGGCCCAGATGGTCACATTGCTTTCAATGAGCCCGGCTCAAGCCTGGTGTCCAGAACCCGAGTGAAGACCTTAGCTATGGACACCATATTGGCTAATGCCAGGTTCTTTGGTGGAGACCTCTCCCGAGTGCCCACCATGGCACTCACCGTTGGAGTGGGCACCGTCATGGACGCCAGAGAGGTGATGATCCTGATCACAGGAGCCCACAAGGCGTTTGCTTTGTACAAGGCGATTGAGGAAGGCGTAAGCCACATGTGGACTGTGTCCGCCTTCCAGCAACATCCCCGCACTGTCTTTGTGTGCGATGAAGACGCCACGCTGGAGCTTAAAGTGAAAACCGTGAAGCACTTTCAAGGTCTGATGCTGGTTCACAACAAGCTTGTGGATCCACTATACAGCATAAAAGAAATGGGAGCCGGGAGAGGGCAGTCCAAGAAGCCGTATAAGGACTAGCCTCTTACGATTCAGAGCAACTGGTCCTTACGCTTACGGGGAGCTGGCTGAGAGCCTCCTGCCTCTGTATCTCAGGAACGCTCTGCAGCAAAACACGTTATTGGAAAATGTCCTTTTCTCAATGGTGAGGCAGTAGCAACGGATGCAGCTGCACCATGGAACTAATTGTCAGTTTGCCCCTTTTTAAAGACCAAATGAGGAAACCGAGGCTGTCTCTTCTCCTTAACAGAGCACTGCATAACTTAAGGGTTACGGAGAAGGAAATCTGAACATGTTATCTGTCTGCATAACTAAAAGATGATCTGTAACCAAGAATGGGATGTGAAAAAGTGGAGTTTTTGCTACGCATCTTTTTTTACATTAACATCTGTACATTAAAAAAAACACAAAAAACCAAGGAGCCCCTCTGGGTCCTCCCTGCTTCGCAACAGAACCATATTGAGGAGGGGTCTTCTCCACACATCTCATCAGCTATGTGAGGCAAGGTGTCAGTGTTATGTACTGAGTTGAATAGGATCCAAAAGGCAGCAGTCTGATTGGTCCACAGGAGACACCCAATCCAGCTCCAGGTGGAAGTGAATCTGCAACCTGATTGGCCTACAGGTGAGTCCCGGAATTAGCCAATCACGTGGGGCCCATTGTGTAGGACCAACCAGACTGCTGTCTTTTGGATCCTCTTCAACTCAGTACATAACAGTTGGGGTGGGGATGGAGGGCATCCCTAGCAGGAAGGAGATGCAGGGGGAGAGCTGGCACCCTGGCGAGGAGGGGGGTATCGCTGCCGTTGACCTGCTCAGCCCCAACCACTCAGCAGTCCATGGGGGGGTCGCCCTGGGTTGCTGTCGGTCTCAGAAGGCAGATGCAGGGCTTGCGTTGGGGCATCACACACAAAGCCCCCTTTGTTCTACAGGAATCGATCAGCCCCACACAAGGATCTCCTCCTCCCTGGTGGTGCTCGTGGGGGGTCTCGGGGTCAGAGTCATGTGACACCTGTGGGGCAGAACCTTAGTTGTCCAAGTCGGGTCACAGAGGAAGGGGGCAGCAGGGCCGTAGTTAGGGGGTGGTGAGGAAGGCCCCCGCCAGGGGCACAGACGAGGCCCCCTCCCACAAATTTGGCTTTAAAATATGTCCATAAATATGCCTATAAATAAAAATATTGATTATTGCCTCATAAGAAAAGGTTTTAAATAAAGGGTCTTTATGCGGGGGCCCTGTTTTTTGCTATTTTCTGGATGGTTCTGCCAGGAGTGCAAGATCACCTAGCTACGGCTCTGGGGGGGCAGCTGCACTTTCTTCAAGACCCCCCCCCCCACTCACTGCAAAGCCACTCTGCCCTCCTCGCCTTCCCCTCCCCCAGACCCACCTTCCCTTCTGAACTTCTCCCCACAGCATGCAAAGAAATGAACTTCCAAGCTCTGGTGATGGGGCAGGCGGGGGGGGCAGGGGAGGGAGCATCATGAGTTGGAGGCATAATGTAACACATGTGACCGAGGGGTCTTCAAGGGGACGCTGGCGGAGGAGAGAGGGGCCCCCACCCGTCACAGCTCTTGGCTGTAGTGCAGGAAGAGTGGTTTTTTTGAGGTGGGGGGGGTGTCTCTGCTTGCTGGTTCCTCTGAGCTCAGGGCTAACCCTGCTTCACAGCACTAGGAAACAGACTTGGATTCCTGCGTGATGCTGTTTTCAATGCTCCAAACTAAAAGGATGCACTTGAGCATGCAAAGAGTATATTTCTCCGTCTCTCTCACTCTTTCTCTGTTAGTCCCCTGAGATCAGTGAGCTATCCTGGTACAACTGCCACTTTTGACAGCATTGCAAGTCTCTTGCACAGTTATTAGGGCAGAAATGCAAAAGGTGCACACACACACTCCCCCAGCATGGAAGCACACTGATGCCAGCAGGGCCTGCCTAATACATTGTGCTGCCTGAGGCAAACGTCAAGATGGCGTTCCCACAGTCTCTGCGTAGTATTCAACCAGACTGGCAGCTGAATCAGGTCTGTCAATGGGGCAACTTCCTCCACCACACCTGTTGCCTGCAGGTGAAGGATGAAGATGAGACTGCTGCCACCCCTTAGGAACTGCCGCCTGAAGTAACTGCCTCACTTTGCCTAATGGTAGGGTCAGCCCCACATTGAGGGAACAGCAGCACCCACCAGACCTCCTGCCGGCTGATGGGAAGTCCTTTGTCCAAGAGAAAAGGCAAGACTTGGTGTGGTTTGATAAGGGGGGGTTTCATCTGGGAGATCACTTTAGCCCCTCACCCAAAAAACTCATGCACAATGATCAAATTATGGGGGTGGGGAGGAAACGGGGCCCACAACCCCCGCCCCACCTCGGCTCCTCCTCACTTCTGATCCTCCCTCCTGCTCTTCGGCAAACAGTAGCTGAGGGGCCTGCCTCAAAAGCCATTAGGAGGGCGGAGGTATTTTATGGCAAGCCCCGCCAGAGATTGAAGCCCTGCTCCCTGCGCAATAACAGCCCAAGCAGGGCGTGCAACACACACACACACACACACACACACACACACACACACACACCTCTCCTGCTTCCTCCCTTGAGGCCAAACATCACATCGCCCCACAATAAAAGTCAAACATTGAAGTCGTGTCCACTGGCAAATCCCAGCTGGCAGAGCAGAGGGAGTGGTGTGTGGCTTGCCTCTGGCCTGCACATTCTCTCCCCCCCGCCTCCCCCCCCCAGCTCCAGAGGCCAGAGGAAGTGGGGGCCACTGGCTCTGCCGGGCCTTCTCCTGCTCTCCCCCTGAACTTTTGCAGCAAGGCAGGCCAGCGAGAGCCAAGAGCGGATTGCGGCCAAGGAGGAGCCAAGCAGCAAGTGGGCTGGGGGGGGGGGCTGTTTGGGGCAAGGGAAAGAGCCCCCTCCATGAGAGAGAGAGAGAGAGAAGCTTGACTCCGCTGGTCCCTGTGACTTTCTTCTCAAAACAACCCATTTCCCAAGACTGGGCCTGCAATCCCAGAATGGTAGACTTGGAAGGGGCCTCAGGATTTGACTATAAATGGCTCGGATGCTCCAACAGAACAGCACACACTGCTCCACTCTGCCCATTGTGACCCTTTGACCTCTGGTCAGGGCCTGGCATGCGCAGGAACACAGGCAGCTGCCCTTTTGCCCAGTCGGCCCATTGGTTCTCCTGGCCCAGCCTTGCCCACACTGACCAGGCAGGGAGCCTATTCCTAGCACTGTGAACTGCCCTGAGACCTCTGGGTATAGGGAGGTATGACAACAACAACAACGGCTGCTGCTGCTGCTGCTGCTGGAGAGGGCAGGGAGAGGCCTGGGTCCTGCTTGCCAGCTCCCCAGAGGCATTGGGCATTGGGTGGACAGGATGCTGGACCTTCTTTGGTTCATTGGCTCTCCATATCGATTGCAGAACCTCCATGCCCAAGGGCAGTCTACCTCGGAATACCAGACAGTGGGGAACACAATTGTTCTTACCTCTCAATATGAGACTGGCTGTCTACATGCCATACTTCTAAAGGACATGGCTTCCTCCCCGCTGCAAGAACCAGGGAACCGTAGTTCTCTAAGGGCACTGGGACTTGTAGCTCCAGAGGGCTGCCTCACCTCACAGGCAGAAGACTGGCCTTCCTGGGGAATTGGGGGGGGGGGGGCGTCGCTTAGCCTCTTGGCAGCCTGAGCTGGGTCAGCCTCTCTCGCAGGCCTCCGAGGTCCCCCGTGGGATGACCCCTGCCTTCCTGCCTCGTGGTCTTCGCGCCTGGTGGGGCTGGGGTCCCGGGAGAGCCTGGCTGGACAGGCGTGGGACGGACGGAGGTTATTTCGGGGCCGGGGTCTTGTCCCCGAGGGATCGATGGGGATGAAAGAGATCCCAGAAGCGATCTTGGCGGGCAGGAACCAGCCGGGGGAGGTCTAAGAAACAAAGGCTTCCCTGTCTCAGACGTGACACACACCCCTTGGGACCGTCCAGACGGATTGCTGCCTGGCAACTCTCCTGGCTAGTGACGTGCGACGGCTGGGGTGGGACGGGGGCCAGGAATCCCCCCGGAGCAGCGGCGGCGGGGCTGCTCCGACGGGGCCCCCGCGGCGTGGTGGGTCGTGGCCAGCCGCCCCGTGGCAGGCACCTCGCTCGGTAGCCGCGCCGCGCGTCCTCCCGGGGGCCGTGCGGGCTGGCTGCCGGCCCGCGCCCGCCCCCTCCCCGCGCCTCCTCCCCACCCCCTCCTCCTCCCGGCCCCGACAGTAACGAGAAGCAGATGTCGGCAGCCGCAGCGAGGAGGGCGCGGAGCGGAGGGGGCGGCCCGAAGGAGCGGCCGAAACTCCCCTGCTGGCGGTGGCCGGGCGCTGGCAGGCGAGGCGAGGGGGCGAGCTGGGGGGCTAGCCGAGGCCAGCCCGGGCCGAGGGAGCGGGGAAGCCCGCGATGGGCGGCGGCGGGGCGGGGGGGCCCAGGCCGGCCAGGCAGGAAGTCGGGGGGGAGTGAGCCAGCCCGCTAGCCCTGCGAAGTTTGCAAAACTGTCATTGCGCGCCCAGGCGGAGCCCAGAGCGAGCGCAGCGGCCAGAAGGGAGTCCCGGGCTGGCTGGCGTCGGGGGGCCCCGCCATGCGCAGCTGACCACCCTCGCCGGGACCCCCAAGCACCAGGATGGCCGGCCCCGGGGCCGCCGCCGCCGCCTCGTGGCTCTGCCTCTGGTGGGGCCTGCTGGCCGGGCCGGCGGGCACCATGAACTACCCGCCCCGCTACAGCCTCTACACGGGCGCCGGGCTGCCCTTCGCCGCGCACGTCCAGGGCGCCGGGCAGGCGGCCAACGGAGGGGCGCGCGTGGCCAGTCGCCACAGGTAAGCCGGCGCGCAGGGAGGCAGAGGCCGAGAGAGAGGGAGAAGCGGGCCAGGGGCGCAGCCAGCCCCACGATGCCTGCACTGGCTGGCAGCCGCGCTCGCCTAGGCTCTCCCTCGCGGGCTTCTTCTGCATGCCAAGCAGCCGCCAAGAGAGCCAGGGGCGCTGGAGGCTGGAAGTCCCGGACCAGCTCGAGTTGGCGGGAAGAGGGAGCAGGGCTCGGGGCTTCTTGAACATCCTACGCCCCCCCCCCAGCTCCTGCCAGGGGCTCTGGAGGGCCTTGTGCTGCCAAGGGGGTGGTGGGGGCTCTATGGGGCGGGGTAGTGCCAACAGGCCTTAGAACCCGTCGCCATGAAGAGATGCCCCCCCCAGCCCCGAGCCAGGCTCCTCCCGGGCGGTGGGGGATGGGCTGCGGGTGCGGGGCCGGGGCGTGTCCGCGGGGACTTGGGACGTGGCTGCTTCGGAGTCCGGGCAGGGGACGGCGCGCCCCGGGGCGCTTGGCCGGGGGCGGGAGGGGGGGTGAGACTCCCTGAAGGACTCTGCGGGAGAGGCGAGGCGAAGGTTTGGGTGGGTGCCAGGCTTGGGAGAAGGGGGGTGGTCGGGAAAGCCAGTCTGTGGGGCGGGGGGCACGTGGGGCACGTTGCAAGTCTGAGGCTGCAACCCCCCCAGAGTGGGGGGCGGCGGCGGCAGCATCGCCTCCGGGGATATAGGCAAAGCAATGAGGGAGGGGGCGGGATGCCGCCAAAGAGGGGCTCTTCTCTGTAGGCCACCTTCACCCCCCCCCCCTCGGTCTTTCTTAGTACTCCGGGAGATTCCCGGACCAACCCGGGAGCGGGGGAGGGGGAGGGTCTTTCCCAGATTTCTCCTCGCCAGGCCCCTCCTCGTGGGCAGGTTTTGGGGCTCCCGAGATTATGGATTCGCGACGGGATGCAAGGCAGCTGTACAGACCCTCCGAGTAGCGCTGCTGCAGCAACAGGTAAAACCAGCCAGGAATAGGACCAGGAGGAGCACCCGATCCTTTGCTCCCCTGCCAGATCCCTGAGATCTCCAGGGGAGTCACGGCTAGACCCCCACCCCCGCCATGGCTCCAGTGCAGGGTTTGTGTTCACCGGGAATTGTATTCCAGATGAGGTCAGACTCTCCCTGTTGAACTTCTGCCACCTATTGAAGACTTCTAAAAAAAAAAAAAAATCCAGCAGGCGTTTTAATTGAAGTTTGCTTTTATAGTTTTACCTTTTTCGTGTCTCGTTTCTTGCCCTCTGCTTCGAGACAGTTTCAGCCAAGCAGTATAAATTGTTTAAAAGGAATGAAGCGAGTCCAACAATGTTAGGAGGTTGTGCGCAGACTTGAAACCAAAACAGCAGCTAGACGGAAGTCGAACTGTCTCGGACCTCAAAGGTAGGGCAGAGCCGAGGGGCTTGAACCGTCCTCCAGAAATCCCCAAAGGATGAGGGCGATGCCTCCGGGGGCGCCTGTAAGACGCCCCCCCCCCCATGGAGAAAGAGAGTCAGAGACACAGGCTGGGTTGAGGCTTGCGAGGGGCTGCCCCACCCACGAAATTAAACCCCCCCCCCGTTGTGGCTGCGGTGCAGGAAAAGCACTCTGCACACCCTCAGAGGCGCCCCCTGTGATTATTCCACGCGGAAAGCCTTCTGGGGCTGAGCCCTGGCTCACCCAGCAAAAAAATGCTGGAAAGGGGACTTCCTGTGAGACAGCAGCGGGGAAGGTGAGGAGGTGAAGCCGGCAAATATTAACCAGCTGCTGGGAAGCCTTAATGTTGGCTCAGATCAGGGTCAGCTCGGAAGGCCTGGAGGCAATTCCTCTGGCCTCTTCCCAGCTGCGTGTGTCCCCCCCCCATCCCAGCCAGGTCACCCCTCCCTGATCAAAGGTCCCTGGACAAGGGAGACCAAGGCAGGCAGGAAATGTCTCCTGGCCGCAACAGCCCCAATTCTGCCAGCACCCAGCCGTGACCAGGTGGTGACTGGTGCCCATTGGGACTGGGGGGTGGGAGGTGGAGAGGCCAGGTGGGCAGAGCCTGGACCAATGAGAGGCAGGGCCAACTGATTTTTAGGAGGGCCAAAAGGAGGCAGAGGAGGACACTGAGAGGCCAGGGCTTGTGAGAGCCATTGTGGTGCAGTGGTTAGAGTGTCAGACTAGGACCTTCGGCCACAGAGCTCACCGGGTGTGACCTTGTGGGCCGGTCCCTTCCTTTCTCAGCCTCACCTTCCTCACAGGGTTGTCGTGGGGATTAATTGAGAAGAGATCTTGAGATCCTTCGAGAAAAAAAGATGATATATCTAAGTGCAGAAGGAAAGAGCAGGCAGGAGCTGGCGGAGGGCAGGTGGGGAAGGGCCCCATTCCCCCTATGGACCAGCCCCCAATGGCTGCAATTGCGCATGGATGGAGGGGGTGGCCGTGGAGCAATGCCCCCCCTTTATGCGTCCTCTGCCAGAAAAGAGCCGCCTTCATCCCGTGGAGAAAAGCAAAGGGAGATTCCCAGCTGAAGCCACATCCTCTCTTGCTCAAGATCCTGACCATCTCCGAGAAACGGGAGCGGGTTGGAGACGCCTTCCCTGCTCCCGTGGGACAACCCCTTCTGAGCGAAGTCCCAGGCTGTGTCAGTGGGGCCTGCTCTCTGAAGAACTTCCACTCCGATGCCTCTGCCCCATCCTTGCCCCATCTCCCCTCTGCTCAGGACCCTTCTCGTCAGGCCAATGGGCCATCTAGGCCAGCATCCTGTTCTCACAGTGGCCAGCCAGACGCCTGTAGGAAACCTGTAAGCAGGATTTGAGCACAAGAGAGGCATTGTGGACCTTAAGGTCCATAAATAGCAGCACCCTAGTGGTCCCGGGCCCTAAGGAAGTCAGATTAGCCTCAACCAGAGCAGGGCCTTTTCAGCACTGGCTCCGGCCTGGTGGAACGCTCTGCCTCATGAGACCAGGGCCCTGCAGGATCTGATTTCTTTCCGCAGGGCCTGTAAGACAGAGTTGTTCCGCCTGGCCTTTGGCTTGGAAGCAACTTACGGTGATCCCCTTCCCCTCTTTCCTTTCTCCTTCTGTGATGGAACTCCTATTTGGGGACTTCCCTGGCTTTTTTCTGGCCCAGGTAGGACCAGTCTGGATAGTTGGCCTTGGTGAAGATTTGACATTTTCATCCCCAAAAAGTTTTTGATTTGAGTTTCCACTGAAATGAGGCTGCATTTTAATGTTGTACTTAATTTTGTTTTTAAGTTGTATTTTAATCAATTGTTTTATACTTGGTGTTAGCCGCCCTGAGCCCGGTCTTGGCTTGGGAGGGCGGGGTATAAATATTATTATTATTATTATTATTATTATTATTATTATTACTATTATCCTCCCCACTTGCGGTTTCCAGCAACTGGGATTCAGAAGCATTGCTGCTTTTGACTGTGGCTGGCAGCGCTTAATAGTCCTCTCCTCCTCCATGAATTTGTCTAATCCTCTTTTAAAGCCATCCAAGCTGGTGGCCACCTCTGCTTCCTGTGGCAGGGAGTTCCACAGTCTAACTCTGTACTGCATGAAGAAGGACTTTATTTGGCCTGTCCTGAACCTTCCAACCTTCAGCTTCATTGACCATCTAGGAGTTCTAGTCTTATGAAAGAGGGAAGAGAAACCTTTCTCTTTCTAATTAATTAATTTAGACAGGGCTTTGTAAAACACTAAGCAGAAGAAGGAGTGGAATTAATCTGGGTTCGGGGAGGGCTTGATCCAGAGTGCAGGACCAAGAAGTCATTTTTTGCCATGAATCAGCTGGTCGGTTCCCAAGCCTTCACGTCTGGTTTGAGTTTAGCAAGTTGAAAGAGACATGGTGTTGTGTGTTTGGTACATCTTCTTTAGAATGAGCCTGTTGCATGTGGTCAGATAGACTTTGCAGGTTTTGGAATTAAGACCAGAACCTTCTGGAACTCTTTGGCCACAGGGAAGAGAGTCCTGCGCCGTGAGACACCAACCTTCTTCCATGCTCCCTTCAGCTCTCTAAAAAACGTTCGCTTAATATTTTCATCCTAGCAGCAACTAGGAACTTCTGAAGTTTAAGTCACTGTGTGGTGGGAATTAAGAGCCACCTAATTAAACGGTGGTGATGTATGGAAGTGAGAGCTGGACCATAAAGAAGGCTGATCGCCGAAGAATTGATGCTTTTGAATTCTGGTGCTGGAGGAGACTCTTGAGAGTCCCATGGACTGCAGGAAGATCAAACCTCTCCATTCTGAAGGAAATCAGCCCTGAGTGCTCACTGGAAGGACAGATCCTGAAGCTGAGGCTCCAAGACTTTGGCCACCTCAGGAGAAGAGAAGACTCCCTGGAGAAGACCCTGATGTTGGGAAAGATGGAGAGCACAGGGAGAAGGGGACGACAGAGGACGAGATGGTGGGACAGTGTTCTCGAAGCTACAAACATGAGTCTGACCAAACTGCAGGAGGCAGTGGAAGACTGGCGTGCTCTGGTCCAGGGGGTCACAAAGAGGTGGACACGACTAAACAATAACAACAACAATGAAACAGTTCTCATGTCCTTGTCCAATGCGGGGGGGGGGGGGAGGTTTCAGCCAGATGTCCCTTGAGGTCTCTTCCAACTCTACAATTCCATAATTAGTGTTGAAGCAACAGAAGATGGCAAATGTAGGTTGAGAGAAAGATCCTTTTCAGACTTTCCCGCCCAATTGTCTCTTGCCCATTTGCACAAAAAGCCACAGCAATCAGCTCTTGGCCTTTCAGATGCAAAAGAACTGGGGGGGGGGGGTTTAGATGTGGGATTTGTTGAAGGAAAGGAAGGCAGGACTAGTCCACCTCCACTGGCCCATGGAGAGGACTTGGGCGAAAACAGGGAGGGAGGGGGACAACAGGTTATCCTGGACCACATCAAGGCCAAGGTATCTCTCCACTGATGTCTCTGAATACTAGTTGCTGAGGGTCACAGTTGGGGCTGCTGTTGCTGCGCTTGCATCCTGCTTGAGGCTGTGGTCTAAACCACTGAGCCTCTTGGGCTTGCCGATCAGAAGGTCGGCAGTTCGAATCCCCATGACTGAGCTCCTGTCACTCTGTCCCAACTTCTGCCAACCTGGCAGTTCGAAAGCACACCAGTGCAAGTAGATAAATAGGTACCGCTCCAGCGTTTCTGTGCATTCTGGTTTCCATCACAGTGTCCCGTTGCACCAGAAGCGGTTTAGTGCTGCTGGCCACATGACCCAGAAAACTGTGGACAAAGGCCAGCTCCCTTAGCCTGAAAGTGAGATGAGTGCCGCAACCCCACAGTCACCTTTGACTGTGCCTAACCGTCCAGGTGGCCTTTACCATACCTTTATACTTAGGGCTTTGGAAGTTTGGGTGTCCCATCTGTCAGGGTTGTGATTCCTGCATTGCAGGGGTTGGACTAGATGGCCCTTGGGGGTCCCTTCCAACTCTGCAATTCTATGATTCTGTGGTGTTCTAAGCTTGGAGGCGCATCTGAAGCCCTGGATGCAAATATTGGTGGGTGTGGAGACTAGCTGAGCATGGGAACAGGGAGGGACCAGACGTGGGTTTTCATGGCCAGGATGCGGCTCTGCTGAGGTGTTTCCTAGTCCAGGAGAGAGCACCATCAAGGCACCAGCCTTTGGCTGACCTCCCTTCCCTCCTGGCCTGAGCCACTGGAATTTGATTTCCGAAAAAGAGCTTGTGGTTCTTTGCCTCAAAGCCTCCAGGAGCAGCTCAGCAATTCCATCCCAAGTGGGTTGGAGTCAAAGGGTTAACCTATGGAACTCCCTCCCACAGGAGACACCAACTTGGATGGCTTTAAAAGAGGATTAGACATGTTTATGGAGGAGAGGGGCTGTCAGCGTAAAGGCTATGCTCTGCCTCCAGAGGATTCTGAATGCCTGGAAACCACAGGAGGGGGAAAGTGATGCCCTTGAGCTCAGATCCTGCTTGTGGGTTTTCCAGGGGGGCACCTGGTTGGCCACTGTGAGAACAGGATGCTGGGCTCAATGGGTCATGGGCCTGATCCACCAGAGCGACGCTTCTCTTCCTCTGTTCTTCAGCTCTCTGTGGTCAGGGTGGGGTTTGGGAGCAGAGCACACTCTGCGTGTGTGCAGAGAACCTCTCGGAGGGCGAAGCCTTGGCACTGAACCCGGGGCTTCTGGCACCTTGGCTCCTTTTCATCGCTGCCTTCCGTGCCCGCCTGCAACAGAGGCCGTCCTGGAATGTGGAGGTCTGGCGTGGGGCTTGCTCTGGGTCTGCTGCTGCCGGCTGGACCGAAACCAGTGTGGGGCAGGGGGGTCTTCCCAGTGCCTCCTGCAACCAGTCTCTCTCGCTCTCTCTCTGCTGCAGGAACTGGTGTGCTTACGTGGTCTCTCGCAGCGTGAGCTGCGTCGTGGAGGATGGCGTGGACACCTACGTCAAGCCAGATTACCAGCCGTGCGTCTGGGGGCAGCTCCAGTGCCCCCGCGTCATCACGTGAGTGTGGGGAAGCAGAATTGGAGGGGGGCACGGAGGGCTGCTGGTGGGCTGTGCTGCTGCTGGCTGCCTGGGTGGGGCACTGTGGGGTCACGGCCTCCGTGGGCAGATGGGGTGGGGTGGCGGATGCCTGTGGCTGCTGCCTGGCGCGTGCCCAGCCCATCAAGGGAAGAGGCTGCCCAGCAGGAGCCAGATGGCCCAGGCGGGCGGGGAGGGGGTCGCCTGCCCCCTGGTGGGCATCTTCAGGACTGCAGGAGGATTCGGCTCCTTCAGCTGCGTCTGCCAGTCAGTGCCTGCAGAGGGACTCTCTGGCCTTCTCCTCTGCTGTGCTGATTTGGAGGGCAGAGTGTCCAGACCCTCCAGTGTAGCATTCCCAAAGCAAGGAAGGGTTGGACTCTGATTAATAAAATACACATGAGGCTTGACCAGCAAGATTCTGTCTGGGAGGGGTGCATGTAATAATTCTCTCCCCACCCTCCGGCCCAGGTCATTTTATTCACAAAAGAACTTTTTACACAGTGTTCGTAAGAACCAATCAGATTTCCTCTGAGCATTTCAAAAAACCCCACATGGGGACAAAGTCAGATCAGAAGAAATCCTGTTAACTACAAGGACTACTTTGAGCATGCTTACATAAAGGTAAAGGGACCCCTGAGCATTAGGTCCAGTTGTGGCCGACTCTGGGGTTGCGGCGCTCATCTCGCTTTACTGGCCGAGGGAACCGGCGTGCAGCTTCCGGGTCATGTGGCCAGCAGGACTAAGCCGCTTCTGGCAAACCAGAGCAGCGCACGGAAACACCGTTTACCTTCCCGCCGGAGTGGTACCTATTTATCTACTTGCACTTTGACATGCTTTGAGAGTAAATAAAACAGGACTAGAGGAATGCATTCAGCAAAACCCCGGAGGTCATAAACAGGCAGGAAAGGAAGGAAGGATGGCAAGGAAAGAGTATTTCCTTGTGAACTCTCTTCCTGGCCCTTAACATCTACCTAAAGATTAAACTACATCAGAGCTACCTTCTATCTTTATGGCCCAGGATGCCTGGTGAAGCAACTGGCCTGTGTGTAGAATGCTTCTACGTGCCTGTCAGGCAGAGAAATAGGACAGAGACGCAGAGGCGTGGATTGATCAGAAATCATATCAAAATGGCTCACTCAGTCAACGCAATGCTTTCATTGCTGGCACAAATGGCTTGCTCCATATTTTTTATAATTCCTCATAGCAGTCCCACCTGATCACTACACTCCAGTCACCTTCTCAACGGGACCAGCTCTACAGAGACTCTTCCTCTTGAACTGGCAGGGCTACTGGGAAGGAAAGCTCTGATCCTAAACCTCCATTGCCTTGTGAGATATCTTGGGGAGTAGAAAAGGCTCAGGAGCGAAACCCTACAGAAATCCAGTCCCTGAGGCAGTTGGATGTTGTCTTGTGAGCCTCTTTCCAGCAACTCCTGCAGCCCAAGCCCAGCCTCTTGCTCTGGTCTCCTTTGGCTGATGGGGATCAGTGAGGCTGAGAGGGGGGGTCTTGTCATCTGGGCAGCCCAGGACCTCCAGACACAATGCCCAGGCTTGCATCCTAGTGCTCCCAATGCAGGGATTTTACTTCACCCCCAGAGGTATACTCCATTGTCTCTCAAGACAGATGGAGGCCCACTAGACCAGACGAAAAGCTTTTTTCAAAGAGGGCCAGATTTAATGAAGTGAACATGTGTGAGGGCCGACCAAAGTTGTTGAGCTGTTTTTAGGATTGAAGTTGTTTTTTAGGATTTCACCCCAGGACATATACTGCCATGGGGCCTGGATTAAATCGACTGATGGGCCAGAATAGGCCCCCAAAACGGACTTTGGACATGCCTGGAGTAATAGAACTGTAGAACTGGAAGGTGTGGTAATGTTGTAGATAGTAGGAGAGGATATATTGATTTAATATCATCCTTTCTCTCTCATGCTAGTGAGCTGGTAGCAGAGTACATTCCCCTGTATATTGCAGGAAACTAGTTGGTAGATTCATTAGAATCTCTTGAGTTAAGCAATCCAGTCTAGCTTATCCAGGATGGATTTGTTCCTGGTAAATTCCCCTTTTATTCCCTCTTAAAAAGAATAAAGACACAACAGTCTTCTCTTAAAAGTAACAAGAAGTTTACTTACATCCAGTTCACAGTATGATCCTGAAGGCAGACTTTAGTTTGTAATTACAGAAGAGAGGATTGAGCCCATGTGCTGCTGGCTGAGGGCCAGCAGACAGCAAAAGAGCATCAAGAGAGCAGCATCAAGATCAGCCCTTTTATGGGGTCTCCCAGGGTCACGCCCATCTACCTGGTCACACGCAGGGGGAGGATGCTCCAGACCAGGTGGGACAGGAAGTCCTCCTGGCTGGAGCAACATCCCCCTGTGGGTCCACTCTGGCCAAACAGGAAATGTTGTACTTGACTGCTTTCTGTGATGTCACATCCCACAGAAGGAACCCCCAAAGGTCATGTAGCCTAACCCCCTGCAAAGCAGGAACCACCGTTAAAGCATCTGTGGCAGAAGGCCACTCAACCTCTGCTTTAAAACCTCCAATGCTTTCTAGAATTGTAGAGTTGGAAGGGAATCACACCTGAAGAATCCCTAACTGGCAGCTATCTGACACACTTGCTCCTTGCCCTGGGCATGTGGCTGGAACCCAGGACACCCCTTGCCCCCAGTCCTAGTCCCAGTCCGGATACCAGTGCTTTTCTTTCTCCCAACCAGCAGGTATCGAAGCTTCGTTCGCCCTCGCTACAAGGTGGCCTACAAGACTGTCTCGGACATGGAGTGGCGCTGCTGCCCCGGCTACTCGGGCGACGACTGCGCCGAAGGTGGGGTGCCGCCCACCACGCCCCGCCCACGAACTCAGCCCGTCCGTCCCAACCTCTCCGGCTTCAGCAACACGCTCAGCGGTCTTGGCGGAGAAGGTACCCCGGGCAGGATCCAGGGGGAAGATGCTCTGCCACCCCAACCCAGGAGGATGAGGCGGGGGGCTGGACCCACACACTGGGCAGGACCCTCACCCCTCCCCACCACTGCAGGCCAAGTCACCAATGTCACAATGCCAACCCCGGTGGCACGAGATGTACTGGGTCAAGGAAAAATGATATATATATAAAAGAGAATTCCTGGATGCAGAGCTCTTAAGTTTGGGGCAAGTACGCTTTGGTGAGAGAACCCCAGCTCTTAGACCTCTAAAATATGCCCTTTAATGTGAGTTCCAAAGTTTCCCTCTCCCCCCAGCAAAGGAAAGAGACCACACACTTGTTAAGTTAAAAATGGGCAGGTCCATGTGCTCCAGAGAAGTGGAACAGGCAGTAAAAATTAGCTGTTAGAAAGTGGTGAAAGTTCCTAAATTATCGGCATAGGAACTGAAGAGTGGCTTGTGAGAGCCATGCGGTCTGAGCTGGAGCAACTCAAACCTCTTCACTAGCAGACTGGCAGAACAATAGGTTTGATTAGCCATAAGCCATAAGCCTGGCAGGACACCTTACGGTATTAAACACCTTCATGCCTTAATTAGACTTAAACATGTTGGTTATGTGAGGTGACCAACTCTTGGGAGATTTAAGCTCATAACCTCAGCCTTGGAGGTTAGCTTTGAAAGAGGCATTTAGCAAATTCGGTCTGTGGAGCTGAGCCCAATTTTGTCTCTCCTGATCCAGGTGTTTCCATTCCTGCACATTCTCAAAGCATCTTTGCAAGACCTTAGCTGGGAGCTCACCAGCAGCTCAGGATCAGCACAGTGTAGCTTAGTTCCCTTCCCTAGAGGGTCTGATTCCCTGCTGGGTGGAGCAGCTGCTTTGCCAGGTGACAGACTGGAGTGGAGGTGTCCTGATGTGGCTCTCTTCTCTCTCTCTCTCCTCTCCCAGGGCACAGGGACTCCGAGAAGGTCCGGCAGCTGGAAGAGAAAGTCCAGCACTTGAGCAAACAGCTGCAGGACCTGCAGTCCACCATGGAGACCAGCAACACCAAACTGGCCGAGGACGTCCGCAGGGCCGTCGAGTCCTCCTTGAACGGCAAGCAGCCGGCGGACGCAGCCGCCCACCCGGAAATGAAGGAGACCCTCAACGAGATCCAGCGCCACCTGCAGCGCCTGGACAACCGCATCTCCAACCACGAGAACGGGCAGGGGGTGGCCCAGGGAGGCGGGACAGACGTCCACGGCGAGGTCCTGCGGGAGGTGGAGCGCACCATCCACGAAACCTGCTCCTCCTGCGTGACGGGCATCTTCGACCTGCGGCAGCAGCGGGAGGAAGACCAGGACCGCATGCGTGCTCTGGAGAAGCTGGTGGCCTCCGTGGACCAGCGGAACCGGGATGCTGTGGACACCGTCCGGCAGCACGTCAGCCGCCTGGCCTCCCAGCCACCCGAGGATTGCTGCGCCCGGGCCGAGAGCAGGGTGAGCGGGCTGGAGCGGCGCCTTGACGCCGTCACGGAGGCCCTTTCCGCCCTCAGTGAGCACCTGGCCGGGCGCAGGACACCCCCGCCGCCTCCGTGGAGCGTGGACCGGCGCATGTCGGAGGTGGAGAGCAGGGTCAACACCACGCAGCGCAGCCTGGAGGAGCACTTTGGGGACCTCCAGATCATGCTGGAAGGGGCGGACGAGCGGCTGCGCCGGGCAGAGGGCCAGCTGGACTCGGTGTTCTCCCGCCTGAACGACTTCCAGAGCCACGTGGGGCGGGCGCTGGCCAACCTGTCGAGGGACGTGGGCGCCCTGAAGGACAGCAGCCTGCAGCAGCAGGGGGCACTGGAGCGGGTGCACAGCACGGCCCACGCCTGCACGCAGATCTGCACCCCTGCGGGCAACCAGGACTCTCAGATCAGCACCATCCTGAGCGACCTGGAGCGGAGGCTGCTGGACACGGAGGGGCAGCTGCGCGTCCTGGGCAGCAACCTCCACCAGCTGGACGTCTCGGGGAAGCTGCGCAGCCTGCAGGGTCTGGTGGGCTCCCACAGCGACGCCCTCAGCCGACTGGCAGGGGAGGTGGGCGAGCTGGAGAACCGCATGGTGGTCTCCGTCAGCGCCGGGCCCCCCGAGCTGGTGCTGCAGGCCAACCGGACCCGCCAGCGCCTGGAGGAGCTGGAGAAGGAGGTCCGGGGGCTGGAGCAGCTCTCCTGCGGACAGGAGTGCGCCGAGCTGCGCGAGGAGGTGGGCCAGCTGCGGTCCGAGGTGGAGGTCTGCCAGGCCGCCTGCCAGCCTCCCGGGCGGCGCCCTGACCTGGGCAAGGAGGCAGGGGACGCCTCCCGGCCGCTGGACGGCTTCAGCGTGATCGGGGGCAGCTCCAGCGTCCACCTGCAGTCCTTGCAGGGCGAGCTGTCGGAGGTCATCCTGGGCTTCAGCTCCCTGAACGAGACGCTGGCCGGGCTGCAGGCCACTGTGGAGAAGCACCAGACGGACATCCACGAATTGGGCACCACCAAGGACCACATCATCGCCGAGATCAACCGGGTCCAGCAGGAGGTGACGGAGCACGTCAGTGAGAGCGAGGAGCGCTTCCAGGTGCTGGGGCGCGAGGTGCAGCGCTTTGGGGGCGCCCTGCGCGTGGAGGCCTCCGACTGCCGGCGGGCTTCTGGGGGGCTGGCGGAGAGGCTGGCCAAGCTGGAGGGGGCGTGCGAGAGGCTGGACACCGTCTCCGGCAGCCTGCGCAAGATCAAGGAGGGGCTGGACAAGCACGTCTCGGCCCTGTGGGGCTGCCTGCGGGAGGTGAACGGGACCCTGCAGACCCACGGAGCCCTGCTGGACAAGATCCACGGCAGCCAGCTGGGCACCATCCACCGCCGGCTCAGCACCCTCAACGGCTCCCTCCAGACCTTGCAGGGGCAGCTGCACGGCCTCACCCTGCAGGATTTCACAGGTACAGACTCTGGGGCAGACGGGAGGGGGCAGGGGGGGGCCTCTTGCCTCTGTCTCTGCCTAGACATCTAATGTTCTTCTCCATCCACAGGACCTCCAGGGCTCCCTGGACCGGAGGGTCCCATGGGGAAGCAGGGGCCCGTAGGCCCAGCTGGGCCCCCTGGCAAGGACGGAAGGACCGGCTCTGTGGGGCCTCCAGGTGAGCAGCTGGCCAGGCTGAGTTTTTGTATCATGGTGTCTGACAGTGGAGCAGCAAGATGACCCTCTGGGTCCCTTCCTATGGTTCTGTGCCTCCCTCGGAAGGGGGTTGGGCTAGATGACCTTTGGGAATCCCTTCCAACTCTACAATTTGGGGGTTGCTTGGCTTCCCAGAGCCACTTGTGTCCCAACACCCCCCTTTCCTTGCCCTGGGAGCACCAGGGGATCGGGGCCTTTGGAAGGCCACAAGAGTCTCCCCAGAACAATTAACCCTCTATGTGCTGCAGTGGGCTGGTGCCCTCTCCTGGACAGAGGGGGAGCTGCACTGGGAGGGGGCCCCCTTCCCGGCCCCATGCTGGGTTGCTCAGCCCCGTCTAAGACTGTGAGCTGTGTGAGTGGCAGCTGCCAACCCCACAGCCCCCCCTCCACCAGAGGCCTTCTCCACCACCTCAGGTGTGCACACCTGCCTGGTTGACCACACATGACCCCCCCCCAGCCTCCCTTCTGGAGACCACCCAGTCTTGTCTCTAGGGGGTTGGGAGATCCATTCATTAATACCTCCAGGCCTGCTTGTTGCAGAAGCAGGAGAGGGCCTTCTTGGTGGTGGCTCCTAGCATCTTAGGAACTCCCTGCCTTGAGAAGGCCGACTGGCTCACTCCTTGCTGTCTTTCCACCAGCAGCTAAAGACTCCCTTATTCCAACAGACATTTGGGAACTGATTATTTTATTTTATTTTTAAAGCAAAGGGCTTGTCATAGTGCCGGACTGTTTTTACCGTGATGGCCTAAATATAAACCTCACTTTTCCTCCAAATTCCAACCATGAAAAGTTAAAGTACGGCTTATATTATATTATAAAGTACGGCTTATATTGCACAGGGCAAACAGCGCCAGGAGTGCTGCAAAGCGGCGCCCGCCCCACGCAGAGTCCCCTGTCTTCTTCCCCAAGGCCTGGAAGGGAGAGAGCGAGGAAGGGGAAACTCCCCCCTCCCGCCCCCACAGTACGCAGCCAGGAGCAGCAAGGAAGGGAGCAGCTTACATTCGGGGGCTTTTTCTTTTTTCCTCCTCCCCTCCAATTTTAAAGGTGCAGCTTATATTCGGGCGCAGCTTATATTCGGGCCAATACGGTATTATCTGTATCTTAAGAGATTTATTTTCATTCTGTTAGCGTTTAATTACTTTTTAGCAATGATCCGTGATATGTTTTTCGCTTTGCATCTCTTACCTGTGTCTTAATTTGTGCAAGGCACCTTGAATCCTGGCCTGGGATCAAAGGCGGGATCTGAATAAATATAAGAACAATAATAGCAATTAATGAATTAACAAGTGGGATGGGGATGACCCCTCCCACCTCTCCCTTGTCCCCTGTGAGTCTCACCCATCTTCCCTTCTCTCTTGCAGGTCTCCCCGGAGAACAAGGTAATGACCGGGCACAGAAGCGGGGGCTGGAGGGGGGGCAGGGGTGTGTGGAGGTGCTGCTGCTCCTGTCCACTGCAGCTGGGGGGGGGGAGACTGGCGTCCTCTCAGTGCCACTGGGTTCCAGCAGCCAGCACAGCCAGTCATCTCTGTTGGGATACTATCGGGGAGACGGGGGCATCAGGCAGGCCCCCAGCCGGCTCCAGCCATCGGCCGGCAGCCAGACAATCACCGGTCTCCCTTGGAACAGCATCAATCAGTGACACGAGCCTCAGATACGTTTAGAGACCCATGCACGCTCTGTCAGCAGAGAGTGTAAATTTTCTCACAGCAGAAGAGGCGGACAGAGAAATGTGTAAGCATAATGTACAGCATTTTATTCAGCATAGTTCAGGAACAGAGGAAAACATGTCTGCTTCCCTTTGTCTCCAGCAAAACAGCAGGAACACAAAAACTATATACAGAAGTTCCCGGCAGATCAGTGCTGGAAGTAAACAGGCACGTGAGGCACCACAGTCATGCCTGTTCCCTTTTAAGGTGAAACGGAACTATAGCCTAACAATCTCACCAGGCCTCCACATACCCTGTTCCCTCCTCTGTGAAGAAGCTACATGGCGGCATCTGGGTGGGGGGTGAGCCTTGGGACTTCAGGCAGAGCCTTGGAGTGAGCTCAGGGCTACCTAGCAATAGCTCCCCAGGGAGGCGAACGGTGTCTTTGTCCTCCGGAGAGATCAGGGGCTGAACCTGGGCTGTGCAACACAGCTGCCCTCCCCAGGAGCTTGCAAAATGGCCCCTGGGGTGAATCTACACACAGAAAAAACACACACTACAAATAAAAGTCTGAATTTCAATCGTTAAAACAAAAGAAAGAAAGAAAACGCTATGGAAGATTCGCTTAGAATTTTTTTTGCTCTCCAGTGCCATCTGGTGTTGCAGGTTTATAACACATTCAAAATGCTGTTTTTTGACTAATGTGGCTGAGTCCCCCGGTCCCTGCTGTGAGGAGCGGCTGGACAGATGGACAGGCCTGGCTGGGAGTGTCCTGATTTATTTAGTTGTTTATTTCACAAAATTATAAATTTCTTGATTGTAAAAGAAGAAGAAAATCGCATCAAATAGGCTTACAAAAAAGACAAAGCAATAAAATTATCAAAAGGAAAATGAACGGCAGTAATTTAAGACATCTGAAAAGTTGAAATAGAAACAGACTAAAAACAGGGTTGCGTCAACTTTCTAAACGTCTGGGCAGGCTTGTCTAAACAAGGATGTTTTTAGCCGGCGCCAAAAAGAGTCCCGTGAAGGCGTCAAGTGGCAGGGAGTTCCAAAGTGCAGGTGGTGCCCACTAAGAGACTGAATTCGTACAAACACAGAACAGGTGTTATGAGGGAAGCAGGCGCATGCAGAGCGAGTTGCCAGCACAGAAACCAGCCAGGTCTTGAGAGCCAGTTCCTTGTGGGTGGTCAATGCAGGGAGAAAGGGAGAAGTCCCTGAAAGTTTTTCTGTGTCCCCCACCCCACCCCCCGCTCCCCGTCCACTTGCAGGCCTGCCTGGGCCACCTGGAACAACGCCCAAGGTCTCCTTCACTGCAGCACTGACCGCCCGCCACGTGGAGACAGGGACCATCGCCTTCGACCGGGTGCTGCTGAACGACGGGGACGCCTACGACCCGAAATCTGGTCAGTGAGGGGCTGGGAAACGCAGGAAGGAGAAGGTGGGGCTTGGGGTGGGAGGGCCTCAGAAAGACAGGTGTGTGGGAATGTTCAGGGTGGCAGGAGAGGATATGTTGTTTATTCATATCCTTCCTAACTTGCACTAGCAAGTTCCTTTACTTAGCAGAGTTACATTCCCCTTTTTACATGCACAGCAGATAGCTGGTTGCAGGCTCGTGCGAGCCTCTCACTATTATACAATTCGGTCTATCTCAGATTGAATTGTAAGTTCCTGGTAAGTTCCCTTTGAATCCCTCTTAAAGGAATAACGACGCCACAATCTTATTTAAAGTCAATAAAAAGAAGTTTACTTACATCAGTTCACAGTTGGATCCCTGAGGCAGACTTAGTTACAAATATGTACATGTGGCTCTATCCCATAGGGAGGAATGATCCCAGTGAGAAGCTGGCAGAGCAGTCCTAGCTAGAAGCTGGTCAAACGTAGAAGGGGAATGAAAAAGAGAGAGAGTGGCAGCGTGCCTTGTCCTTTTGTTACCTGGACAGGTGAGGTCACGCCCACCTTCTATCACATGCAAAAGGAAGATGCTCCAGCCAGGAGGAACAGGAAGTTTTGACTGGCTGGACCAAACATTCCATCGCATGTCTTCTCTAGCATTATAAGGAATGTTGTACTTGGCTGCTCCCAGCTTCCTGCAATGAACAGGGGAATGTGCTCTGCTACCACCTCACTAGCATGAGTGAGGAAGGATAATATTGAATCAATATATCCTCTCTTCCTATCCTCAACACTCCCACACCCAGCAAGTGCTCTGGCGTGACTCTGCTGACTTGCAACAGGGTATCAGTCTTAAACGGGACGTTCTGGGATCCAAACGGAAGCTGCCATCGCCTTCTGTGATCTGGGATGGTAAAACAGGACAGGTGGGGGGGTGTGGGCATTTGGTTGGACACTCTGAGAGGATGCTGGCCTGATCCAGTGGGCTTTCCTAAAGTTCTGATGTTCTCAGGGGTTGAAGAACTAGAGCTCCCAAAGCCAGGGAGGGTGCTTGGGGTGGGGTGCAAGGCAGGTGGGAGGACCAATGGCAGGCACCTGTAACAGACCTCTCCTCCGCCCCGCAGGAATCTTCACCGCTCCGTTTCCTGGCCGCTACCTGGTCAGCGCCATCCTGACCGGCCACCGGGGGGAGAAGATCGAGGCGGTCCTCTCCCGCTCCAACCAGGCCATCGCCCGCAGCGACTCGGCCGGCTACCAGCCCGAAGGCCTGGAGAACAAGCCGGTGGCCGAGAGGCAGCCCAGCACCGGGGCGCTGGCCGTCTTCACCCTCGTCGTCCCCATGGAGGCCGGAGAAACTCTCTGTGTGGACCTGGTCTCCGGCCGGCTGGCCCGCTCCTCGGACGAGCCACTGACTGTCTTCAGCGCAGCCCTGCTCTATGAGGATGACTTGGGGGTCTAGGCGGCTTCTGGGCTGGGGAAGGGGGCTGGCTGAAGCAGCGCCTCCCTCCAGCCTGGGAAGGGAGAGCTGAGGACCCCTCCACACTGCCCTCTTGCAGCCCCGGCCAAGCCTCCCCTCCTCCCACCTCTGGGCCAACACCGCAGGGAGGGCGTCCCTTGCAGCCGCCAGGCTCTCCTCTTGCTGGCACCCCCTGCCCCTCGGCCTCCCTGCCACCCGTGGGGCGGCACAATGCTTGCAAGACTCTCTCTCTTCCCAAGGCAGTGTGGGGAGGAGCCAGTGAGTCCTGAAGGCAGAATTCTGCCCTCTGCCCACTCAGCTCCCCAGGCCTGGCAGGGGGTGTGTGCCACTGCCCAGGCCAACAGAAAGTGCCACCTCAATGCCAGCTGCATCCGTGGCCCAGTGGGAACGAAAAGGTCCCCTTTGTTATTTATCTGTGTCTGTCGTACCCCAGAGAAAGGACCCCTCCCTCCTCATGCCACCGCCCTCCACCACCAGCCGGCTTGCCCCCTCGGCTCTCTGTCACAGCTTTGCCACCGCTGGGGCTGCCTCTTCTCGCCACGTCCACTGCAGAGCTGCTCAGATGCCAATGTTATGCCAGGCTTGCCATGGATGGGCCAGACACGGGAGCCCCACCCTAAGGAGCCAACACCGCCATTTACGTGAGACGAGGAAGAGAGGCCCCTTCGCAGGACTGCGGGGAGGGAGGAGGGGGGTGGGCGGAGGAGGAGGAAGAAGAGGAGGAGGAGGAAAGGGCCTCGCTCCAGCCCCATCTCCTGTGTGGGTCACCCTTCATGTATATGCTGTGTAAAGGCCCAACTCAGCTATCAATATAATTATTGAATAAAGAAACACAACTTTTTTAAAAAAACACCAACACCAACCACGGTCCTGTGCTTTCTCTGTCATCCGGGGACCATTCCTGCACTCACTGTTTTTATTTATATGCTGTTTTTCCACACACAAAAATATGTCACGCTTAAACAAAGAAAGCAGGAATGCATTTCAAAGCCAAACGATGCAAACATCCGTTTCATAACAACATAGCAAAACAACACACTGCCAAATGTAATATGAAAAAAGGCATTTCAGTACCAGAAAGATAACAAGATTGCATAAACCACACACCCAAGAGCAAAAACAACAAGGACGCTTTGCAGTTCTGCGTTGGGCCTTGGAATGAACAGCAGCCACTGGCACAGCGGCTTCCAAGGACAAGGGGGACGTTGGTGGGTGTCTCCCTTGCACCCCAAAAGAGCACCACCTCCCTCAGCCACTGCTGCCACCGTCCTCCATCTGGAACTATCCGTGCCACGTGGTGTTTTAACAGAACAACACGAGTCGAAACCCGGACTCGGCTACATTAGTAAAGAAAAAACGTTCTACGTGCATTAAAACACTGTGACACCAGATGGCGCCGTAGAGCAGAAAACTTTTCTACACAATTTTACATAGATCATGATAACAAAAAACAAACGAACCCTAATTTCTGACTTATTTATAGCATTTCCCCCCAGTGTGTAGATCCATCCCAGGTCTCTGCCCCCAGGAGCCCACAGTCAGAATTTCAACTGGAGCAGGAGGGGGATATTCACAAATGCCACACTCTGGGCTTAGGTCTCAGGTATTTTGGCTGCAGGCGGGCGGAGGTCTTCACTGAATGAGGCTGGACTTTGCGTGGGGGGGGGGGGGAGTCAGAAGAACAGCTTCTCAGCAGGGAGGAGAGGTGGGCAAGTGGCCCTGTCTTTTGGCAGCTGGCGGGATGGCTGGGCAGGCGAAGAGGGAGGGGCATTTGGCTTCCTCTGGGCGCAGTGGGGTGAGCCTGCGTGTGGGTCACTTGGCTCCAGGGGGTCTCCCTCACAGGGGCTGAGGGAGCAATGGACGGATGGCTGCTCTCCTCTGGGGTTGGGCTGGACCCCCAGGCTGGGATTTACGGCCCAGAACCCATGCTAGAAACTCAGATAAGCGAGGCGCCAAATGGCTCCTTAAACCAGGGTTACAGGCGCCAAAACCAAACGCCCCTGGTTGCCATTTGGGGGCCGGACGGCTCAAACGTCATGTTTTTCGATAAGACTTTTCCACCCCTGAAATTCATTCTGATTGTGCAGATAAAATACAACTGATGGAATTCTTCAGGATGTGCTGTGAGTCTGTGTGAAAACGGTCAAGAACCAAGGATTGCCAGGGATGCACCTCCAGGTGGTGGAGACGTCGGGCATCATCCTGGCGCCTGGACATCTTCACTGGGTCGCAAGAGGCCGATAGCCAGGTGCAAAATGCGCCTGGCGAATTTCAGACACTGCCCAGGACCCTCTGATGATGTCAGACACCAACTGCTTGTTCATGAGTTCCAGAAAGAGACAGAGGCAGGATTCAATCTCTTTCCTCAGTGAATATGCCGTATTTTTCGCTCTATAGGACGCACCGGACGATAAGACGCACCTAGTTTTGGGGGGAGGAAACAAGAAGAAAAAAATTCTGAACCCCAGAAGCCAGAACAGCAAGAGGGATCTGGCTTCTGGGATAGCCTCTTGCTGTGCTGGCTTCAGGGACAGCCTGTGAAGCCTCCGCAGGGCAGCGGGGTGAAGGCACCCCGCTGTCCTGCGGAGGCTTTGCGCAGCGCTCCGTCTCCCTGTTCTGGCTTTGGGCTTAGCCGCGCAGCCTGCATTCGCTCCATAAGATGCACACACATTTCCCCTTACTTTTTAGAAGGGAAAAAGTGCGTCCTATAGCGTGAAAAATACGGTATATCTGAAGGTGGCCTTCCACTCCAGTCTTCTGGCCACGGAAGGATTGAGCATCAGCCTTTTGGAAGTTGATGCCCAACTTAAAACAGTTAATTTTAAACTGTTATTTCACCAACTACCCACCTCTTGTGTTTTTGCTCTTTCCACCGGCGAACAAGGCAACACCTCCCTCAGCCGGCCTCCAGGACATTTAAATGCCATCACAGCCTTGGCCTGATGCAAAGGACCCTTATTTCATTCCTTCCCTACCTTCCCTTACTACCTTCCTTCTGGGGTTGGAACCCAGGGAGGCGCAGACCGGGGCTGGGGGCTTGGTGGGGGTCTCCCATCCAGACACTGACCAGACTCAGACCTGCTTAGCTTCAGAGAGGTGCTGGCTCTCCCTTCAGAAAAACAGGTGGTCCTTTGACTGCCCTTCATTGGAGCTTTTTATACAGAGGTTGGGGAGCCCATGTCAGGGATTCGTTAGCTGTGGTACCTGCATTGCAGGGGGTTGGGCTGAATGACCTTTGGGGGTCCCTTCCACCTCTACCCTTCTGATTCAAACATGCCACTCTCTCCCCTATTCACAGCCCCACATATATAAACCTCAAAGCCCTCTGGGGCCTTGCCTGCCCGCACCCAACTTTTTTCTCTGCCCTTTGACCCTGAGGGTACCAGCCCCTTTGACCTCCCTCCTTACCCCACCAATGCCATCCAAAGCACCTGTGTCAAGCCCTCTTCTCCTCTCCAAGCTCCCCTTTTCTGTGAAGTCCTTGCCCCAAGGCCCCTATCCATGCACTGGCTCCTGGTGGAGTACAGGATCAGGTTCAAGGTGCTGGTTTTATCCTTTAAAGCCCTATATGGCCTAGGACCCTCGTACCTACAGGACCGCCTCTCCTGGTATGTCCCACGGAGGACCTTACGGTCTTCAAATAAGAACATCTTGGAGGTCCCGGGCCACAGGGAGGTTAGGCTGGCCTCAACCAGAGCCAGTGTGGTGTAGTGGTTAAGAGCAGTGGACTCGTAATCTGGGGAACCGGGTTCACTTCCCCCTCCTCCACCTGCAGCTGCTGGGTGACCTTGGGCCAGTCACACTTCTCTGAAGTCTCTCAGCCCCTCACCTCACAGAGTGTTTGTTGTGGGGAAGAAAGGGAAAGGAGATTGTGAGCCGCTTTGAGACTCCTTCGGGTAGTGATAAAGCGGGATATCAAATCCAAACACTTCAGGGCTTTTTCGGCTGTGGCCCCGATCTGGCGGAACGCTCTGTCCCAAGAGACCAGGGCTCTGCGGGACTTGACATCTTTCCGCAGGGCCTGCAAGACGGAGCTGTTCCACCAGGCCTTTGGCCAGGGCACAGACTGACCCCCTCCTTTGGTGATCCTCACAGAACTCCAGCCCAATGGTTGCCATGAATTTGATTTTGAATTGATTTTAGAATGAATTGATTTTAGAATGCTGTGTTACTTTTATTGTTGTTAGCCGCTCTGAGCCCGGCTTTGGCTGGGGAGGGCGGGATGTAAATAAAAAATCATCATCATCATCATCATTATTATTATCCAGAACGCGGCCGATTCTTCCCTGCTCCGGACACCCCTTCCACTTGGCACCTCAAGAGTTGCGCCCGCGTGGCTGTCAGGCCGTTCCCGGACACGACCCACGGAAGGGGGCGCCCAGGAAGAGAAAGCCTTGCTGCCCAGCCAGGACAAAGACCCCCCCCTCTCTTGGTGCGGGTCCTGCGTCCGCAAGAGGCAGAGGGGCAGAGATGGAGGGAGCGGACGGAGCTGGAAACTCCCTTCTAGGGGGAGGCACCTGGGGGGTTTGCCTGCCGGGAGCGGGCTGGGGCGCTGCAGCCAGGCTTCCCTGTCAGGCGTCAGGAGGCGCCCCCCCCGCCCCTCCCGCCCCGTCGACACGATTCACAGTTTACCTTGGAAACCAGGAGTGACTAAGATGCTAAATCTTTTCAGAGGCGCTGAAGCAGCCCTTGTCGTCTCTCTTTCAGAGCAGGTGGAACATGCATTGTTTGTTCCCCGAGGCAATTTCAGCTCCGCAAAAGCTATTCTTCTCGGGGGTTTTTATTTAATGTTTGATTGAAGTGCTTGGCTTTCAAGCTGTGTTTGAAGCCGTGGTTCTCCCAGCAGCCGCGAACGCAGCCGGAACGGAGGCAGGAGTGGCCGCCGGCTTGGCACGGAGACGGATTAGTGCGCCCTGGATGGCACGCAACGCGGCACCGACGCACCCATCCCCAGCAGCCCAGCTTGGGGGGCTCCTCAGATGGTCCCCCCCTTCCATAGCTGTCAACTTTTCCCTTTTCTTGCGAGGAATCCTATTCGGAATAAGGGAATATCCCTTAAAAAAAGGAAAACGTTGACAGCTATGCCCTTCCCCGCCTGTCCTGGAGGGGTGAATCTTGGGCACTTGTTCGCTAAAACGCAGCACTGTAGCCCTTTCAGATTGAGTCATTAGGCGCGTTTCAAAACCACTGTCTTATTCCATCTATTTTTCCTTAGGTGACAGTTTGGGGCAGGAGGAGGACAGAGGCCCCACTAAAAAGAAAAAGGAAGAATTAGACTAAAAGGCCCCCAACCCACCCGTTTTGTGGAGCATAAGTTATGTTATTTATTTATATTCTTTAAATGGTTCTTGTAAGAGGATCAGGGCTGCTTACTCCTGAGAAAAAGATAATAATAATAATAATAATAATAATAATAATAATAATAAATTTCACCCATCTCGCCCATCTGGCTGGGTTTCCCCAGCCACTCTGGGCAGCTTCCAAAGAAGAAGAAGAAATGGTCTCTTATGACCAGTGCTTTTGGGGGCAGGCAGGGATATGCATACCCCAAAACATTTTGTGAATGTTTGTACTTTTGTCCATTTACTGCATTTATTTTTCCCGATTTGAACTATAAAATGGTGACTTCCTTGACTCACAATGGGAGTACCCTAAACATTTTTTACTAGGAAAAAAGCACTGCTTAAGACCAGATGGAACCTGAAGCCACAGCAGAGTCTAAGTTGGGGGACCTGGTGTGTAGCCCCCAACATTTCTCTGATGCTATTCCTCTAGCAAAAGAGGTGCCGGAACTCACCATGAATGCCTCCCTCATTCTCTTAGAGCAGGGGTAGGCAAACTAAGGCCCGGGGGCTGGATCCGGCCCAATCGCCTTCTAAATCTGGCCCACAGACGGCCCAGGAATCAGTGTGTTTTTACATGAGTAGAATGTGTCCTTTTATTTAAAAAGCATCTCTGGGTTATTTGTGGGCCATAGGAAAGTGTTCATTTTTTCCCTAAAATATAGTCCAGCCCACTACAAGGTCTGAGGGACGGTGGACTGGCCCATGGCTGAAAACGCTTGCTGACCCCTGTCTTAGAGGGAGGTGCCGCAACAGAGCTCCTGTGAGCTCCACCTGGGGAAAAAAGCCCTGGGGATGTCCTCTTCCACACCCTCCAACATTTCTCCCATTAAAATAGGAACATCCTAAGGAGAAAAAAAAAAAGCAGAGACATCACCTTGCCAACAAAACTATGGTTTTCCCAGTAGTGATGTATGGAAGTGATAGCTGGACCATAAAGAAGGCTGATCGCCAAAGAATGGATGCTTTTGAATTCTGGTGCTGGAGGAGACTCTTGAGAGTCCCATGGACTGCAAGAAGATCAAACCTCTCCATTCTGAAGGAAATCAGCCCTGAGTGCTCACTGGAAGGACAGATCCTGAAGCTGAGGCTCAATACTTTGGCCACCTCATGAGAAGAGAAGACTCCCTGGAAAAGACTCTGATGTTGGGAAAGATGGAGGGCACAAGGAGAAGGGGACGACAGGACGAGATGGTGGGACAGTGTTCTCGAAGCTAGCAGCATGAGTTTGACCCAACTGCGGGAGGCAGTGGAAGACAGGAGGGCCTGGCGTGCTCTGGTCCAGGGGGTCACGAAGAGGCGGACACCACTAAACGACTAAAAAAAAACAAAGGAAAAATGGGACAATCTGGGATCAAACCAGAAAAAGGGACAGTTTCTGTAAATCTGGGGTGGTGGGGAGAGACACACCTGGGGGAGGGGCCTGCTGGTGCCCCTGTGGTATTTCTGGGCTCCAAGTCCCGTCAGCCCTAATCACTGGTCTGCTGGCTGCAGAGACTGCTGGGAGATGGAGTCCAGCAACATCTGGAAGGCCCCATGATCCTGCCTTAGTTGGAGAATGCAAGAACATAAGACGAGCCATTAGCTGGATCAGGCCAGCGGCTCATCTAGTCTGGCACCCTCTTCTCCCAGTGCCAGCCAGATGCCCTTTGTGGGAAACCAGCAAGCAGGATTCAAACACAAGACATCTCTCTTGCTGACTCTGACTGTGGAGGGCCTTGAATTGGTCTCATCCTCTTTTAAAACCATCCAGCTTGGTGGCCATCACTGCCTCTTGTGGCAAGGAGTTCCCCAGTTTAACTCTGTGCTGTGTGATGAAGGGCTTCTTTATATCTCTCCTGAATCTCCCCACCTTCAGCTTCACTCAATATCCACAAGTTCCAGCATTATGAGAGTGGAAGAAAAACATTTCTGCAGCCACTTTCCCCAGGCCAGGCCTAATTTTATATCAAGTCGCCTCTTCCTGGCCTTTTCTCTAAACCGAAAAGTCCCAAACGCTGCAGGTTTTGCTCTATCCCCTTGGTCATTTTGAACCTTTTCCAAATCTACAATCTCCTGTTTGAGGTGAGGTGACCAGAACGGCACACAGTGTATTCCAAATGTCGTTGCACCTGGAGAGCTGGAGGAGGCAGAATACGGACCACCAGCAGCCGCCCCCCCCCCTGCATGCCCAAATCGCAGAGGAGGAGGCAGGGGCCAGACTGTTCCCTGAACTAATTTTATTTTGCACACTGAGCAGGACGAGACAAGGCCGATTGGAGGGCGTCCCCCTTTCACAGTGACTGTGCCCACTGCAGCCATCAGCTCCCAGACAAGGCAGTTGTGGGGGGAGAGGAAGGGGCACACGAGAGCCTTGGCCAAGCACTGGGGGCAGGGGGCTGAGGACATCCAGGCTGGGGGGCCCCTGCTGAAAAGCATTTTGAGGGGGGAGAGAGGCTGCGGGGGCTCCCTCTCAGCTGCGGCTCCAGTCTGTGGGGTCAAAGGAGGGGTCTTCCTGCCCTCCCCCCTCGGTGGTGCCAGGAGCTTAGAAGTCTTCGTCCCAGCCAGAAAACTCCTCTTCGGGCTGCTGCTGCCGGGAGACTGAGAAGCGCTTGAAGTTGACATAGGGGGAGCCCTGGAGGAGGAGGAGGGGAAAGTAGGCAGTCGTCAGGGTGGACGGCAGCTGGAGGGGAGTCCTTGCTGCCCCAAATGAGCCCCTCGCTCCCACCCAATACCTGCTTGAGCAGAACAGTGGTGGGGGCCTCGATCTGACGCAGCGCCAGCTTTTTCCAGGAGAGGGAGCTGAACCACCTGCGGAGGGAAGGCAAGGCAAGGGTCAGTGGGTTGGAAGATTCAGGACAGAGCAATGAAAATCCTTCATCACCCAACACAATCAAAACTGGGACTTCCGGGTTAGCGCCTCCAGCAATGGCGGATTTCCTCTGATCGGGAGGAATCTGCTCTGTGGAAACTAGGGTCTGGACCGCCACGGCGAGGCGGAGAACCATTAAAAACCACAGGCGGGAGAAGCCTGTGGACATGGGACTCGGCTGGCACCTTTCACGCCTCCCCTACTCGCGGGGAAACCGGTCTCGGGGATCCGGAGCGACGTGGGGTGAGTGGCGCGGTGCTTCGAATCGACTGCTTTTTTCACGGAGTGAAGCCGCACTGCTGTTTGCGGAGAGCGCTGACCTTTTCCTGTGGACAATTGGACTTTAAACAACTACCCGTGAGTAGAACGGAAAATTGGATCTCTAAACATCTTAATTTGGCATTGAAACGGGAAGGTTTCAAACAGGAAGTCCGCCTTCCTCTTTTGTAAATAGATCAAAGCAAAGACGTTGCAAGCTAAAGTCTGGAAAGTCTTTTGTAAAGGATTAAATCTCCATCGGCTAAAATTACTAAACCCCCCTTGGAAGCAGGAGAAGAGGGGGGAAATTCTAGATCGTTTAAGCCTGCAGGAGAGAGAGTGAAGAAAGTTAAATCACCACCGTTTCGAACCTGGGAACGGGCTGCCAGTAAGATTGATGTTTTGGGAAAGTTCATTGATTGTGAATAAAACGTATGTTGACAGATAGTTAAATAAGAGAAATATATTGTTTTCATTGTTTCCTTTTGCACTTAAAAGGAGCAAAAAAAGTAACTGAAAATAACTAATTCTGTCACTGGATCTGCGTTTGATGGATACAAATAGAAATTGTTTCCCCTAGAGGGAGCTTTTGAAACTGTTGCAGGAGTGGAGCTGGGGAATTTTCCAGCTGCAGAGATTAAAGAGCGTGAGAATCAGAGTCTGACCTTGGACAAGAATGTTGACAGAAGAACCCTTAGTGATTGCATTTTGCAAGACAAGTGCTTTATTGGAACAGCTTCATGAGAAGACGGATATGTGGATTAATAAAATTGACAATTTGGGACAAAAAATGACTGAGTTGGGACAAAAAGGGAATATCTATACAGAAATTACTCAGGAATTGACCCAGGAATCTGTTTTGACATGGCAAGCTGTGGAGAAGACGAAGGAGAAAGTTGTTGTTGAACCTCAAGAAATTCAAGTGGAAAGAGCCCCGGCCTCACAGAAGCAATTTGATGATCATAAGCCGTTGCCCTTTATGATCGAATCTAGAGAAAGCCAGATTTGGTGGGATGGAGCCCTGCTTGGATTGGAGAAGGAAAGTTGGATAGATCCTCCAGTGCAGGGATGCTCTGGCCTTTGGGATCTGGATTTGGGTCAGGGGGAGAGTGGCGCTCTGAAATATCTTTGGGACTTTAGTTTTGACTATGGAGAATGGGCTGACCCATCAAGAAGGAATAAAGACACTGCTAGGTTGGAGTTTCCCCGAGATCTACTCCTCAGTGCCAAAGAAAGGAAATTAAGAACAAGATCAGCAGAAGATAAAGTAAAGTGCATGTATAAATATGAAGAAGATCTGCAGAAGGGACATGGAAGAGAGTTAAGAGCCTTGGACAGAAGGTCACCAGGTTGATGGACTATATGGTATGGATAGAAAGGACTTACAGAATCCGAGACCAGGGAGAAGAGACGGTGGAAGAAGATTGGAAAAAAAGTTTTAAAAAATTTATTTAGAGAAATGTTGCAAAATTAATGAGCGTTAGAAAAATGTCGGCATTAAATTATATGGCTTTAGTAGAAATGTTATAAGGAGTTAAGTATAAATAAATTTTAGGGTTTTAATGGTAAGATAAGGTTAAAACAAATTAAGATAATTAAATGACAGAAAACAGTGAAAGATGGAAAGGATTTGCTGAAATAATTAATAACTAGAACACAAAAAGGGAGGTGTGAGGAGGTCGATGAAACAAGTTAATGAAAGATAAAGATATGGAAATATTGGATGTGCTTTTAACTGTTTTTGCTTTTGTTTTTGTTTTGATGTATTGTGTCTTTTGCTTTTTTATATGTATTGTAATGTATTGATTTGTATTGTTTATTTTCTCTCTTTTTCTCTCTTTTTTGTACTTTTTTCTTTAATTCTTAAACTTTTAATAAATATTATTTTTTTTAAAAACACATAGTCAAAACTGGACCAATGGTCTGTTAAGTATACAGTGGACGCTCGGGTTGCAAACGTGATCCGTGCGGGGTGCACATTCACAACCCACAGCGTTCGCAACCTGCAGCGGCGCGTCTGTGCACGTGCGGGTTGAGATTAGGCACTTCTGCACATGCGCAAAGCACGACTTAGCGCTTCTGCGCATGCACGACCGCCAAAACCCGGAAGTAACCCGTCCCAGTACTTCCAGGTTTCGGCGGGTCCGTAACCCCAAAAAACTCAACCCGAAGCACCTGTAACCCGAGGTATGACTGTAATTGTTTAATTGTTAATTGAAATGGAAAAATAACTCTGTATGTGTATGGTGGTACCTTGGTAGTTGAACGGCTTGGCTCCTGAACAAATCGGCTCCCGAACGCCGCAAACCCGGAAGTGAGTGTTCCGGTTTGCAAACGTTTTTCAAAAGCCAAACGTCCGACGTGGCTTCTGCGGCTTCCGATTGAGTGCAGGAAGTTCCTGCAGCCAATCGGAAGCCGCGCCTTGGTTTTCGAACGGTTTCGGGAGTCGAACAGACTCCCGGAATGGATTAAGTTTGAGAACCAAGGTACCACTGTACTGCTAAAAGTATAGCATGGTATGGAAAGTTCCATGGAGCTGAACTAAACCTCTCAAGAGTTTAGGTGAGAATGCATCTCTGCTAGCTCTCAGGAGGTGTTTAACTTAGGTCACATGACAGCATTCAGTTACAAGTCTCCCTTTTGGGTGTGTTGGTCTTCGTTCTGAAAGCAGCTAAGGATCCTCTCTGTTTAGGGACACAGCCTCTGGCTAATGCAGACTGGGTTTGGAGAGGCGGAGCTTTGATTTCAGCTCTGGAGGAAGACAATTCATATTTCTAAGATGTTCTATCTGTGCTAGGATCAGCACACGATATTATGCAACTATCCGGATGTAACGTTATCAATTTAAGTTTGTTTTGCTGCGAGTTCTGTTAGTAAAGCTTTTGAACCATATTTTCCACCCAATTTTTATTTCAAAAACAGTCAGTTTTGAGTCATCCTATGGCTTCCAAATGTGCCATATCAATAATCACAGCTTCCTATGTCCCCGCCCCTCGCCCTGGTGCTGGCTGGGGCTGATGGGAGTTGTAGTTCAAAACAGCTGGAAGGCGCCAGGTGCAGGAAGGCCAAAGGCGGGAAGAGAAACCCTCGGCCTCTCCTGCGCCTCCTGCTGGCGGAGACAGGCACTGCAGCTTCTGCCCTGTGGACTCACCTGTGCTTACGGATGCCACGGATGCCGCTGCTGGTATTGCCTAGACGCTGCCCTGGCCGGCGCCTGGGGGGGGGGGGAGAAGAAGAAGAGGTTCAGCTTCATTCCTTTGCACATGACGCATGCACTTTCCACGTACTAAGAGGGGAGGCCCCCCTGAAGCTAGTGGGGAGACACACCTGCACAGCTTGGCCACCAAGGAGCAGGCAGACTCGCTCACAAACACCGGGAAGGAGAAGATGCCGTCCATGATCTTGCTGTAGATCTTCTGAGGCTCAGCGCTGTGGAAGGGGGGCCTTGGGGTTGGGGAGACAGGGGAAGCCGTCATGAATTTTCTTCTATCAATGACGCCGTTGCAGAATCTAAGGGGGCTTTTACTTGGGCAGCAGCCTCTGGGAACCCCTAAAAGCAGAGTCCAGGGGCAGCGGCGGCGCAAGCCAGTGCAGGACGCTCCGTGGGGCCTCCAAGGAGTCTGCCTGCCCCCTTCCACTCAGCTGCCCTACAGCTAAGGGGGAGGCAGCGGGCGGACCGTTTGGGGAGTGCGGAGCCTGCAAGCACCACAACCACTGCGTCTCTCCCAGGAGAGATGCGTGGCCTGCGCTGCGGTGAGTTCCACCCGGCATTCTGTCAGCCCCCTCAGTGGGGACACCCAGGGCGGACTGCCCCCACCGCACCCCCTTTCTCCACCCCTGTCCAGGGGTCTCCAAGTCACAGTCCGGCAGGCATTCTCTCACCTTCTCTGCGCTTCACACATGCAGAGAAATTTAGTCACCTTCCCAGAGAAGGAAGCCTGCCTGACCAGAGCTGGGTGCCTGGTTCTGAGAGAAGATCAGGGTGACTCCTCTCTCTCTAGCTCAAGGCCAAGAGTTTGTCCTTTGCAAACTTTCTCAGCTCATTGTTAACACAGCTCTCAGAAGGAGATTCTCCAAATCCCCCTTTTCACCTTTCTTCCTATCTAGGTTACCTGTCTGTGTACGTACAGGGCTGGTCTGCCCCATTTCACTGCTTTGGTCAAAACCATGGGTAGGTAAACTAAGGCCCTGGGGGCCGGATCCAGCCCAATCGCCTTCTAAATCCAGCCTGCGGACAGTCCAGGAATCAGTGTGTTTTTACATAAGTAGAATGTGTCCTTTTATTTAAAATGCATCTCTGGGTTATTTGTGGGGCATAGGAACTCGTTCCTTATTTCCCCCCAAAAAAGATAGTCCAGCCCCCCACAAGGTCTGAGGGACAGTGTCTACAAGAGACACATATAACAAGGGCACATAGGAAGTTATTGATTAATAAAAGATTAGGACAGGAGTTTGTCTCATCTGACAAAGTTAAAAAAAGAGGAGTCGTGATTTATGCAAAGGAGAGACTTTTACCGAAATTTATCTTTAAAGATGATCAAGGAAGATTTTTGGCAATTGAAATTCAACTACAAGGAGAGAAATTCTTAATCGTGGGAATTTATGCACCGAACGAGGGGAAATCTGAATTCTATAAAAAGTTGCATGAGACTTTATTGGATCATTTGGACTATAATTTGATTTTGATGGGGGACATGAATGGAGTAGTATCTACAAATATGGACAAGGCTCAAAGACAGGTAGTCACCAAGGATGGTAGACTACCGAAAACATTTTTTGAGATGACAGACAATATGGACTTAGTGGACATCTGGAGGGTAAAGAACCCCCTGGGAAGAGAAGGAACCTTTTTTCTGAAGCCAAGATGACATGGACTAGAATTGACCAAATATGGATAACTAGAGGAATGGCACCAAAGATAAAGAAGGTAGAAATCTGCCCAAAAACTTGTTCCGACCATAATGCTGTAAGGATGGAGATGAAACAAACAACAACCGGATCCTTTAGATGGAGGATGAATGACACCTTATTTAGAGATGAAGAAGTTTACAAAAAGGCCCAAAAGACTTTGAGAGACTATTTTGAAATAAATATGAATACCAATGTAGAAAAAAGAGTAATCTGGGACGCAAGCAAAGCTGTGATGAGAGGGTTTTTGATACAACAGAATGCAATAAAGAAGAGAAGTCAAAATGAAAAGAAAGATAAAATTTTGGAAAAAATAAAAGAAGGAGAGAAGAAGTTGAGAGCAAAACCAAAGTCCCAGGATATTTTGAGAGAAATAAAATTATATCAAGTACAATATATGGAAATGATGAATCAGGAAATAGAATGGAAAATCAAACAAATGAGACAAAAAACATTTGAATCAGCTAATAAATGTGGAAAACTGTTGGCCTGGCAAATGAAAAAAGACCAAAATTAAATACTATTATAAATTTAGAAGTGGAAGGAAAGAGTATACATAATCCAAATGAGATTAGAAATTGCTTCCAGAAGTACTTTAAACAATTATACACACAAGGGCCACAGAAGGAAATGGACATAGACCAATTTTTGAAGACAAATGGCCTACAAAAATCTCTCAAGAAAGTAAATTAATGCTGAACTATAAAATATCTGAACAGGAAGTAGAAGGTGCCATACAAAATATGCAATTGGGCAAATCTCCAGGACCGGATGGGCTGACTTCCAGATACTATAGATCTTTGAAAGAGTGGTTACTGCAACCTTTGAAGGAAGTCTGCAATGAAATACTGGAGGGGAAAGGGCACCAGAATCGTGGAAAGAGGCGTACATCACACTTATACCGAAAACAGAGACTGAAAAGACTCAGCTTAAGAACTATCGCCCTATATCGTTACTTAATGTGGATTACAAAATTTTTGCAGACATTTTGGCCAAGAGATTGAAAAAATATTGATGAAAGAGATTCATAAAGACCAAGCGGGCTTTCTCCCGGGAAGACACCTGTCTGATAATTTGAGGAATATAATTGATATTTTGGAAAAATTAGAAGTGAATATAAACACCAAAGCAGTATTGATATTTGTTGACGCGGAGAAAGCTTTTGATAATATCTCTTGGAGTTTTATGAAGAAGAATCTGCATGGGATGGGGGTAGGCCAAGGTTTTGAAAATGGTATAGGTGCAATATACTCTGAACAAAAGGCTAAATTAATTGTAAATAATGTGGTTACGGAAGAATTTAAGATAGAAAAAGGAACACGACAGGGGTGCCCAATTTCCCCACTGCTTTTTATATCGGTCCTGGAGGTTTTGCTAAATATGATTAGAAAGGACCGGTTGGTTAAGGGCATACAGGTCGGAGCTAAACAGTACAAATTGAGAGCATTTGCAGATGACCTAGTATTGACGTTACAGGAGCCAGAATCTAGTACTAAAAGAGTTTTAGAATTAATTCAGGAATTTGGTCAGGTGGCAGGTTTTAAATTGAACAAGTTAAAAACTAAGGTTTTAGAGAAAAACTTAACACCGATTGAAAGAGAGAGGTTTCAGAATGAGACAGGATTGAATGTGGTAAAGAAAGTGAAATACTTGGGGATTAATATGACAGCCAAAAATGGGAACTTATTTAAAGATAATTACGAAAAATGTTGGACGGAAGTGAAAAAGATTTACAAATTTGGTCAAATTTGAAACTCTCGTTGCTGGGCCGTATTGCTGTGATAAAGATGAATGTATTGCCTAGAATGTTGTTTTTGTTTCAGACATTACAAATTGTAGATAAGATGGACTGTTTCAAGAAGTGGCAGAGAGATATTTCTAGATTTGTCTGGCAGGGCAAGAAGCCCAGAATAAAATTTAAGATATTAACTGACGCCAAGGAAAGAGGTGGATTTGCCCTGCCAGACCTTAAACTTTATTATGAATCAGCAGCTTTCTGCTGGCTGAAAGAATGGCTACTTCTTGAAAATACAGACATTTTGGATTTAGAAGGTTTTAACAATGTATTTGGATGGCATGCATACTTATGGTATGATAAGGTCAAAGCACACAAAGCATTTAAAAATCATACTGTTAGGAAAGCATTGTTTAATGTCTGGATAAGATACAAAGACTTATTGGAAAATAAAACCCCAAGGTGGCTGTCACCAATGGAAGCAAAAGCTCTGAAAAGGCTCAATATGGAGGCCAAATGGCCGACATATTGGGAAATTTTGGAGCAAGAAGGAGATAAATTGAGACTGCAGAGTTTTGAAAAATTAAAAAATAAAGTGAGAGATTGGCTCCACTACTATCAGATAATGGAGGCATATAATTTGGATAAGAAAATAGGCTTCCAAGTGGAAAAGTCAAAATTAGAAACAGAATTGTTAGAACCCAAAACTAAAAATTTGTCAAGAATGTATAACTTGCTGTTGAAATGGAATACTCAGGATGAAACGGTGAAATCTGCTATGATTAAATGGGCACAAGATGTTGGACATAATATTATGTTCGCTGACTGGGAACAGTTATGGACCACAGGTATGAAGTTTACGGCATGTAATGCCTTAAGAGAGAATATTATGAAAATGATATACAGGTGGTACATGACCCCAGTCAAGCTTGCAAAAATTTATCATTTGCCCGATAATAAATGTTGGAAATGTAAAGAAACTGAAGGTACATTCTTTCACCTTTGGTGGACGTGCCCAAAGATTAAGGCTTTCTGGGAAATGATATATAATGAACTGAAAAAGGTATTTAAATATACCTTTCTGAAGAAACCAGAGGCCTTTCTCTTGGGCATTGTCGGCCAACTGGTGCCAAAGAAGGACAGAACCTTTTTCATGTATGCTACAACAGCAGCAAGAATACTTATCGCAAAGTATTGGAAGACACAAGATCTACCCACTTTGGAAGAATGGCAGATGAAGGTGATTGACTACATGGAATTGGCGGAAATGACTGGCAGAATCCGAGACCAGGGAGAAGAGTCGGTGAAAGAAGACTGGAAAAAATTTAAGGACTATTTACAGAAATATTGTAAAATTAAGGAACTTTAGAAGGATGCTGGATAGAAATTAAGAGGTTTTTAGCTGTAATGCTTTAAGAGACATGGGGAAAAAAAAGGTTAACAATTGGGTAAAAGATTAATGGTAAGGATTTGCTGAACCAACAAACTGAATTGGAATACAAAGAAGGGAGGTATGAGGAGGTCTGGGGAAATAAGAGTAAGGAAGATAGGTTATGGAACATTAGTGTGTTTTTAACTGTTTTATTTTGTATGTTTTTTCTTACTTTTTGCTTTTTTGCTGTAATTTATACTTTTTTCTTTGTTTTCTGTATTTTTGTGAAACTTTAATAAATATCATTTAAAAAAAAAAAAAAGGTCTGAGGGACAGTGGACCAGCCCCCTGCTGAAAACGTTTGCTGACCCCTGGTCAAAACTGAAGTGGGTGGGTTCTAGCGAGATCTCACAAGATTTCAAGGAGATCTTGTGAGGTTTTGGCAAGATCCTGCGGAGCGCACAAGATCGAGCAAGACTTCTGTGGTATCTCGCCAGGAGCCGTTATCGCAGTGGGGCTGCCCTTGGGGTTGCTGCCTCTTGGGGTTCCCCACCTGCAGTGGCTGCCTCAGCCTGCCCCATGGGGGAGGGGGTCAGCCCTGAATATATTGATCCACCAAAAAGCCAGGAGGTGATGCTGAGCACCTCTGTGGTCCCCAAAGCCACTCCCTGACCCCCAAAGCATTCCCCTTCCTTGCAACCAGCTCCCATCCCTCCCCCAAACCACAAGAGACCCCTCTGCACCAACTAGAAGGAGCTGAGCGAGAGGGTGCTGTGGCCTTCCTGGAGGCAATCTGGGGTGCCCCCCCTTTGCAGCACTGCAGCCCCTTCCCCTGCTGGGCTCAGCTGGCAGCTCTGGCACCCCCAAACTTTAGGGTGCACCCATTGCTTTGTCCTTCCTGTGTTTTCTCCCCACCGCCCCGCCCCACAGCTGCTGCTGGAAGTGAGGAGAACACAGCACAAGCCCCCCCCCCCATAATCTTGTGCATATGGGGGGGGGGCTCCATGTCTCACCGCCCAACAAGCATCTCAAAGATGAGCACGCCCAGGGTCCAAAAGTCCACGGCAAAGTCGTGCCCTTCGTGACGGAGGATCTCGGGAGCCAGGTACTCGGGGGTCCCGCAGAAGGAGTAGGTCTTCTCCCCCCGCCTCAGCGCCTTGGCAAAGCCAAAGTCCACCTGTAGAGAAACAGGGGGTTAAGAAGAAAGCGGCTGGATCAGGCCCAGGAGTCCAGCATCCTGTTCTCACGGTTGCTGACCAGATGCCCCAATGGGAAACCCGCAAGCACTCTCCCGTTGTGCCCCCCACTGTCTGGTATTCAGAGGTAGACTGCACCTGAGTCTGGAGGCTCTGCTATCGCAGTAGTTGTCCTAATGGATCATGCCAATGATCCTCTCTCTCAGTGGCCAGCGAGGGGCCCCAGTGGGACACCAATAATGCAGAGAGAGAGAGTTATGCCGACACGCACCCCGTCACCGGCCGGACCTCTTACTTGAATACGGTTGGACTTATTCCAAATAAATGTGCAGAGAGATGCACTGTTACTGGGTAATGTCAAAACCAAATTTATTGGAGCTGAAGCTGCCCACTCGGCCAGACGCAGGAAGGGTTTATCCTCAACCAACAGGTGTGCCCACGCACAGGTGCAGGTGAGAAAATGGTAAGCTGTGAGGTCAGCCTTGCATACATGGATGGAGTTGCCATATTTGACCTCATCAGTTCCCACAGGTAAGGAGGACACAGCGACCATTAACTGTGGCTAATGCCTCCACCCTTCCATTGCCAAACGAGTTGAGCCTCTCTGTCCCTGCCCTTTCTCCCTGCTGGCATCAATGCCGCACTTCCCAAGTGGGCGCTCTGCCCTGTGGAGAGTGGTGGCGTTACCTGTGGGGACCGAAAAGGGGGCAGGGGGCTGCGGCAGGTGTAAATGACTATCAGGCAAAAGCTGGTATCGCTGGATCAAGATAATCAGTTAAACTAAATGGTTTTAATTGGGTTTTTGAATAAAGGTGGGATTCATGGTTACTGTTTTGAATTTCGCTGTGCTCTTATTTTCCTTAATGGGTCATGCAAACCCACTATTCTGAAACAGAGTTGAAAGGGACCCCCAAGGTTCCTCTAGCTAGCCCCTTGCAATACAAGAATCTTAACTAATGCAGGGGGCACTGGAGCCAAGTGGGTGGGGGCCCGAAAAAGTTTGGGAGTCACTGATCTAGAGGGCATTTTCTTCCTGCAGAGCTTCATTTTTTCACATGGAACGTTTGCCTGGCGAAAAGCACCTCTGAGCACATGCAGAGTGTGCTCCCCTCTGCCATCACCAATGGCCCATCCCTCCACCCTCAGAGGTCAGGGGGGCTTGTTCTGAGGTGCCCGCCTGTCCAGAAACCCCTCTGTGCCCCCCCTGCCCCCCCCTCCGTTACCAGCTTGACGTAGCCCCTGGCATCCAGCATCAAGTTCTCTGGCTTCAGGTCACGATACACGACCCCCTGGGCATGCAGGTAGTCCAGGGCCTCGACCACGCAGGCGGAGCAGAAGACGGCCACCGGCTCCGAGAAGCAGCGGCTGGAGGGGCGAGAGGAGGCGGAGCCACGCTCAGAGGCAGACAGCTGCTTGGCATGCAGATGGCCTCAGGCGCCGTCCCCAGAGGCCCTGGGCAGGGCTGGGATCCCAGGAAGGCCACTGCTGCCAGTCTGTGTAGGCAATACTGAGCTTGGTGGAAGTAAGGCAGCTTTCTTGTTCCTGCTTAAACCAACCCTTTAATTCAGAACGAGGAGGACTAGAATCTTGCTTTGCCTTTAGCTGAATAGGCCAGCGACAGGGCAGCTGCTTTAGCATGCAGAAGGTCTCCAGCAGCTGCAGGCAGGGCTGGGAAAGGTTCTCTGAGTGAAGCTGCTGCAGATACTGAACTGGAGGGACTCAGAGTCTCGTAGAATTGGGGAGATGGGAGGTACCCAAAGGTCATCTACGCCAACCCCCGGAAATGCAAAGGATCTCCAATAGTGAAAGGTCAGTTCTTAGGATCAGGCATGATCAGTGTGGGATGTAATCCACTGGGAGCAGCCAAGTACAACATTCTGTATAATGCTAGAGAAGACATGCAAGGGAATGTTTGGTCCAGCCAGTCGAAACTTCCTGTTCCTCCTGGCTGGAGCATCCTTCCTTTGCATGTTGGTGCTGACCTTGAAAGCCCTAAATGGCCTCGGTCCAGTATATCTGAAGGAGCGTCTCCACCCCCATCATTCAGCCCAGACACTGAGGTCCAGCACTGAGGGCCTTCTGGCGGTTCCCTCATTGCGAGAAGCTAAGCTACAGGGAACCAGGCAGAGGGCCTTCTCGGTGGTGGCACCTGCCCTCCCACCAGATGTCAAAGAGAACAACAACTACCAGACTTTTAGAAGACATCTGATGGCAGGCCTCTTTAGGGAAGCTTTTAATGTTTAATAGGTTATTGTATTTTAATATTCTGTTGGAAGCCGCCAGAGTGGCTGGGGAAACCCAGCCAGATGGGCGGGGTATAAATAATAAATTATAATTATTATAATTATTATTATGATAGAAGGTGGGCGTGACCTAACCTGTCCAGGTAACAAAAGGACAAGTCACACAGCACTCTCCCTCTTTTCCACCTTCCTTTCGCCGGATGAACTGCTGGCTGCCAGCCAAGCAGTCCCTCAGATCATCTCCCTTATGGGGTAAATCTGTTTTTATACGTTTGTAACTTTAAGCTTAAAGGCTGCCTTCAGGGATCACACTGTGCTCTGCCTGCTCATGAGTAAACTATCTTTTTATTGCTTATGAATAAGATTGTGGCGTCTTTATTCTTTTAAGAGGGATTCAAGGGAACTTACCAGGAACGTACAATTTGATCTGAGACAGACTGAATTGTATACTAGTGAGAGGCTCACACGAGCCTGCAACCAGCTATCTGCTGTGCATGTAAAAAGGGGAATGTAAACTCTGCCAAGTAAAGGAACTTGCTAGTGCAAGTTAGGAAGGATATTCATAAACAATCTATCCTCTCCTGCCACCCTGAACATTCCCACAATCAGGAGAGGTTAATAACTGTTAGCTCCATTATTGGGGCCACCAGGACTCCCTGCAAGGATGCCTTTGCTCTCCTCCCCAGACCCCTGCAAGAAACTCCCAGGGTTAAATCCAGCACTGTAATGCACCCCCAGGGCCCCTCCTGCCAATGGGGACAGCTTGGGCTTGGGGGCGTGGCCTTCTCCCCTGGGGGCGGGGCTTCTAGTGGCCAGGAGGTGGAGCTACTGCCCAGGACCCCCTCTGCCCTTCTATGGTTCCATTCTATGATTTGCCCCAAGCAGCCTCCTTTCCGGTTCTCAGCCCCCACTATAGCTGTCAACTTACAGATTTGAAAATAAGGGACCAGCAGCCTCGAAAATAAGGGATCAGCAGCCAAAATAAGGGATTTTCGGAACACAGGTATGTTCAACTTCTGAGCCCCTCTGAGCCAAAGGCAGAAAGCCCAGCCAGCAGCCAAACGAAGCCTCAAGCGGTGGTTCCCACAGCGCAGCAACCCGGCAAAGGGGATGCAGCAAGGAAAACCACAGTCACCTCTCCGCTGGGAAGCGCTGAGCAAAGGCGAGTCCCCAGGCAACGCGGCCGATTTGATCGGCACAAGGCACGCAAGCTCCACCCCCCAGTTGTTCTTAGACTCCTTATTGGGTGAGCAACGCAGCCAAGCAACCCAGTTGGAGCCTCCCTCCTCCCTGGCCAGCAGGGAGGGAGGGAGGGAGAGGAGCTGCTTCCTTGAAAACCCGGGAAATTTAAGGGACATCATCAGTAAGGCACAGCAGCGGGGCACGGCGCTGGGATAAGGGACTGTCCCACCAAATAAGGGACGCTTGACAGCTATGGCCCCCACCCGCCCGTTGGCATAGCCTGCCCCACATCCCCGCCCCTCCCTCTACCCCCACTTACGCCTCGCGCAGCTTGGCCCACAACTCGCCCCCCTGGCAGAACTCCAGCAGCAGGTAGACGTGGCGGCTGTCCCGGAAAGTGGCAAAAAGCCTGCAGGGGGGAGACCGATAGAAAAAAGACAGTCACGGGTCTGAGAAATTGCACAAAACAAATGAAATACTGTGAAAATCCCTGAAACGAGAAGTAATCGACTAGAAATATTATCTTGTGGAAATAAACTAAATAATAAGAAAAATCAAAAAGCTTAAGGAAAAAATTAGAATTGAACAAAGCCTTAACGGGATGCCAGCTACAAACCTCGTTTCACTGAACTATTCAGTTTCCTCAGAAGGAAAGAGAAAAATCATAAACTTTAAATGAACAAAATTCAAAAAAAGGGTAGAACCCCCCAAAATTCTGAAGTATTATAATCCTAGCTCGACCGAGGTGAAGCAAACGCAGTAATAAAGGACTGAGGACTCAAAAGTACAAATACTGAATTTACAAAAAAGGTTTGGAAACCTAAATGGCAAGTTTTAAACAAAGCCCAACTTGAAGAAAGCAAAGCACAGTAATAAAGGGTTGAGGACTCAGCTGTGAAAATTCCAGTGCTGCCCCAGGAACCGGCAGATATAAAACACAATAAAAGACCCAACAGTAAAAGCTTCCCTAGACAGGGCTGCCTCCTAAAAGTCGTGCAGTTATTCATCTCCTTGACGTCATTTGACGGGAGGACCTCCTTGGGCCTGATCCAGCCGCCAGGCCCTTCCTGTGTTCCTATGGAACCTCCAGCTCCAGGGACAGTCTACCTGGATCCCGAGGCCCTTAGGGGTATTTGGCCACTGCGAGAACAGGAGGCTGGGCTGCCACTGCCGCTGCAGGGATCGTCTGACGTCCCCCTCTGTGGACTCCGGGCCCCAGACCCCCTTGCCCCCCACTGGAGACGGGGAGTGGGAAGAGGAAGGCGCCAGCACCTGACGATGAAGGGGCAGCGGCTCTGCCGGAGGACCTTCTTCTCCATGAGGACGTGCTCCTGCTGCCGCTTCTGCACCACGTGGTCCTTCCGCAGGCGCTTGAGGGCGAAGAAGAGCTCCTGGCCCTCCTCCACACGCCGGACCTGCAAGGTAGGCAGGGAGGGGAGAGAGGGGAGAAGTGGAGGGCCGCTGGCACAGTTCCATCGGCAGAGTGTGAGACTCTTAAATTCAGGGTTCAAGCCCCACAGAGGGCAAAAGATTCCTGCATTGGACCAGATTGCCCTTGTGGGGTCATCTAGAACTTTACAATTCTAGGATCGCATTGATCCCCTGCTGGTGAGGCTCGCTGACCTCCCGGAAAAGCAAAAAATTGACCTTTTCCTGTTAGGCAAAGATCATAAGATGACCTGGATGGTCGCCAGATTCTGTGTAGGCGACCCAAACTAGTTTCATTAAGGAAATCCCCAAACTCGGTTCCATGGGTCATCTCTCTGCGGTAGCTTATCTTAAAGTTTTAAGTGTCTATATGCTTATCGCATTTATAAATTTTAAACTTATTGTTGTACATTGTTTTAAATGTTTGTTTTCCTTCTGGGATTGGACCCCTGAGTGTGTTTTATAAGCTGGTCTCCGACCGTAATAAATTATCAGAAAATTCTAGGATTCTTCAAGCCTTGTTGGAAGATTCAGGATAGATGAAAGGAAGTCCTTCTTCACATGGCGAACGATGGAACTCCCCGCTGCAGGAGGAAGGGAGGACCAGCAACCTGGATGGCTTGGGAGGAGGATGGGATAAATTCATAGAGGAAGAGAGGACTATCGATGGCTGGTAGCCAGGAGGCAGCCAAGCTTCTGAATCCCAGTTGCTGGAAACCCCAGGAGGGCAGGGCGGCTCTTGAACCCAGGTCCTGCTGACAGGCGTCTGGTCGGCCCCTGAGAGAACAGGATGCTGGACCAGATGGACCACTGGGTGGATCCATCAAGCCCTTCTTAGGCTCTTTCTCTTGTCCCCGCCCTGGTGGTGGCACAGCCAGACCCCAGCAGGGCACTGAAGGTGGCATCGCCCAGGACGGGCATTTGATGGAAGGATAAAGGAAGGAGCAGAATAAAAGATCTGTAGAGTCGGAAGGACCCTGAGGGTCATCCAGTCCAATAAGCAGGAGTCACAGCTGGAGAACCGCTGGCCAGATGCCCACCCAACCTCTGCTGGAACCCCTCCAAGGAAGGAGCCCTTTGTATATCATTCTCTTTTACAATTTAGAATACTCACTTTTACATCCTTAAGATATGTGACTTCCCTTCTTCTCTTCCGTGGTTCATTTTACATACCATAAATCCCTGCATATTTTACAAAAACTACACCATTCACTATTCCATTATTGCACCCATCAAAACGTATTTACGCTGTTGAATTTATCTTAATGCTGTCAACTTTTTCAGCCGTACACAATTATTTCCTATACAGTGGTACCTCTGGTTGCGAACGGGATCCGTTCTGAAGGCCCATTCACAACATGAATAGAACGCAACCTGCAGCGGCGCGTCTCTGCACACGCACATGCGGGTCATAATTCGCCACTTCTGTGCATGCGCATGATGTCATTTTGTGCATCTGCGCATGTGCGAGCGGCGAAACCCGGAAGTAACCCATTCTGGTACTTCCAGGTCGCCGCAGGACGCAACCTGAAAAAACGTATCATGAAGCAAATGTAACATGAGATATGACTGTCCATGCAAAAACGTTTTCCAATCTTCTCTAAATGTATGTTCTTCTTGTTCTCTTATTCTATAAGTTAAGTCTGCAAGCTGCACATATTCCATCAGTTAAAGTTGCCACTCTTCTTTGGTTAGGACCTCGTTCATTTTCCACTTTTGGGCTAACAAAACACGGGCCGCAGTAGTAGCATACATAAACAACCATTTTTTGACACCTGGGAATTTCAGTCTGAATTATCCCCATCAGAAAAGACTCAGTTTTTTGGGGGGGGAAGTACTTTTAAACATTTTTTCCCAATTCATTCTTCATCATTTCCTAATACGCTTTTACCCGCATTCCTCCCCCCAGGCCTTACCAGCTCCACGGTGCCAAAGCCCCCAGTGCCCAAGATGACTGGCTTCCCTCGCTGATCCCCATCTTCGTAGAAAACAGGTAGGAGGTCCTGGAGCTGCAGGGGGTTCTGAGCTCCCTCCAGGAAGGACCCCCTGCAGAGAGAGAGAGAGAGAGAGAGAGAGAGAGAGAGAGAGAGAGAGAGACTGGGTGCCCAGCAGCCACGAAATCTTGCTGGAGACTTTCCCTCCCTGGGGGGTGAAGATTCAGGTCCCTCTTCTGCGTGGGAAATGAGGAGGTCCCTCGCTCTCGTTGCCACCATGGCTAGCTGGAACAGCTATGCCCCTGACGCCCAGCCCCTGGGAAGGGCAGTTGCCAGTGCCCCTGCTTGTGGGCCCGTCGCTGACCCCTTGCCAAGCCCTTCCCCACGTCTGCCACCAGCCCTGCAGTGGCGCCCCAGACTCAGAAGAGACACAGGAGCAGAGACAGCTCAGCAGAGCCAGGTCCCTTGAGCTCAACAGTGCTGACACCGACTGGCAGCAATGCCACTCCAGGGCTTCAAGGTGTCTGTCTGCTTGGCCCGACCCGCAGATGCCGAGCTTGGCTGGAGGTCAGGATGAAAAACAGCTGCTCTGTCGCTTCCCTCCAGCAAGGGATCCCACCTTGCTGTGGAGGGGGTCTTTCAAAAACAGGCAACCCCAGAGGGCTGGCCACTAGCCAGGCAAGGGAAGGCACCTGCCCAGGCTCAGGAACATGGAGAGAAGGTGGCCAGGCAGGGGGAAGCTGCCCTGGCGCTGCCCACCTGGACAGAGGGCAAAGGGCCTGGCTGCTGCCCGGTAGAGTTGGAAGGGGTCCAAGGGGTCAATCTAGTCCAAAATGTGGGCTTCTTTCTTTCTCCGCATCTGGGCTCCCTGGACCACCACAGGGGCCCCCATCAGCCCTGATGCCCCCACCCAAACCGCAGGAGTTTGAGCACTGACCGTCTGGGCTCAGAGAAGGGGGGAGCCTCCTGCGCCGCCGTTTCCCTGCGGGGAGGGGGAAGAAAAGGCGAAATCAGCCAAATGAAAGGTCCCTTCCCAACCCTCCCAGCTCTTCCCAAACATGCGCCCGCAAACACCCCCAGGCCCAAAGGAGCCCCCCCCAAGCCACCCTTCCTAACTATTGGCGACTCTCTTCCCCCAGCCTCTTCCCGGGTCAAGCGAGTCGTCGTCCTCTAGGGCTCCAAAGAGACCGCTCTGTCCCAAAGGGGGTGAATGAGTACACAGGCAAAGTGCAGAAATCGGGTCACAGAATCATAGGAATGCAGAGTTGGGAGGGACCTCGGGGGGTCATCTAGTCCAGCCCCCTGCAATGCAGGAATGGGGCTCAAACCCACGTCCCTGAGATTAAGAGTCTCGTGCTCTACCGACCGAGGGTCACTTAAGCAGTTCTCAGATGGACTCTACCTCTTGGCAACATCCACCAAAGGGACTGAGCCCATTCGTCTTGGCAGTGTGGTGTAGCGGTTAGAGCGCCAGACTAGAAGCTGGGAGAAACCAGGGTTCAAATCCCCATGAAGCTCAGTGGGGGTGACTTGGGCCAGTCGCTGCCTCTCTCAGCCTAACCTCCCTCACAGGGTCGTTGTGGGGATAAAATGAGGAAGGGGAGAGCCATGCGTGGCTCCTTGGAGGAGAAATTGGGATAGGAATGAGTTGCTCTGGGATGCCACCACAGCTCAAGGGGCATGACAGGATCCTGGACTGGGGCATCGGGTGAACCCTTGGTTTAAGCAAGGAAGAGGAAGGACCTTGATGGGACCCCGCAGGCAGAGCCCACCCAATTCCACAGGAGGAACCCCCATCCCAGGTCCTGCCTGAAGGACGGGGCAGCCGGAAAGGGGTCAGAGGCCCCAAACACCCCCTTGCACGGTATCGGAAGACCCTAAATGCAGACCTCCCAACCCCGGGACTCAGTATCCACCATCTGAGAGAGTTCAACAGCCCAAGCCACATTCCCATCCACCTGACATAGTTTTATTAGATTCCGCAACAACAACAGAACATGGCGATGGGCCTCTGAGGACACATGGCAACTTGTGGAACGAGGCCTTTGTTTGAAAACCACATCGATTTGGAAATTAAACGCAATTAAACAGACATTTGGTGCTTCTGCTGGGAGTGGGTGGGATTGCTGAATATTGATTGTTGCTTCTTGTATAAATAAGGGAAAACAATAAAATACTGTATGTTTTGGGGGGAGAACGAAGAGCATGTAGGCAAGACCAAGCGCCTGCTGGAGGAGAGGGACTGGGAGCCACATCTTTCCGTCTCTCAAGCCCCCTTATTATTTTGCCTATTGAATGCTGGATGTTGCTTATGTAACCTTGGTATATTTCTAGTATTGAAACATGTTTTTTCGTATGCTATTGCATTTGCCATTGTGTTGTTTTGCTGTGTTATTACGAAATGGCTTCTTGCACGGTTTGGTTGTGTTTCTGATTCGCAATTTGAGCATGATTTTCAGCATCAAAGAAAATGAATGAATGAAAGACAGAAAGACAGAAAGACAGAAAGACAGAAAGACAGAAAGACAGAAAGACAGAAAGAAAGAAAGAAAGAAAGAAAGAAAGAAAGAAAGAGAAACAGGGGCCAGAATCTCCTCCTGCAAAGTCTTGCTGAACCCCAAAGACAGGTTGTGTTTGCCTGCAGCTTCTACACACCGAGGGCCAGGGGACCCCAGATTTGGGTGGGGAGTGGTCTTGATACGGAGAGAGGAAGGAGGACAGGAATGCATCTCCTTCCTCATGGAAGCCCCTTTAAAGGGGAGCCACATACTTACGTCTCTTGGCTGCACATTGGGCTCAGTTCCTGAAAGTCCCTGTGGGAAAAGGCAGGAGAGAGAGGAGATGTCAGTTTGAGATCCGCTTGGAGGCCCACCTGGGCTCAGGTGCAGACCTGCCACCAGGAAGGCCAAAGGGGGCGCTGGTTCTCAGCTCCTTCCTGGCAGTCAGGGTTGAAGGCAAACGCTGATTTGGGAGTCCAGAGACCTTTGACCTTCAGTTTTCTGACTGAGTTTCAAACACCCATCCATGCAAATAGCTGAGAGCTGCGCCATTTGGGGAACTGCTATAAGCTCAGAGGCTCCCAAAGGTTTTCAAGCCCCCATCCCCTTGGCTCCATAAACTCATCCCCAGTGCCCCCGACCCTATTAAAAAGCATTATTCAGAAGAACAGCAGTTTGCACGGCCCACTAAGGAAGGTACTAGCACAGTGGAATTCAAAGCAGTAACAATTAATTGCGCATTTATCGAAATCCCAATTCAAAGTACTTAATTTAACTCGACAAAACGGATGAACTCAGTTCCGTGATACCAGTTTTACAAAGCCTGGTACTCATTTAAACCTCCAGCGCCCGCCTGCTGCCCCCTTCCCTCCTAGCACCCCCCAGGGAATCCCCAGGGCGTGATACCATCCACTTTGGTGCACATGGATGAGGGACCCTCCTGAAATGTGAGGATGACCCCAAGCAGCCCCTCGGCTCCTCCCTCCTCCCCACAGACAGGCTCAACCGGATCCTGGCTTACTCCTTGGCAATGGCTATGCAGGTGACCTCCTCCTGGGCCCGGCAGCTGGCTGTCCGGCGGATGTTGCTGCAAGCGAGGAGAAGAAGCAGAGAAGGCCGTTCCCAGGGAGAGAAAAAGACAAGAATTAAGTCTACGCCAGGGATATTTTTAGGGGGGGGGGGCGCTGTGGGTTAAACCACAGAGCCTAGGACTTGCCGATCAGAGGGTCAGCCGTTCGAATCCCCGCGACAGGGTGTGCTCCCGTTGCTCGGTCCCAGCTCCTGCCATCCTAGCAGTTCGAAAGCACGTCAAAGTGCAAGTAGATAAATAGGTACCGCTGTGGTGGAAAGGTAAACGGCATTTCCGTGCGCTGCTCTGGTTCGCCAGGAGCAGCTTACTCATGCTGGCCACATGACCCGGAAGCTGTACGCCAGCTCCCTTGGCCAGTAAAGCAAGATGAGCGCCGCAACCCCAGAGTCGGTCACGACTGCACCTAATGGTCAGGGGTCCCTTTACCTTTACCTGTGGCTTTATTCACAACGGCCTGCCAGGAAGGTGGGTCCTCTTCAAAACAGAGGGCCACCAACCCCCCTGCTTGACCGCTTACCGCAAAGGTTTTCAACAAGCCTCTGCACCTCTGCCATTTGCTTTCTCTACGCCTGACAGGCACATATAAGCATTCTGAAACACAGGCCAGTTGCTTCATCAGGCATCCTGGGTCATAAAGACAGAAGGAAGCTTGGATGTAGTTTGTGAATCTTTAGATAGATCTTAAGGGCCAGGAAGAGAGTTCACAAGGAGATGGTATATACTGCCATCCTTCCACTCCTGTTTATGACCTCCGGGGTTTCCTAAAAGCATTCCTCTTTGTTTCCTCTTTTCTTTACTCTGAACTACATATGCATGCTCAAATTAGCTCTTTGTAGTTTTAACTTTAACTTTGTCCCCATGTGGGGTTTTTTGAAATGCTCAGAGGAAATCTGATTGGTTCTTACAAACACTGTGTACAAAGTTCTTTTGTGAATAAAATGACCTGGGCCGAGGAGTGGAGGGGAATTATTATTATTGGCACTTCCTCCCAGAGTCTTGCTGGTCAAGCCTCCTGTGTATTTTATTAACCAGAGTCCAATCCTTCCTTGCTTTGGGAACGCTACAACAGAGGCCAGAGTTGCCTGCAGCACCCCTGACCATCATTTAGGGCACCCAAGGGCGCCAAGAAGGAACACGGGTTGAAAACCACTGGCTTACCGGATGAGGGACAGCTCCCCAAAGTGGTCCCCGGCCTTCAGGACTCGGATGTGCTCCTCTTTCCCCTCCACGCTCCTTGTCACCTCCACCTGCGGGTCCCAGAGAGGGCATGAAGGAGACTGGGCAGGTGTGTGGCTGGCCTCCCCAGCTCCCTGCTGCCCCATGGTCGGGGAGGGGGGCAGTCCTCTCCCCACCCCTCAGGTCGCCCTGGCATGGATGTGGCTGGCCAGGGACTGCCCTGGAGGTCACTGCAGGAGGCCTGGCTATCCTGCTGCTCTTTGGAAGGGACCTCCGAGGGTCATCCAGTCCAGCCCCCGAAATGCAGAGACTCTCGACCCTGCCAGAGCACACATGCAAGAGCCCAGCTGGGGCAGAGGCTGGGGGGGGGGAGGTTCTGGGGCTCTTGAGAGGCACACCCTCAGCCCCACACATGTGGAAGGATGTCAGTGAAGTTGTGGGGAGTTGGCACTGGGCATTCCCTCTTCAAAAAACTCTGGGGTGGAGTGGGGGGGCAAGGACGAACTGGGACCCACCTGTCCACTGAGAATGAAGAAAAAGGTCCTCCCCTCATCTCCTTCCTGGATGATCATTTCATCCTGGGCGAAGGTGCGCTGGAGGGGGCAGAGAAAGGGATGCTGCAACGGGGCACCAGTTTACCCACAAGGTCGCCTCACCCCACATGTGAGCCCCACTTGGCCTCTTCGATCGGTGGCTTTGGAGCTGCCACAGGTGCCACGGAATACCCATTCCACCTTCGTAAGTGCCTGTGGAACTCCCTGCCCCTTGACGCTAAACAGACGCCTTCACTGTACTCCTTTTGATGCCTATTCTTGATTAGACCAACTCACCCAGATGCAAATAAAGAACAAAAACAGAACAAATCAATAACTCCCGGTCCCCCACACACTTTAAAAAGGATATAGGATGTCAATCAGCCCAAGGCCTGGTTGAAGAGGAACGGTTTTGCCTGGTGTATAAAGAAGTTGCCAAGTGAGCTTCCCTGGGGAGAGCATTTCACAAATGGGGAGCCACTGCAAAGAAGGCCCTGTTCTCGTGTTGCTGTGAATTTTTGTTGTTTTAGTGATTTAACTTTTGGTATTTTAAAGTATTGTTGTAGATTTTTCTGGATTTTAAAAATCTTTTTATAAACTGCTCTGAGGTTGTTTCCCCCCCTTATTTCTTTTATGAAATGAAGAAATAGCTATGCACAGAGAGAGGGGAAGGAGAAGCAGAGTCTGTGTGCCCACTGCCCATCCGTCTTGGTACTGGAGACCACAAGCTGCAGAGCAGGGCACTGACCTCCCAGGCCAGGCCAGTAGCAGAGGCCCCCCGCACCCAACATTTGATGCCCAGAGCCAGATGGAGCAGCAGCTGAATCCTACTGGGCATTTGACAGTGGCAAAGGAGGCCCTGGACATGCCAAGGCCAGGCCTTCTGTGCCACCCCCCCCTCCTCTGCCCACCCCCTGAAGCAACAGGCTCCTCCTGCCCAAGAGAAGGAGCAGCCCTTGTTACCTCCTCTGCAGAGTCCAGCAGCTGGGACAGGGCGGCATCTGACAGGCCTTGGAGAGGCTTCACCCTGGAAGAGAAAACAGAAATGCCCCGGATATCCCAGACGTGGAATCATAGAGTCGGAAGGGGCCCTCAGGGGTCATCTAGTCCAACCCGCTAGGACGCAGGAATCGCAACAAAAGAATCCCCCAGGCCAAAGGCAGCCTGCAAGCCCCAACACCAGGTGGGGTTGCCCAAATGTGGCGAGGAAACACACTCGCTGCATGCTCAGAGGTGCCCTCTCTTCACTGGGCAGTCAGTTCTCAAGCCCTAAAGGGAGCCCATCTGCCCTCAGGCCACTGGTTTGTCCTCTGTCCCCACACCATCCCAGGCAGGCAGCAACCAGACCCCATGATGGGCGCTGCGGAAGAAGGAGGTGTGCGATTGTGTGTTTTTTGAGAGAGAGAGAGAGGTTTCACAACAGGTTTGCCCAGAGAAGGGAGCACCAGATTCCTGCTTGGGACAGCCAAGGGGGGCTCCCTGGCCACACTCACCTCCGCAGGCCGGCCAGCACCTCTGCCCTCTGCCGCTTGGCATTCTCGGTGATGATGGTGCGGTACGTCTGCCGGTCGATGGCCCATAACTCCACCAGGGTGAGCGCTGGGGGGAGAAAAGCAGGGCTGGGGTTGCATTGAGGAGACAGGAGACCCCGACCCCCCCCCGGACATCTAAGCCCCTCCTTGCCAGGCAACTCTGCACTGGCCCCGTTCGGAAAGCAAGAAGAGGCAAGCAGCCCCCTGAAGAAAATGTGCGGCTGAATAGCTTAGAGAGCCTGCTGGTTCTAGGAATCTTGGTAGACTGCCTCTGGAGCTGGAGGTTAATAATAATAATAATAATAATAATAATATATTTATATCCCACCCTCCCCAGCCAAAGCCAGGCTCAGAGCGGCTAACAACAGTAAAATAATACAGCATTCTAAAATCAATTTATTATGAAATCAGTTCAAATCAAATTAATGGCAACCATTGGGCTGGAGTTCTGTGAGGATTACAAAAGGAGGGGGTCAGGCTGTTCCCTGGCCAAAGGCCTGGTGGAACAGCTCTGTCTTGCAGGCTCTGCGGAAAGATGTCAAGTCCCACAGGGCCCTGGTCTCTTGTGACAGAGCGTTCCACCAGATTGGAGCCGCGGCCGAGAAAGCCCTGGCTCTGGTTGAGGCCAGCCTAACCTCCCTGTGGCCCGGGACCTCCAAGATGTTTATGTTTGAAGACCGTAAGGTCCTCTGTGGGGCATACCAGGAGAGGCGGTCCCATAGGTATGAGGTTTCTGGGCTGTATAGGGCTTTAAAGGTTAAAACCAGTACCTTAAACCTGACCCTGGACTCCACCGGGAGCCAGGGCAACGGTGCCCCCATCCACTCCATCACCCTGTTCTCACTGTGGCCGACCAGATGCCACAAAGGGAAACCTGCAAGCGGCATCTCCTCTCCTGCAGTTTCCAGAAACTGGGATTCAGACGCACGGCTGCCTTTCAGAGGCGCCCCCACGACCCACACGCCAGTGAGCCAAGGGGCCCGGCTGCCCACATCCCTTGCCCCGATACCTGCCCGGGGTGGGAATGCCCCCTGCTTCACCATGCGCCTCTCCCCACTCCTCACAAAGCGCAACTGTCACATGCCAATGTCATAAATGCACGCGAGGGTGTTGCGGAAGGGAACGGCAATTTCCAAGACGCGGCGTGGGCAGCTCTTTTGCCATTAACTTTCTCAAAAAAAACCCACCGTCGCATCTCGACTGGCAGCACGCTGCATCGCAAGAGGCCTGCCATGCTTCGGATGGATGATAAACATGGCACCGGAAAGTCTTCGTTCCGGAACTAAAGCCAAGGGCTGGAACTTAAAAAGCAGTGCCTCCCCCCCACAATGTTTCTGATCCCCCCCCCCCAGCAATCTTCCGGAGACACGAGGGACGGGAGAAACAGGGGAGGCTGATGCAGCCTCTGTTCAATAGGTAGAGGATGCCATTGTATCATCGCCATGGCAACAGGACAAGGATGCCCCAGTCGGCTGGCTGGCAAAGGCAGGACCCATGGAGGAATTTGCCCGCCTCCTGGGCCCCAAACAGGCAAGAAAGCCGACACTGGTGGGCAGGGATGGCTGCCCAGGGCAGAGACCCACTTGGGGCAGGCCCACCGCTAATGCGGGGGGCGGGGGGCTTGCTAAGTGGGTCAAGTCTTACCCAACACTTGGTTCCCTCCCGGCTCTCAGCCTAATTATTTCAGATAAGTGGAAACCGTTTCCCCAGCTGCTCCGTGTTATGAGGAGCTGCTACCGTCAAGTTATTACATAAAAGCCTCACACTCCCACTTTTGTAGTGCATTAAAAAACTTGAGTGGTATCTGGGGCACAAAAGCTTCTGCCTCAATATATTTGTTCATTTTTTAAGGCGCCGCAGGAGCCGGGATGACGTGCCCTGTTTGGGTTATTATTCTGGTTATTATTCTCTTAATTAAACCTTTTCAGGGAAGAGCAGCTGCGGCCACGGATGATGCCCTCGGCACCACACATCCCCTGATCTACTCAGGGGATCCGACAAAAGGAACGACTTGTTCATGCAGCGCGGAGTGAAACTGTGGAACTCCCTCCCACTGGGGAAACCCATGGACTCCAACCGGGACGGCTGTAAGAGACGATCAGGCAGATTCGTGGAGGAAGAGAGAGCGGCCCATGGCTAGCAGCCAGGATTACTATCATTATTTATTAAATTTGTATTCTGCCCTACACCCGGGCAGGTCACAACATTTGGTACGCAGGATGAGACCCTCCCTGCCTGCAGACTGTCTCGCCAGAGTGGTGCATGCTCTGGTTATCTCCTGCTTGGACTACTGCAATGCGCTCTATGTGGGGCTACCTTTGAAGGTGACCCGGAAACTACAACTAATCCAGAATGCGGCAGCTAGACTGGTGACTGGGAGCGGCCGCTGAGACCATATAACACCGGTCTTGAAAGACCTACATTGGCTCCCAGTATGTTTCCGGGCACAATTCAAAGTATTGATGCTGACCTTTAGAGCCCTAAATGGCCTCAGCCCAGTAGACCTGAAGGAGCGTCTCCACCCCCATCGTTCAGTCTGGACACAGAGATCCATCTCCGAGGGCCTTCTGGCGGTTCCCTCCCTGTGAGAAGTGAGGTTACAGGGAACCAGGCAGAGGGCCTTCTCGGTAGTGGCGCCCTCCCTGTGGAACACCCTCCCAGCAGATGTCAAGGAAATAAAGAACTATCTGACTTTCAGAAGGCATCTGAAGGCAGCCCTGTTCAGGGAAGCTTTTAATGTTTGATGCATTACTGTATTTTAATATTTTGTTGGAAGCTGCCCAGAGTGGCTGGGGAAGCCCAGCCAGATGGGTGGGGTATAAATAACAAATCATCATTATATTATTATCATTATTACAGTGGTGCCTCGCAAGACGAAATTAATTCGTTCCGCAAGTTTTTTCTTCTTGCGAGTTTTTCGTCTTGCGATGCACGGTTTCCCATAGGAATGCATTGAAAATCAGTGATGCGTTCCTAGGGAGCCGACTTCAGACCAGGTCCGGGGACAGTCTGTCCCCGACCTCTTCTGAAGGCTGGGGGGGACAAGGGCTTTTCTTCCCACCCCCAGCATTTTAAAAACCCGGGACAGCGGAGAGCTTCTCCGCTGTCCGAGGCGATCTTAAAATGCTGGCGGGCGGCATTTTAAAATTGCCCCGGGACAGCGGAGGACTTCTCCGCTGTCCGGGGCAATTAAAGCCCCTGGGAAGGCAGGCAGGGGGACAAAGACTTTTGCCCCCGCCAGCCTTCAGAAGAGGTCCTGGACCTCTTCTGAAGGTTGGCGGGGCGAAAGTCTTTGTCCCCCACCTGCCTTCAAAAGCTGTCCAGCCAAGGCTTCGCGGACCTCTCCGCAAGCAGCGGCAGCACTGCCGCTGCTTGCGGAGAGTTGCCGGCATGCCGAAGCCTGCGCGCGCTGAGATCAGCGCGCCCAGGCTTCGCGGACCTCTCCGCGAGCAGCGGCAGCGCGGCCGCTGCTCGCGGAGAGTTGCCGGCATGCCGAAGCCTGCGCGCGCGGAGATCAGCGCGCCCAGGCTTCGCGGACCTCTCCGCGAGCAGCGGCAGCGCTGCCGCTGCTCGCGGAGAGTTGCCGGCATGCCGAAGCCTGCGCGCGCTGAGATCAGCGCGCCCAGGCTCCGCGGACCTCTCCGCGAGCAGCGGCAGCGCTGCCGCTGCTCGCGGAGAGTTGCCGGCATGCCGAAGCCTGCGCGCGCTGAGATCAGCGCGCCCAGGCTCCGCGGACCTCTCCGCGAGCAGCGGCAGCGCTGCCGCTGCTCGCGGAGAGTTGCCGGCATGCCGAAGCCTGGGCGCGCTGAGATCAGCGCGCCCAGGCTCGCGGACCTCTCCGCGAGCAGCGGCAGCGCTGCCGCTGCTCGCGGAGAGTTGCCGGCATGCCGAAGCCTGCGCGCGCTGAGATCAGCGCGCCCAGGCTCGCGGACCTCTCCGCGAGCAGCGGCAGCGCTGCCGCTGCTCGCGGAGAGTTGCCGGCATGCCGAAGCCTGCGCGCGCTGAGATCAGCGCGCCCAGGCTCCGCGGACCTCTCCGCGAGCAGCGGCAGCGCTGCCGCTGCTCGCGGAGAGTTGCCGGCATGCCGAAGCCTGCGCGCGCTGAGATCAGCGCGCCCAGGCTTCGCGGACCTCTCCGCGAGCAGCGGCAGCGCTGCCGCTGCTCGCGGAGAGTTGCCGGCATGCCGAAGCCTGCGCGCGCTGAGATCAGCGCGCCCAGGCTTCGCGGACCGGAGATTTCCCTATGGGCTTTCGTCTTGCGAAGCAAGCCCATAGGGAAATTCGTTTTGCGAAGCGCCTCCAAAACGGAAAACCCTTTCGTCTAGCGGGTTTTTCGTCTTGCGAGGCGTTCGTCTTGCGGGGCACCACTGTATTATTATTATTAAATCACAATATCAAAACCCATAATAACAGCTATACTGTGCCTCCTCAGTTGAATCCCAGTTGCTGAAAGGCACAAGAGGACCAGATCCTGCTTGCCGGGATCTGGCTGGCCACTGTGAGAACAAGTTGCTGAGATAGATGATGCTGATATTTACTTATATCCCACCTTTTCCCCCGACACGGAGTCAAGGAGGCTTACAGCTGAAACGGAAACAGCTAGATGGGCCATTGGCCTGATCCAGCCAGCTCTTCTCTTGCTCTTACACAGGGGTAGGCAACCTAAGGCCTGGGGGCTGGATCCGGCCCAATCGCCTTCTCAGTCTGGCCCACGGACGGTCTGGGAATCAGTATATTTTTACATGTCCTTTTATCTAAAATGCATCTCTGGGTTATTTGTGGGGCATAGGAATTCGTTCATTATTTTTTTCAAAATATAGTCTGGCCCCCCACATGGTCTGAGGGACGGTGGACCGGCCCCCGGCTGGAAAAGGTTGCAGACCCCTATGCACCTCCTGCCATCTGGAGAGAGCAGGATTCAGAAAATCCCTCCCAGACACCCAGGAAAGTTGCAGTGGGACATGTGGGTGGGAAAGGGCAGGGTGGCCTGACCCACTCCAAGGGGTCAAGAGCAGCCACAGCTGGTGTCAGGGGCAGAAGGGGGCAAGGAGGGTCCCAGGGACAACCCCCCCAACACACACGCATGCAGACTGCCTTACCTGTGACGGTGGCCGTGCGCCGGCAGTTGTACAGCACAGCCAGCTCCCCAAAGACGTCCCCCGGGAGCAGGCGGCGGAGTTGGCGTCCTTTCTGCGTCACGCTCAGCTCCCCTTCTGCAACGGGAGAACAAGGGCGGGTTCACACATGCACACACAACACTCCTGTTCTTGCCACTTTGGAATCTCAGCACTTGCAGAAGCCGCTGCCGGGTGCCAGGTGGTTGGAAAATGTCTTGGGGGGCTGGGCAAAGGGTGGGAAAGAATCACAGAATGGTAGAGTTGGAAGGGACCCTGAGGGTCATCTAGTCTAACCCCCTGAAATGCCTCGGTCCAGTAGACCTGAAGGAGCGTCTCCACCCCCATCGTTCTGCCTGGACACTGAGGTCCAGCGCTGACGGCCTTCTGGAGGTTCCCTCCCTGCAAGAAGCGAAGCCACAGGAAACCAGGCAGAGGGCCTTCTCGGTGGTGGCACCCTGCCTATGGAATGCCCTCCCACCAGATGTCAAGGAAATAAACAGCTGTCTGACTTTTAGAAGACATCTGAAGGCATGTTTAGGGAAGTTTTTAATGTGTGACATTTTAATGTATTTTTAATCTTTGTTGGAAGCCGCTGCCCAGAGTGGCTGGGGAAACCCTGCCAGATGGGCAAGGTACAAAATTATTATTATTATTATTATTATTATTATTATTATTATAAATAATCTCTGACAGGTGGACAGCTAACCTCTGCTTAAATTCCTCCAAGGAAAGAGAGGTCACCGCCTCTCAAAGGAGCACAGCTGTCAATGTTTCCCTTTTTTAAAGGGAATTCCCTTATTCCGAATAGGATTCCTCGCAAGAAAAAGGAAAAGTTGACAGCTATGCAAAGGAGTCCACTCCGCTGCCAAATGGGTTTTACTGCCAGGAAGTCCTTCCTGATGTTTAGTTCAAATTTTTCTTGTAAGTTGAATCCATTGGTTCAAGACCTCCCCTCTGGAGCGGGAGAAAACCAGTTTGCTCCATGAGACAACCCTTGAGATATTTGAAGATAGCTCTCATATCTCCCAAGAAAAGATCCCGGGAACTTCGGTTTCCCTTTGCAGGGACCCCCAAGGGTCATCCAGACCTACCCCACTGCAATGCAGGAATCCCAGCTGAAGAACCCCTGACAGGTGGCCATCCAACCTCAGCACCCGAAACAAACTACAGTTCCCGGGATTCTTTGGGGAAAGACAGGTGCTTAAGGGAAAGCACTCTGTAGCAGCTCAGTGGCACTCTCTTTTCCATCCATGGAGAAGGGCCTCGGAAGAGGAGCACTGTAGCCGCTTTGGTTTCCCAGCAGAGCCAGGAAATTGCTGGTGGTGTTCTTGTTCTTGTTAATTAAATGTGTATACGGCCCTATTCCCATAGATCTCTGAGCGGTTCACAACATAAAATCACAATATAAAAACCACAAAACACAGAATAAAAATAAGAACGAAAACGTACACAAAAGAATCCCCAAAATACATTTGAAAAGGGCATCAGACGTCCATCAGCAAAAGGAACTTTTTCGCCTAAAGGTGTCTAATGAAGGCGATTCCCCTGTAGAAAATCAAATGGAGCCCCTCTCCCTTTGGGGTGCTTCCAAACTCTAAAATTCTGTGATTTTTTTGGTTTCAGGCAGGCGGAAAAAACCTCTTTGGCCCTGGGTGCAAGGAGGCGCGGCCAAGAATTTGGGGTGTGTGCGTGGAGGGGCCATCCCAACGCAGGCGCCCGGGGGGTGGGGGTGGCGCTGCCTGTGGATCATCAGCCCTCTCCTTTGGGTCTGGGGTCTTCCAAGCCAAGGAGGGCGGTGGGCTCTGGCGTGGGGGCCCTCTGTCGCCTGCTCACCAGCCACGATGTACATGGTGTGCCCGTCGTCCCCCTCGGCCACCACGGTGCCCCCAGGCTGGTGCTGCTCAGGCACAAAGCTCTCCACCAGCGGCTGGCTCTTCCCTCCCCAGGCACCGGAGGAATTCGCTGCGCTTGACCGCGTCCAGGATCAGGCCGGTGTCCCTGGGGAGGGAAGAGGAGGGAGTTGGTGGCCATCCCAGAATCACAAGCTGGAAGAGGATGTGTGGATGGCTATGAGCCACAACAGCTCAGCCTATTCTCATGTCCTTCTCCTCTCCGGCTCGGCCGCCACCTGCCCCCACCTGGCCTGGCCACCCAAGGCTTACCTGGGGGACTTGGGAATGCAGGGCAGCTGCCAGTCGCCATCGGAGTCCAGGGGCTCAGGGACTATGCCGTGGCCTCGGCTGCCCCTGCGGGCGTCTTCCACCGGGGACTGGTCCAGAGCACTCTCGCCCGTGGGGTCCCTGGCCTCCTCCGAGTCCTCAGCTGCGGCCAGAAGAAGCAAGAAATGATAAAATTTGTAACTTATTTTAAGGTAAAGGTAAAGGGACCCCTGCTCAGCATGGTTCATAGCTTCTCTGAGTTATTCAAGCCCCTTTGCCACAGCAAGGCAGTGATCCATGAAGGGGTTCCATAATTCATAAAATATTTATTAAAGTTTCAACATAATACAAAAATAGGCGAAAACAGAAAGAAAGAAAAAGAAAAAAAATAGAAAATGAAAGTACAAAATAAAAACAGTTAAAAAACAGATTAGTCTTTCCATATCCTAGCTTTCATTTGCTTGTTTCCCCGACCTCCTCACACCTCCCTTTTTTGTATTCCAGTTCAAATTAGTTAATTTAGCAAATCCTTTCCCTCTTTGATTATATCTTAATCTTTTATCTTAATATAATGTAACTTTAAATTATCACCTGTTAACAATCCACTTTTACATATTCCTTTATAACACTGCTGCTAAAAACCATTTAACTTCAATCCAACATCATTCTAACATTCATTAATTTTGCAGTATTTCTGTAAATAGTCTTTGAATTTCTTCCAATCTTCTTCCACCAACTCTTCTCCCTGGTCTCGGATTCTGCCAGTCATTTCCGCCAGTTCCATATAGTCCATCAATTTCATCTGCCATTCCTCCAGTGTGGGTAGCTCTTGTGTCTTCCAATACTTTGCGATGAGTATTCTTGCTGCTGTTGTAGCATACATAAAGAAAGTTCTATCCTTTTTTAACACCGATTGGCCGACTATGCCCAGGAGAAAGGCCTCTGGTTTCTTAGGGAAGGTATACTTAAATACCTTTTTCATTTCATTATAGATCATCTCCCAGAAAGCCTTAATCCTTGGGCACGTCCACCAAAGGTGAAAGAATGTACCTTCAGTTTCTTTACATTTCCAACATTTATTATCGGGCAAATGATAGATTTTTGCATCAATTGATGCTTTTGAATTCTGGTGCTGGAGGAGACTCTTGAGAGTCCCATGGACTGCAAGAAGATCAAACCTCTCCATCCTTAAGGAAATCAGCCCTGAGTGCTCACTGGAAGGACAGATCCTGATGCTGAGGCTCCAAGACTTTGGCCACCTCATGAGAAGAGAAGCCTCCCTGGAAAAGACCCTGATGTTGGAAAAGATGGAGGGGCTGGGAGGGGCCTGAGTCCGAAAGCCTGGACAGCCGAGGCTGCCCATCACTGTGGACAACATGGAGCCGAACAGACTGAGGATCTGACTCAGTGCAAGGCGGCTTCCCGTGCTTCTGAAATCATAGAATTGCAGAGCTGGAAGAGACCCCCAAAGGTCATCCATTCCACCCCCTGCAATGCAGGAATCTCAGCTAAAGCATCCATGACAGGTGGCCATCCAATCTCTGCTTAGAAACCTCCAAGGAAGGAGAGACCACAACCTCCTGAGGGAGATTGATCCACTATTGAACAGCTCTTACTATCAGAAAATTCTTCCTAATGTTTAGTCGGAATCTCCTTCCTTGTAACTTGAAGCCATGGGTTCGAGTCCTGCCCTCCAGAGCAAGAGAAAACAAGCTTGCTCCATCTTTCATGGGACAGCCCTTGAGATATTTGAAGATGGCTCTCCTGTCTCCCCTGAGCCTCCTCTTTCCCAGGCTCAACATACCCAGCTCCTTCAACCGCTCCTCATCAGGCTTGATTTCTGTGCCCCCCCCCAAAAAACCTCTTCATGGTGTGCCGTTGAGGGGAGTTCTGCTTCTGAAGATTGGGGGGCATTTGGGGGCAGCCTCAGTAGGGGCTCCTATGCCTTAAAGACCTATGGGGCAGGAAGAGCTGTGGGTCAGGCACCTGTTGAACATAACGACGCTCCAAAGAACATCAGAAGCGTCTGCCAGGTCAGGCCAAAGGGGGCAGCCCCTATGGGGGGGGGAGTCTGTGCCCCAAGGCGGAGGCAGCCTAGAAATCCAGACAAAGGAGCCAGAGGCATCAAAGACAGTCGCTGCTTTGACTGCAAGGCAAGGTCGGGGGGGGCAGATTACGTGGGGCACCCCCTAGGTGGCAGGCTGGGTGACGGACAGATCTGACCCACAGGAAGAGATTTAGGAAGAGCCACTTGCCAGCAGAAGGGGCGCCCTTGGAAGGTGGTGGATTCTCCTTGGTCACAGATTCCTGCATCGCAGGGGGTTGGGCTGGATGACCCTTGGAGATCCCTTCCAGCTTATCAGTTCTACCATTCTGTGATCCATTGCAGATCTTTAAACAGACATCTGTCACTCAGGGATTCTTGAGCTGCGATTCCGGAATTGCAAGGGGTTGGGCGAGGTGGCGCTTGAGGGTCCCGACTCCCAAACCCCAAGATCCTGAGACATGCCCATCTCCCCCCGGGGAGCCCTCCTGCACAAGCCCCATTGAGATGAACGGGAGCCCATGACGCCGTGCTTGTGCAGGAGAACTTCCCGGCAGATCATGTCCCAGGCGCCAGAGGTTTTTGCCTGCGGAGCTGGAGGTCTCGGAATCCCAGAATGATCTTCCATGACTTCTGTGCGGAGGGCAAAATTCCTCCACAACCTGTTGCTCTTTCAGTGGAACTCCAGAGAGAGAGAGAGGCAGAAAGGGGGCGCCCCCACCTCTTTATGGGCCCCCCTCTCCTCTGACCCACACAAACCCCCCACCCTCTGTCCCAGGTCTCCTTACCAGCCTGGGGCAGTGCCACGCTCTCCAGGAATTCCTTCTCCTCTTGCAAGCGCAGATCCCTCAGGTGAAGATCCATCTCCTTTTTTCGGGCTGGGGGGGGGCAGATTTCAAGAGGCGTCAACTCCGTTTTCTTCGAGGCTGTCAGGAAACAGAAGAGTGCTGGGGAGGGTGAAGAAGACGCCCCCCCCAGTAGTTCCCCACTGCCGCTGATGCCAGCTAGGGGGGCAGTGGCACCATTTATGCCAGGGACCCTCATCTCCCCAGGAATCTCTGGGACACCCAGCCAGGTATGGGGCGTGGGAGTCTCCAGCAGCAGCGCCCCACAGGCTCTCTCCGTCCCGCCAGCACCCAGAGCGCCCCACACAGTCCCCAAGACCCCTGCCCCACACTCCGTGCCACCCTCCCCAAGGCGGCACCTGTAGCCCAGCTCTCAAGCGCTGCCAAGCGCCCGGCTGCCTCCGCTCTGCCGCCGCTCCAGCTGCCGAGTGAGGGGCTGGTGGGCGAATGAGTCACCCCAGTTTCTGTGGGAGGGGGGAGGGGGGCAGGGGGGCGTGCCAACATCCTCGCTTGGGCATGGCTGCCGCGCCGCTAGCTCCCTGCCCTCTGAGCTCCTCCACCAAACATGATGCCAACCTGTTGCCAGGGCAACCAGCCCAATTCCAGCGCCTTTCACTCAAGCGCAGGATTCTCCCCAGAGAATGCAGGGTGGGGGGAGGGGGAGGGCAAAGCAAAGTGGGGGGAGCTGGGGGGGGGGGGGCATCCGTCCTGGACCGGGGGGGGAGCAGGGGGGGCAAACTCCATCGCTGATGGAATAGGAGTGGGAAGGGAGGGGGGGCGTTTAGTGGAGCTAAACACTTTGCCCATTCAGTCATATCGCAGAATCAGAGCATTGTGAATAGGAAGGGACCCGGGGTCATCTAGTCCAACCCCTAACTTGTCCTAAAACACCCACCACCACAGAGAGAAAGGCAAGGCAGGGGTGACCCAGGAGACACAGCAAATCCTCTCTCCACCCCAAGAGGCACCTGTATGCCAGCAGGTGGCTTGGGGCAACCCTGAGGCAAGTGGCAGATGCCAGGCTGATGTACCAGGGCCACAGAGGCAGCCACGATTCGTGGTCTCAGCCTGGCCAGCTCCTCCAGGGTTTATTCTGAGACAGAAAACGGCGCAGGAGACTTCCACAAGTCAGCCCAAAGGAAGGGCCAGCGGTCACTCAGGCACAGAGCACCTTCTTGGCATCTCGAAGGTTGCCAGGTCACAGGGCCAGGAACTGCCCCCTACCTGGAACCCTGGGAGCGCTGTTGCTGCTGCGGTCAGTGTGGACAAGACTGAGCTATGTGGACCAAGAGGCTTGACTTGGCTGAAGGCAGCTGCCTACGAGGTAGCAAAGGAGAAGAGGGTGCCTCTGAGCATGTCAGAAGCACGAGAGCTGTGGGGCAACCAGGTGGCACCTTCCAGGGATCTGGAAGGGGTTTTACGGGGGGGGGGGCTAAGTCCCAGCGCCTCCTGTCAGAAACAGATCTGGCCCTGGCTGGGCAGGCAGATGAAACTCCGCTTGGGACCAATTGGATGCCCTCAAAGGAGCCCTCAAAGCTCTGCTCAGCTCTCCGCCTCTGGGCCAGGCCAGGAGTGAGGGGGCACCTCCATGCCCTCCAACCTGTCTCCGGTGATAACAGGGACACCCCATTCTACATCAGGAAGCATCTTCTGCCTTTGATCATATACACACAGCGATCTGTTGCCTCTCTGCGTCCCTCACAGGGTTGTTGTAAAGGAAAAATGTGCGAGCGAAGTGATCATGTACAACACCTTCCACAGATAAATGGAATGAAATGAAAATGTAGTGGTGAGCTGCCTTGAGGCTGCCAGGGGAAAAGGTCGAATATATTAATAACACTAATGGAAACTATGAGAATGAGCGTTTCCTTCATCTGGAGCACGGAAGTTATTTTCAGGAGAAACAGGACTCCACTTTCCCACCTACACACCCAGCCACCACTTTGAATTGTTCTCTGTGGAGGAGGAGGAGGAAAAAAGGAAAACCAAGATATTCCGGGATCAAATCAGAAACTGGGACAGCTTCTGTAATTCCGGGGCTGTCCCTGGAAAATTGGGACATTTGGAGGGTCTGCACCCCCACCCACAAGAACATGAGGAGACCCTGCTGGATCAGGCCAGGGTCCCATCTAATCCTGGTCTCACAGTGGCTGACGGGATGCCTGTTAAAAGGTCAAGGACCCCTGGACGGTGAAGTCCAGTTGAAGGCGACTCTGGGGTTGCGGCGCTCATCTCGCTTTCAGGCCAAGGGAGTCGGTGTTGTCCACAGACAGATTTCTGGGTCATGTGGCCAGCAGGACTAAACCACTTCTGGTGCAATGGGACACCGTGACGGAAACCAGAGCGCATGAAAACGCCATTTACCTTCCCACCACAGCAGTACCTATTTATCTACTTGCACCGGCCTGCTTTCAAACAGCTAGATCTCTCAGCGGCCTTTGACACCATCGACCATAACATCCTTCTGGACCGCCTAGAGGAGCTGGGAGCTGGGGGCACTGTCATACAGTGGTTCCGCTCCTTCCTCCTGGGACGTGTCCAGAAAGTGGTGGTGGGGAATGAGTGTTCAGACCCCTGGGCTCTCACTTGTGGGGTGCCTCAGGGTTCTGCCCTTTCCCTCATGCTTTTTAACATCTGAATGCAGCCACTGGGAGAGATCATCAGGGGGTTTGAGCTGGGTGTCCATCAATATGCGGAAGATACCCAGCTCTACCTCTCTTTCAAATCAGAACCAGTGAAGGCGGTGAAGGTCCTGTGTGAGTGCCTGGAGGCAGTTGGAGGATGGATGGCAGCTAACAGATTGAGGTTGAATCCTGACAAGACAGAAGTACTGTTTTTGGGGGACAGGAGGCGGGCGGGTGTGGAGGACTCCCTGGTCCTGAAAGGGGTCACTGTGTCCCTGAAGGACCAGGTGCGCAGCCTGGGGGTCATTCTGGACTCACAGCTTTCCATGGAGGTGCAGGTCAATTCTGTGTCCAGGGCAGCTGTCTACCAGCTCCATCTGGTATGCAGGATGAGACCCTCCCTGCCCACGGACTGTCTCCCCAGAGTGGTGCATGCTCTAGTTATCTCCCGCTTGGACTACTGCAATGCGCTCTACGTGGGGCTACCTTTGAAGGTGACCCGGAAACTACAACTAGACCAGAATGTGGCAGCTAGACTGGGGACTGGGAGTGGCTGCCGGGACCACATAACACCGGTCCTGAGAGATCTGCATTGGCTCTCAGGACGTTTCCGAGCCCAATTCAAAGTGTTGGTGCTGACCTTGAAAGCCCTAAACGGCCTCAGTTCAGTATCCCTGAAGGAGCGTCTCCACCCCCATCGTTCTGCCCGGACACTGAGGTCCAGCTCCGAGGGCCTTCTGGAGGTTCCCTCCCTGCGAGAAGCAAAGCTACAGGAAACCAGGCCTTCTGGGTGGTGGCACCCGCCCTGTGGAACACCCTTCCACCAGATGTCAAAGAGAAAAATAACTACCTGAAATTCAGAAGACATCTTAAGGCAGCCCTGTTCAGAGAAGTTTTTAATATTTAATGCTGTATTGTTTTTAACGCTCGATTGGGAGCCACCCAGAGTGGCTGGGGAAACTCAGCCAGATGGGCGGTGTATAAATAATAAAGTTATTATTATTATTATTATTATTATTATTATTATTATTATATTGGCCTGAGCACCAGAGTCCTCTCCTCTCTTGTGGTTTCCAGCAACTGGCATTCAGAAGCACTGCTGTCTCTTTTAAAGCCATCTAGCTTGGTGGTTATCACTGTCTCCTGAGGGGGTGAGTTCCATAGGTTAACACTGCACTGCATAGAGAAGCAATTTATTTCATCTTTCCTCCGTCTTCAGCTTCATTGGATGTCTGTAAGTTTCAGTGTTAGGAAAGAGGAGGGAGAGCAACTTTCCTCTGTCCACGCCTTGTGTAATTTTAGAGACTTCTAACATGTCACCTCTTACTGAGAGCTTGACAAAATTCAGGATGGCTGGGGATTGGTTTTGAGGATGTCCAGCTGGGCAGGGGGCTGGAAGCTGCCCGGTGTGCCTTGTGCCCTGAGAGAGCAGCGCTGGGTCTCCTCCTCTGGGCGTGAGCTTGCTAAGCCGGCTCCGAGTTCTAGTTCTCCGCCAGGAGGACTGAAATGCCCCTCTGGCCCCAAAGGCTTTCTGGGAAATGGTATATAATGAGTTAAAGAAAATGTTTAAAAATAGTTTTGTTAAAAACCAGAAGCCTTTTTATTGGGTGAAGAGATACCAAGGGAAGCTAAAAGACTGTTTATGTGTGCAACAACCGCAGCAAGAATTATTTTAGCCCAAAAATGGAAACAACAAGAAATACCAACGGAAGAAGGGGGCAGAGGAAGATGATGGAGTTTGTGGAACTGGCGAAGCTGACAGGAAAAATCCAAAACCGGCATGATCAAGTATTCCAAAAGGACTGGAGTAAATTTATACGATATTTGAAAGATTATTGTAAGCAATTAACATCGCTAGCAGGGTTGTCTGAAGACTTGTAATGAGAAATTTTCTACCTTTCTACATCTGTTTAAATTTTGAGTCATTCTGTAATGAGTGCAATTAGAATTGGAAAATGATATAAATTTAATTTTGAAAGCCACGAGGCGGGAGGGAAGGAAGCTGATAGGCTCTAAAGAGCCAGGGCGGTAAAGTGGATAATGATGATGTGAACGTATATAATTAAATGGAAAATAAATAAAAATTATTTAGAGAGAAATGCCCCTCTGCCCCCTCCCCAGGCTCCCAGCTGCTTGCCTTCTGTTGCCTGGACCAGGGCAGAGACCTTTTAATGGAAGGCTCTTGGCTGAGACTCCCACCCCCTGAAAAAAACCAAGCTGTGGGGGCGTTCTCCCCCCCCCATACACATAAGGGCTTTCCTGCACATCTAAGGAGAATGTCTCAGAAACACACAGCTGTAAAGACACACAGGGGAGAGACCCCGAGACCCCTGGACACATTGGGGAGGGGACACCTGCCCCCCACCCGAGAGACCACCAGCCACTTCTGGGAATCTCAGCTCCAAAGCCTGAGCCACATGCGCCTCTGCAGCAGGGGCTGGATCAGGCCCAAAGGGGCCCCTCTAGTCCAGCCTCCCAGCCCACCAGACGCCCCTTCAGAAGCCCAGGAACGGGGTGCAAAGGCAACAGGCCTCCCCTCCCCGCCTAGTCACCCCAGTCTCCTGCCTCTGATGCTGGAGGGCGAGAGTCTGCCCTGGGGTGGAAGTGGGGTGCCCTCTCTCCCCCCTGCGCCCACCCTTCCCTCTTCCTCCAGCCCCCCAGCCCCATTCCCTGCCCTGAGCAAACCTGGGGGGGTGCCATGTCAGCGCTGGAATCTCCCAAGTGTCCCTGAGCTCCTGGCCGGACACACCCTGCCTGCAAGTTAGGCATTAACTCGGGAGGTGGACTGCCTCTCCGCCCTCTCAGAGATGTCTCTCCAGGAAGAGCTGCCTTCTCTGCTCCCCACTGGCGGCAAGGAAAGGGGGCAGGGGCCAGGAGCCCAGCCGGACACCCCACACATGGCAGAACCAGGAAGGGGTTGCCATGGCCAAGCCCAGAGGGGTGGCTCAGGCTGGGAAGGAGGAAGGGGTCCCAGCTCCCTTCTGACTGCGGCAAGTCGGGGGTCCTGCCCCACAGCTCCACTGCCATTCTCCAGCCCGCCCTGCGCTCCAGAGGAGAACCTGGTCTGTCCAGTCCAGCATTCTGCTCCCACCGTGGACAACCAAACGCCCATTGCGGGAAATTTGAACACAAGAGCAGCTCTCCCGTCCTGCGGTTTCCAGCAAGTGGAATTCAGAAGCATCGCTGACTCCGACCACAAAGGGCTTTACTATGCACTGCATGAAAAGGTCCTTCCCTTTACCTCTCCTGAATCTTCCAATGTGCCTTACGGGCTTGGGAAAGGGTCTTTTCTGTGGTGGCTCCTCAAATGTGCAACTCCCTTCTGACTGAGGTGCGTCTGGCCCAAATCTCTCTGCTACTTAAGTCACATCTTTTTCCGCAGGTGCCGGCAGGAAGGGAGGCCTGATTGCTGCTGCAACTGCTGCTGTTTGCAATTGCTCTTCGGTGAATTGCCCCTGGCTGTTAAGGATTTCATGGTTTCTACGCATTTTTTATTTGCTTGCCTGTTGTAATTCTGAGGCTTGGGCAGAAGGGGATATAAAATAGCTAAACAAACAAATAAAAAGGGCAGGCAATCTAAAACACACAGATAATCTAGTCAAGTGTCCAATATAAACAAATAGCATCCTAAAAAGGCGCTGGCTACTCTTTCAGTTACGAGCATTTTTTGTAATACAATATATTTTCATTTGCCCCACTGCCTTCCAGTACGTCTCCAGAAGAAGAAAAGGCTCAGGAGTGAACTCTTCGCAAATCCAGAGTGGAGTCCCTAAGGCGGTTGGGTGGCGCCTTGTGCGCCTCCTTCCTGCAATTCATGCAGCCAAACTGGTGCCAAATATCTCGCTCTGCTTTCCTTTGGACCCCATCAGCGAGGCCGAGATGGGGGTCTTGTCGCCTGGGTAGCCCAGGACCTGCAGACACACAGCCCAGGTCCCTTGGGTGCTGCCATTTCTCCCTTCTCTCCTGGGACAGACAGAAGCCAGCAACCATATTCTCACCACCGCCATATATTATGCATGCCGTTCTTCTGTATTCTGTTATTAAACGAGTTCATCTGTCTCCATGTGTGTTTTCTAATGTTCTGACATTCAAAAGCCCAAATTGCTTCCGTTACTCATTTCAGCGGGGAGAAAGAACAGGGAAGGGATGGGTGCCACTGCCGCTTCCTAGAAATCCCAAAACGGTGCACGGATCTCTCAGGCAACCGTTCCTTTTCCGACCTCCCTCCTCTTTCTTGTTGGGGAAATCGCTCTGTTAGCTTCACCAGGGTTGCCACAAGACAGCCAGAGGGCTCGGCATCAGTGGGTTGGACTACAGGACCCTTCAGATTTAGGATTGTCTGTTCCTCTGCTCCCTTCCTCAAAGGGAGGGAGGCACCTGAGTTTTCTGGATCAGGCACAGAGATGTCTATGGCTGACCGAGATGCCCATGTGCCATGTGCGCAGATCCGCAGAGACGGCGCACAGCAATGTCTGGTGAGTTTAATGCCAATTTCCCCCCTTTAAGAAGTAGCCAATGGACTATTATGTATGACTTTTGTGCAATTGCACTAGATGCTCAGGGTTACTTGAATATGCTAAGTGTTTCCAGTTTCAGATAACCAGACTTCAGCTTTTGAGCAAGGATGCTCAAGGAACGAAGACTTAATTAACAGCTCACGGCTGATTTGATGGTGCAAAAATGTTTTGCTCCTTTTTGTTTTGGTTTTGTACATGAGTTGGACTTCGTGAAAACAAACTTTCAATATAATAATGGTTGAGCGTTTTGTATGTAATAAAGTTTTATAGTTGAAATTTAACTAGTATTTCTAATACTTTCTAAAAATGAGAATTGTATTGGATACTTCATTTTATCTTTACTTTAGAGAAGCTCTCAAGCTAAGTGAAAACCAATAAAAGTGTAAAAGTTAAATAATAATAAAAAAGCAATGTCTGGTGAGCTTTCCTACCTGAACAAAACTCTGGGCTCTCCTGCAGATCCAGTTCATTTCCATGGGACTTGCTTTTCCTCCTCGGATCTCAGGCATCTTGGGAGGCAGTTCTGGAATGATGGGGGGGGGGGGGTGCTTACATTTTTATTGCTGGGTAACTAAATTCTGTATAGTTCAAGCTCTGGTTTTCCCAGTAGTGATGTATGGAAGTGAGAGCTGGACCATGAAGAAGGCTGATCGCCGAAGAATTGATGCTTTTGAATTCTGGTGCTGGAGGAAACTCTGGAGAGTCCCATGGACTGCAAGAAGATCCAACCTCTCCATTCTGAAGGAAATCAGTCCTGAGTGCTCACTGGAAGGACAGATCCTGAAGCTGAGGCTCCAAGACTTTGGCCACATGAGAAGAGAAGACTCCCTGGAAAAGACCCTGAAGTTGGGAAAGAGGGAGGGCACAAGGAGAAGGGGACGACAGAGAACGAGATGGTGGGACAGTGTTCTCGAAGCTACCAGCTGAGTTTGACCAAACTGTGGGCAGCAGTGGAAGACGGGAGGGCCTGGCGTGCTCTGGTCCAGGGGGTCACAAAGAGGCGGACATGACTAAACGACTAAACAACTAAACAACAACAAACCCTATACAAAAATGAACATTAAATCAAAACAGAGAGGAGCAAATGCATGCCTAGGGGCTGGTGCAGTCACTGTGTCCATAGACAAAAAGATGCAGAAGAGGAGCTTTTTCTTCCACGGTTGAAGAGAGTTTTAAAAGGTGTTGATCGCCATCTATTTCATTTCTGCAAGTTATGCAGCCGTGCCGCACAGAGCAGAAATCTAAATTAGCCGCCGCTCTCTTGGAGGAGAGGATCTTGCAGGTCAATTTTTCAGCAATTGCTCCTTGCCATAATTTCTGGTGCCAGGGAGCCAAAGTCAAGTAGGCAGCCACCCTCATTCTCCACTGAGACCTCCTGAGCATCCTAAAGTCTTGGGATCTAGCATCAGCCCTGACCCTTTCCGAGTTGCCGATTCCAAGAAACGGGATCTCATTCCTGTACGTTAACAACCCCTTTTTATTGCCAGGGTCTGTCTGCATAGCTAGTTGTTTGAATAAGTTGAAATAATAATAATAATAGTAATAATAATAATTGCTAGTTGCTTGTTTGCATGCAACTTTGGGAGCAGAGCTAAGCTCCTTTTTGCCCTCAAGCACAATTTGATGGATCCAGAAGACCAAAAAAATTACACCTATTCCTTATTTATTTTTATTTTATTTAGATTTCTACACCACTTAAAACCTTTAAGAGGTTTACAAAAGCATAAAGCATTAGCATAAAGAGGTGTTTAAAGCCATTCAAAACATTATTAAAATCAAATAATAGTAATAATAATAATAATAATAATAATAATAATAATAATAGTTTATTATTTGTTCCCTGCCCATCTGACTGGGTTGCCACTCTGGGCAACTTCCAGCATATATAAAAACACAGTAAAACATTAAACCTTAAAAAGCTTCCCTATACAGGGCTGCCTTCAGATATTTCCTAAATGTTATAAAAATATTATACCCAGAACAAACTTAGTTGGTCTCTAAGGTGCTACTGGACAATTTTTTTATTTATTTCAACTGCGTCAGACCAACATGGCTACCTACCTGAATCCTTATGCATCTCCTTAACATCTGATGGGAGGGCATTTCACAGAGTGGGCGCCACTACCGAGAAGGCCCGCTACTGAGAAGATAAAACACGTGTAATATTATTATTATTATTATTATTATTATTACTATTATTATTACTATTATTATTATTATTATTATTTTATCTGTATCCTGCCCATCTGACGGCGTTGCCCCAGCCACTCAGGGCTGCTTCTACATGTAACTTCTACATGTGTGGATAGACTTTTCTAAACAGAAAAGTTTTTAGCAGGTGCTGAAACAGTGAAGGCACCTGCTTGAGGTCAACAGGCAGGGAGTTCCCAAGCGCAGTTGCTGTGCTATCAGAAGATCCATTTCTTGCAAGTGCAAAGTGGATCTGATGTTGCACCTGTTACCAGTGCCAGCTCAAAGCACTTGCGGGGGCTCATGGGGAGTAAGGCGACCTCCCAAGGGCTATATAAACCGACCTTGAACTTGACTCAGTTGCAAATGGGCAGCCAGTGCGGATCTCCAAGCACTGAGCTGCGTGCTGATTGGCTCTCACACCCGCCAGCGATCCTGCTGCAGCTTTCTGCACTGACCACAGCTCCTGGACCCAGTGCAAGGGAGGCCTCCCACAGGGTGCACTGCAGAACACCTGTTGAGTATAAATCAATATTTTGCATCATTATTCCTTCATTGCAGCGGGTTGGGCTAGATGACCCTTGGAGCCCCTTCTCTTGTTTTTTCCTCTAGAGAGATAGAAAGCAGAGGCAGGCAGTTGGCTTGTGACTGGCCTGAGCTGCTGGCCCTGCGACAGGCTGGCAAGGGAGAGAGCCTTCCCTGCGCCCTTTGGATAGGAACAAGGTCCCCTCGGGTCATGCAAAAGCCTCTGTGCCGAGATGCGGGAAAGTCGAGAGCTCCCTCTAGGGAGGAAAGAGAAGCAGCAGAGAGATCAGCTTCTGGCCATCGCATTTGCAGAAGATCCGCTGCAGCAGGAAATCCAGTTTTGTGTTTCCTTTGGCGATCCCTCGTAGCCAAGTAAACATGGTTTTAACAATGAGTCTGTAAGTGACTGTGGAGGCCAATTCTGGATCCACATGTCCTTCCACAGTGGGGACATTGGTTTCTGGGCGGGAGTTGATCACAGTGTGAATTTGCCAAGTTGCCTTCCTCTTAGCACGTTTCTCCCTTGCGTCCTGCGTTTGAGTGTCTTCAAAGCCCAGGACACCTTTGGTAAAGGCTGTTCTCCAACTGGAGCGCTTGCAGGCCAGTGTTTCCCAATTATTGGTGTTTATACTGCATTTTTAAAAAAATTGCCTTGAGACAAATTTTAAATCTCTTTTCGTTTAAACCTCTTTTGTTGACCACCAGCATTATGCTTTCCATTTTTAAGTTTGGAGTAAGTAGTTGCTTTGGAAGACGAGAATCAGGCATCTGCACAACATGACCAGTCCAACGAAATTGATGTTGAAGAATCATTGCTTCGACACTGGTGATCTTTGCTTCTTCCCATACAATGGTATTAGTTCACCTGTCTTCCTAAGTGATTGTAATTTTTTGGGAAACACAGTTGGTGGGATCTTTCGAGGAGTTGGAGATGGCCTTTATAAGTGGTCCATGTTTCACAAGCATACAGTAAGGTTGGTAGTACAATAGCTTTGCAAACAGGCATTTTGGTTTCCCTGCGAATGTCCTGGTCCTCAAACACTCTGCACTTCAATCGGGAGAAAGCCGCACTTGCAGAGCTCAGGCTATGCTGGATTTCTGCATCAATGTTGTCCCTTGTGGAAAGATAACTGCCCAGGTGGGAGAAGTGATTGACATTTTCCAACATTACACAATTGAGTTGGATTTGTGGCGCTGCAGAGGGGTATTTTGTACTTGTCAGTGCAGCACTTTGGTTTTTGGGATGTTGAGCGACCGGCCAAGCTTTTTGTAAGCTTCTGTGAAGATATTTAGGATGGTTTGGAGGTCATCCTCTGAGTGTGCACACACTACATTGTCATCAGCATCCTGAAGGTCTATGACGGAAGTTACAGTAACCTTACTCTTTGCTTTCAGCCTGCTCAGATTAAAGAGCTTTCCATCTGTTCGGTATATGATTTCTACTCCGGTGGGGAGTTTCCCTTTGACAAAGTGTAGGATCATGGCAATGAAAGTAATGAATAGAGTTGGGGCAATAACACAACCCTGTTTAACCATCCCACTATGAATGGTTCCCTTTGAGAGCCATTGTTATCTGCGATTGTTGCTGTCATATTATTATGGAGGAGCCGAAGAATGTTCACAAATTTATCTGGGCAGCCAATTTTCAGAAGGACAGTCCACAGGGCATTACGATTTACAGTGTCAAAAGCCTTAGTCAGGTCAATAAATGCCATACACCGGGGCTGGTTTTGCTCTCTGCATTTTTCTTGAAGCTGTCAAGGGGTGAAAATGATGTCCACTGTCCCCCTAGAAGGCCGAAAACCATTTTGGGATTCAGGAATGGGCACCTCGGATATAGTTAAGAGACGGTTTGCTAAGATCCTTCCACGAATTTTGCCGGCCACAGCCAAAGAAGAATAGAGAGATGCCTTGACAGTTTCCGCAATCAGTTCTGTCACCTTTGTTAATGGAGAAATCTGAGGGCTCCCTTGGACAAAAACCAAGGACCCCAGCCAGGAATAGCAGAGGAAAAGAGCAGCCAGGAGGCTTGGTCTTGATTGAAGACTGTGGCGACAGGACTCCCACCTGCCCCCAGGTGGAACAAGATGGAAGCCCCCAACAAAAGAGCCCCCAAACTTGTATTAGCTGCTCATCCCCATGTTACACCCCCAAACTACATCACTAATACATCATGGTTACATCATGAAAGGGGAAGTCTGGTGGCAGGAATCTGAGCATCCTGGACCCTGCCCCATGGTTCCCCTTGCCCTCCACCAAAAACCCATCTAGTGAAACAAAAGAGACATTTACATTTCCCTGTTTCCCAGCCAAGTTCATCACACCCTTTTGTCTTCATCTGGGTTTGTTATTTCTGGCATGGCTACCTGTCTGGCACTCAGGTATCAGGATGCCAGGAATTATCCCTCAGGCAGAGGGGCTGCTGAGTAGCTGAGCTCACAGGTCTAGATGAATTTCTGAAGTTTCCCCAGTGAGCCAGTACAGAGATACATTTATCAGTGAATTCTTACATTTGGTATTCTACAGCAGAGGCCCTTTGAATAGATAGGAAGAAACTGTGATGAAGTGTTTTGTGGGGACAAGTCACAAAATTAACAAAAGTGATTGTGCTGATTTTGGTAGTGGGCTGCATGTGCATGATATCTGCTGGAGGGGCAACCCCCCCAACCTATACATAAATTCCTGCAGCACCTTTCTCAAAGATATTGATAATTTTGGCATCCATAAAGTCTGCTGGCATCTCCTCTCTCTCCCAAATTTTTTTGATGAGCATGTGAAGTTGTTCTGTAAATTCAATCCCGCCCACTCTGAAGACTTCAGCAGGTATCCCATCAGGTCTGCTGGCTTTGTTGTTTTTCATTTGATGAATGTTGTTGTTTAGTCATTTAGTCATGTCCGCCTCTTCGCGACCCCCTGGACCAGAGCACGCCAGGCCCTCCTGTCTTCTGCTGCCTCCCGCAGTTTGGTCAAACTCATGTTCGTAGCTTCGAGAACACTGTCCCACCATCTTGTCCTCTCTCGTCCCCTTCTCCTTGTGCCCTCCATCTTTCCCAACATCAGGGTCTTTTCCAGGGAGTCTTCTCTTCTCATGAGGTGGCCAAAGTATTGGAGCCTCAGCTTCAGGATCTGTCCTTCCAGTGAGCACTCAGGGCTGGTTTCCTTCAGAATGGAGAGGTTGGATCTTCTTGCAGTCCATGGGACTCTCAAGAGTCTCCTCCAGCTTCATAATTCAAAAGCATCCATTCTTCGGCGATCAGCCTTCTTTATGGTCCAGCTCTCACTTCCATACGTCACTACTGGGAAAACCATAGCTTTAACTATACAGTCCTTTGTTGGCAAGGTGATGTCTCTGCTTTTTAAGATGCAGTCTAGATTTGTCATTGCTTTTCTCCCAAGCAATTTTAATTTCGTGGCTGCTGTCACCATCTGCAGTGATCATGGAGCCCAAGAAAGCAAAATCTCTCACTGCCTCCATTTCTTCCCCTTCTATTTGCCAGGAGGTGATGGGCCCAGGGGCCATGATCTTCGTTTTTTTGATGTTGAGCTTCAAACTATTTGGTGCATAGCTGTACACAACTCTCCCAGATTTGGAGATACTGCGAGCTCATCTCTAACTCGGTTTTGCAGAACTTGTGAGAGGACTCCGGACGCAGGAATCCCCTCCTTTGTTCCCAATGTACATCTTTGCTCCCCCATCCTCCTGATTGGCGGCCCCACATCCCGGGGCGGGGCTGGCGAGCGAAGGGGCGTTGCCCCGCCCGGCCAATGGGGAGGCTTCGATTTGCATGAGCCCCGGGAGGTGGGCGGGGCGCGGGCCGGCCAATGGCTGCCGAGTGCGCTGCCTGCCTGCGCTGGGCGAGCGGAGCCTGGGAGCAGCGGGCCGGGCTGGCAGCAGCGGCGCCCATGGGCGAGAAGCGGGTGCTGTGCGTGGGGCTGGTGTGCCTCGACATCATCAGCGTGGTGGAGAGATACCCGGCCGAGGACTCGGACACCAGGTACCCCCTGGCAGAGGTGCCCGGGCACCCACCACATGCCCCACGAAGGGGCCGGGCACCCACCACTTTGGGTGCCAGGGCCATGCCCGCTGCATGCAACCACTGCCCTGGGCACTTCTGGTCTCGGAGCGAGCTGGCACTCGTGCGCCCTCGCTGGCTGGGGAAAGATGCCAGGCTCCCCGCGGGCGGGCGGGCGGAGGGTCTGCCTTGGCACCCGGGAGCTGGAAGACGCCCGGCCTGGGGACGCGCCGGGTGCCAGGGGCGGGCGGGCGGGCGGTGGGCTCGCGGCTTCCCTGTCCCGGCTGAGCTGCCGGCTTGGCTCCCTTCCTTCGAGCACAGTTGGAAGGGGCCCCCGGGGGTCATCTAGTCCCGCCCGCTGCACTGCACCCGGGACAGACGGCCTTCCTTGCTTCCTTCCTTCCTCCCTGGCTGGCAGGTGCCTGTCGCAGCGATGGCAGCGCGGGGGCAACGCTTCCAACACCTGCACCGTCCTGGCCCTGCTGGGCGCCCCCTGCGCCTTCATGGGCTCCCTGGCGCCCGGCCACGCCGCAGAGTAAGTGACTGGGGGGGGGAGCCTTGTGGGTCTCCTTCAGGGGAGGGTGGGCGAGGCCACGGGCCCTTTGCCCAGCACCCTGGCAAAGGAGGCAACCAGGTGTCCTTTGGACTGGGGTCAGACTAGATGACCCGCTGGGGTCCCTTTCAGCGCCACAAATCTGTGATGGGCTCCTTGTCTTGCAGGATCCAGCCATCCTCATCCTCCTCCAGGGAAGTCAGGGGCCCCAGGGTGGAAGCCAGCCTGGCACGTGGCTCTGGCATGGGCAGGATTTGGGTGCTGGTCCCATCCTGACCCCTGATGCCCTTTCCAAGAGGGGAGGGGAGGGCTGGGGAATTTCCACTCCTAGATTTTTCCCCAGAGCCCTTTCCCTACTTTTAGTAATACATCTTCTAACATTAATAAGTAGCATGGCAAATGAATAGCCAAGTCTTACTTTAATGAGTAAGTGAAGCCATTTAAGGCTCAGCAGCTGGCAGGTGTTGGGGCAGAAGGGCAGAGTCAAAGAAGGGACCCCGAGGGTCATCTAGTCCAACCCCCTGCAATGCAGGAATTTCAGCATCCATGACAGTGGAGAATATAAGGTGCTGAGTCAAACGGCAATGAAATTCAAGAAGGGCAGTCTGTGACAATTCTGTATCAATGTCTAGGACTGACAAGTGTTGAGTAGTGGTTAGAACAGCGCTTCTCCACCTGGGGGTCCCCAGATGTCGTTGGACTACAACTCCCATTACCCCTAGCTAGCAAGGCCAAAGCTCAGGAGTGATGGGAGTTGTAGTCCAACAACATCTGGGGACCCCCCAGGTTGAGAGCCGCTGGGTTAGAGTATCAAACCGTGACCTTGGAGAGCAGGGTTCGAATCCCCACTCAGGCATGAAGGTCACTGGGTGACCTTGAGCCAGCTTAACCTACCTCTCTGTTATGAGCAGTGCTTTTTTCCTAAAAAAAAAATTTTAGGGGTACTCTCATTCTCCTGCTCATATTGAAATCCTGCCACTTAATGAGGCCAAACTTAGATCCACAAAATATTTAGTGGTATGCGTCCCCCCCAGATAAAAAGCACTGGTTATGAGGATGAAATGGGGGGAAGGAGAACCGTGAGGAACAACTTGAGGTCCTCTGGAGAGAAAGGTGGCGTAAATATGGTGAGCCCAGCAGTGGCCCCTTTCCAGCAGCAGAATCATCCTGCAACTGTATCTGGGCCTTCAGGGGAGAGGACCCTTTTGTGCATGGACAGAGATGCTCCGTTCGCTTGGCAAGGAAAGGCTGGTTGCAGTAGCAGCAACTGCTTCTGTGTAAATGGTCACTCTGTTTACCTGAGGTCAAATGTGGTCACTCCATTCAGGTGTCCCAGGCATGTCCAACTTTCAACAGACTGAGATCTACTCCTGCAGTGATCTGCCAAAGATACATTACTGTATTTTAATATTTTGCTGGAAGCCGCCCAGAGTGGCTGGGGAAGCCCAGCCAGATGGGCAGGGTATAAATAATTTTTTTATTATTATTATCTACCTGTTGGACATCCCTGATGTATGCAAATCGGACCTCACACCTTGCCATTTTTTCCACACCTGGGCGTGAACACACCTGCATCAGACAGTGGGCTCTTGCCACAAAAGCTTTATCCACAATAAAATTTGTTCCAACGGCATAGTTTATCCCCCTGCACGTTTATTTGGAAGTAAGTCGAATTGTATTTTATTAGGGTTACTCCCAAGTAAAAGGCAGCCTGCGCTTCTGTCTGCTTCCTTGGTTGTTTTCTTCACTTGCCTGGCCTCAAATTTCATTTCATAGAACCAAAGAATTGTAGAGTGGAAGGGACCCCCAACGGTCATCCAAACCCCCTTCGATTTCAGCTACTTTCGACAATTAGAAGTACTTTTAAGATACTTATATAGTACTGAGATTTTTACAGCATGTGAAGTTAACACTACATACTTGTGAGTTTTCTTTACGACATATGTGTCAGCTGTACATGCTGGAATCAGATCTCTTTAGATTCAGGGGGACAGAAAGTTTCTCAAATCAAAACATGCCAGAAAAAAACCCCATTGTGATTTATGACCCCACCATCCATTGCTGGTTTTGAGGAGCAGGGTCAGATCCTGGTGCTGTGCTGGGCGGGCGAGGGAGAGGCACAGACCCCCAGAGGACTCCAGGGCCTGCAGTTTTCTTCCAGGCAGTGGCTGGATTTCCCCAAGAAGTTAGTCGGCAGAATTCAGCTCTGAGAACCAGTTTGAATGGTAGGACTCCAGTCTGCAAAATGGGGAGAGAATCAGCCTGGGAGAAGGAGGCCTCATCCTATTACAGGGGGTTGGACTAGATGTCCCCTTGGGTCCCTTCCAGCTCTACAATTTTGTGATTCTATGAGATGTGGCAGATGTGGTTATTTAAGAAAGGATCCGTTAAGAGTCCTGGGACTCTGCTCTGGGTATGTGAAATATAAAGGCCCACACACCTTCCCTGGTCCTTCTGAGCATGTGCAGAGTTCCTTTAGTCACCACACAGCTGGATTAAAGAGCAAGGGGCAGCTGCTTTCCAGCAGTAGAACATCACCCAAGAATCATGAGTCCTGACACCTCTTGCATTGAGAAGCTGAATGTAAGTATTTGGGTCTTGCAGATCTTGAGAAATCCCTCTGTCGCTGCCTGCTTGGACCCAGATTTTTATGGGAAGGTGAAGACAAAGGCTTTGCCCCCATGTACCTGCAGGAATCCTCACCCAATTCCCACCTTCTCTGTGAGACATTTCTGCTCCCCAAGCAGAGATTTTGCACTCCGGGCTCAGAGTGGATTTGGGGCCCTCTTTCATGGATGCAGGTGGTGCTGTGGGTTAAACCACTGAGCCTAGGACTTGCCGATCAGGAGGTCGGCGGTTCGAATCCCCGCGACGGGGTGAGCTCCCATTGCTCGGTCCCCGCTCCTGCCCACCTAGCAGTTTGAAAGCAAGTAGATAAATAAGTACCGCTGTGGTGGGAAGGTGAACGGCATTTCCATGCGCTGCTCTGGTTCGGCTAGTAAAGTGAGATGAGCGCCGCAACCCCAGACCTAATGGTCAGGGGTCCCTTTACCTTTACCTTCATGGTCCAATGGCGCCTGCAGCTCCTAGCACTCTCTATCATGGGTAGGCAAACTAAGGCCTGGGGGTGGATCTGGCCCAATTGCCTTCTGAATCCAGCCCACAGACAGTCTGGGAATCAGCGTGTTTTTACATAAGTAGAATGTGCCCTTTTATTTAAAACGCATCTCTGGGTCCTTAATAATAAATAATAATAATAAATTTTATTTATACCCCGCCCTCCCCGGCCAGAGCCAGGCTCAGGGCGGCTAACACCAGTAAAATCACAGTAAAAACATAATAGGGGGGAAAAAGAGGGGGGGGACCAATTTAAAATACAGGTTAAAATGAAATTTAAAATGCTGCCTCATTTTAATAGTAGCCCATAAATCAAGACCATAAGGGGAGGGAAACATAAGGGTCAGACTGAGTCCAAACCAAAGGCCAGGCAGAACAGCTCTGTCTTGCAGGCCCTGCGGAAAGATGTCAAGTCCCGCAGGGCCCTAGTCTCTTGGGACAGAGCGTTCCACCAAGTCGGGGCCAGTGCTGAAAAGGCCCTGGCCGTAGCTGAGACCAATCTAACCACCTTGCGACCTGGGACCTCCAAAATGTTGTCATTTAAGGTCCTCTGCGGGGCGTACTGGGAGAGGGGGTCCCGTAGGTACGAGGGTTCTAGGCCGTGAAGGGCTTTAAAGGTCAAAACCAGCACCTTAAACCTGACCCTGTACTCCACGGGGAGCCAGTGCAGTTGGTAAAGCACTGGATGAATGCGATCCCATGGCAAGGACACTGTAAGGTGTCTCGCGCGGCATTCTGCACCCGCTGGAGTTTCTGGGTCAGCTTCAAGGGCAGCCCCATGTAGAGCGAGTTACAGTAGTCAAGCCTGGAGGTGCCCTTCGCGTGGATCACTGTGGACAGGTCAGGACGAGGAAGGGGGTCTCCATCCTCTCTCGCCCTCCCCACCCCTAAGGGGGCTCCTCTTCTCTGCCCACCCAGCTTCGTCCGTGAGGATTTCCAGCGCTACGAGGTGGATCTCGCCCACGTGGTGCCGCGCCCGGCGTGCGCCCTGCCCACCTCCATGGTGATCAGCAACTCCACGACGGGCACCCGGACCATCCTGCACGCTGCGAGGTGCTTAGGGTGAGGGGTCCCCCCCCCCGGCCACAGCCTCTAACCTCCTCTTTCTCTCCCCTCCGCTGCCCCCAAGATTCATCCTCTCCGACTTCCGCCGCTACAACGTGGATGTCTCTCACCTGGTGAGGCAAAGCCGGGGGGAGATGCCCTGCGCCATCTGTCTCGTCAACTGCCACAACGGCTCTCGGACGGTCACTCTCTATGACATGTAAGGCCAGGCGGGCAGCTGCTGCCCCCGCTCGCCAACTCCCCACCCTGCCACTGGGTGGCGCCACAGGGCTCCCTCTATTTATTATTGCCGACTAATATTTATTGAATTTGCATCGCACCCTTTGCCCAAAGACCTCAGGGCGGTTCGGGGCATAAAGATACAAGATGGGGGGGGGTACGAAATACATAAGCAAAACAATAACCTTGCCAGCTGCCACAGGGCAGCCATGCTGTCAATCATCCCAGGGGGGCGGGCATTGACCCAGCTTTCTCTAGAAACGGTCCCAACCCTTTTATCAATTAGAAAAAATTCATATGGTGCTTCGTTTTGTAAACCGCTTTGAGGTTGCCATTTTTACAATCCAGCAGTGGATGCTCAGGTTGCGAACGTGATCCGTGCGGGATGCATGTTCGCAACCTGCAGCGTTCACAGTCCACAGCAGTGCATCTGCGCATGCACGGGTTTGCGATTCAGTGTTTCTGCGCATGTGCAAAGTGTGATTTAGTGTTTCTGCGCATGCACAACCGGTCAAACCCAGAAGTAACCCGTTCCAGTACTTCCGGGTGGGTGGCACTGCGGGTTAAACCACAGAGCCTAGGGCTTGCCGATCAGAAGGTCAGCGGTTCGAATCCCTTTGACGGGGTGAGCTCCTGTTGTTCGGTCCCTGCTCCTGCCAACCTAGCAGTTTGAAAGCACGTCAAAGTGGAAGGAGATAAATAGGTCCCGCTCCGGTGGGAAGGTAAACGGCATTTCCGTGCGCTGCTCTGGTTCGCCAGAAGCGGCTTCGTCATGCTGGCCACATGACCTGGAAGCTGTACGCTGTACGCCGGCTCCCTCGGCTAATAAAGCAAGATGAGCGTCGCAACCCCAGAGTCGGCCACGACTGGACCTAATGGTCAGGGGTCCCTTTACCTTTACCTAACCCAAAAAAACGCAGCCTGAAGCATCTGTAACCCGAGGTATGACTGTACCGTATTTTTCCATGTATAAGACTAGGTTTTTTCCCTAAAAAATAATGTCAAAAATTAGAGGGCGTTTTATACACGGATGCATCTCCCCCCATTTTCTTAAATCTGAGCATCTTATACAGGGGGGCATCTTATAGACGGAAAAATACAGTAAATGAGAAATAAATTGTCAAGAGTGCGTGAGCAAGGTGCGTGAGAGCAAAGGGGCAGCTCAATGTCACCTTCTCTCTTTCTGCCCCCTCCCCCTTTTTATTCCTAATATTAATCATTAATCTTGGACTATTAACGTGCAAAGTGCATTTGATCATTAATAGTAGAAAGGTTACTTCCCTCCACTTTTCCCCCTAGCAGGCCTTTTCTTGAGCTTTTAACGGCTGCTACACAAGCAAAAGGAGCTCAGTTTTGCAAGCCGATCTGCTCGGGTGCACAGCTGCAGTGGCTGAATTTCTGCTTGCCCCACAGTTCCCAAAGGCAAGCTGCCCAGCCCCCCCCCAGCCCCCTTGCTCAAATCCTCTCTTCCCATTTTACAGACTGGAAGCACTGAGGCCGAGAGGCCTCTGAGGAAGTCGGCGGCTGAGCTGCCAAGACCTCCAGCTTCCCTCTCACCGACTTTACTTATTTTAAAACTACTTTTAAAAAATGAACCAGTTACATTCGGGGGGGGGAGTATTTGACCCCCTGCTAAATTTGCCCGTTTGCCCTCTGACGAGGAAATGACCAGTACATAATTTTAACGGTAGGTTTATTGTAGCTGTGAGAGACAGAATAACTACAGGAAAACTGGACATAGGAAAAGTAAATAAAATGGTCTAAAACCCTCCCCTGTCCCCCTTTACCCCCCCTCCCAAAATACACATCAAAGTGATCATAAATGGAACTTCATTTAATTCTGATCCCTTGAGCCACACCTGTGGCCAAGCGGCCTGAGGCTTCTCTGCACCCTCTGGCTTACGGCCCGGTTCAGAGGGTAGCGGTTTGCTTGAGAAGCCTGAGCCATAGCTGTCCACGTTTCCCTTCCTTTAAGGGAAATTCCCTTATTCCAAATAGGATTCCTTGCAAGAAAAGGGAAAAGTTGACAGCTATGGCCTGAAATATAGGGACGTGGGTGGCGCTGTGGGTTAAACCACAGAGCCTAGGGCTTGCCGATCAGAAGGTCGGCGGTTCAAATCCCCGCGACGAGGTGAGCTTCCGTTGCTCGGTCCCTGCTCCTGCCAACCTAGCAGTTCAAAAGCATGAAGTGCAAGTAGATAAATAGGTCCCACTCTGGCGGGAAGGTAAATGGTGTTTCCGTGCGCTGCTCTGGTTCGCCAGAAGCGGCTTAGTCCTGCTGGCCACATGACCCGGAAGCTGTACTCCGGCTCCCTTGGCCAGTAAAGCGAGATGAGCGCCGCAATCCCAGAGTCGGCCACGACTGGACCTAATGGTCAGGGGTCCCGTTACCTTTACCTTTATGGCCTGAATTGGAGTTGAAATGCCCCCCCTGCATTCCCTGAGTGGCGCCACCCAGTGGGAGAAGAGGGGAAAGCACAGCCATGCTTGCCCAATAATTCCCGGCAGATTCACCTGATAATTCAGCCCAGATGCAGCAGCCAATCATCTCCCTCAATCCGTCCCTGATCTGCCTTCCTGGTCATTGCCTGGTCTGGAGGAGGGAGCAAATGGGGGCTCTTAGGGGCAGGTGGGGGCAGAGGAAGGCGGGGGGGTTGTTCCCTCCCCTTGCTTTTTGGAAAGCGGGGTCTGGTGTTGGGAGGGGGCAGTGACTGTTTTGGGGAGAGAAGAGGGCTGGGGAGGGGTCCCTCCTTCTGCCCCCTGGGACCCCCTCCCCAGATGGAGACATCCGCTGGACTTGATCCTTGCCCCCTCTCAGCCAGGGGGAGAAATGGCAGCTGAGCCCTGGATGGGGTTCTGGCCGGCCTTTGCTCAGGGGGCAGGATCCGCTGCTCTGTTAATCATTGAGAAAGTTCCTCTTAGAGGCTAGAGGTCAGGGGGCTTGGAGCCAAGCGTTAACCCTTTGCAGTAGGTGCCTCTCCACCCACAGCGCCCCCCCCCCCCAGTTTTCAGTGCAAGGGACTCATGGAGCAAAGAGTTCAGAATGTGGGAAGCATCTGGCTGCAGCAGCCAGACGGATCAGGCCCAAGGAAAGTGCTCCTCCAGGGACCTCCCGGATCCCCCAACAGGAAGCCTGCTGGGGGGGGGGGGACACAGTCCTTCCCTGCTGGGATCTTGTGGCAGGAAGAATTTTCTGATGTATGACAGCGGAACAGACTCCCTCCCAAGGTGCTCTGGCAGCCATCTGTCAGGGGATCCTTGAGCTGTGATTCCTGCATTGCAGGGGGCTGGACTAGATGGCCCCTGGAGGTCCCTTCCAACTGGGCAGTTCTGTGACTCTGCAGTCACTTGTAGCTCTTGACCTTCACGTTGTTGGCCTGCTCCCCTTTTGAAGTTGGTGGCCATCACTGCCTCTGCAGGAGAGGAAGAAGAACGTCTCTCTCCCTCCCATCTCCTCCCTGCTCTTTGGTCAACCTCTGTGGTGTCCTCATAGCCCTCCTTGCTCACCTCAAATTCAGGGAGGAGGCAGGGATGCTTCTGAAGACCAGATGCTGGGAACTGTAGGCAGGGAGAGTGTTGATCCTGCTTGCCGGTTTCCCGCAAGGGTCCGGTCAGCCACTGTCAGAACAGGATCCCGGACTAGACGGGCCCCTGGCCTGATCCTGCAGGCTTTTATTAGGTTCTTGTGATGATGCTCCTTCTGGTTATCCAGATGTGAGGGTTTCGGCCACATTCGCAGAACTGTCGTGTTCAAAGGGCCATCCGACTCACCCCCTGCAATACAGGAACCGCAGGCTCACAGGCAGCCCCTGAATAATGTTGAGTCCCGCTCTTTGGGACTGTGCAGTTCGAAGCCAGCACCTTGCCTGGGTCCCAGCATACAGTGGTACCTTGGTTCTCAAACTTAATCCATTCCAGAAATCTATTCGAAAACCAAAGCGTTCCAAAACCAAGGCACGCTTTCCCATAGAAGGTAATGCAAAGCGGATTAATCCGTTCCAGACTTTTGAAAACAACCCCTAAAACAGCAATTTAACATGAATTTTGCTATCTAACCAAGATAATTGATCCATAAAATGAAAGCAATAATCAATGTACTGTACTATAAAATAAATAAGACCGTATTGTAGATGATAAAAATTAAAATAATTTTTTTCCCTCACTTGCACTGATGATAGTCATTGCTTGCTTTTATCCATTTCCGCAGTCACACAATCAATCAATCAATCAGTAGCTGAACTGGGTTCCATACAGTCACAAAAACAAATTAACCGGAAAAACCTCAAAAGCAAAAACACAAAATAAATAGCAAAAACAAAAGCGCCAAACTTAATCCGAAGTCTGTTTGACTTCCGAAATGTTCGAAAACCAAGGCGCAGCTTCTGATTGGTGCAGGCGCCCCAGAAACAATAGCCGACAGCTGTATCAGACGTTTGGCTTCCAAAAAACATTTGAAAGCCAGAACACTTGCTTCCGGGTTTTCGGTGTTTGGGAACCGAGGCACTACTGTACGTAGAGGGGGATCGAAGTGCACATACCTCTTTGCAAGATCAGACTTGCATCCAAGACATAGATGGACCCTCCGTGTTTTTGAGGCAGTGGGCTTCTTGATAGGACCCTGGGGGGGGGGGGAGAGAAGAGGGGCTGACTATTGCCTTGATGCCCCCTCCTCACATACTTTGCGGGGCACCTGGGGGGCCATAGGGAGGGGGTGTCTGGCTGCATGGACCCCAGCAGTTGGGTCTGGCTTGTGCTACAGTGGGAGGCCAAGACAACAAGACCCTGCTTTGTGCTTTTCAATCAATGACCAGATCGGGGTTGTTCAAATGAATAATCTCGGGTGGGAGAGGAGGCTGTGAAGGCATTGCATCTCATAGACTTTTGTAACCGCCCCCCCCCATCCCACCCTTCCGCCTTCTCCCCGCCACCCCCAACCAGCAACCTGCCGGACGTGACGGCTGCTGACTTTGAGCAGGTCAACCTGTCTCAATACAAGTGGATCCACTGGGAGGTGAGTGAAGGAAGCCCTTGCTGGGGAGATTGGGGGGGGGCAAGAGGGAGGAAGGGTCTTCCTGAGTTGCAGGTGCCACAAGGGGTTGCCATCAGCAGGAAATGAAGACGGAAAAGTATAGGTGAAAGACCTACATTGGCTCCCAGGACGTTTCCGAGCACAATTCAAAATGTTGGTGCTGACCTTTAAAGCCCTAAATGGCCTCGGCCCAGTATACCTGAAGGAGCATCTCCAGCCCGGACACCTGGGTCCAGCTCTGATGGCCTTCTGGCAGTTCCATCCCTGCGAGAAGTGAGGTTACAGGGAACCAGGCAGAGGGCCTTCTTGGTGGTGGCGCCCGCCCTGTGGAACACCCTCCCATCAGATGTCAAAGAGAACAACAACTACCAGACTTTTAGAAGACATCTGAAGGCAGCCCTCTTTAGGGAAGCTTTTAATGTTTAACAGACCATTGTATTTTAATACTCTGTGGGAAGCCGGCCAGAGTGGCTGGGGAAGCCCAGCCAGATGGGCAGGGTATAAATAATAAATGATTAAGATTATGATTATTACAGGTGGCCATTGATAAGTTTTCAACACTGGCCATTCACACACAGAAACAGCTTTTGGGAACAAGACTTCCTGTGAGGAGGTCAACACATGCAATGGTTTTGAAAACAAGGCCACTCACTCTGCAGGCGACAGGGCCAAACCTCTTTGCGAAAGGGGCTTCGTGTCGCGTTTTTCAGGGCCTTGATTCAGAGATGGCCCCCTTTAAAGTCTGTTGTTACTGGATCTTAGAGTCGTGGGGTTACTGGGAGGGGGGCACTAAGAGTCAAGGAGGGGCTCCATGGCGCTGGAGCTATTCATGACCTATCAGACTTCATTGGCATCACTGGATCAAGTTTATCACTTTTGTCGAGTTAATTAAACTAACTAGTTTTTAATTGGATTTTGAATAAATGTGCAATCATTCCAGTTTTGAATTTTATTGGGTTTTCCTCCTCTGTGTGCATGCTGAATAATGCTTTTTATAGGGTAGAGGTCGTTGGGAGGGACTTTATGGAACCAAGGGGGCAGGGGCCCAGGAAAATTTGGGAGCCACTGCCTATAAGTCACTGCCCTTGAGGATGCCAGCTGTTGGCCATTAACCCTCTGGTGCCCGGAGGGGTGGCATTTCCAGGCAGTCTTCATGGGCAGCCCCACGGAGAGGGCATTGCAGTAATCTAGAGCTCAGCAGAGCATGAATGCCAGGACTGCCGTGGCCACAACCTTCTGGCTGTGGGTGCAGCTGTCCTGGCCACGGAAGCTCCCTGGGATGCCAGGGTGAGTTCCTGCCTCCCTCTGAGACCCACCTTCTCCCACCCCCAGGGCAGGAATGCCTCTGAGCAGGTGAAGATGATCCAGCGTGTGGAGGCGTATAACAGGACCTGCCCGCCGTCCGACCGAGTGACCACGTCCGTGGAAGTGGAGAAGACGCGGCCAGAGATATACCAGCTCTTTGGCTACGGAGACGTGGTAGGAAAGCCTCTGTCTGGGGGAGAAGCCAGGATGATGGGGCAGAAACGAGACGCTAATCTTTATTGTCATTGTCCTGTACAGAACAAGAAAATTGAAAAATCTACGTAAGACATTCAAAACCCAACAAGCCTGCTATCCCAGCTATCCCAGCCTGGTTTGCCCCAAAAAACTCTGAGACCCCATAATTGAATACAATATACTCCCATAGAGACTACCTTACACTGCGTTTAACACCAAAATCGCATTTGAGTAGAAACTGTTTCTCAGGCAGGTCTTTATAACCCTGGAGCTTCTTCCAGAAGGCAGAAGCTGAAAGAGATCATTTCCGGGGTGCGCACTATCCTGCGCTATCTCTGCAGCTTTCTTATGGCGCCTGGAAGCATAGATTTGATCCAAGGTGGGAAGAGTGCACCCAGTTATTCTCTCCGCAGTCTTGACAACCCTGGACAGCATTGTTTTTTCCCTGGCTGTGCAGCTCCCAAACCGCACACACAGACCACAAACAGCCCCCTGACTTCGGAGCAGGAGCCCCCATTCAGGGTCAGGGCTTGGCTGGACCTCCCTGGCGCCGCCCAGCGTTGCCCGGGTCCTTTGCCCCACAGCCTCCTCTGCACAAGGGGAAAAGCCTCTGAGCACAGCAGCTGCTGCTTCTGACTCTGGCACGGAAGAGGCCTTTGGCTGAGGAAGAGGCCTTTGCGCGGCTCCGAAGAGCCACAGGCTGGACCAGGCAGACCTCCTTGTCCTGGGGGCAGGATCCTCCATACTCAGGACGTCCTCCTTACATGGAACGGACTCCCTTGGAGATTTGAAAGATGGGTGGACATCTGGCAGGGATTCTTCAGTTGTGGTTCCTGCATGGCTGGGGGTTGGGCTTGTTAAAGTTTGTGGGTCGTAAATCCTTTGACCCAGTGGGCATAGCTGTCAACCGTCCCTTATTTGGCAGGAAAGTCCCTTATCCCAGCGCCGTGTCCTGCTGCTGTCCCTTACTGATGATGTCCCTTCAATTTCCCGGGTTTTCAAGGAAGCAGCTCCTCTCCCTCCCTCCCTCCCTGCCGGCCAGGGAGGAGGGAGGCTCCAACTTTGTTGCTTGGCTGCGTTGCTCACCCAATAAGGAGTCTAAGAACGACTGGGGGGTGGAGCTTGCTTGCCTTGTGCCAATCAAATCGGCCGCCTTGCCTGGGGACTCGCCCTTGCTCAGCGCTTCCCAGCAGAGAGGTGACGGTGGTTTCCCTTGCTGCATCCCCTTTGCCGGGTTGCTGCGCTGGGGAAACACCACTTGAGGCTTCATTTGGCTGCTGGCTGGGCTTTCTGCCTTTGGCTTGGAGGGGCTCAGAAGGCGAATATACCTGTGCTCTGAAAATCCCTTATTTTGGCTGCTGATCCCTTATTTTCGAGGCTGCTGGTCCCTTATTTTCAAATCTGTAAGTTGACAGCTATGCCAGTGGGTCATGCAGGAACTGTGGCTTTGTCTGTGTCTGTGTGGTGTCTTCAGTAACTCAGCTCAACACCAGTGCTTCTAATCTATCACTCTTTATTTTGAAGCATACAAAACAGAAAAGAAAACCTTTCTGTCTCTAACAGAACTGAAACTATCTCGCTCACATTCTCAGACACTCTGCACTCGGAGAGAGCTCATCCCACAGGAAAATGCCCGGCTTATATGGGCAGTGCACCCAGTTAATAAGAAGGCCTCCTGGGAGTGTTAACTCTCAACTGTCCAGAACCACAACAGGGCTGGATGACCCTTGGGGGTCCCTTCCAACTCTCCCGTTCTAAGTTCTGCTTGTGAAGCACTGCCTGGGCTGAGCAGCAGGAAGGCAGTGCTGCCCTGGGGGTGGAGGACTGACCTCAGAACATGAAATGAGCTCTGCTGGACCAGCATCCTGTTCGCCTCACAGGGGCCAAAGACCCCTAAGACCCCAGGAGTCTAGACTGCCTCTGGAACTGGAGCCTCTGCCTGACAAGCCTAGCTGCTGGTCAGTGGGGATCCCACCTAGTCCAGCCTCCTGTTCTCACCATGGCTGACCAGATGCCCATTACGGGAAACCCACAAGCAGGATCTGAGCACGAGAGCAACCCTCTCCCTTGCTGCCCCTGGCATTCAGAAGCATCTCTGCATCCTGGCTAGTGGCCACTGAGAGCCCCTTTCTCCCCCATAAGTTTAGCCAATCCTCTTTTAAAGCCGTCCCGGTAGGTGGCCATCTTGTGGGAGGGAGTTCCACAGTCTAACACTGTGCTGCAGGATTGAGTCCTTTCTGCATCTTCCAACATTCATCTTCCTTGGGCGCCTGGGAATTCTAGTCTTATGAGAGAGAGAGAGACCAAGAGGAGAAGGGGACTCTGGCTTCTCTTCCCCCCCTCCAGGTCTTTGTCAGCAAGGACGTGGCCAAGGCGAGGGGCTTCTACTCGGCCGCCGAAGCTGTCAAGGGGCTCCGCAGATATCTGAAGCCGGGGTAGGTGGAGACCACCCAAGGAGAAGGGGGCAGGCTGGATTGCCTCTGGGTGCCCCTCAGCCCCCCTGCCCACCCTCTGGCATGGGAGGGGAACTCGTGCCAACTCCAGCATTTAATGCGCAGCTGGCCACTGGCCCTTCGGTGCTCTGTGGGGAATGCCAAGAACCTGAGGCTCTTCACCTCAGGGTCGTGGGGTCAAACCCCATGTTGGGCAAAAGGATTCCCGCCTTGCAGGGGTTGGACTAGATGACCCTCATGGTCCCTCCCAATTCTCCAGTTCTACGCAACGCTCCAGAACTGCTCCTTATTCTTCCCTCCATCTTTTCTTTACAGAATGTTTTCATTTAACAAAATGTATCTACGCCCCTTGCCCTAAACCTTGAAGGCTCCCAAGCGGTTTGCAAAAAGGTGATCTTAAAATGCTCATTTAAAATATCCATATCCATAAAATATCCGTAAGTCACAGGGAAGCAGGCAAGGGCCTTCTCAGTGGTGGCACCTGCCCTCCCACCAGATGTCAAAGGAAAAAACAACTACCAGACTTTTAGGAGACATCTGAAGGCAGCCCTGTTCAGGGAAGCTTTTAATGTTTGACAGACTATTGTATTTTAATATTTTGTTGGAGGCCGCCCAGAGTGGCTGGGGAAACCCAGCCAGATGGGAGGGGTATAAATAAATTATTATTATTATTATTATTATTATTATTATTATTATAGCAAACATTAAAAATGAGTTACATTTTTAAAAAAAACTGCAAAGCAACTTCTGACACTTGGGGTTTCTGTTTTTTCAGAGCCATCTTATTTAAAATGGTTGTAAGTTGTTTTACGTAGTGCTTAATATGTTTTTCAACGCTGCAACCTGCCCTGGAACCTTAGGGTAAAGGGTGGATATTATTATTATTATTATTATTCAATTCTACTTGCTGAAATGACCTGTGAAGCTGGTCTGCAGGATGGGACTTCATCATCCTGGCTGCTGGGACTTGGCGGACCCCCCCCACCAGGTTCCCCCTCCCTGGGTTGAACCAAACAGGCCCTGTTGAGCCCAGCTCCCTTGGGAGAAAGAACCAGGACTTTTGGAGGTGGGGAGGGTGTTTTGGGGGTGCCTCCCCACCCAGTCACCTGCGGGGTCTCTGTCCCAAGGCTAAAGGCTCCTTCGTCTTTCTCCCCCCCCCCCCCCAGAGCTACCCTGGTCTGTGCCTGGGCTGAGGAGGGGGCCGACGCCATGGGACCGGACGGGGTGCTGGTTCACTCGGACGCCTTCTCCCCCGAGGTGGTGGTGGACACCTTGGGTGCTGGGGACACCTTCAACGCGGCCGTGATCCTGGCCCTCAGCAGGGGTGAGTCGCGGGGGCTTCTCTCCTCCTCCCTGTTGCCTGCATGTCCAAATCTCCCCTTTGTGATCTGTTCTGCAACCTGCTCATCAGACATGGGATCTACGGAGAGATCTCCAGGGTCTGCAGTAGATCGCCATGCTCTTCGGACTGTCTGTCAGTTTTAACTATAGGAGCAACAAAAAAGCTTGCCCAAACTTGCTTCAAAATTAGGCTCTGCAAAGAAGAAAGGGGTTTTTTTTGGGGGGGGGAGACCAGGACTGGAGTTGGGGGGAGAAAATGAGTCTCTGCTTTGCTTTGCTTTGCTTTTGTTTCTTATGAATTTTGCTTTGAGCTTTTCTTTGCTTTCTTACAAGTCTCTTGCTTTGCTTTGCTTTCTATGAACCGTGTGATGCAGCAGCAAGAAAAGTGAATGCTATTCTCAGCTGCACCAGCAGGTCTAGTGCCCAGATCAAGGGAATTAATAGCACCCAGTGGCGCCAACTTGGACCCCACATTATGGGTGCCCAGCGACATGTGCAACGTAACGTGAGATCATGACTTCACATTGCAGCGCCTAGGAGCCCCAGAAGGCTTCCAAGGCCCCACAAGGCCTCAGACATAACTTCCAGTTCCTTGCGGGGCCCCAGAGGTCGTGTCGGAGGCCCTGCGGTGCGGGCACTGAGCACCCACAAAACAATCGTAGGTGCCCAGGGCCCCCTGGAGTTGGCACCAGTGGTAGTACCACTATTCTGCCTTGGTCAGAGCCCTGTGCCCAATTCTGGGTGCCACCGTTTAAGAAGGATGTTGGCAACCTGGGAGGTGGGCAGAGGAGGGAGACCAAGATGATGAAGGGTCTGGAAACCAAGCCTGATGAGGAACGGTTGAAGGAGCTGGGGATGTTTAGCCTGGAAATGAGGAGACTGAGAATAGATATGAGAACCATCTTCAACTATCTGAAGGGCTGAACCATGGAGCAAGCTTGTTTTCTGCAGCTCCAGAGAACTGAACCAATGGATTCAAATGACGGGAAAGGAGACTCCAGCTAAACTTTAGGAAGAACTTTCTGGCTGTTAGAGCCATTTGACAGTGGGGGGGAGACGTCTGAAGGTGGTGCCCCCTCCTTCATGAGAGGTTTTTCAACGGTGGGGGGGGTGTGGCTGCCAGACAGAATTTCTTTAGCCATGGTTCCAGCATTGCAGCAGGAACAACTAGAGGAACCTTAGGGGACCCTTTCAACTCTTTAATTCTATGATTCTCGGACTGTGAGTTCAGTTCTGGTAGCCCAAATTCCTGGGGCAGCTGAGCATGGACAGAGCATGTCCCTTCACTCTGTGCTCTGCCCCCTCCCTCCTCCGACCACAATTTTGCGCTTGGTGGATCTTTGGCTTCTTAGCAGAAAAACAAGTACCATATTTTTTGCTCTATAAGACACACCCGACCGTAAGACGCACCTAGTTTTAGAGGAGAACAAGAAAAAAAATATTCTCTCGCTCTCTGCGCAGCACCCCTTCAGCAAAGCGGGAGGAGCAATGGAAGGGGCGAAGTCAGAACAGCGAAAGCAGCAATCCCTCTTGCTGTTCTGGCTTCTGGGATAGCTGCACAGCCTGCATTCGCTCCATAAGACGCACACACATTTCCCCTTACTTTTTAGGAGGGAAAAAGTGAGTCTTATACAGCGAAAAATACGGTAAATCTCGCACGCCCTGAATTCTGCCCGGGAGAGGGGTCTTGCCGGGGAGAGTTCTTGTTGCCTGAACCGCAGGGCACCTCTCTGCCTCAGAGCTCAACTGACCCCTCTCTGTCTCCCCCCTCCAGGGAGACCCCTGGCCGAGGCAATCACCTACGGGTGTCAGGTGGCTGGACGGAAGTGCGGTGTGCACGGCTACGATGGGATCGTGTGAGCTGCAAGCGGCAAGCCATGTCTGCCCATCTTTTCTGGGGACCTTCATCAAGCCGTGGACCAAAATCACACAGCCCCCCTGACTCAGCGAGGAAGAAGCGTGCTGCTTCTCTGAAAGGTCCGGAGGGGCTGGGCAGCCAAAGCCGGTTCTCTGCTGTGCCCGGCCGCCCTGTGTGTCCTGGCTGGGCCTGGGTCTGGAGAGAGACTTGCCCGCGTTGCCTCTTTGCAAAGGCCGATCAATAAAATGCTTGGACCAGTGGCCTCTGTGTGGAAGCCCCACCTGTGTGGGTAGGGTGAGGGGGCAGGATGGAAAGGGCTGGCCTGCCCCAGATGTTTTATTTCTCTCTTGCATTTATATTCTGAGCTCTGGGTGGCATGCATGGGTCTCCCCCTCAATTAATCCCTGTAAAGCAGATTAGGCTAACAGTCAGGGCCAGTCAGCTTCGTGGCTTCATAGATTCGAACCTGAGTCATAACCTGACACTGCAAGCACAGTAGAGGGAGACGCACAGGCTGTGGGGGTTGCAGAAGAGGGAGCCCAAAGCAGCAAGGATGGAGCAAGGCGGGGGGCGGGGTTCTCTTCTGCAGCTGCAGCAGCACTCAGGACCGGTTCCCCCAAGGGTGACCCACAGCAAGGGGGGAGGGAAGGAGCTCTGTCCTGCCGGGCTGGAGAAGAGATTGCATAAATTGAGAGAGCTGAGGAGGGGGCACCAGGTCCTACGAAGAACTGCTGGTGGGTCATTTGATCTTGTGGGGCATTGCATGGCAGGGGGGCACCAGGTAGCTAATGCCAGAATCCCAATTTAAAATGACCTTAACAGATCGGAGAACTGGGCCCAAATTATGAAATGAATTACAACAGGAACAAAAGTCAGGTTCTGCTCTTAGGCAGGAAGAACCAGGTGCACAAATATAGGATGGGGGACGCCTGGCTTACAAGTAGAACATGAGAAGAGTACGTGTGGCATCAGTACATGTGAAAAGGATTTGGGGGTCTTGGTGGACCACAAGCTGAACATGAGTCAACCGTGTGATGCAGCAGCAAAAAAAGCTAATGCTATTCTAGGCTGCATCAACAGAAGTCTAGTGTCCAGGTCAAGGGAAGGAATAGTCCCACTCTATTCTGCCTTGGTCAGACCCCCACCTAGGATCCTGCGTCCAATTCTGGGCACCACAATTTAAGAAGGATGTTGACAAGCTGGAAGGTGGGCAGAGGAGGGCAGCTAAGATGGACACCAAGCCGTATGAGGAACGGTTAATGAAACTTGAGTTATGTTTAACCTGGAAAAGAGGAGACTGAGAGGAGATATGAGAGCCATCTTCAAATATCTTAAAGGTAAAGGTAAAGGGACCCCTGACCGTTAGTTCCAGTCGTGGCCGACTCTGGGGTTGTGATGCTCATCTCGCTTTACTGGCCGAGGGAGCTGGCATACAGCTTCCGGGTCATGTGGCCAGCATGACTAAGCCGCTTCTGGCAAACCAGAGCAGCGCACGGAAACACTGTTTACCTTCCCGCCGGAGAGGTACCTATTTATCTACTTGCACTTGGACATGCTTTTGAACTGCTAGGTGGGCAGGAGCAGGGACTGAGCAACGGGAGCTCACCCCGTCGCGGGGATTCGAACCGCCGACCTTCTGATTGGCAAGCCCTAGGCTCTGTGGTTTAACCCACAGCACCACCCGCATCCCTCAAATATTTTAATGGCTGTCAAGTGGGACCGAGAACAAGCTTGCTTTCTCCTGCTCTGGAGGGTAGGACTCAAACCCATGGATTCAAATGGCAATAAATGTATTTCTGACAAAAAGAATAGGAAGAACTTTATGTCAGTAAAAACTGCTGAACAGTGGAAGAGACTCCCTCTGAAGGTGATGGACTCTCCTTCCTTGGAGGAAATTTTTAAGCAGAAGTTGGACGTCCATCGGCCAAGGAGTCTTTAGTTGTGATTCCTGCATTGCTGGAGGTTGACCCTGGGTGCCCCTTCCAACTGTGGTTTGAGGTGACGGGTGGCCGGGAGTCAACTTTGCCACCCTGCGCAGCCTCTGCTTTTCAGTCCTCCTCCGCTGGCCCCTCTTTCTCTCGGGGGGGGGGGGTGTTTCAGTCTCCTGGCATGAGAGGCTCCCCAGTCTCCTGTGGCTGAGGTGCCTCAGCTGCTTCTCCTTGCCCCGGTGCCCCCTCCTGATTCTGTGCCGGGGGGCTCAGCGAAGGGGCCTCCACCACGCCCTGGTCCTGAGCCGCCTCTGACGCAGCCGGGGACTCAGCAGTGCCTTGCTGGCCAAGAGGATCCGGGTGGCCGACGCCTTGTCCATCAGGTGCAGGGGGTGCCCGCAGGACGCTGCCCTCTTCTCCATCGGGGGCAGCGAGGAGGGTGGGGGTCTGGCTGTGCCAGGGCCCCTGGAGCAGCTCTGACGGCTCCAGCAGCCCATCGTGGTTCAGGTCCTGAGTCGCCAGGATGTTGTCCACCATCAGGACTACCTGCAGGGGTCAAGGGGGGCATTTCCATTTATTTCATAACTTTTATACACCCCTTGACTGGAAAAATAAAACCCCACCTCAAGGAGAATAAAACCAGAAAATTATGAGTAAGAACAGAAGCCCACTAAGAGGACATGAGGGTCTCTGCAAGGCCTCTGCCCTACTGCCCCCCACCCCCAGGAAAAGGTCTTGCACAGGAAAGGCGCCTCTGGTTCTGCAGGTGGCAGGTGCCCATCATGGTTGGCATGCAGTGATGAGCCACCTGGAATTTGCACTTCTCTCTTAAAGAGTTGAAGAAGTTTCAGGAAAGGACCAATGGATTGAGGCAATGCAACCACTGCCTTGTGAGGAAAGGATACAGCATTTGGGACTCTGTAATTTAGAGAGAAGGCAAGGAAGAGGCGACAGGACAGAAGTTTATAAAATTATGCCTGGAGAAAAGTTTTCCTCCCTCTCTCATCACACTGGAGCTCATGAATGTCCATTGAAGCTAAATGTTGGAAGAGTCAGGACAGATTTAAAAAGGAACTTTTTCATGCAGCGTATAATTAAACTTTGGAACTCACTGCCACAAGAAGCAGTGATAGCTTTAGAAGAGAGTTAGACAAATTCATGGAGGGGGCTAGGAGGAGAGGGCCTCTGGATCAGGCCAATGGCCCATCTAGTCTAGCATCGTGCCCTCCCCATGGCCGACCAGATCCCCCAAGGGGAAACCAGCAAGCAAGATTTGAGCGCAAGAGGAACTCTTCCCCTCTGCGGTCTCCAGCAACGGTCCTTTGGAAGCCCAGCTGCCTCTGACTGTGGACTCCAGACACTTTTCTGCTTGTCCAGTGTACGCAGAAATGGAGGGCTGGAGAGCCCCCTTCCTTGGAGGTGTCAAAGCAGAGGTTGGATGGCCCTCTGCCCCGGATGCTTTGACTGAGGTTCCTGCACTGGCGGGGGCTGGACTAGATGACTCTAGGGGTCCCCTTCCAACTCTACAATTCTATGATTCTAAGCCAGGCACAGGCAAACTCGGCCCTCCAGATGTTTAGAGACTACAATTCCCACCATCCCTGACCACTGGTCCTGTTAGCTAGGGATGATGGGAGTTGTAGTCCCAAAACATCTGGAGGGCCAGGTTTGCCTATGTCTAAGCGGATGAGCCCCTTCATGGATCACTGCCTTGCTGTGGCGAAGGGGCTTGAATAACTCGGAGAAGCTATGAGCCATGCTGTGCAGGGCCACCCAAGATGGACAGGTCATAGTGGAGAGTTTTGACCAAACGTGATCCACCTGGAGCAGGAACCGGCAAGCCACTCCAATATCCCTGCCAAGAAAACTCCATGGACAGATCCTGAAGCTGAGGCTCCAAGACTTTGGCCACCTCATGAGAAGAGAAGACTCCCTGGAAAAGACCCTGAGGTTGGGAAAGATGGAGGGCACAAGGAGAAGGGGGCGACAGAGGAGGAGATGGTGGGACAGTGTTCTCGAAGGTACGAACATGAGTTTGACCCAACTGCGGGAGGCAGTGGAAGACAGGAGTGCCTGGCGTGCTCTGGTCCAGGGGGTCACAAAGAGGCGGACACAACTAAATGACTCAACAACAACAAAGCGGATGAGCTTTGAAATCGCAGGCAGGCAGAGGCAGCCATAGCAGGGAAGGCACTCAGATTCACAGCCCCTGCAGCCTGGGCAGAGATGCCCCCTCTGCCTGGTATACCAAAGGCCAAGGAGTGAAAGTGGCACCTACCGAGTCTGGCACAGAACTGTCTCTCTGGGAGGGCATCTCGCTCAGCAGCCTCATGAACTCCAGCCCGTCCAGCCGTCCACTCTTGTCGTAGTCGTGGAGGGCGAAGAGGAGCAACAGAGCTGTAAACACCAGAGGGGTGAGATATTGGGGGGCTGAGCCAGAGGGCACAGGAGCCCAAATCCTGCCCAGAGCAAGAGCCAGTGGGGTGACTCCAGCGGTGGGGCTGAGGTCTTCCTGCGGCCTGGGACTCCCACCACCCTCTCACCTCTCCTTCCTGACCCACAGAGCCTTCCTCACCACAACACGACCCCTATTTTCCAGGATGTCCCCAGCACTCAGACCAGAGTTGCTGGGCAGATGTTGCAGCTGCTTCACTGGGAAGCTCCTTTCTTGCATTTCTTTTTAAAAAATTTATTTGGTTTTTCAGATTAAAATTTCACAGTCACATATTCAACATGCAACATAAAAACAAGATTCCAAGGAATCTCCTGGACTTCCATCCTCCCCTTTGTGGGTCTGATTGTTAATCATTTCCTCCTGCATCTTTTATGATAGTCCACATATTTTACCTCTCCGCTGTATCCAAAATTCACCATTAAGCTACAAGTGATATTCCAATCCTACTAACTAACTAACTAACTAACTAACTAACTAACTAACTAACTGTTTACAATGGTCTTTAAGATAAGCTATAAATTTCCCCTATTCCTTATTAAAATTTTGATTTTCCTGATTTCTGATTCTTCCGGCATTTTAGCCATTTCAGCATAATCCATCAACTTGATCTGCCGTTATTCTAGCATTTCAATCTATTATTTTGGGTTCTCACCTCTGGAGCAGCAAAAAACCCAAGCTTGCTCCATCTTCCATGGTTCAGCCCTTGAGATCTTTGAAGATGGCTCTCCTGTCTCCCCTGAGACTCCTCTTTCCCAGGCCAAACACCCCACCTGTCTCAACCATTCCTCATCCAGCTGGGTTTCCAGGCCCTTGACCATCTTGGCTGCCTCCTCTGGGTGTCCGAATCGAAATTCTCCCTTCCTTCCGCTCCCTTGGGGAAAGGAGAGCAAAGCCGGCTGGGCTGTGTGGGCAGCCAGGGACTTATTTTAGGCTCTGCATAATCACAGGTTGTGCTTCAGTGGGAAGATGCTGGCCATCTGCGGGGGCCACGACTCTGGAGCAAGGAGGCCCCTTTCCCAGCATCCTTTGCTATGCCTTAAAAAAGGGTGCTTTTAATAGTGACACCTTGTTACCTGAAGGTCTTTTTCTGTTTATTGAGTGGTTTAACTTTGTTGCAGGAATTTAGGTACAGGTTGGGGGGGGGGTTGCCCCTCCAGCAGATATCATGCACATGCAGCCCACTACCAAAACCAGCGCAATCACGTTTGTGACTTTTGTGATTTGTCCCCACAAAACACTTCATCACAGTTTCTTCCTATCTATTCAAAGGGCCTTTGCTGCATGATACCAAATGTAAGAATTCACTGATAAATGCATCTATGTACTGGCTCACTGGGAAAACTTCAGAAATTCCTATAGACCTGTGAGCTCAGCTGCTCAGCAGCCCCTCTGCCTGAGTGATATTCCTGGCATCCTGACACCTGAGTGCCAGACAGGTAGCCATTCCAGGAATAAGGGTGTGATGAACTTGGCTGGGAAACAGGGAAATATCTCTTTTGTTCCACTTGATGGGTGTTTGGTGGAGGGCAAGGGGAACCATGGGGCAGGGTCCAGGATGCTCAGATTCCTGCCACCAGACCTCCCCTTTCATGATGTATGAGTGATGTAGTTTGGGGGGGTGTAACATGGAGATTAGCAGCTAATAAAAGTTTGGGTTCTCTTTTGTTTGGGGCTTCCATCTTGTTCCACCTGGTGGCAGGTGGGAGTCCTGTCGCCACAGTCTTCAATCAAGACCAAGCTTCCTGGCTGCTGTTTTGCTCTGGTGTCCTTGTTTTTTGTCCAAGGGAGCCCTCAGATTTCTCCATTAACAACTTCAAAAGGGGTGTGGAGGTTGCTGGTTTTGCTCAGAGAGAGGCTCCCCCCCCCCAGCAAACTGATCAGGGCCCCCCTCTTCTCTCTTCAAGACCCAAAGCACCTATTTCCCATTAGTTTCCCTGTTTGACTTCCCCTCTCCTGCCATACACAGACAGGCTCCCCGCTTCCCCTCCCCTCGCTCTGTTTACATCCTGCTCTGGAGGGCGGCACCCGAATTCGAATTACAGGGCAGGAGATTCCGACTAAACCTTAGCAAGGACTTTCTGGCTGCAAGGGCTCTTTGAGGGTGGAAGAGGGTGGAGACACTCCTGGGTCAGAAGTTTTCAAGCAGAGTTTGGATTGTAATCTGTCAGGTGTGTGTGTGTGTGTGTGTGTGTGTGTGTGTGTGTGTGTGTAATGAGTTGTGACTCCTCAATTGCAGGGGTGGACTAGATGACCCCTGCGGTTCCCTTCCAACTCTACAGTTCTATTCTTCTTCTTTTTTCCTCTTGCCAAAATCAGCTGCTGCTCCAGCTGTTTTGCTACACTTTTTGCTACACACACCTGTGCGTGTTCTGAGGTTTGCTCAGCTCCCCCAGCAGAATTTGTTCATTTTTACCCATTTCTTCCCCAAAACACTTGTTCCCAACCCAAATAAAGTGAGCAGGAGAGTGTCACCTGCCCCAGGGGATTCCCTGAGGCCCCTCTTGGAAAAAAAGCCCCCCCCCCCGGGTGCTCAGGGCCAGCCTTCTACCCTCGCCCCCAGCTCACGCTCCCCGCCCTGCCAGGCCCTGGCACTCAGGCCCCGAGGTGCCATCTTACGCCATCCTGGCCCTGGGACCCCATTGCAACTTACCCTGCTTCCTGCTCATGGCGCTGGCCTTGCCATCCTCTTGCCCGACGTTCTTCAGGTACTCCTGTATCAACCTACACCAGGCCAAGCCACAGGTCAGCAAACCAGGGGGCAGCGGAGGGTTGTGGGGCTTGGCAAGGGCAGGGGGCAGCAGGGAGCCTCTGGGCCTGGGCAGCGGGCGCAACGGTCAGGAAGGAGCCAAGGTCTGCCCATTCCAGGGACCGGCAGACTGAGGCATCTGCAGACAAAGAATTTTGGGCCGCTCCTGTTTGCTCAGGATCAAAATGCCTGATGGGGAAACTGCGCCTTGAAGGGGTGGGGAGGGACACTTGCAGTTCCTCATTGGGGAGGGTGCGTATTCTGCACATGCTCAGAGGCCCTCTTACTATATGCCAGGGATGAACTACCTGTATATGTTCAGAAGCTGCCTTACTAGATGCCTGGTTTGGGGGCTTGTGTGAGCACCAGGCCTAACTGAAAACTGACTGCTAAATGAACTAAAAAAGATATTAAAATATAATTTCAGCAAAAAAACAGAGGCATTCTTATTGGGGTTAATTAGCAAAGAAATTCATAAAAAAGATGTAAATTTGTTCATGTACGCCACAACAGCAGCAAGAATCCTCCTGGCGCAAAGATGGAAACAGCAAGAACTCCCCAGGCTGGAGGACTGGCAGATAAAGATGGCAGGATTTGTGGAGTTGGCAAAGTTGACGGGGAAAATCAGGAATCGACCCGATGAAAGGTTTCAAAAGGACTTATATATTATTTGAAATAAAATTGTAAATATTTGAAAACATTTGTAGCTTTAACACGAAATGTTTGGTAATGTGAAATTAAGATGCCAATTTACAAATGAGAGAGTGATTCTTAAATGTTGATATAAGATAAAGAAGTGATTATGGAAATGCGATAGATATGTTAAAGTTATAGGGAAGCCAGAAAAGAGGGAGGGAAGGAGGTCAATGCTCTGTCTGAGCAAATAATAGAAGCTGTGATATGTGTAATGAAATGAAATGAAATATGGAAAACTCAATAAAAATCATGTTTTTTAAAAAAAGAAAATTGACTGCTGGGGGGGAGGCAGAAGTAGAGGGGAGGGGGCCCATTCTCTGCCTGGCGAGGGACAAGGACTGAGCTGCCCACTTGTATTGTGAGGGGTGGACTAGAAGACCTTTGGGGTCCCTTCCAATTCTACAATTCAATATTTCTATGGTTCTATGGGGGGTGTTCCTCGACTTCAAGCCTGGGGGGCCCTTTGAGGGTGACAATGGAGTGGGAATTTGACGGGGTCAGAGGCAGAGAGACCTTGCCTCCCTCTCTGCCAGTCTCCCCCCCCCAAAGCGTCCTCCCCAGGGGCAAAGGGGTGTGATGGGCAAGGAACTCACCTGGCGGACTCCTGCCCTGGGTCGAGGGGGTTCGGGATGGGGGGCTCCCTGGCACTGGGGAGGGGCTCCGACCTAAAGGGCACAAAGAGAAGGTGTTGTTGGAGGGGGCACCAAGGACCCCCTCCCCAGCCCCCCACCCAGCTTCAAACCCCACCGTGCCTCCTTCCCCACCCCCAGGTTCCCACCTGGTACCTGTTAGTGCCATCTTTTGGGGCCGCCCAGCTGGCTGGCACCGCGAGGAGCAGCGCGGCCAGAAGCATTTCCTTCATCCTGGCACCGTGCAGAGGTTGGCACAGGAACCCGCCGTCCGCTCATGCCCTGCCAACGCGGCGGGCTGCCCGCTTCGTCGCTTCGGTGGGCACCGGGGTTTTGCCAAACAGCTGCCGGAGGTGGCGAGGGCCCAGGGGGACGCGTTCCCACGGGCAGGGGACAACCCCGAACACGGATTCCGACAGCGGACAGACAGACCCCGTTCACACGCAGGCACGCGCCTCCCCCGGGGACGCCCCAAGATGTGAGGATGCGCGCGGCCGCGGCGGCAGAATGGATTGTACCACTGCAGCGGGGAAAGGGAGATCACCTTGCGTGCCTGTCTAATATTCTGCACGTGGGAAAGGAGGACCTGGGTCCGGGGAGATGCCACCGCCCGCCCGCCGCCTTCTTCCTCCTCGCCCTGCCCGGCTGCGCAACACGAGGAATCTTCCTCTCCACGCGTGGATCGTGGGGATGACGGGCAGACCGAGGGACCCACGAGCGACCGGCGCTGATCCCCGGCTGCTGGCGGCCGTCCTGGGTCCACGTGGCGGGGCAGGCAGGCGCTGCCAGGCGCGCCCCAGGCGCCCTCCCTCGAGAGCTGCCTGCCAGGCGCTCCGACCATTGGGCCTCGCAGCCGGTCTGGGCGGCAGGCGGCTCCGACGTGGCGCTCTCCGAGGGAGGGGACTTTCCTGCGCAAAGGAACCCTCGGGAGATGATGCAAAGGCACCAGACACGCGGGCATAGAGAGATATCTAGTTGTTTTCAAGATGGGAAGGCTCCGTGCAGTAGCTTTTATGGGAACTAGGGGTCGTAGAACTTGGAAGGCACCCAGGGGTCATCTAGTCCAACCCCCTGCCACGCAGGACGAATTCCTGCCAGGAGGACACCTGTAATAAACGTAAATCTGCCCTTATTCCCTTATGGGGGACACAAGAGCCCGTATAGAGTCCTTTGTAGGTTCTCCATCAGTCGGAGGAAAAAACAGAGGCCAGTCAGAGAATATTGAGAAGCAAAGCAGCTAATAAGCCTGATCTTTATTGATCTGTTGCAACAGGATGCTCCCCTCACACGCAGGAGAAGGAGGAGGACCCAGGACAAAGGTGTGCCCGCCTTTAAATAGACATTTTAAATTGCCCACCCTGGAGTCCAAGACCACCCCTCCATACATCATACCTACATCACAGAAGAAATCACAGAAATCTGAGTGTGTTGTTTATCTCCTGTCTGGCAGGTTACCTCTTAATGCTCACTTGATTGGATACCATGGGGAGCCTGGCCAGTCTTTTGTAATGATAAATACTTAGTTCCTGAGCCAGGTCACAGGCTCACCCTATTCATACACAGACATACCCCTAAGACAGGATTTGTGAAGGAAAAGACAGCCACTGGGAGAGATCATCAGGGGGTTTGGGCTGGGTGTTCATCAGTATGCGGAAGATACCCAGCTCTACCTCTCTTTCAAATCAGAACCAGTGAAGGCGGTGAAGGTCCTGTGTGAGTGCCTGGAGGCAGTTGGAGGATGGATGGCAGCTAATGGATTGAGGTTGAATCCTGACAAGACAGAAGTACTGTTTTGGGGGGACAGGAGGCGGGCAGGTGTGGAGGACTCCCTGGTCCTAAGCGGGGCAACTGTGCCCCTGAAGGACCAGGTATGCAGCCTGGGAGTCATTCTGGACTCACAGCTGTCCATGGAGGCGCAGGTCAATTCTGTGTCCAGGGCAGCTGTCTACCAGCTCTATCTGGTATGCAGGATGAGACCCTCCCTGCCCACGGACTGTCTCACCAGAGTGGTGCATGCTCTGGTTATCTCCTGCTTGGACTACTGCAATATGCTCTATGTGGGGCTACCTTTGAGGGTGACCCGGAAACTACAACTAATCCAGAATGCGGCAGCTAGACTGGTGACTGGGAGTGACCGCTAGGACCACATAACACCGGTCCCAAGAGATCTGCATTGGCTCCCAGTACGTTTCTGAGCACAATTCAAAGTGTTGGTGTTGACCTTGAAAGCCCTAAACGGCCTCGGTCCAGTAGACCTGAAGGAGCGTCTCCACCCCCATCTTTCTGCCCGGACACGGAGGCCCAGCGCCGAGGGGCTTCTGACGGTTCCCTCACTGTGAGAAGTGAGGATACAGGGAAACAGGCAGAGGGCCTTCTCGGTGGTGGCGCCTGCACTGTGGAACGACCTCCCATCAGATGTCAAGGAAATAAGCAGCTATCTTCTCTTTAAAAGACATCTGAAGGCAGCCCTGTTTAGGGAAGCTTTTAATATTTGGTGTATTACTGTATTTTAATATTTGGTTGGAATCCGCCCAGAGTGGCTGGGGAAACTCAGCCACATGGGCGGGATATAAATAAATAAATTATTATTATTATTATTATTATTATTATTATTATTATTATCATCATCATCATCATCATCATCATCATCTTTCCTTCCCTCTCTCCCCTGCTCAGCCTGGAAGGGAGGGAAAGAAGAGTGCCTCTGAGCATGCACAGAGCTCTCAGAGGGGGACCCTTGTGCCGCTTTCCGGGTCCGGCCAGCTCCTCCTTCAGAAAGTGGGCTAAGGAGGAGCCTCCCTCCCTTTGGGCTCCTCCAGGCTGGACTGGGGCGCCCGCCCCAAAGATGGCCGCGGGTGGGCGGGGCCTGGCTTCATGCCCGTCCCAAAGATGGCCTCGCCGGTGAGGCCGGGCGGCTGGGTGCGCCTGCGCGAGCGCCTTCCCGTCCCGGCCCCTTTCGCGGGCGCCTCGTTGGCGCAGCAGCAGCAGCAGCACCTGCCCGACGGCGCGGACGGCGGAGAGATGCTGGGACTGTCGCTGCTGCTGGGCTTCAGCACCGGCTGGCTGGCCTATTACTGGGCGCGCGTCCCCAAGGTCAGGCGGGGAAGCGGGCGCTGCTCCGGGCAGCCTCGACGGGGCGGGCGGAGGCTGAGCCCCTTGGCCGGGGGAGAGGGCGCCCCGGGCATCCTTGGCACCCCTCTCGCGGGCGAGGGACTAGGCTGGGGGGACCCTTCTCCTTCCTCCCACCCCCACCAGCCCAGCTCCCCCGACGGCAGCCCGACGTGACCCCTGGCCAGGTTCCGAGGTGGAGGCAAGAGACACCGGGAGGGTCACGGGGAGATGGGGATCTCTGCTCCAGAGGCTGCTCGTGCCTCGCTCCTTCCCTCGGGGGTCTCGGGGCCAAGCCTGACATTTGCCCCAGACGGCGGGGTGGGCTGCCTGCCTGCCTGCCCACCTGCCTCTGGCTGGCATGTGAGGCTGAAACACGTGAAGCCAACCCCCGCTTTGGAAAACAGGTTCGGAAGTATTCATTAGGTGTCTGCCAAAACAATAATCAGGGACAGAAACTAGATTCCTCCCAGCCCGGTGGCCACGCCTGGTTTTGGCTCTCCCGGGCAGAGAAGCACCTTCTGAGGTTCTGGGCAGCTCAGTTTCAGGAGGATATGGACAAGCTGGAAGGCGGGCAGAAGACAGTGAAGGGTCTGGGAAACAGCCTTGTGAGGAACCGTGGAGGAAGTTGGGGTGTTTAGGCTGGAAGAGGGACCGAGAGGCAATGTGATCAAAGGCAGATTTAAGGAAGCGCAACTGGCTCAAATATTGGTGTTGCACATATGGTACTCCAGAAATTGGAGACCCCCAAATCTGCCACTGATATGGCGGTTCCCTCATTGCGAGAAGCCAAGTGACAGGGAACCAGGCAGAGGGCCTTCTCGGTGGTGGCGCCCGCCCTGTGGAACGCCCTCCCTTCAGATGTCAAAGAGATAAACAACTACCAGACTTTTGGATGACATCTGAAGGCAGTGCTGCATAGGGAAGCTTTTAATGTTTGACGCATTACTGTACAGTGGTACCTTGGGATGCGAACGGGATCCGTTCCGGAGCCCTGTTTGCATCCTGAACAGAACATAAGATGCGACGGTGTGTCTACATGTGGGCAGGTCGTGTTTTGCCGCTTCCACGCATGCCCGTGACGTCATTTTGAGCACCTGCGCATGCGCAAGCAGCGAAACCTGGAGGTAACACGCTCCGTTACTTCTGGGTTGCCGCGGAGCGCAACCCAAAAGCGCTCAACCTGAAGCACATTCAACCCGAGGTATGACTGTATTTTAATATTTTGTTGGAAGCCGCCCAGAGTGGCTGGGGAAACCCAGCCAGGTGGGTGGAGTATAAATAATAAATTATATTATTATGATGATGATAGCCATCTTCCAATATCTCAAGGGCTGTCACGTGTTTCCTCCTGCTCTGGAGAGTAGGACCCAAATGAATGGATTCCAACGACAAGGAGGGAGATCCCAACTAGACATTAGGAAGGATTTTTGGGCAGCAAGAGGTGTTTGACTGTGAAAGGCGTTTTTGCAGGAAAGAGCGAGCAAAGTCTCCCTGTGGAGCCAGGAGAGGACACTGCCTATGGGCAGAACAAATGCCAGCCGGAGGCCCCTTGGCAAGAGGCGGGAAAGCAACCTCTGTGTGGGCAGCAGCAGAGGCAGCTTAGAATGGTAGAGTTAGAAGGGACCCCTAGGAGTCATCTAGTCCAACCCCGCAATGCAGGACTATTGAACTCCAAGGAAGGAGAGCTCTGGGGCAGTGCTGTGGCCGCCTGAGCTTGAGCTCCCTGTGACCTTCCTCTCCCCCCCCCCCCGCAGCCCCCGCTGCTGGTGGCTTGCCAGCCCTTCCGCTCCTTCCTGGAGAAATATTGCCCCATCGTGAACGAGACCTTCTACCCCACGCCCTGGTGCTTCGAAGGACGGCTCCAGACCATCGTCCGCGTCTTCCTCAAGTCCAGCCCGCCCGTCTCCTACCGCAGGTCAGCCGGACGAAGGGGGGGAGGGAGCCAGGCCCGGGGTGGGGGCCGGTGCCAGTCTGCTTGGGAGATGGTGGGCATGGGGCTGTGATGCCAGGGAGCCTGTCTCACCCGCCTCCTCCTCCTTGCCCTTTCCCATCCAGTGAAGTGCTGAGGACCGCAGACGGAGGCCAGCTGCTGCTGGATTGGGCTGACGGCGAGAGCGGGCAGCACCCTGACCCGGAGAGCTGCCCCATTGTCCTGTTCCTGCCAGGCCTGACGGGCAACAGCCAGGAGACCTACATTCTGCACATGGTCCTGGGCGTCCAGCAACGGGGCTACAGGTGGGAAAGGGCACCCGGGGGGGGGGTCCTGGCATTGGCGGTGCTGTTACCTGTTGCGTTTACACCCCTCCTTTCTCTCCACGGAGTTCAAGGTGGCGCACAACAACCCTGTGAGGTAGAGTAGGCTGAGAGGCGAGTTTCATGGCCTAGGGGGGATTTGAACCCTGCTCCCCTAGGTCCTGGGACGCGGGTGGCGCTGTGGGTTAAACCACAGAGCCTAGGACTTGCAGATCAGAAGGTCGGCGGTTCGAATCCCCACAACAGGGTGAGCTCCCGTTGCTCGGTCCCTGCTCCTGCCAACCTAGCAGTTCAAAAGCATGTCAAAGTGCAAGTAGATAAATAGGTACCACTCCAGCGGGAAGGTAAACGGCGTTTCCGTGCGCTGCTCTGGTTCGCCAGAAGCGGCTTAGTCATGCTGGCCACATGACCCGGAAGCTGTACGCCACCTCCCTTGGCCAATGAAGCGAGATGAGCGCCGCAACCCCAGAGTCGGTTAGGGGTCCCTTTACCTTTACCCCCCAGGTCCTAGTACAACATTCTAACCATTACGCACTGCTGCCTTTTCCCATTCTTGTTTTCCACCCTAAGGTAAACTGATTCTGTCTATGGAGGTTCCATTTAGTAATCATAAAAAAATGAGAAGAGCCCGGCTGCTAGGTCTGGTCACAGGGGGGCCATCGGGTCCAGGTTCCCACAGCGGCCAACCAGGTGCCCCCCCTGCTTGGCCCTCTCCCCCCAGCTGCTGTTTCCCAGCAAGGGGCATAGCATGTAGCCACCATGATTTGCAGCCACAACTAGCCTTTTCCTGGGTTCTCACTCTCTTCCCGTCTCCCTCGCAGGGCTGTTGTGTTCAACAACCGAGGCTGCAAAGGAGAGGAGCTGCTGGTGAGTGGGGCCATAGCTGGGGGCGGTGCACCCCTGGGTGCTGGAGGAGGGGAGGGTGCTCTGGGACTGCAAGGCGAAGGCAAGATGGGCACCCGACTCCGTCTCTGCAGAAGAGGCAAGCCTCACCCACCATCTCCCCTTCTCCCTCCAGACCCACAGGGCTTTCTGCGCCAACGACACCGAAGACCTGGAGCTGGTGGTGGGGCACATCAAGAGCCGCTTCCCCCGGGCCCCCCTGATGGCGGTGGGCGTTTCGCTGGGCGGGTGAGGCTCCGGCAGGGCAAGGGGGGAGGCAGGTGCGAAACGGGAGCTGCGCTGAAGAGAAGCGGCTCCGTTGCCTCCCAGCTTGGGCCTCTCTCTCATAGGAAGGAAAGAGCACCAGGAGTGCCTGCAGGATCAGGCCCCTGGCCCTTCTAGCCCAGGATTCTGTCCTCACAGAGGCCGACCAGGTGCCCATTGTAGGAAACCCAAAAGCGGGAGTTGAGCACAAGAGTAACTCTCCCCTCCTGCGGTTTCCAGGAACTGAGATTCAGAAGTATTGCTGAGCCGAGCTAGGAGGGACCTGCTGAAAGAAGCCTGGGCCTCGCCCCCCCCCCCCGGAATCCCCCCCCCCCGCCTGAGGCCGGGTTTCCTTCTGCCCCCCAGGGGGCTGTTGCGGCTGTGGGGCTCAGCTCCCGCTTGCTTCTGGGCATCCGGGTGCCCCCTGTGAGAGCAGGGGGCTGGACTCAAAGGGCCCCTTTGGTCAGATCCTGCTCTTCTCTTGCCAGCCTCCCTCCAGGGCCCACCCACAAGGCAGGAGCTGGAGAATGACCTCTGCCTCCTGCTAGGACTCTTTTTATGAGCCAAGCTGCCTCTCCCCTAAAACAAATTTCCAGGGTGGCGGGGCAAAGGGCACAGAAACAGCTCCTGGCAGTGCCTAAGTCCTGGGCGAGGACACTCTGGAGCGGAGTCTCCTGCCAGTGGGTCTCTTTCCCAAAGGCTCCTCCTGCCCCCTCCCCTTCTCTTTAAGCCAGTTAGGAGTGAGGGTGTCCTGGGGGGAACCCTTTGGAAGGCGGAAGGCGCCCCTCGCTCAAGGGACCCACAGCCCTGACCTCCTGTGTCTCCGAATCCAGCCATGGTGGGAGGGGAGGGGAACTGAAATGCTGGAGAGGCTTTTGCGCCCACACAACCGGGACTGGGCTGCGGTTGATCATCTGGGTGAAAGGGAAGGCAGAGCCCAGCTTGCCCGGCTGTGGTGTTTACGGGAGCCGGTGAGTCAGCCTTCCTGCTCCTATGACTCAGGCGTTTGCTCCCAGCAGCCTCAGTCTCTGCTTGATGCTAGAGAAAGGTTTCCCTTACTAGCAAGAGCACGTTTGCCAGCTGGGGTGCAGGGAAGCCCCTGGGCAGCCTCCCAGAAGTACAGCTGATTTGTTGTTGTTGTTTAGTGGTGTCTGCCTCTTTGTGACCCCCTGGACCAGAGCACGCCAGGCCCTCCTGTCTTCCACTGCCTCCCGCAGTTGGGTCAAACTCATGCTGGTAGCTTCCAGAACACTGTCCCACCATCTCGTCCTCTGTCGTCCCCTTCTCCTTGTGCCCTCCATCTTTCCCAACATCAGGGTCTTTTCCAGGGAGTCTTCTCTTCTCATGTGGTGGCCAAAGTCTTGGAGCCTCAGCTTCAGGATCTGTCCTTCCACTGAGCAATCAGGGCTGATTTCCTTAAGAATGGAGAGGTTTGATCTTCTTGCAGTCCATGGGACTCTCAAGAGTCTCCTCCAGCACCAGAATTCAAAAGCATCCATTCTTCAGCGATCAGCCTTCTTTATGGTCCAGCTCTCACTTCCATACATCACTACTGGGAAAACCAGAGCTTGAACTATACGGACCTTTGTCGGCAAGGTGATGTCTGCTTTTTAAGATGCTGTCGAGGTTTGCCATTGCTTTTCTCTTAATTCAGCTGATAACCTTGACCCAAAAGAGCAAGGGGCTCAGTCCAGCTCTGGGCTGCCAGTCAGAGATGGTCTACTTGAGAAAGGGACCCCCAGGACTGCTAGGAATGCTCCAGCGTGACCCCGGAAGTGGCCTGTGGCAGCCATTGGTGTTCGTTTCCTATAAGCCCCGGTGTGGCAGATCTGATGGCTCCAGATGTTCCAGGTCTGCCCCGTTTGCCCTTCTGGACTGGCAGGCCTCCTCCTCCAGAACCTGCCCACGCTCTCCTGCCAGTGCGGAGAATTCGAAACCAGGACCCGGAAGTGCAAAACGGAAGTGGCTCAAGGGGGTAGGTGGGCTTTTACTGGAGCAGCTCCCTTGGGAGGGATGCCAGCCTTTGGCCTGCAGCCGTTTGGACCTGAAGAAATGTTCTGAGCAGCCTGGAAGCTGCCCTGAGTCTTGGGCCAAAAGAGGAGGGTGCGGGTGCCGTTCACAGTTCACTGCACAGAAGCGCAAGAAGGGCCTGCAGGATCAGGCCACTGGCCCCTCTAGTCCCGCATCCTGTTCCCCCAATGGCCCTAAAGGGCAGGATTCAAGCACATGAGTCCTCTCCCCTCCGGTGACGGGAATTCCTGCATTGCAGGGGGTTGGACTAGATGACCCGTGGCTCCCTTTCCGCTCTATAATTCTATGAATCCAGAAGGTTTGCTGCCTCTCAGTGTTGAGGCAGAGCAGAGCCATCGTGCTTAGTAGCCAGTGACTACTCCTCCTCCATGAATTTGTCTGCTCCTCTTTTAAAGCCACCCGTTGGTGGCCAGCACCGCCTCCTGTGGCAGGGAGTTCCATAGTTTAACTTTGTGGCGTGTGAAGAAGTCCTTTTTAAAAATCCATCCTGAATCATGCAATGTTCCACACTTTAACTATGTGCTACATAAAGGACTTTTTTTCCATTTAATAAACTTCTATTGTGCTGCCTTTTCTCCAGACTGAGAGGGCTTCCCAGAGAGCTGCTGGCCAATCAGAGTGGCAGCCTGCGATAGAGAGGGGCTTTGGGGGGGGCAGGACAGGGGTTGATGGTCCAGCTGTGCCCAGAACGTACCAGGGGCAAAGCCACCCCTCCACCCATTTGAAGCATCCCTCTGGAGAGCCAGTGTGGTGTAGTGGTTAAGAGCAGTGGACTCGTAATCTGGGGAACGGGGTTCGCATCTCCGCTCCTCCACCTGCAGCTGCTGGGTGACCTTGGGCCAGTCACGCTTCTCTGAAGTCTCTCAGCCCCACTCACCCCACAGAGTGTTTGTTGTGGGGGAGGAAGGGAAGGAGATGGTTCACTGCTATCAGGTGGGCTATCAAGTCCAAACTCCCCCAACTCCTCCTCCTCCTGCCCCCAGGATCCTGGTGCTGAACTACCTGGGGCGCAAGGGCCCGGAAGCCGGACTGGTGGCCGCCATGACGTGCTCTGTCAGCTGGGACTCCTTCGAGACCACCCACTCCCTCGAGAGCCCCCTCAACCAAGTGCTCTTTAACCAGCACCTGACGGCCAACCTGCGCAAGCTCATCCAGCGGTGCGTTGCTGGGGGGGGGGGGACCAGAGGCAGGTCTGGCATTCTGGCCCCCTTCCAGGAGGGAGGGGCCCCAAGACCCCCCTGCCCTTCGGCTCTTCCTTCCCAGAACCCCCCCTTCCCCCCCAGCTGCCCCCTTTTCCATTCCCTGCTCACACCTCAACCCTATTTTCAGGCACAGGAAGGTCATTGCTGAGCAAATTGACGTGGACCACGTGCTGAAGGTACTGCCCCCTCCCTGGTGGAGTTGGAAGGGACCCCCGAGGGTCATCCAGCCCAGCCCCCCTGCGACACCACAGCGAACCTTTTTGTGCTCTCTTTGCAGGCGCGCAGCATCCGGGAGTTTGACGAGCGCTACACGGCCGTGGCCTTTGGCTACCGCTCCTGCGAGGAATACTACCGGGCCGCCAGCCCCTGCCAGAAGGTGCACAGCTTCCGGGTCCCGGTGCTGTGCCTCAACGCCTCCGACGACCCCTTTTCCCCGCTTCACGGTGAGTCCCCCGGCCTTCCCCCCCGGCGGGCGCCCCTCTCCCCCCGGGCTCCTGCTCTCGACTGACCCCCATCCGCCTTCCTTGCAGCCATCCCCGTGAAGGAAGCCCAGAGCGTCTCCACCCTGGCGCTGCTGGTGACGGCGCGAGGAGGGCACATTGGCTTCCTGGAGGGGCTCCTGCCGCGCCACCAGAGCTACATGGACCGCGTCTTCGCCCAGTTTGCGGGGGCCGTCTTTGAGCACCAGGAAGAACTGGCGGCCGCCGTGGCAGCTGAGCAGGAGCAGCAGCTGCAGCAGTGCCACGAACAGGGGCCGGGCACCCAGGTGGCAACCTCCTAAGCAGAACCAGGGAGGAGGAGGGTCCCTGTGGCCCCCAGCGCAGGCCCTGTGAGCCCCACAGGTGGAGGGCCTGAGCCTGTTGCCCTGCTCCTTCCAAGGGGGGAAACCAGAGGCCAGCAGCCCCCCCAAGAGCCTGGCGCTGCTGGGACCAGGACCATGCAGAATACAAGATGGCTTTTCCAGTACCTTGGCGTGAGGCTGCTTCCATTCCAGGCGCAAAGGAAGCTGCACTTTTCTCGCCCAGAAACTTGCTTCCACCCGTGACGAGCCCTTTCCCCTCTTTCTTTGCGGGGGGGGGGGCAGCAAGAGCTCAGGGACAGAGCAGCTGTTCTGTCTGCAGAAGGTCTTGGGTTCAAACCCCTTTGACAGCGTCTCCAGGGAGGGCTGCGGAAAAAGACTCTCCGTCTGAAGCCCTGGAGAGCGGCTGCCAGTTAAAGAACTATAGAGAGTCAGAACAGCTGGCAAAGGACACCCATCTAAAATGGTCGCAAGTCGCTTTGGGTTGCCCAAAGTTACTAACAAATTTAATCAATAATCAATAACAATAATAATAATAAAACCCAAGAGAGCCACTCCCAGTCAGCAGCGACCACAGGAGGCCAAACTGGTGAAGGGAGAGAAAGAGCTGAGATCTTTGATTGAGTTGGGTCGATTTCCTGTAAAATAAACACACAAATGTGGACATTCTACCCCCACCTACCGCACAAAATCTCTCGGTGCCGCTCGGAGCCAGGCTGCATGTTGGGCAGCAGGTGTGGGGGCTTGTGTGGAGACCGACCCTCTGAAGACCATTCATTGTCCTTTCCACAACTGCTCTGGGCCTTGTTGCTCTCCAGCCTCTGATTTCCTGGTTCACTCCCTCAGGGGGTGATGGGCAGCCAGCTCAGAGCACACCTGGGCTGCCGCTGAACCAGGTAAGACTTGCTTGCACCTCAATGAGGGCAGAGGTCATTGGGTGGCATGCAAAGGCCGTTCGTAATACAACTTCATTGCTGGGAAAATAAAGGGCTGGCGTCATTTCAGGACATGGCAACTGGGAGCCAATGGCATCAGCAGGCAGGATCCTCACAGCTGATCTGCAGAAATGTGAGCTTCCTGGGAAGCTGGAGGAGCCCAGCGGCAGCTGAGAGATTCCTGACAGGCTTTGCACATGGCGGAGCAAAGGATCGTCTCAGCCGCAGGAAGGGAGAGGTTTAGAGTTACACGGAGGAAAAACAGATACTGGAGTTGAGCAAGAGGAAGGAGGTCAGATTACAGCTTAGGGGAATTTTTAGTGGCTTCATTGGGTCAACGCATAAGTCGTGGGTCATCTAAGTCCAACCCGCTGCAAGGCAAGAATCTGAGCTCTGATCAGCATTTCTGCAGCCTGGTGGCACATGCAACCCCTAAAAAGCGCATGTACCCACAAAAGGCACAAGCCCCCCTGCTCCCTTCCACCTTGTGCCCCGACCCCATGGGCACAAGGCCAGGTGGGGGTGCCAGGCTGCAGCTGTTTATTAGAGTGGGGAAGGGGTCCGACGTGGCAGACCACCTCCACTGCTCCATCCTGGCGCAAAACAGCCCCTTGCGCACCTGCAGGGGGCTCCAGCCCCGCCCCAGCCAGGAGGGGACAGACGAGGCAGGCAGGGAGCAGAGCTCTGGCTCCATCATCTCGTTTAATGGCAACTTGCAAGACCCCCGTCGTGGGGCTGGGAGGGGCCTCGCTTGCCCAACGCAGCCGAGGCTGGAATGTTTCAACGTGGCAGTCCAGAAGGGAGGAGTGGGGCTGCCCCACCCCGTAGTCACCAGCGGGGGGGGGGGACGACGACGAGAGTTCATGCCCCACCCCAAGACTTCATCTGTGGGAGTTCTGCCCCCCTGGCTCAGCCAAGCACACCTGTCCACAGGCTCTGAGGGGGCAGCCTTCGCCCCGGACCCCGGGGCCTTCTGCAGTCTGTGGGATGAGGAAGGGCTGGGCGCCCCCCAGCGCGGAAAGGGCAGAGCCGAGGCCTAGAGGAAGCCGGGGAAGGCCAGCTGGAGCAGCAGGACCGAGGCCACGATGAGTCCAGCGCACAAGAGCAGCATCAGCCACACGGGGAAGCTCCCTGCGAGGAGAGAGGGGAGACGAGTGAGCAAAGCAGGGGAGGGGACCCCCAAGCCCCCCTGCTGGCAAGGCAGGGGCCCCACCCCGACCTACGTCGGCAAGGGATGCGGTGCAGGCGGCAGCGGCTGTCCACGGCCACGCTGAGCAGGGCCGCCTCGTTGTCCTGGAGCAGGTCAGGGGTGTCCGGCAGGAAAGCCAACGCCGTCACCACTATGCCGTGCGCCTCTCGCACGTAGTACAGCCTCTGCGGGAGAGAAGAAGAGCCGGCCGGGTCAGGCCAAGGGCCGTCATGCCCCACACCCTGTTCGCACTGTCGCCAACCATATTCCCCAAGGTGATCTGAGCGCAAGAGCTCCCCTCTCCCCTCCTGTACCGGAGCCCGGAAACTGGAAACGGGAATCAAATTAATTCCAAGCCAAAGGCCAGGTGAACAACTCTGTCTTACAGGCCCTGCGGAAAGAAATCAGACCCCACAGGGCCTGGTCTCATGAGGCAGAGCGTTCCACCAGGCCGGGGCCAGTGCTGAAAAGGCCCTGCCTCTGCTTGAGGCTAATCTAACTTCCTTAGGGCCCGGGACCTCTAGGGCGTTGCTATTTATGGACCTTAAGGTCCTCTGTGGGGCAGACCGGGAGAGGCGGTCCTGTAGGTACCAGGGTCCTAGGCCTCGCGTGAAGGTCTTCCAGAGAGGGAGTGGGGGGTGATCGAACAGTGATGGGTCTCTCAGGATCTGCACTTGTTCCCCGATGCCATTTAGGCCCCCAGCCCCTGGAGGGAAGCAGCTGGCCACGCCTGCAGCGTGCCTGTCCTCAGGCTCAGCCCCAGCCCTGCCCAGCCGGCTTAGGGGGGCTTTTCTTTTTTGACACCAGCACCGCACGGTGGATCCCTCCCAGCTCGACTCCAGCCCTCTCTGTGGTCCAGGACCTGCCCAGGGCCTTTGCTGGCTCTCTCTTGCCCTTGGGCTAGCAGTGTCAGGCTGCCCACGAGGCCAGGAGCTGCCTGGGAAGGAGCGGGAAGTTGCCTACCTGCAAGGAGAAGGCCACGAAGATGGCCACGGAGCCCGTGACGGTGCCCAGCCCCAGGAATGTGCCCGTGTCACTGCAAGCACAGACAGACAGACAGACAGGCGTCAGCTTCAGAACCAGGCAGGCAGGTTTTGGGGGGACCCCCACACCAAAAGATGTAATTAGTATCGCTTCCATTGCACGGGAAATATAAAGGCGGCATAAAACACTTAACAAAACAGGAGAACAGGAGCATTGGCACCACATTTTTGGAAATCTTACATCACGGGGAGGCAAAAGTCACTGCAAATGCAAAAACAGAAGCTGGACCTCAATCGGGAGAAGATCGCGCAAGGCAAATTGTTCTGGCGTTTTCAGACAGGTGCTCTTTGCATGATCCGGAGGCAGATTAAAATAAACTCCCTTTAACCTACAGCAAACGTGGGTTGTGGGTGCTTGCCGTGTCGCAAGGGCTCTTGACGCCAGGCCTGCCAGGCTGCATTGCGCAACGTCTCCTTGGGTTGCGCTTCTGTTTGCCTAACAGCAATTGGCAAGTATGTCAAAAGTTTTTTAGCACTTTTACTTTCAAGGCCAGACGCATCTCGCCCCCAGAGCGCATGAAGAACCCCTCACTGGAGGTGTTTACGCAGAGGTCGGAGGACCAGCCACCAGGGACCCTTTAGCTGTGGTTCCTGCCTTGCAGGGGGTTGGACTAGATGGCCCGGGGGGGCCCTTCCAATCCTACAGTTCTGTGATTGTACGGTTCCTAAGAAAGGCAGCCTCCCTCCCTGAGGACTTCCAATGGGCCTCTCATGGCATTGTGGAGTTGGAAGGGACCCCGAGAGTCCTCGGTCCAGTATACCTGAAGGAGCGTCTCCACCTCCATCATTCTGCCCGGACACTGAGGTCCAGCTCCGAGGGCCTTCTGGCGGTTCCCTCGCTACAAGAAGCCAAGTTATAGGGAACCAGGTAGAGGGCCTTCTCAGTGGTGGCGCCCGCCCTCCCACCAGATGTCAAAGAGAACAACTACCAGACTTTTAGAAGACATCTGAAGGCAGCCCTGTTTAGGGAAGCTTTTAACGTTTGATGTTTTATTGTGTTTTTAATATTCTGTTGGGAGCCACCCAGAGTGGCTGGGGAGACCTAGCCAGATAGGTGGGGTATAAATAAATTATTATTACTATTATTACTATTATTATTATTATCTAGCCCAACCCAGCAAGGCAGGAATCTCAACTACAGCGTCCACCTGGGATTAAAGGAGAAAGGGCTCGACCCGAGACGGTGCGGTTTGCAGGCAGCGGGGAGCTTCAGTATCAGTCTTGCTCCAGCAGCCGGCCAAGGGGTCCGGCCCCTCTTTCGGCACCGTCAGATTCCAACCCCCAGCGGCCAGCAAGGCCAATGGTCAGGGAGGAGGGGAGTGGAGCCCCTCAGTGCCGGAGGAAAGCAAGAGAGGCGTGGCCCTACCTGACAGAGAGGCAGGAGACGACCTCGTTGCCGCAGGGCCTGGTGAGCAGCGGGAGGAAGCTGTGCCCGTCCCACTTGGTGATGTAGCAGGGGGGCGGGCGCCGCTCCCGCTTGTGGGGGATCTGCACCGTGTACAGACGCAGCGCCTGAGCCTGGTCTTCCACCGTCCCGAACCTGCGCCAGAAGGGGGAGGAGGCGTCAGGGGACGGACAGCCCACGCAGGGCCCTGCCTGCCCACCTGCCCACCTGCCCAGCCCGTTACCTGCAGGCCTGGTAGCGGTAGGCCTTTTCCGGGATGCCCGGGAGGTTCTCGTTCCAGTGCAGCCCCGTCACCATCTGGTCCCGCTGCCAGACGCAGCACTGGAAGTCCCGGCCCACCGTCACCACCTGCGGAGGGGCAAGAGGGCGGGGCTCAGGGAGGAGGAGGGACCCCAGGAACACCACCACCCCTCCTGGGTCCGCTGCTTTCCTTGCTGGAGGAAGAAGGAAGGCAAAGCGATGGCTGCTTCCAGCCTTGGCTCCCTTCTGCACCCAGCCTTGGGAGACTTGGAAGGTCTGGATTGGAACTCAGAGCTTCATTTCCACAAGCAGGGACTTTGGCCCCTATTCACAGTACGCTGCCCCAGGGGGAGCATTTTGCAGGAAGCCCAATGGCCTCAAGGAAGGGCTGGAAAAGGCCTAGCGACCCAACGGCAGAGGGGACCACGCGGGCTCAGAACCACGCATTCATTTTGCTCCCTGGGCCTGGCTGTGCAGCGCAGACCCATCGCCTGCCCCACTTTTTAAAAGGGGCCATTTGCTTTGAGCCCCTGGGCTGAGAGACGAGGAGAGACAAGGATGCAAAGCCCTCCCCAACCAAAATAAAAAACACACTTCATTTCCTTGACACATGAAGAGCCTGGCTGCTAGATTTGGCCCTGCATCCTGGTCTCATAGCAGCCGATCGGAAGTCCCCATGGGAACCCAGCGAGCAGGATCTGAGCGCATGAGCTCTCCACCCTCCTGCGGTTTCCAGAAACTGGCGTTCAGAAGCATCGCTGGCTGCGACTGGCCGGGGGCGGGGGGCACAGCCAGGAGGCACCAACCGGCCTTTTCTCCATGAACTGGTCAAATCCATTGCTCAACTTGCCTTTCTGGGGGTCTCTGGAGCCCCCCTCCCTTGCTCCAGGAAGTCATATGCTGGAGACCCCTCTGCACAGTCACAAGAGGAACAACCCACAGGCCCCATGGGCACCCCAAGGGCACCTGCCTTGGCATCGCCCATCTCCCTCCTCCTGCTCTCTCTGGGTCTCTGATCCCAGACAGCAAAGGCGCCTCTTCCCTTTGCAAGCGAGTGACTCTTCCAAGGACCAACAGGGTGGGGATCTCGGGTGCTTCTGCGGTGCCCCCTAAGAGACCCCCAGGGACCAGACCAGCACCCCCTCACCTTGTTGTCTGGGCTCAGCGCTATGTCCTCAATCTCCCCGTTGTGGGCCTGGAACTCCAGGGATTTCTTCATGCTGGGGAACTGCAGAAAAAAGGAGATATTTGGCACCACTGGCACCTCTTGCCCTCCCCACCATCACAGCACCCGTTCAGGCGCCCTCCCCTTACCTCCCAGACGCGCAAGAAGCCGTCCACGCCCCCCGTGGCCAGGAGAGTGTGGTCGTGGTTGAAGCAGACGGCCTTCTGCAGGGCGTCTGGGCTGGTGTCCGTCTGGACGCAGTGCAGGGTCTCCACGGCCACCTCGCTCGTCTCGCTGCGCATGCCGCCGTTGCTGCCCGACCCGCTGGGGGTGGGGGCCTTGCGCCTGCGGGGGCCCTTGTCGCCAGCACCTGGGGGCGCAACGGAAGAGATTGAGGGCTGTGGCCAACTCTGCCCACTCGCCGCCCACCATGCCCCTTCCCTCAGGGAAGACGGAGCAAGACTGCAACGGAGGAGGCCGCAAGCTGGCATTCCGCTGCTCCGGAAGGGACCCAAACCAAGAAAGGAGATTCCGGTGAAATATCAGAAAGAACTTTCTGGCGGTAAGAATGGACTCCCCTGGAATCGATTTTGCTTCCTTGGAGGTTTATAAACAGAGACCAAACGGGATCTTTGAGCTGCGATTCCTGCCTGGCAGGCGGTTGGACTAGATGTCCCTTGGGGATCCCTTCCAACTCTACCGTCAGCCCCGCCAGCGGATCCCCCTCTGCCCCTCTCTCCAGGGGTCGGCCCCCACCTGCTTTGTCGGGAGCCCCTTCGGCCCCCGCCTCCGCTTTCTTCCCGCTGGGCTTCTGCAGGCGGAAGCTGAGGATGTGGCAGGAGGCGTCCTGCCCGGCCGCGATGAGGTCACCGGCCAGCGCCATGGTCATGGTGGCACGGGTCTCCGTGTCGTGGGCATGGAGCAGCGAGGCGCACAGCTCCCCCCCTCGCCAGTCCAGCTGCAGGAAATGCTTGGGGGGGGGGGAGAGAAAAGAGAGGGGGGCAGGTCAGCCATTGCCAAGAAGATTAACCCCTTCGTGCACCCCCCCCCCCCCCGGGACAGGGCTCCCCTCTTCCCCTTGCCCTGGGGGGTCTTCCAGGCCCTCCTCCCCCTCGGGCCAAGGAGAGGGGGGCAGGTCAGCCATTGCTCAGAAGATTAACCCCTTCGTGCATCCCCCCCCCCTGGGACAGGGCTCCCCCTCTTTCCCCCTGCCCTGGGGGCGCTTCCAGTCCCTCCTCCCCCTCGGGCCAAGGGGGCACCCAAGAGTGCCAAGGAGAGGGGGGGAGGTCAGCCATTGCTCAGAAGATTAACCCCTTTGCACCTCCCCCCAGGACAGGGCTCCCCCTCTTCCCCAGGCCCTCCTCCCCCTTGCCCGCCGTGCCAAGGGGGCACTCGAGGGTGCCAAGGAGAGGGGGGGCAGGTCAGGCATTGCTAAGAAGATTAACCCCTTCGCGCCTCCCCCCAGGACAGGGCTCCCCCTCTTCCCCAGGCCCTCCTCCCCCTCGCCCACGGTGCCAAGGGGGCACTCGAGGGTGCCAAGGGGGGGGGGCAGGTCAGCCATTGCTCAGAAGATTAACCCCTTCGTGCCCCCCCGTGCCCTCACCAGGCCGTTCTTGATGCCCGTCTTGGCCGCGCCTCCGCCGCCCGCGATGAGCGCCAGGCGGGCCCCGCGGTGCACGCGCAGGGCGTAGAGCGGGAAGGGCGCCCGGTAGAGCTCCGGGGGCCGCCGGGGGGCCATGGCGGGCGGGTCAAAGGTCAGCTCATGCCCGCGCCCCCTCCTCGCCTCTTCCTCTTCCTCCTCCTCCGCAGCCCCGCTGGCTCAGGTCCCGAGTGGGCATGCGCGGACTCCCGGCCCACGTCAGCGCCCAGCCCGGCCGGCGAGAGAGGCGTCAGCCCCGTCCCTCCGTCGCCTCGCGCGCCATCTTTGGGAAGGGCGGAAGCCCGGAGTCTTAAAGAGACAGCGGCCTCCGAGATGCTGCGCCTGCGGCGGGGCGCGCGATCCTGAGTTAGTTGCAGGTTCAAAAGTCTTGCCTCTTCTCCTGGGTCCCAGCCAGGGCCGGGTTGAGGTCTGATGTGGCCCTCAGCCCCTGAAGGGAACGGGGCCCTTTCTCGGTCCAGCTGTCCTTTGCCAACAACAAATGGTCGCTGTTTTTAGTGTTGAATAGATGCTAGATGGTCATTGATGGACCTCACAGGCATCTCAAGCCTGTGTTTCTATGCAACCAGTCCAGGCAAATGTCGGCACCCTGTACAAAGACAGGAGCAAACCAGGGATCTTTTATGGAGCAGGCGAGCAGGCGGGGGCCACGACTTACATCCTAGGAGCCTACGCAACACAAAACACTGTTGCTGTATGTATGTAGGTGTTATTTCATTTGTTTTTTATCTTACATTTTGGAAATGTATATCCAGGTCTTTTCCTTTAATTTTTTTTTTTGGGGGGGGGCAAAAGAATGGAGCCCTAAGCTATAGTTTGTTTAGCCTATACAGTGGTACCTCAGGTTAAGTAATTTGTTCTGGAGGTCCGTTCTTAACCTGAAACTGTTCTTAACCGGAAGCAGCACCACTTTAGCTAATGGGGCCTCCCGCTGCTGCCGTGCTGCCGGAGCACAATTTCTGTTCTCATCCTGAAGCCAAGTTCTTAACCCGAGGTACTATTTCTGGGTTAGCGGAGTCTGTAACCTGAAGCGTCTGTAACCTGAGGTACCACTGTATGTAAATCCAGCACTGGTCCCAGCTCTGGCCAGGAGTGAAGCAGCCGCCGCAGCAGCTGCCCTCCTGCCTCGCTCGCCCCTTTCTTCCCTCCCCGGGGGGAGCACAGCTGTGCCGCCACTTTTTGATCAAAAGCTCCTGGGGAGCAGAGACTTAGGAAGAGAAGTGGCCCATCTGGTCCGGCAAAGACCCCAAACAACCTAGGAACCAAGATAGACTGCCTCTGGACCTGGAGGTTCCAGAAGAACAGAAGACGAGCCTGCCGGATCAGGCCCAAGGATCAGGCCATCTCGTCCAACATCCTGGTCTCACAGCGGCTGAGGAGAAAACCAGCAATCAGGATTCGAACACAAGCACCATTCTCCCCTCCTCTTGTCTCCAGGAACTGGGATCCAGAAGCATTGCTTCCTCGACTGTGGAGGCAGAGCAGCGCCATCCTGACTAGGAGCCATCGAAAGCTCCTCCTGCATGGATTTGTCCCATCCTCTTTTCAAGCCGTCCAGGTCGGTGGCCATCAGTGCTTCCTGTGGGAGGGAGTTCCACAGTCTAACACTGCGCTGTGTGAAGAAGATGGGCCAAACAGGAGACAAAGCAACTCTGGGAGCTAACAGAATTTGTTGTAAACCTCTTTTCAACACAATACCTTTGCTGCCTCCAAAGCTGTGGACAGGGACCAGCAGCACACTGTGCTTGCGATATCTCAGTGAAAAGAAATGAAATGGACTACTACTACTCGGACTACTGCAATGCGCTCTACGTGGGGCTACCTTTGAAGGTGACCCGGAAACTACAACTAATCCAGAATGCGGCAGCAAGACTGGTGACTGGGAGCGGCCGCCGGGACCATATAACACCGGTCCTGAGATTGGCTCCCAGTACGTTTCCAAGCGCAATTCAAAGTGTTGCTGCTGACCTTGAAAGCCCTAAACGGATTTGGTCCATATACCTGAAGGAGCGTCTCCACCTCCATCATTCTGCCCGGACAACTGAGGTCCATCTCCGAGGGCCTTCTGGCGGTTCCCTCCCTGCGAGGAGCCAAGTTACAGGGAACCAGGCAGAGGGCCTTCTAGGTGGTGGCACCCGCCCTGTGGAACGCCCTCCGATCAGATGTCAAGGAAAGAAACAACTATCTGACTTTTAGAAGACATCTGAAGGCAGCCCTGTTTAGGGAAGCTTTTAATGTTAGATGTATTACGGTATTTTAATATTTGGTTGGAAGCCGTCCAGAGTAGCTCAGGAAGCCCAGCCAGATGGGCAGGGTATAAATAATAAATTATTATTATTGTTATTATTGTTATTATTATTAATAATATACTTGAATTCCCAAGAGTGCCTTCTGCGCCCACGAGGCAGGCTGGTCCTCACTGCTGAAAAGGCCCCATGTGCCGGAGGGGAAGGAAGGCCAAGGATGTGATCCTGCAGAGATTTACTTGCAAGCCAGCCCTGCTGTGTTCAGGGCTGTTTACTTGCAAGCACCCCCGCATAAGGACAGAGCTGCAAGGAGCAGCTGGTCCCATCCTGCCCCCTAAGTATAGCAAGCCAGGCGGGTCCTGGGAGGGAGAGCTCCCCAGCAGGCTGGCAGGGGGGCCCCCCAAGCTGCACAGTTTTTAAAAAGAATTAGACAAATTGAGGATGGCTCTGCTCTACCCCCAGAATCAGAGGCAGCCATGCTCCTGAATCCCAGTTGCTGGAGGCCGCAGGAGGGGAGAGTTGCTCTTGTGTTCGAATCCCGCTTGCAGGTTTCCCATAATGTACCAAGTAAGAAGCACACCAAGAACTCTGGCCAATATACGTTTCAATAGTGGGAGTGGTCCCTCCTCGCTAATCAATAGTCAATTGTAACAAAAACTAATCCATTCAAAAGTATGTATTCTGACAAACTCAAACTCATAAGGATATGTATAACACAATAATTTGTTACAGTATTAAAGATAAGAGTTTATGAGTAGAGATAAATTCATGTTAGTCCATAGTCAGATTTGACTCCTTATGAGTTTGAGTTTGTAATCTCTGAGTTTGTAATCCTTGTCAGAATGCATACTTTGAATGGATTAGTTTTTGTTACGATTGACTATTGATTTGCGAGGAGGGACCACTCCCACTATTGAAACGTATATTGGCCAGAGTTCTTGGTGTGCATTTTTCTTGGTATATTTAATAACAAGGTTTCCCTTAATGGTTGTCCACGGTGAGAACAGGAGGCTGGACTAGACGGGCCCCTGGCCTGATCCAGCAAGCTCTTCTTATGTGCTCTGTGTGTTGCCGAGCCCCTGCCTGCCTGCCCCAAAGCAAGGCCCAGCATTGCAGCGGGTTGGACTAGATGACCCTTAGGGGTCCCTCCCAATTCTGTATTTCTATGATTCTCTGGCCAGGCTCACCTGGAGGGCTGCAGGTGCCCCTGCCATGCTCAGGGCTGGCACAGAGGCAGGGGGCCTGCGTTCTCCGAGGTCCTGTGGGTGGGACGGGGGGTCTTTTTCTGGAGCCAGCTGGGTGGAGCTGCCTGAGCTGTCCCAGCAGGAGGCTGGGCTGGGGCCGGATCCTCCCAGCTGGGATAGGGGCGCTGGGAGTCCTCCTGGCGGCCGCAAAGCACATCTGGCCCCAGAGGAGGAGGATCAGGGCCAGCAGCAGGAGGGATGGCTGAGCCGGAGTCTGTGGCCGGGACCGGGGAGAAGGCGCTTGGCCCCTGCGCCCCCCAAGCTGCCTGCCTCCTGTGCCGTGGGAGTAGCAGCCAGAGGGAGTCCCAGCCGTCCTCATCCTTGGGCCGCAGACGGAGGGGACCAGTGGGGCTGAGCAGGAGCCAGAGAAGGGGCAGCAGAGCCAGAGGAGCCGGCCGGCTGCCCGGGGAAGAAGTGCCAGTCACAGCTGCAAGGAGGGTAAGGAGGGCAGCAGCCAGGGGGCAGCCGATGGCTCAGGGGAGAGGGTTGCTCTCACGCTCGGATCCGGCTCGTGGGTTTCCCGCAATGGGCATAGGAGGCTAGACTAGGTGGAATCCCCACTGACCAGCAGCTAGGCTGGTGTGATAGAACAACCCAACAAAGGCCCAACAAAACACTGATTGATTGATTGATTGATTGATTGATTGCACTTCTATCCCACTAGAGAGCATAGGAAGCTGCCTGTGTTCCATCTAGCTCAGTATGGCCTACTCTGACCGGCAGCCACTGCTCTCTAGGGTTTCAGGCGCGGAGTCTCTCCCAGACCGGGACCTTTTGCATGGAAGGTCTGCCGCTCTGCCACTAAGCTACGACCCTCCAAGGCGCTCCAGGTTGTGTACATGGTTCTGTCCCTCCCCATTTTAGCCTCACAGCAACCCTGCCAGGGAGGTCAGGCCGAGAGCGACTGACTGACTGACCCACGGCCACACCCAGTCTGCTTCCTGGCCGAGTGGGGATTCGAACCCTGGTCTCTGCCAGGCCCCATTTGGACACTTCTGTGGCACACTGGCGCTTACGCAGCTGGGTTGGCGCTGTGGGTTAAACCACAGAGCCTAGGACTTGCCGATCAGAAGGTCGGCAGTTCGAATCCCCATGACGGGGTGAGCTCCCGTTGCTCAGTCTCTGCTCCTGCCAACCTAGCAGTTCAAAAACACGTCAAAGTGCAAGTAGATAAATAGGTACCGCTCTGGCAGGAAGGTAAACGGCGTTTCCGTGCGCTGCTCTGGTTTGGCAGAAGCGGCTTAGTCCTGCTGGCCACATGACCCGGAAGCTGTACGCCGGCTCCCTCGGCCAATAAAGCGAGATGAGCACCGCAACCCCAGAGTCGGCCACGACTGGACCTAATGGTCAGGGGTCCTTTACCCCATAGGTAATGGCACATTGGCTCTTATGTGGCTGGAAATGTAGGGAGTCGTAGGTTTGGAAGGGTCTCCCAAGGCTCATCTAGTCCACCCCGTTGCAGTGCATGAATTGCAGCTAAACAGCTGGAACAAAGGGACATAAAAGGAGCACAAGGGCACCCTCAGCCAAGCCCCCAGTTCTGTGGGCAGTGGGTCATGTGATGTCCTTGCTCTGGGGCCAGAGGAATGTGTGTCTTGGGCATGGCCAGCCCAGCAGGCGGACAGGGTCATTGGTAGCCCCACCTTGGGCTGATGCCTCTGCGTCTCCTCGTCCTCAGGGCCGCAGGAAGGCCCCCGTTGCCGCCCGGGAGCGAAGCCGCGTGCAGACCCTCCGCCAGGCTTTCCTCGCCCTGCAGGCGGCGCTGCCCGCCGTGCCCCCTGGCACCAAGCTCTCCAGGCTGGACATCCTCCTCCTGGCCACCAGCTACATCACCCACCTGAGCCACACCCTCCAGCAGGGGCCCCTCGCGCCCAGGATGCCCCCAGCAGCCTTCTTGCACCCACTGAAGGTAAGGGGGGGGGGAGAGGGCTGGTCTCCCCCTCTTGGGGTCTGGCATTGGAGGGAGCTCGCTTTGGCAGCATCTGCCACGGAACTGGCAAGACCAAGTCGCACGCTGAAGCACTGGTGGTTTCCTCACAAGGAGCCCTGCAAGGCGGGCAGAGTCCCAGAGTCCTTTGGGGAAGCCCTGGGGGGGGAGTAGCAGTGGTGGTCCCTGGGCCTCCCCCAAGTTTGTTTGCTTCGCTTCATTTTTGGCCTTTGCACCCTGCTCTTCTGCCAAAATGGCTTCCAGTGCGACCTATATACATTTGAAATGAGACAGGCCCTGCCAGCCGGCTAACACCCCCCAAAAAAAACCCTCACAGCGTGCAAGGTAAAAGCAACAGGGAGGGAAGAGGAAAACTCAAAACCACTGATTTTGAAACAGTTGTTCCTATTATGATTGGCTGGCCCAGACCAGAGGCAGGAGGGGCCCGACAGAGCAGCAGGGCTCCTCTCTCTCCTTCTCCCCCTCACCCCCCATCTCACCTTCCTGTCTTGCAGAAGTGGCCCCTGCGCTGCGCCCTCTATGTGGGCTCCTGGCCTGGAGGCCGCCCTTCCACAGAAGCAGCAGTCGCACCCTTGCCTGCCCCCGGCGGGTGGGCTCAGATGGGTCCTGACGCCAGGGGGGCACAGCCATGACCCGTCTCCCTGAAGCAAGATCTGACGGTGGACCGGACTCCCTCGGAAGAGAGACGATTCTCTAGCTGAGATTCCTGCACTGAAGCGGGTTGGGCTGGATGACCTTTGGGGATCCCTCCAACTTTACAGTTCTATGATTCTCCCTGGGATGATGGCGCCATGGAGTGCTTCCTGCCTCATGGAAAAGCCTGGATGCCCCCCAACTCTCCTCTGCCCTCTGGGGCTGCATTTGGAGGGACAGTCGAGTTCCCGGCTGCGCTCTTCCCAGAACGGGTTACAGGACCCCTCTGGACCCCTTAAAAGCCGTTTGCAGGGTGGACTGGAGTCCCTATCACCTAATGCAGGAGGTCTTAGGTGGGTCAGAGGGAGGCGACCTGGTGCAAGACCACTTCCAACATTTCACAGAATCCTCAAGTCGGAAGGGACACCTGGGGTCATCTAGTCCAACCCCCTGCAATGCAGGAATTTGTTCATAAACATCTTTTATAACTACTCTATATAAGCAGCTTGCCTTCGCGTGGGGCTCCCCCTCCTGCAGTGCGTGCTCAGACCTGCTGCCTGCTGGAACCCTAGAGGTGGAAGGGACTCCAAAGGTCCTCTAGTCCACCCCTGGCACTGAGCTTATGGCCCCCTGCTATGCCATCCCCCCAGTCTGTTTCCAAGGCTAATGGAAAGGGCTGGTTTTGACTGCTAAAGCCCTTCAGGGTTTGGGACCAGCAGGCTGTGGGGCTGGCCTGCCTCTTCCTGCGGGATCCTCTCGGCCTGGAGCCCAGAGGACGGGCCTTTCCTTGCCAGAGACCCTCCCCCAGAAAGGCCTTCCTGAATTTTTGGGGGTTTGGCACAGACAAAACCCTTTTATCTCCCCAGGCCTTTGAAACTTGCAGCAGCTTTGGACAGCTGTTCTTCTTTGAGTCTTCCATCTTGTGCTGTGGGTCCCAATCTTTTTGGGGGGCCTGCCCCCTAGGTTCCCTCCATGCATCCCCAGTGCCCCCTACCCTACAGAAAACCCTATTCAGAATGGCTGTTTGCGTGTCTCGCTCCGAGGAAGAGAACTCCATCAGATCCAAACCAGTCACGATGACAGTTTATTCAGATTCCAGTTCAAACCAGTTGAATTTGAATTTGATCTGGTGAGACCAGCTGACCGTCATCTCCCCCTCCCTCTCAGCGCCCCCTAGGCAACCCCACCCCCTACTTAGGGACCCACAGACCTAGTGCTTAAATCTTGATGTTGCACCATGCTTTTCTTGCACTGAATTTTGCCAGCTCCTGAAACACATGCAATCTGTGGCAGCTATTAACAAAACTGCATCCTTTGCACAGTGTGGCTCTGAGCATGTGCAGAGTGCGTTTCTACGGCTGCAAGAAGATTGGGGTGGATCCCCTGGGTCCTTGAGGAGCGGGTCTGGGCAGCCTTGGGCCATCTTTTTTTCTGGAAGAACCCCATAGGAGGCATGGGGGGGGGGAACCTACATTTGGCAGGGCCTGCCTGTGGGGCTAAGAGGAGCTCAGGCTTCCAGTTCCTGCTTGTGGGGCGATGGGGGGAGAGGGAAGGCAGCCTCGTCTGTTCTTCTCTGGGAAAGGGGGCTGGGGCCAAGGCCGAGCTCATAAATCCACCCTGGCCCCAGACCAAAGCCTGCCCTAACGAGCGAGCGAGCTAACGAGCTTTCTTCCTCCTCCTCCAGGCAGGACCCTCAAAGGTCCGTGGAAAGAGGGGTCACCCCGCCCTGCAAAAGTCCAGCTGCTCCCAGACAGGAGATATTTTTAGGGGGTGAATTGGCGTTGAGGGTCCCAGGAAAAGTTGGCTCAGCTGGGCCCCCCCCTCCCCACGGCTTAAGGGGCCGGAGCCGGAGCCAGGGAGAGCGGCTTATGGGGCAGAGGAGCCTAGGGGAAGGGTTGGCATGTGGGGCACTGAGGCAAGGCCTCCGGAGCTGCTAGGACTTCTTCGTGCAGTTAACCTACGGAACTCACTGCCACTGGAGGCAGCAAGGCTCTTGAATGCCAGTTGCTGGGAAGCAGTAGGGGGGGAAAAGACAGTCACGGAACCAAGAAATTACACAAAACAAATGAAATACCGTGAAAATCCCTGAAACGAGAAGTAATCGACCAGAAATAAACTAAATAATAAAAATCAAAAAGTTTAAGGAAAAAATTAGAAAAACCTAGAATTGTACAAAGCGTTACGAGGTTTGTAGCCGGCATCCCGTTAAGGCTTTGTACAATTTTCCAATTTTTTCCTTAAACTTTTTGATTTTTATGATTTCGTTTATTTCTATAATAAATATTTCTAGTCGATTACTTCCCGTTTCAGGCATTTTCGCGGTATTTCATTTGTTTTGTGTAGTTGCTGGAAAGGGCAGGAGAGGAGAGGGATATGGGGTTCGAATCCTGCTTGTGGGTTTCCCAAAATGGGCATCGGGGAGGAAGTTCCACAGTTTCAAAGAATCACAGAGTTGAAGGGACCCAAGGGTCATCTAGTCCAACCCCCTGCAATCCAGCAATCTCAACTAGATCAGATGGCCGTTCAATCTGCTTAAAAACCTCCAAGGAAGGAGAACCCACCACCTCCCAAGGGAGTCTGTTCCACTGTTGAACAGCTCTTTCCATCAGAAACTTCTTCCTGTTTAGTCAGAATCTCCTTTGTTGTCACTTGAAGCCATGGGTTCGAGTCTTACCCTCTACAGCAGGAGAAAACCAGCTTGTTCCCTCTTCCATGGGAAAACCCATGAGATATTTGAAGATGGCTGTCGTGCCTCCTCTTCTCCACCCAAACATACCCAGCTCCTTCAACCATTCCTCATCAGGCTTGGCTTCTTTCTCATTCCGGCTGCCCTCCTTTAACTCTGAAGGCGACGGGCCAACCAGGAGACGGACCAAATTTGGGAGCCGCAACCCGCCAAAGGTGCAACCATGGCTGCAGGAAAAGCCAGAGGGTCACAGGGAGCTCCTGTCCTCTCTGCAAAGCTGGGAAGACACCGTTGCTTCTGCGCTGCCTCCCCAATTCCCCCCCAGTGTTGACCTCTTTTATGGGGAGGGACACCAGGGACCCACCAACCTGAGTTTCCCGAAGATGGAAGCCCTGCCAGGGACCCCCCAAACCCAGGAGGAAACAGCAGCAACAGCTGCCTTGCTGCCTCTCGCCTCCTGGCAGAGAAGGGCCCGTTTGCTGGATCCGGCCGAAGGGGACCCATCTAGACACAGAATCCTAGAACTGCAGAGTGGAAGGGAGCCTGCGGTCATCTAGTCCAACCCGCTGCAGTGCAGGGATCCTGTTCTCGCAGAGGCCAGCCAGGGGGCTGTGGGAGGCGGGCAAGAAGGATTCGAACTCCCTGGCGAGTTTCCACCCAGAGCCACCTTCTCCTCCACGCATTTATCTAACCTTCTTCTCAAGGTGCTGGTCACCACCTCCTCCTGTTTTCCAGGGTCTATCCAGCCTGTGATTTCCAGGTTCCTCCCTCCGCCTGCATCCCTGACTGCTGTTTGCATGAGGCAGTATGGAGTAGTGGTTAGAGTGTTGGACTGGGATCTGAGAGAAAAGGGTTCAAATCACCACTTGGCCACGAAGCTCCTTGCGTGACCATTCTCTGTCTTTTTCTGCGCCTGGCCTACCTCACAGGGTTGCTGTGGGGATTAGGAGGAGGGGGAAAGAACGGTGGGCTCCACGTTGAGCTCCTGCGGAGCAAAAGTGGGTTGTTATAATAATAATAAAAATGTATTTATTCCCCAGCCAGAAAAAAAAAAAATTAAAATACAGGTTAAAATGCAATTTAAAATGCAGCCTCATTTCAGAAGTCAAGACCATAAGGGGAGGGAAACATAAGGGTCAGACTGAGTCCAAACCAAAGGCCAGGAAGAACAGCTCCGTCTTGCAGGCCCTGCGGAAAGATGTCAAGTCCCACAGGGCCCTGGTCTCTTGTGACAGAGCATTCCACCAAGTCGGGGCCAGTACTGAAAAGGCCCTGGCCGTAGCTGAGACCAATCTAACCGCCTTGCGACCTGGGACCTCCAAAGTGTTGTCATTTGTGGACCTTCGGGGCATACCAGGAGAGGCAGTCCCGTATTATAAATATAATAAATAAGTTCCAGCGGACACAACAACGGGCCCCACATACGCAGCGGCACTCCTTGAGCAGAGCCCCAGACGTCTTCCGAGAGCAGCCCAGCGAGGCAGGATTTGAACCCGGCTCCCCCAGCGCCCAGCTTCCACCCATGAAGCAGCCAGCAGCAACAAGAACCGTTTTTATTAACAGCAGCCAAAATCCTGCTCTGAGCATCGTCAGAAAGGCAAGGAAACAGAACCGCTCAGAGGAAGTGCAACACAGGGTACAGAAAACAGAAAAGGAGCGGGGATGACGAGGCCCACAAGCGGACGGGGGGGCTGTCGTCAAGGGAGTCACTGAGATGGAGGAATGTCTGCGCTCCCCCCCCACACTTGGTGGAAGGGCTGCTGGAGGGGGGAATGGAATGAGAAGGTCGCCCCCCACCCCACTGAAGGTCCAGGGGGGCTTCTTTGGTGAGGCCTCAGGTGGGTGGGCTGGAGGGCTCTGAGGGCGTTTGGGTGGCAGGAGGACAGACACTCCTGCCTTGCCCAGTGTGCTTGAGTTACGGGGGGCAGCAGCCCCCCACCCCCACTTAAGAGATTGGCACATTCGCAGTATGGCAGGAGGGACCCCGGAAAGGGCTGCTCCATCACCCAGGCGTGGGGTCTGGCCTGACCCCCCTCCAGTGCTCATCCAGGATCCAGGCAGAGCGGCCCAAGGAGGGTCCGAGACCCCCTTCTCCCTGGGGGGTGTCCTCTCTCGGGACAGAGCCAAGCCCCGCAGACGCTCCCGCCGTCCCGCTCAGAGGGCTGTCTCCCGCAGGATGTAGCTGTGGCTCCCGCCTGGCCGGGCCGCCCCCTCCCCGGGGGGCTCCTCTCCCTCATCGCCCCCCCCAAGGGGCAGCCCCTCCGGCAGACCGTTCAGCAGCCCGTTGCTGGTCTTCTCCACAGTCAGGGGAACCGGCTCTGAGCAGTTTCCATCCTGGGCAGAGAGAGAGAGAGGGCACAAGTCAAACTCCAGCTCTGCAGGGATGCGGTTTTTCTTTACCAGCAGAACCATCTGCATCACTTGGAACCACAGAATTTTAAAGTTCGAAGGGACCTCAAGCGCCATCTAGTCCAGCCCCTTGCAAGGCAGGAATCTCGGCTCAAGCATCCATGACATACAGCCATCCAACCTCTGCTTCAAAAGCTCCAATGAAACTGAGTCCCAGCTCTTATGGTCAGAAAGCTCTTCCTGATGTTGAGTCAGAATCTCCTTTCTTGTCACTTGAAGCCATGGGTTCAAGTCCTGCTCTCCAGAGCTGGAGAAAACAAATTTGCTCCCTCTTCCATGTGGCCGCCCTTGAAATATTGGAAGATGGCTCTCCTATCTCCTCTCCTCTTTTCCAGGCTAAACATACCCAACTCCTTCAACCATTCCTCATATGGCTTGGTTTCCAGACCCTTCATCATCTTAGCTGCCCTCCTCTGCCCACCTTCCAGCTTGTCAACATCCTTCTCAAATTGTGATGTCCAGAAGTGGACACAGGATCCTAGGTGGGGGTCTGACCAAGGCAGAATAGAGTGGGACTATTCCTTCCCTTGATTTGGACACTAGACTTCTGTGGATGCAGCCTAGAATAGCATTAGCCATTTTTGCTGCTGCATCACATGGTTGACTCATGTTCAGCTTGTGGTCTACTAAGACCCCCAGATCCTTTTCACAAGCCAGGTGTCCCTCACCTTGTGAACTGCCCTGAGATTTTGTCACGAGGGGCGATATATAAATCTAATAATCATAATAACCTTATATTTGTGCATCTGGTTCTTCCTGTCTAAATGCAGAACCTTTCTTGCTATTGAAATTCATTCTGTTAGCTTGCGCCCAGTTCTCCAGTCCATTACGGTCCTTTTGAATTCTGATTCTGACTTCTGTGGCATCAGCTACCCCATCTGCAAATTGGGCGAGGATCCCCTCGATTCCTTCATCCAAGTCATTTAAAAGGTAAAGGGACCATTTAGGTCCCACTTAGGACCATTAGGTCCAGTCATGGCCGACTCTGGGGTTGCGGCGCTCATCTCTCTTTATTGGCCGAGGGAGCCGGCGTACAGCTTCCGGGTCATGTGGCCAGCAGGACTAAGCCGCTTCTGGCGAACCAGAGCAGTGCACGGAAACGCCGTTTACCTTCCCAGCGGAGTGGTACCTATTTATCTACTTGCACTTTGATATGCTTTTGAACTGCTAGGTTGGCAGGAGCAGGGACCGAGCAACGGGAGCTCACCCCGTCATGGGGATTCGAACCGCCGACCTTCCGATCGGCAAGTTCTAGGCTCTGTGGTTTAACCCACAGCACCACCCAAGTCATTTAGAAAGACGCTGAACAACAACGGTCCCAGGACAGGAGCCTGCAGCCCCCCCTTTTCTGAGGACACTAAACTTCCCCCTCGCTTACCCTTCTTCGCATTTGCTGCTTTAGCGCCCCTTTCTCAGTTTGGGGGGGGGTCTTTCTGGAGCTCCTCACAACCCCTCTTTTTTTGCTCCAACCCCCCTCGCCGCGCTTCCTCAGGGCTCCAAAGCGCATGGGAGGTCGCCTTGCCCAGCCTGCCCCCTCCCAGAACTCCCCCCCCTCAAGGCGCACGCAGAAGACCTCACCTCTCGGGGGCTGCTGACCCCGCAGCGCAGCTTCTCTCGGTACCTCGCCGGCAAGCAGCAGAACAGGCGGGGCAGCACGGGGAAGATGGTACGGGGGTCCACGTCGCCCCCCCGCGTGGGGCCTGGGGGGGAAGAAGGCAGCGTTACTGGGTTCCGGCAGCGTCACGCCCCCTCCTGATGGGGCCGGGAGAGGCAGCCCTGCTTGGCCTCCTAGGCACCCGCAGTGTGGCATGAGCCAGGTGCCAGGCAGAATGCCAAGGCACAGCGAAGGCGCACAGAGGGTGCTGGCTGGAAGGAACCCGCCGGCACCCCCCCTCACCCTTCTGCCTTCCATGCCCCCAACTCCAGGCTGATTTTATACATTACTGAGGCTTGATTTTATACATTTATTAGAGGGCCTTCACGGTGGTGGCACCCACCTGTGGAACGCCCTCCCACCAGATGTCAAAGAAAAAAACAACTACCTGACATTTAGAAGACATCTGAAGGCAGCCCTGTGTAGGGAAGTTTTTAGTGTGTGACATTTTAATGTATTTTTAATCTTTGTTGGAAGCCGCCCAGAGTAGCTGGGGAAACCCAGCCAGATGGACGGGGGGGTACAAATAATAAATTATTATTATTATTGAACACCCCCCCACACTATAAAATGCTGGTGGAAGCTTCTAAGAGGAATGAAATAAGGATTCCACCCCCCTTCTGCTGAAGGCCCCTAGTCTGCAATGGCAAGGGGGGCAGAGGCTTTGCACCCTGGCTTGCTGGGCGCAGAATACGCACCCAGACCCCAGCACCTGCCCCCTTGGCCTCTTCTGACTTGGGCCAGCTCTGCTCCTCCAGTCGCAAGAGCCTCTGAAGGTCCCATCAGGCCCAGCCTCCTGTTCTCACAGTGGTCAGCTAGGTGCCCATTATGGGAAACCCGCAAGCAGGATTCGAGCATCATCATCATCATCATCATCATCATCATCATTTTTATTTATACCCCGCCCTCCCCAGCCAAGACCTGGCTCAGGGCAGCTAACACCAAATATTAAAACAATTGATTGAAATACAGCTTAAAAACAAGATTAAAATGCAACATTAAAACATAAAAATGCAGCCTCATTTCAGTAGAAACTCAAATCAAAAACTTTTTGGGGATGAAAACGTCAAGTCTTCACCAAGGCCAACTATCCAGCCTGGTCCTACGTGGGCCAGAAAAAAGCCAGGCAAGTCCCCAAATAGGAGTTCCATCACAGAAGGAGAAAGGAAAAAGGAAAGAGGGGAAGGGGATCAGGCGGAATAACTCTGTCTTACAGGCCCTGTGGAAAGAAATCAGATCCTGCAGGGCCCTGGTCTCATGAGGCAGAGCGTTCCACCAGGCCGGAGCCAGCGTTGAAAAGGCCCTGGCTCTGGTTGAGGCTAATCTAACTTCCTTAGGGCCCGGGACCTTACTGCTTATCGCTCTCCCCTCCTGTGGTTTCCAGCAACTGAGATTCACAAGCATTGCTGCCTCTGACTTTGGCGGCAGAGCAGAGCCATCTTGGCGGGGAGCCATCAATCGCCCTCTTCCCCTCCATGAATCTGTCTGATCCCGTTTTAAAACCATCCACGTTGGCGGCCATCATTGCCTCCTGAGGGAGGGAGTTCCGCAGGTTAATGACAAGCCGCACAAAGAAGTCCTTTCAAATTTCCTCCGTTCCGAATCGTCCAATACTTAGCTTTGTGGGGCGACCACGAAATCGAGCGCCACCCGCGCTCCCGACCTACCTGTGAGGAGACTGACCAGCAGTCCCACGACAATGACGGTGGTCGAGTTGTGTGCGCTGTACCACAAGTACGACAGGTTGTAGAACTTGCGCAGCCCCGTGACCCTGCGGCAAAAGGCAGAAAGGTGTTTATCTTGAAGGGAGTGTTTTGAATAATTTTCTACAAAGCACAGAAAGTTCTCCTTTTTTCTTTTCTTCTCTCCCTCCTCCCTTCTTCTGCTTTGAGTCTTTATTTACATCAGTATCTTTAACCTTTGGATATTGGAAATTAACCTTCATAAATCTTCTTTCAAACTTTAATAAAATCTATCAAAGAAAGATGCAGCTGCCTGCCCCAGTTGTGGGGAACGAGGGGCTTCCACAAAGGGGGCAGCAGAGACTGGGAAAATGCCCCCAGAGCGCATGGGAGGGGGTCTGGGGGGTCTCCCAGGGGGCCGCTGGGGAAGCCAACCGCCGGGCCAGACCCAGCAGAGCCGTCCTTACAACAACCCTCTAGGGTTGGCCAGCGCTGCCCCCCCATATTGCGAATGCGGCTTGCCCCCCTCGCCTGTTGATGAGCCTGCCTGTCTTCTGCCGCTCCAAAGGGAAGGATCCGACCCAACGGCTTCACGGGGCAAGAAAGGAGATTCTGACTCCACACTCGGAAGGAATATCCGAGCACAGGAGCCGTTGGGCAGTGGGACCAACTCCCTCGGAAGGCGGTGGGCTCTCCTTCCTGGGGGGGGGGGCTGCCTGCCAGGGATGCCTGAACCATGCATTGCAGGGGGTTGGGCTGGATGACCCTCAGGGGTCCCTTCCAATTCTACAGTTCTGGAAGGAAATGGCAGGATGAGAGCTTGGAGGTAAGAGAGGAAAAGGAGGAGGAGGAAATCCTGGGGCAGACGGAGGAGGCATTCCCCCAGCAAAATAACCACAAATTGCCCAGAGACGGACCCACGCTGGGATCTGGGCAGGGGGCTTTGGGTGCTCAGTTCCCGCCCGCAGCACAGGGAGCCCAGAGTCCAGAGCAGCATCCCAGAATCCCTTGTGACCCACAGCCCCATCGCTCTGGGCAACCAAACCTCTCTTTCCAGCAGCGTTCAGGTTATAAGCAAACATGGGGAAGGCATCCTGGGAACAGGAGCCCAACCCCACACGCCTCCTCTCTGGGCAGGGGAGATGCAGGGGTTAAATGGGCTCACATCCCCCCCCTCCTTCCCTGCCTCTCTCTGCCTGGTCTACCTCGCAGGGTCGTTGTGGGGGTTAAATGAGCGCGGAGAAGCATGGATGCCTCCTTGGGGAAAAGGGTGGGATAGGAATGCCATAAATAATAGTCAGCTCTACTAAACACACACACATCCTGGGGTCCCCCGGCCCCCCTCCCCATTACCTCTGTGGGGTCGCCGTCAAGGTCTGCAGCGTCGACATGACGGCCGTTGTGAGGTTTCCGTCCAGTGGGGGGGCGCCAGTCCCGGGGGGCACAAACACCTGGTTGGCCACCCAGCTCCCGATGCCCACCCAAAACGCCATGGCCAGCCCGGCAGCCAAGCCAGCGACGGCCCCCTGAGGAAGAGAGTAATAATAATAATCAATAATAATTTATTATTTATACCCCACCCATCTGACTGGGTTTCCCCAGCCACTCTGGACGGCTTCCAACCAAGTATTAAAAACAACACAGTGTCAGACATTAAAAACGTCCCTAAACAGGGCCACCTTCAGTTGTCTTTTAAAAGTAAAATACCGTAGTTGTTTATTGCCTTGACATCTGCTGGGAATAATAATAATTGAAGGTGTTTTTTTGACAATAATTTTTATTAGTTTTCAATTACAATAATCCAATGGCAGCCTCATTGTAACAGTGCCAAATTATAATACAATGACAAATAATCCCAACCATTCAGATGCCAAATTATATAATTTAGGTGCCCCCCCCCCCCGCATGCTGGAATTGATGGTTTGATGACGTTGCTTTGTTTCTGAGTCCCAAAATCTTGTTCATCTCAATTACGTTCCAGTCAAAATAGCAATCCCTTATACAACAACTGCAATATTAACGACATCCATTCGTCTAGACACATTAAATGGTTTATAAACCCATAGGTGAAGGATTCAAACAATATCCTTATTCCTCCTGTGTGTGACGACTATTCTGTCCTTGTAAAATGTTATGTCTGCGTATTCCCAGCTGCTGCTGCGGCTGCTCTCCATCCTCCCTTGGGCAGAGCCAATATCCCATTGAGAGGAAGAGAGTATTAAGGGGATCCTGACCCCCCATTGCAAGCTAGGCCCCCATTACAAAACCAGTTCAAACATATGTTGGAAGTGTAAGGAAAAGGAGGGAACATTTTATCATATGTGGTGGGATTGTAAAGTAATTTAAAAAATTTGGGAAATGATATACAATGAACTGAAGAAAATGTTCCATTTAACATTTGTTTAAAAACCGAGGCATTTTTGTTGGGGATTGTAGGGAAAGACCTGCCAAAAAAGTTGAAAAACATCTTCATGTATGCGACAACGGTCGCGAGAGTTCTGGTAGCACAAGGATGGAAGACTGAAGAAATCCCAACTAAAGAATCATGGCAAGAAAAATTGATGGACTATGCAGAACTGGCAAAACTGACATATAAGCTACGGGACAAGGATAACTGTGACTTTAAGGATGAATTGGAACCTTTCACAAAGTATTTGAAGACGCAACAAAGCGAACTGGACTCCTTGGCAGGTTTTGAATAAACATCCACAAATTTTTTAAACTGATAATAATTAGCTAAACAGTTGGAGGATCTATACAACTCTGTAACATGCAGAAAATAGCATTATTGGAGAAACCAAAGACTGGAACTGAGGGAAGTCGGGGGGCGGGGTGGGGGGTGGGTTTTGTGGGGGGAGGGGGGAGGAAAAATGGGGGGGAATAAGGATGTGTTTTTGGAAAATATGTTTTGTTATAACTTTGAATAAAAAAAAAATTAAAAAAGCCACCCCCACAAAAAACCCCCACCAGCTATTCTGCCATTTGCAACCCTGGCTGCTCCCTTTGGAGCGTGGGAAGAGGAAGGGAAGGCTCCTGACCCCAAAGAAAGAGGGGTGAGGGAACAACAGCTCCTAACAACCCCCCCCCCAAAAAATAAACAGCAATACTCACCACGGAATTGGCACAAGGAAAGAACATGCCCAGGCAGAAGACTCCCAGCAGAGGGCCCCCCATCATGCCAAAGATGCTGATGGCAGCCTAAGGGGGGAGAGAATCAGAGAACCGTAGAGTTGGGACCCCCAAAGGTCATCCAGACCAAAGCCCAATTATTATTTTAAAAAATCAATGTGACCACCTCCAAATCCAGCTCTTCCCTCCCCAGCCGCCCCCTCTACTGACCCCTTACCTGCAGCACCGAACCCATCATGGAGGAGACGTAAGCCATGCCCAGGCAGAGGAGTCCGTAGGCCAGAGCTGGGGGGAGAAGGGGGTCCAGTCAGAGGGAGAGGCACCCCTGGGCAGTGTGGCCGGAGCCCTGGAGCTGGGGGCACTGGGACGCTGCTGCCTGCCCCCCAACCCCCTCCCCCAGGGGCAGCTCACCCAGCAGCTTGGAGTAGAGCGTGGCCCGTCCTTCGGGGATGCTGGCCACGTAAGGGCGGATCAGGTCCTCCATGGTCACGGTGGCCAGGGAGTTGAAGGCGGAGGAGATGGTGCTGCCGAGAGAAGAGGCGGGGGGGGGGGGGTCAGGCGAAGGGAAGGGGGCAGAAAAAGCCCCTTGGGCAGAGCCCTCCCGGGAGACGCAATGCACTTCCCTGGAAATAAACACAAGGCTCTAGTCCTCATGTTTCCGAAGGAAGATCTAAGCAGGAACACAGGCTCCGTAATAGTAATAGTAATAATAATAATAATAATACTAATAATAATTTTATTTAAACCCCGCCCTCCCCAGAGCCGGGTCATGGCGGCTAACACCAATAAAATCACAATAGAAACATAATAGGGGGGAAAGAGAAGGGGGAAAAAAAAACCAATTTAAAATACAGCCTCATTTTAAAATAGACCATAGATCAAGACCATAAGGGGAGGGAAACACAAGGGTCAGACTGAGTCCAAACCAAAGGCCAGGCGGAACAGCTCTGTCTTGCAGGCGCTGCGGAAAGATGTCAAGTCCCGCAGGGCCCTGGTCTCTTGGGACAGAGCGTTCCGCCAAGTTGGGACCAGCACTGAAAAGGCCCTGGCCCTAGTTGAGATCAATCTAACCTCCTTGAGGCCACCAAAGGTGTTGTTATTTGTGGACCATAAGGTCTTCCGCGGGGCAGACCAGGAGAGGAGGTCCCATAGGTACGTGGGTCCTAGGCCTCACGTAATGTCAACACTGGCCGGCAGCAGCAGCCCTCCGGGGCTTTTCCCCCAGCCCTCCCTGGAGATGCTGCCGGCAGTGACCGAACCTGGCAGAGCCTGCGTGCCAAGCCCTGCGCTCTGGTCCCTCTCTGGGCAGAATGAAGGGTTCTAGTCCTCAAGATCCCCAGTGAAGGAAGGGCTGGCTGCCTGCTGAGCTCACCTGAGGGAGCCGCTGAAGAGGCAAGCCACAAAGAGGCCGGGGAGGCCGGGCACTCCCTGCAGGACGTCCATCACAAAGTAGAGGACCATCTGCCAGAGTGACCAAAAGACAAGAAGAATTTATTGACATAGGTGACAACAGCAGCCAGTGTTTTATTAGCTCAAAGATGGAAAAGCGATGAAAGAACAATGGCAAGAAAAGTGGATGGAATACGCAGAAATGGCAAAGTGGATTGACTCAAAAGACTCAAAGATAAGGACAATAAGGACTTTAAGAAAGATTGGGAACCTTTGATGATGTACATACAGAAATAACATACTGAAATGAACTCACTTGCAGGATTCGAGTAATACATTTACAATGGACAAATATAAACAGAAAACATAAATATGAGGGTAAAATGTTAAGAATATGTCAATAAAGTATGATTTCAATTTCAATATATAAGGTATGGAAAATTACACACAGAAGAAATGAATAAGTGATAAACCAGAAAGGGAAGTTGGGAGACGGGAATAGACATGTAAAAGTGGCTGGGGAAACCCAGCCAGATGGGCGGGGTATAAATAATAATAATAATTATTATTATTATTAAATACAATTTGTGTTTTTGTTTTTAGTATTGATTATGGTAAATTTTGTTGGGAAATTTCAATAATAATAATAATAATTTTTAAAAAACAACAACAAAGTAGAGGCTTGCAAAGTGGGGGGGGGGGAATGCAAATCAGGGGGCAACTCAAGGAGGGCAGTTGCCCCCCCAACAGGAGCTGGCCCGTGAAGATCATCTGGGGCAGCTGCTGGGACAGAGACCCCACGCATTCTTCTCTGATCAATAACGCACATGGGGGGTCCTGGGTCCCTGGATGGGGAGCTGGGCGGCAAAAGCCCACTCCAATTTTTGTGTAACAGTATTGCCTGCACTGACCGGCAGCCGCAATGCCTCTCTGGGATTTTATGGGGGGAGTGTAAGCAAGCGCCTGACCCACCTGATCGGAGGAGGCACTGCTCTGCTCCGCACTCAGCTCATGCTCCTGGTAGTAAGCAAACATCACCAGGCCGGTGAGGCAACTGAGGCAGAGGACCACCTGCTGGCAGGGGAAGACGGCGTAGCAAGACCTGGAGGGGGGGAGAGAAAGAGGGAGGGAGGATTGGGCCGCCGGATCAGGCCCAGCATCCTGTTCTCCCCCAAAAGGCCCCATAGAATCCAGATAGACTGCCACTGGAGCTGGAGGCTCCACAAGGGCACCCGAAGAGGCTGCTGGATCAGGCCAAAGGAGGCAGCTCTGGCCCAGCAGCCAGGCAGACGCTCCACAGGAAAAGGGGTCAGGCCCCCCAGAGAGAAGCCCCCCATAGCTCTCTCTCTCTCTCCCAGGACATCCTCAGGCCAACCCCCAGCCTCCTCCCAGCTGCCCCCTTCCTGCTTCTGGACGGGGTCACCTCAGCCCCACGTCTCCCAAGCGCCCCGCCCCGCCCCACGGCGCCCCACTCACAGCACGGCCTGCCGCTCCGAGCGAGAGCTGAGGTATCGCTGGACCTGGGACTGGTTCACCCCGTAGAGAGACAGCATCATGAAGACGCCCCCAAAGGCCAGGGTCCAGAAGGTGTGGCGCTCGTAAGGGTCGGGGTTCAGGCTGGGGAGGGAAGGGGAGCAGAGAATGGTCGAGGGGGGAGGGAACCCCAAGGGTCATCTAGACCAACCCCAAACCCCCAAATGCAGGAATCACAGCTCAAGAATCTCTGGCTGTTGGCCATCCAACCTCCAAGGAAAGGGAGTCCGCCAGCTCCTTCCAAGGGAGTCCCTTCCCCCAGCAAGTTACTCCTGATGTTAGTCAGAATCTCCCTTCTTGTCACTTGAAGCCATGGGTTCGAGTCCTGCCCCCAGAGCAGGAGAAAACAAGCTTGCTCCATCTTCCATGTGATAGCCCTTGAGAAGGTACAGGGTTATAAAGACTAGGACTGGCTGCCTGAGAAACAGTTTCTATCCAAATGCAATTTTGGTTTTAAACGCAGTGTAAGGAGTCTCTGTGGGAGTATATTGTATTTTAAAAATGGGGTATTAGAGTTTTTAGGGGGCTAAGCAGGCTGGGATAGCTTGGATAGCAGGCGTGTTGGTTAGGGCTTGCCGATCAGAAGGTCGGCGGTTTGGATCCCCGCAATGACGGGGTGAGCTCCCGTTGCTCGGTCCCTGCTCCTGCCAACCTAGAAGTTCGAAAGCACGTCAAAATGCAAGTAGATAAATAGCTACCGCTCCGGCGGGAAGGTAAACAGCGTTTCCGTGCGCTGCTCTGGTTCACCAGAAGCGGCTTACTCCTGCTGGCCACATGACCCGGAATCTGTACGCTGGCTCCCTCGGCCAATAAAGCGAGATGAGCACCACAACCCCAGAGTCGTCCGCAACTGGACCTAATGGTCAGGGGTCCCTTTACCTTTACCCTAGCTCTTCTCAGTCTCCTCTTTTCCAGGCTAAACATACCCAGCTCCTTCAACTGCTCCTCATCAGGCTCGGTTTCCAGACCTTGCATCATCTTGCTCTCCCTCCTCTGCCCACCTCCCAGCTTGTCAATATCCAATATAAATTGTGGTGCCCAGAACTGGACACGATATTCCAGAATCAAGTGGGACTATGATTTCCCTTGACTCGGACCCTCGACTTCTGCAGATGCAGCCTGGAACAGCACTGGTCTTTTTTGCTGCTGCATCACCCTCTGGGCTCGGGTTCAGCTTGGAGTCCACCAAGACCCCCAGATCCTTTCCCCGTGGGCTTTCCTTGTGCAGAGGTGTAGTGCAAAGGGAAGGATCTGCACCCGTGGCTCTAAGGCCAGGGGCCCCGGGGCCCCGATTCTGGGTTCTGCTGGGCCCATCCCGCGGGGCAGCAGACGGAAGGACCAGCCCCCCCGCCCCTCCTGCCCCCCCCGACTTACTCGATGCCGGACACCTTGCCCTTCTCTGCTGCCAGCTGCCAGACGCGCCCCATGCCGCCCACTTTGACAGTGCCCACCACAATCACGGCCACCTGGCCGGCAAACATGACAAAGGTCTGGAAAACGTCCGTCCAGATCACGGCTTTGAGGCCGCCCTGCAAAGGGAAGGAGGGGGCGGTTAACGGGGGGCAACATTCGGGGCGATCGCACTGTCCCACGGTTTCCACAGTGGGCGGTCCTGCCCCCTGGTGGGTGGGCAATGGGATTTTGACGGGGGCTCTGAGGGGGTCCCTGAATATCAGGCTTCCCTGGATCAAGTCCAGCCATTCTGTGGTTTAAATGGGATTTTGAATAAGCACGGAATTAATTGTCGCTGTCTAGGATTTTCTCGTGTCGTTCTCTTCCTTAGTGGGGAGTGCAAACTGCTAATAATAATGATAATAATAATAATTAATAAATATTCCCCAGAGTGGCTGGGGAAACTCAGCCAGATGGGCGGGGTATAAATAATAATAATTTATAACCTGTCCATCTAGACACTGCAATGCACTTTATAGGGTGAGGGGTACTGGGGATGGTCTTATGGGAACAAGGGGGCCAGAAGCCACCAATCTAGACTTTCCCAGGGGCACCAGACCCTCCAGCCCCACCCCAGAATCATAGACTTGGGGAGCTGGGACTACCAAGGGACATTTAGCCAACCCCCAATTAGGGGCCACTCTGTTTATGGCTGGTGGTTAAGAATTTGCCCTCTTTGGGGGCCCCGTGGAGCCCACAACCTCCTGCAGCCCAGAATCTCTGGGGGGGCTCAGGCTGCCCCCTTGCCCCTTGCGGGGTCCCTACTCACCAGGGCGGTGTAGAGGGTGCAGACCAGCCCAATGGTCAGCACAGATGCCCAGAGGTCAAAGTTGGTCACTGCAAGCAAGGAAGAGTCCTCAGAGAGGGGCCCAGCGGCCGAGCGCCTGCCCCTCGAGAGCAGCAGCTCAGCATCAGACCCCCCCTTCCCCGGAGGCCTGGCTCCCACCCCCTGGGCCAGCCAAGAGGGGGCTGGGTCCAGACTACCCACTTTCCCTGCCCCCAGACCACCCAAAATGCTCCAGCTGCAGTGCGGAAAAGCCTTGCCCCCCAGGATCAGGTCCACTTCCTCACCTGCATTGAGAGCCAGCGCTGGGGTGTAGAGGACGACCCCCATGTACACCACCTGTGGGGAGAAAGGCAGACCCACTGTGAAGTGGACCCCACAGGGCCTTTTTGGCTTGTGAGCCACCCCGAGATCGGAGGATGAGGCAGCGTACAACTGACAACAACCCCACATGCCGGGGGGGGGGAGCTGACTCCAGAGGAGAATCGTGACCTTGATCCCCCTCCCCAGGTCTCTGGGTCTCCCTCCCTCCCCCACCTGCCCAACAACAGCCCTGTGAGGGAGGGAGGCTGAGAGAGAAGGACCTGCTCTGCGCCAACCACTGAGCGCCACAGCCGAGGCAGGAAGAATGAGAGGGAAGGACGGGGGAGACAGCATGGGGGGGGGAGAGAAGGAAGCAGAAGGAGGGAGGGAAGGAGGAAGAGAAAGGCAAGAAAGAAGGAAAGAAGGAAGGAAGGAAGGAAGGAAGGAAGGAAGGAAGGAACTGTTAACGGAGAAATCTGAGTGCTCCCTTGGACAAAAACCAAGGCCACCAGCCAGGAATACCAGAGCAAAACAGCAGCCAGTCGGCTTGGTCTTTATTGAAGACTGTCGCAACAGGACTCCCACCTGCCACCAGGTGAAACAGGATGGTAGCCCCAAACAAAAGAGCCCCCAAACTTTTATTAGCTGCTAATCCCCATGTTACACCCCCCCAAACTACATCATGGGTACATCATGAAAGGGGAGGTCTGGTGGCAGGAATCTGAGCATCCTGGACCCTGCCCCATGGTTCCCCTTGCCCTCCACCAAACACCCATCAAGTGGAACAAAAAAAGATATTTCTATTTCCCTGTTTCCCAGCCAAGTTAATCACACCCTTTTGTCTTCATCTGGGTTTGTTATTTCTGGCACTCAGGTATCAGGATGCCAGGAATTATCCCTCAGGCAGAGGGGCTGCTGAGTAGCTGAGCTCACAGGTCTAGATGAATTTCTGAAGTTTTCCCAGTGAGCCAGTACATAGATGCATTTATCAGTGAATTCTTACATTTGGTTTCTTGCAGCAAAGGCCCTTTGAATAGATAGGAAGAAACTGTGATGAAGCGTTTTGTGGGGATAAATCACGAAAGTCACAAAAGTGATTGTGCTGATTTTGGTAGTGGGCTGCATGTGCAGGATATCTGCTGGAGGGGCAACCCCCCCCCCAACCTATACATAAATTCCTGCAACAGAAGGAAGGAAGGAAGGAAGGAAGGAAGGAAGGAAGGAAGGAAGGAAGGAGAGGGAGGGAGGGAGACGTGGAAAGTTTTAAGCAGGAGGACTGGGAGCTTGAGGCAGAAGCTTAAAAAGGAGAGTCCTCCTTTTCCCTACGACTGAGGAGGCAGAGAGACCAGGGTGGTTTTCTGCACTCACCATCTGGAAGATGAAGGTGGCTGTTCCACACACCCTCACGACCTTGTTGAACCGCAGCTCCAGGTACTGGGTGGGGCGACAAAGAGAACTGGGGGTGTCAGTAGGGCAGAGAGCAAATATGGCTTGGCTTCCCGGTGCAGCCTTTGCCCTGTTGGTGGGAGGGCAGGAGCCCCACAAGATGGTGCCCAAGGACCCCTGCACAGCCCCCCTGCTCTCCTGGGGCATCTGGGGCAGCATTCCTGACCCCCACCCACCCACCACGTCCCCATAGGCTTCCCCCAGCTGCAGGCACCACTTGAGAGGAGGGGAGGACCCAGAGACTGCCAGAAACCTCCAACTGCCGGCCTCCCAGTGGGGCTCTAAGCCGGCCGGCCTCCTTGCAGGACTCCACTCAGCAGCGCCCACCAAGAAAATATCTCAATTCAGTTTTGCCAAGAAGACAATGTGATAAAAGTGTCAGCAAGAAGAATGAATAACACCAACAGTGTAAGACTTTCAAAAAGTTAAAAGGACAACAAAATAAAAACAGACCAACTTTCCAGACGCCTGAACAGGCTTGTCTAAGTGAGAATATTTGGTTAATAGGATTGGAACATCACTTGTAGTTTCCGGGGGAATTCTGAATACAATGGAGATGTGAAAGATTTGGACTATCATAAAAGATGCAGGAGGAAATGATAAATAATAGGACCCACAAAGGGGAGGAGGGAAGCCCAGGAGATTCTTTGGAAACTTTTTTTTATGTCTGATACATCTCTGTAAAATTTTAAACTGAAAAACCAAATAAATAAATTTATATATAAAAAAGAGTGTGTTTTTAGCAGGTGCCGAAAAGAGTGCAACGAAGCCTGATTTTCAAGAGGCAGGGAGTTCCGCAGTGTAGATGCCACCACACCAAAAGAGCACCACACTTTGTGCCTCGGTGCCGGCTGCAGCGGGAGACAGACCCTGAGGGAAGAGGGCCAGGGGTCCAATTCTGACCCCATCTCCAGGCCAGCCCATCTCCCAGGAGACCCTCAACTCCCCACCTGTTGCCACTCACCTCGTAGGTGCTGGTCAGGCGCAGGCGGTAGAAGACGGGGATGAAGACGTGAGCCGGGATGAGGAGCCCCAGGACGTAGGAGCACCCCAGGAACCAGTACTCGGTGCCGAAGCGGTAGATCTCAGCGGGGACGCCCAGGATGGCCACGGCCGACTGGAAGGTGGCCAGGAGGGAGAGCGCCACGGGGAAGAAGCCCATGCTGCGGTTGGCCAGCAGGAACTCCTGCGTGGTCCTTTGCTTCCCGCCACTCAGCGCGTAGAAGAGTCCGATCCCGGCCGAGAAGACCAGCAGCAGGACGAAAATGGCGTAGTCGGCCACGCCAAACGTCAGCACCGCCATGGCTGTCCCCACGCGCTGGCTCTCCGGAGCCTCTTGGAGGGCGAGGAGCTTCTACTGTCCCTTGGCCATCACGGGAGGGGCCCCTGCGCTGAAACCCGGCTCCAGCCACTCAGCCTGCCTTCCCAAAACCGGGCGCCGGCTCGTCACCAGCCTGCCAAGCGATGGCCTCGCTGCCGGAGATCCGCTGCAGCTGCCATGACCCAGGCGAGGCGATCTGGAAGAGAGAGGGAGGGAGGAATGAGCCCAAGGACCCAGGAGCGCGTGACCCAGCCGGCACCCCCTCCTCCAGACACCCCAGCTCTGGGAGGCAGCAGACCTTCGCCGCTGCTAATCTCCCCGTCTCAAGGACTGGGAGGCGGAGAGGGAGCAAGCAAAGTCTTCTGGCAGGACCCCAAGTGAGGCAAGTGCCGGCTGCCAATCTTCACGGCCCAGAGTGTTTTTGGCACCGGGGAGCCAGGCCTTCCCAGCGAGGGGGCTGGGAGGACTCGGAGAAGCGCCCTAGGAGCAGCGCCCGGGCCAAAGCACACAGCCTGAGCCGCCCAAAAGCAGCCTCCGAGTGTGCAGGGCGCAGTGGGGGGTGTCGCCAGGAGAAGAATCTGCTGGCGCCATCTGCCCAGCCCAGGAGAAGCAGAATTTGGGGCGTTTTAGTCAAAAGAAGAGGCAAGTAGGAGCAGATGCGATGGGAGTTTATAACATGACGCCTGGAGGGAGGGGTGGAGAAAAGCTCTTCTTTCTTTCTCCTACACCAGAACTTGTAGAACGGGAAAAGAAAGGCGTTATTCTCACAGCACATAGTTAGACAGTGGAACTCCTTCCCACAGGAGACTGGGGTGGCCACCAACTTGAATGGCTTTAAAAGAGGGTTGGACAAATTCATGGAGGAGCAGAGGGCTATGGATAGCCCAGTATCCCTGAAGGAGCGTCTCCACCCCCATCATTCAGCCCGGACACTGAGGTCCAGCGCTGAGGTCCTTCTGGCGGTTCCCTCATTGCGAGAAGTGAGGTTACAGGGAACCAGGCAGAGGGGCTTCTCGGTGGTGGCGCCCGCCCTGTGGAACGCCCTCCCAGCAGACTTCAAGGAGACAAACAACTATCTGACTCTTAGAAGGCATCTGAAGGCAGCCCTGTTTAGGGAAGTTTTTCATGTTTGATCTTTTATCATGTTTTTATATTGCTGGCTCAGAGCGGCTTGGGAAACCCAGCCAGATGGGTGGGGTATAAATAATAAATTTATTATTATTATTATTAGCCAGGATAGCTCTGCGCTGTCTCCATATTCAGAGGCAGCGATGCTTCTGAATCTCAGCTGCTGGGAACTGCAGGAGGGGGAGAGGGCTCCTGTGTTCAAATCCTGCTTGTGGGCTTCCCAAAATGGGCATCTGGTTGGCCACTGTGACATTGGCCTGTTCCATCGGGCTTCTCTTACGTTCTGCTCAGGTTTGCAAGGCAAAACGCTTCCTGAGCTCAGCTGCACAGAATGTCCTCTCAACCACACGGAAACCCCAGAGATCTTGCAAGGGCTCTGAAAAGGGACGGGACAGAAAAGGGGCCTGATCCAGCCCTGCTTGCTCTCCGCTTGCAGAGGGGGCCGCTTGGCCTCCCAACAGAGACTGTGGAAGGGAACCATCCATGCCCAGGCTGGGGGGGGGGGGGGAGGAAGGCCATTTAAGGAGAAAGGGGGTGTCCCTGTTGAGGGGGCCTGGGAAGAGTTCATAGAATCACAGCATGGCAGAGTCGCAAGGGACCCTCAGGGCTCATCCAGTCTGACCTCTTGCAATGCAGGAACTGCAGTTCAAGAATCCCTGCCTGAAGGCCACCCAGCCTCTGTTTGCAAACCTCCACAGAGTGAAGCCCCCATAAAAGCCAGGAGGAGGAAGGCGGTCTGGCCCGGCTGAGATCCCAGAATGTGGGGACTCAGCAGGATGGAGCCAGCTGTGAAATTGCAGCCCCAAATAGCTCCTGGTAGCCTGAGCAGAAATGGGGAGAGGGAGCCCAGCAGACCTCCGTCCAATGGGGGGGGGAGAGAGCAGCACAGGCCCCTGCAAGGGGGGGGGGAAGGATCATTTGTGGGGGTCCCACATGCAGGATGCACGGCTGGAATCTGAGCTCAGCCCCCCAAAGCTGGACCTGCAAGGGCAGGCTGGGGGGAACGAGGGTCAGCGTGGACAGGAGGGGGGCACTGCCAGGCTGCCCTCTTTGGACTCCTCCCCCCCCCAGAAGAGAAGCAAGGCTCCTCTGTGTGGCTTGGAAGCCTTCCCGGGGCAGAGCAGAAAAGAATAAGAAAGACTCGCATTTCAACCAGACTCACATGTCGGCCTTTGTTATTCTCCCAATTTGCACATTCTCATCTAGGCATGACCAATATTTGTAAAGTATTTTAAGAAGGCAAAGAGCTGTCCCACACGGCAACGCCGAGCCTGTGATTTTACAATAAGAAAGAGCCATGTGAAGAGAAAGAGTGAGGAAGGAGACATTCTGCTTAGTAAAGGTAAAGGGACCCCTGACCATTAGGTCCAGTCACGGACAACTCTGGGGTTGCGGCGCTCATCTCGCTTTACTGGCCGAGGGAGCCGGTGTACAGCTTCCGGGTCATGTGGCCAGCATGACTAAGCCGCTTCTGGCAAACCAGAGCAGCGCACAGAAACGCCGTTTACCTTTCCGCCACAGTGGTACCTATTTATCTACTTGCACTTTGACGTGCTTTCGAACTGCTAGGTTGGCAGGAGCTGGGACCGAACAATGGGAGCTCACCCCGTTGCGGGGATTCAAACCACTGACCTTCTGATTGGCAAGTCCTAGGCTCTGTGGTTTAACCCACAGCGCCACCCGCATTCCCTAGTAAATTCTGCTTAGTCGGCTAGCAAATAAACAAATTCTGGGTAAACCGAGGCAACGGGTGCATTGCAAGACCTGAGGCGCAGCATTCGAGCAGCTCAGGTTTAGCAAAGCAAGCAGCAGGGGCAGAGTTATCTTGCAAAGGGCTTTGCTTCCGCCCAGCAAGCTCAGGTTTGGGAAAGGGCTCCTTAATCACCAGCCACAGCGCTTGGGAAACTCGGTGAGAGATTAAGCATTTAAGCAGGAGGGAGAGAGGGAGATTAGCCTCTACAACTGGCAAACTTTGAGGAGTCAGCCAGCCTCCAGGCTGCAAGTTCAAAGGAGAGTTGGGGGGGGGGGAACAATACCATGGAGGAAAATGACTTCTGGAGGGGGGGGGGAGAAGCCGCTGAGCAACGCAGCCGGGAGGGCACTGATCCTGCAGGGCACTGAGCCACAGAATGCCGAATGCATAGTTCCTGGGATTACGGCCCACGGTGGCTTGCTAGAGCTTGCCTGATCCTAGCAGGAGAAAAGCCGAAGTGCCGGTCTGAGGGTCAGGATAGGGGCCCCGGAGAAGCGAGGAGGGGGCTTTCTGTGAAGTGCAGAAGGGGGGGCTGCTGCTGCTGCCATGTCTGCTTCCTATTTTGTTTGCAAGAGTATCGGCATTTGAGGCCTTGCAGCAGAAGAAGCAAAGAAGCGTCTGGCTGCAGCTGGATCAGGCCAAAGTGCCCCCCCCAGACCAGCATCCTGTCCTCACAGCAGCCACGCAAAGGCCACAATGGGGGGCCCCCCCTTGCAAGCGCAACCCAGGCACTCCCTCTTCTCTGCAGCTGTGCCAAGCGGCTCAAGGCCCTCTGAGTTCAGGGGTCTCCACGGCTGACAGGGGGGCAGGAATAAGGAGGGGTGCTATGTGTGGCCAGCTGCCCCCCCCGCCTCAGGACTCCCCTGTCTTTCACCTGCCCCAGCAGTATTCCCTGCCCTCACTATTCCCAGAAGCCTGCCCACCCGCAAAATGCCCCCCCGCCATTCAGCTGATTTTCCAGAATTAAAGAACTGCTTCTGCCCAGAGACGTGACTGGCAGCCCAGCCGAATTCTCCTGCACCCCAGAGATGAGTCAGAGGGGTGGGGGTCTGGGGGGAGGGAAGGTGGGCTCCCCCTTCTGCCCCCTGCCCTCCGTGGGCCCCCTCTAGGCTTTCCTGACCTTCAGCCAAGGACAGCATCCGAGGAGCTGCGTTGGAGCCTCCAAATTGGGGGAGAGGGAGACTCGTGACCTCACAGGGAGCAAGGCGGCTGAGTGAGTGGGGATTTTCCACCGCCCAGGCCAGTGGCCCCAATCCCCTCTGCAACTTGCGGAGCTCAAGGGTGCTCTGCCAATCCAGCCTCCTGCCCACCGGGGGTCTGCTAGGAACAGGCTGGCTTCTTCCCAAAGGCTCCAATGAGTCACCCAGAGCTCTGCTGTTGCAAATAAAGGATGTTAAAGCGGCAAGGGCACCCAGAGGACATCCAGCCCACCCCGCCGCACAGTGGAAACCATCTACTGCCTCGCTTGCCGGGGGCCATTTCCGCCCCTCCGGGGAATCCCTCTGCCTCACCCCCTCCAGCAAGAGTGACCCCCTCCCCACCCCACAGCCAGCCCCACTGCCAAACAGATCGTACTGTTCAGAGGACGCTCCTGATATCTTGCCCAAGGGCTGTGGGGTCTTCATGGGGAGAGAAGAGCCCCCTTTGACTCTCCTTCCCTGGAGGCTTTTCTGCGGAGCCTGGGCAGCCGCCTGCCAGGGATTCTGGAGCTGCGATTCCTGTCTTCCAGGCGGGCTGGACTAGATGACCTCTGGGGGTCCCTGCCCAACTCTACAGCTCTAGGATCCTAGGATTGGGTCACGCATCCAGCGGCTAGAGGTGCACTCCCCCCCCCCCCAGCCTGACTCTTTGGGCCAGGCAGGCAAGGGGGGGTCCCTTCACACTGTCGGCATCACGTGGCACCTCATGTGCAGGATGACCACGCTGTGTCACGCGGCCCCCCCAGACCCCTGGAGTGGGGGGGCTCAAGGGGGACGGGGTGGCCTGGAGCCAGAAGGCCAGTCCTCTCCTACACCTCCACCCAGGGCCGGATTGAGGTTTGATGTGGCCCTCAGCTCCTGAAGGTAAGGGGGCCCTTTCTACAAGAAATTGTCCCTGTTTTTGGTGTTGAATATATTGACTATATAGGGACGTGGGTGGCGCTGTGGGTTAAACCACAGAGCCTAGGACTTGCCGATCAGAAGGTCGGCGGTTCGAATCGCCGCAATGAGGGGGTGAGCTCCCGTTGCTCGGTCCCTGCTCCTGCCCACCTAGCAGTTCGAAAGCACGTCAAAGTGCAAGTAGATAAGTAGATACCGCTCCGGTGGGAAGGTAAACGGCGTTTCCGTGCGCTGCTCTGGTTTGCCAGAAGCGGCTTAGTCATGCTGGCCACATGACCCGGAAGCTGTACGCCGGCTCCCTTGGCCAGTAAAGCGAGATGAGCGCCGCAACCCCAGAGTCGGCCACGACTAGACCTAATGGTCAGGGGTCCCTTTACCTTTATAACCTATATGGTCATTTATGGACCTAATAGGTATCTCAAGCCATTTGCACATAACAAAATATGTATTTTATCAAAGTAATTGTTGAAATGAAATACAATTAAGAAGTATATTAATAGTGATTTTGGGGGGCCCCCCAAGAGAGTGGGGCCCTAAGCTATAGCTTGCTTATCTTATAGGTAAATCTGGCCCTGCCTCCACCCCTCTGAAGGGGAATGGAACCGAGCCAGAATGGGTCTAAGCAAGGCTGGGACTCCTGCTGCCCCACATGCCCCTTGGGGTCCCTTCCATTTTATTCTTAATCTTAATCTTAATCCCGGTTTTTGACAACAGTTCTAAGGAGAACCGACATTAGATATAAATGGGAATTCCCTGAGGGTCTTTCTTTTACATACTTGAAGAGGAGATATAAACTGACATCAGAATTTCAGGCGAGAGAATTTCTGGATAAAAATAGGAGAGACTTAGACCCCAAAGAAGACAGGGGAGACCCCCCCCCCCAGCTGAGCAAGAGAAAGTCTTGGAACAACTTGCACTGGAAGAGGCGCATCAGGGAAATCTTTGTTGGAAGCCGCCCAGAGTGGCTGGGGAAATGCAGCCAGATGGGTGGGGTATAAATAATAAAATTATTATTATTATTATTATTATTATTATTATTATTATTACAGTTCCATGCCCACCCCCGGGCACCCCAGTGGGCACCCCAGCCTGTGCCCAGAGACCAGCGGGTGGCAATTGGGGGGCTCCCTTCTTGCGGGGCCGGCTCCCCTCCTCTCTCAGCTCTGACCTCTCAGGCGAGCCCACCCCGCGGGGCTGTCGTGCGGGCGCCCGGCTTCCCTTCTGGATCTCTTCAATGGCAGGGAGGATCTCGGAGGGTCCCTGGCAGCCCCCCACCCGGGCAGCCCCCCACCCGGAGTCCCCTGCTGGCCGCCCCCCGCGCCCCGAAGAGGATCCGCCGAGAGAGAGGGGCAGGGAGAGAGAACACGCGTCGCGCCGCCGGCCCGCTTCCCACGTGCGGGGCCAGCGCGCCCCTACCAGCCGGGCGTCCGCCGGGGATCGCGCTTCCTGGGCGCCGGGGATCGCGCTCTCCGCCCGGCAGCCCCACGAGAGAGACCTTTGCTCGGGCCGACCACGTGCCGCCGCCGCCGCCGGGTCCCTCCTCCTCCTCCTCCTCCTGCTCCTCCCCGGCCGGAGGGCGCGCTGCTTGGCGGCGGCGGCGGCGGCGGAGCTGACATTGCCAAGGACAGGCGCCGCCTCCGCCCGGCGCGCGGGGATGACGCCGGGAAGAGGGAGCCCCGCCGGGGCGGGAGGAGCCGGGAGACCCCAGGAAGGGAGAGCCCAAGGGGAAGCCCCCCAGCCGGGCGCCAGAGAGCCAAGGGAGACGGGCTCTGGCCAGGGAGGCTCCTGCAGGAAGAGCCCCGAGGCAGCTGCATCGCGCCAAGGGGGACCTATCCGGCCCAGGATCCTGCGCCCACAGTGCCACCCAGGCGCCCCAAGCAGGAGGAGAGCGCCTTGTGCCCTCTAAGGTAGACTGGCTCTGGCCCTGGAGGCTCCATGCAGGAAGAGCTCTGAGGAAGGTGCCTTGTGCCAAGGGGGACCCATCCGGCCCAGGATCCTGCGCCCACAGTGCCACCCAGGCGCCCCAAGCAGGAGGAGAGCGCCTTGTGCCCTCTAAGGTAGACTGGCTCTGTCCATGGAGGCTCCATGCAGGACTCCTCAGAAACCAGGAAGAGCCCTGGGGCAGCTGCATCGCGCCAAAGGGACCCATCCGGCCCAGGATCCTGCGCCCACAGTGGCACCCAGGCGCCCCAAGCAGGAGGAGAGCGCCTTTTGCCCTCTAAGGTAGACTGGCTCTGGCCCTGGAGGCTCCATGCAGGACTCCTCAGAAACCAGGAAGAGCCCTGGGGCAGCTGCATCGCGCCAAAGGGACCCATCCGGCCCAGGATCCTGCACCCACAGTGCCACCCAGGCGCCCCAAGCAGGAGGAGAGCGCCTTGTGCCCTCTAAGGTAGACTGGCTCTGTCCATGGAGGCTCCATGCAGGAAGAGCTCTGAGGCAGCTGCATCACGCCAAAGGGACCCATCCGGCCCAGGATCCTGCGCCCACAGTGGCACCCAGGCATCCCCAAGCAGGAGGAGAGCGCCTTGTGCCCTCTAAGGTAGACTGGCTCTGGCCCTGGAGGCTCCATGCAGGACTCCTCAGAAACCAGGAAGAGCCCTGGGGCAGCTGCATCGCGCCAAAGGGACCTATCCGGCCAGGATCCTGCACCCACAGTAGCACCCAGGCGCCCCAAGCAGGAGGAGAGCGCCTTGTGCCCTCTAAGGTAGACTGGCTCTGTCCATGGAGGCTCCATGCAGGACTCCTCAGAAACCAGGAAGAGCTCTGAGGAAGGTGCCTTGTGCCAAAGGGACCCATCCGGCCCAGGATCCTGCGCCCACAGTGGCACCCAGGCGCCCCAAGCAGGAGGAGAGCGCCTTGTGCCCTCTAAGGTAGACTGGCTCTGTCCATGGAGGCTCCATGCAAGAAGAGCTCTGAGGAAGGTGCATCGCGCCAAAGGGACCCATCCGGCCCAGGATCCTGCCATAGCTGTCAACTTTCAGATTTGAAAATAAGGGATCAGCAGCCTCCCCTCTCCTGGGGACAGTCTATGGGATGTCTAACAATCCGGGGTACCAGTGGGAAACGGCGCTGGAATAAGGGAATTTCCCCCCCAAAAAGGGAAGGTCGTGGGGCGCAGGGGGTTCTGTGGTCTATAAGCCACTGAGACTTGGGCTGCCCAGCGGAAGGTCTGTGGTTCCAGTCCCCATGACTGAGCTCCCTTGCTCTGTCCCAGCTCCTGCCAACCTAGCAGTTCCAAAGCACACCAGCGCAAGTAGAGAAATAGGTACCACTGTGGTGTTTCTGTGCGCTCTGGCACTTCTCACGGTGTCCATTTGGACCAGAAGCGGTTCAGTCCTGCTGCCCATATGACCCGGAAAGCTGTCTGTGGACCAACCTGGGCTCCCTCAGCCTGAAGCGAGATGAGCTCTGCGCCCCAGTCGCCTTTGACGGGACCTGACCGTCCAGGGGTCCTTGCCTCACCCAGCAGAGGAAGGGAAGGTCCACGTGTTGGACTGAGCAGGAAAAGGGGGGCTGCCTTGGCCTCCCCTTCCCCTTTAGAGCAAGCGCCTCTGGGGCGCAAGAGGAGGTGCTGGGTCCGCTACTGCCGCTCTCGCTGCCCCTCTCCAACTTCAGCAGGAGCTGTTTATCCAGAGGGGAGAGAATCCTGGGAGGAGACATTTCATTTCTTTATTAAATTTATATACCGCCCTATGCCTGCAGGCTTTCAGGGCAATTCACAAAATAAAACCAGAATATAAAACCACAGAATATTCAAAATAAAAACAACAAGCACCCGATAAACCCTCCCCCCAAACACATTTTAAAAGGCCATAGGATGTCAATCAAATCAACCAAAGGCCTGGTTAAAAAGGAACATTTTTGCCTGGTGCCTAAAGGTGTATATCGAAGGCGCTTGGGGGAACTTCCCTGGGGAGAGCATTCTTCACATGGGGAGCCACTGCAGAGAAGGCCCCGTTCCTGTGCTGCCACCCTCCGGACCTCTCAGGGAGGAGGGACACGAAGAAGGGCCTCAGATGATCTCAGGGTCCGGGTAGGTTCATAGGGAGAGAGGCGGTCCTTGAGGAACTGTGGTCCTGACCCATTTAAGGCTTAATAGGTCAAAACCAGCACACTGAATGGGCAGCCAGTGCAGTCGGACCAGGATTGGTGCAATATGTTCAAACCGTCTTGCTCCGGTGAGCAACCTGACCACTGAATTCTGCACCAGCTGAAGTTTCCGAACCGTCTTCAGAGGCAGCCCAACGTGTAACGCATTGCAGTAATCTAACCTTGAGGTTGCCAGAGCATAAACAGCAGTAGTTAGGTGATCCCTGTCCAGACAGAGGCGTAGTTGGGCCACCAGCCGAAGCTGATGGAAGGCACTCTGGGCCACGGAGGCCACCTGAGCCTGGAGCGACAGGAAAGGATCCAGGAAGACCCCCAAGCTATGAAGCTCTCCTTCAGAGGAAGTGAAACCCCATCAAGAGCAGGCCATCTCCCTAGAATGGTATACTAAAAATGATGAAGTTAAATCAGTGATGGGCAAGAGACTTTGGTTATAATATACAATTTTTATCATGGGAAAAGTTATGGAATGAGGATATGAAGTTTACGGCTTGCGGTTCTGTTGAAAGAAACCTATATGAAAATGATGTACTGTTGGTACCTAACACTGAGTAAAATTGCACAAATGTATAGAACCAGCTCAAATTTGTGCTGGAAATGTAAAAGGAAAGAAGGTCCCTTTTATCATATGTGGTGGTCCTGTGGAGTGGTAAAAGCGTTCTGGGAAATGATATATACTGAATTAAAGAAAGCGTTTAAGAAAACTTTTGTCATCATCAACATCATCAAGGAGTGTGGTGGAGTCTCCTTCTTTGGAGGTCTTTAAGCAGAGGCTTGACAACCATATGTCAGGAGTGCTCTGATGGTCTTTCCTGCTTGGCAGGGGGTTGGACTCGATGGCCCTTGTGGTCTCTTCCAACTCTATGATTCTATGATTCTATGATCATCAATTTTAATTTGTATACTGTCTTTCTATCTTACAATACTCAAGGCGGTTTACAAGCTGAAGAAACAGAAAATGTACATCTTCTAACAATCTAATGCAATACAAAACATAACTTTAAAATAGGCAGCCTACATCAAAATAGCAACATTCAACCATTACTTAGAATAGTATAACATAATAATAACATATAAAAGTTAAACAGAAATCCACTCAACAGATACAATAATATCTAAAGTATAACACTGGGCAACAATTTTTTACTTTTTGAATGTTGTCTAGATTTCTACAACTGATTTAGGGTATTTTTGCACTGCTGAATCAGGAAATGGCATCCGTTTCTCTCCATCAGGTCAGGTTTTGGTGCTATGTTGATTTGAAAAAAATCAGATCTTGTGACAAAATCGATTACATTTTTGTGGCATTATCAGCTGATTTTTGTCAACACATATCATCCTAAATATGTTTTAAAGGGAAAAATTCTTTTTTCCAACAACATATATTGATGACCTGATAGAAACATCGATTACTGTAAACTGAATGGTGGACATTGATAAAGGTAAGTACACGTAAATTGCATGTTGCTTCACCATTTTACAAACTTCAGGGCTTGAACTTCCGTTTCTTGGAACTCCAGGAATGCTCAGCGGCAGGGAGGTCTCTCTTCAGAGTCCAACAGTAGTCAGCCATCATGACTGCGTCCCAGCGACCCTGATACCTGGTCTCCATCTCTTTCATGTCCTGATGGAATCTCTCCCCGATTGTCACTCATTGAACCCAGGTTCTCAGGAAACCGGTCCATATGTGAAAATAGGTAGTGCATCTTGACGCTCATGTTGCAGCCCAGGTTTCTGAAAGCAGTCAGCATGTTGTTGACAAGTTCTGCGTAGTTTCTGGCCTTATTGTTGCCAAGAAGGTTCTTCACTACCAGAACAAATGCCTTCCACGCTTCCAGTTCCACTTCGTTCACTGAGTTTCTGATCTCTGGATCTCTGATGAGCTGACGGATCTGAGGACCATCAAAGATGCCAGCTTTCAACTTCTCCATGGTCAATCCTGGAAAAGCCTGGCACAAGTAAGTGAAGCAGTCACCATCCTTGTCCAGAGCCTTGGTGAACTGCTTGATTAAGCCGAGCTTGGTGTGCAGTGGTGGGAAGAGTATTCTGTCTCTGTCCGCCAGAGGGTTGTTGATGACGTTCCTTTTTCTTCAAGGCACCAATTCCTCCCGCACAGGCCAGTCCTTCTTCATGTAATGCTGAGCACGGTCCCTACTATCCCACATGCACAGAAAACATGGGAACTTGGTGAAGCCAGACTGTTGTCCCAACAGTTCACCATCTTCAGGTCAACACAAATAAACCACTTATGCTGATCATAACCAATTTTCTCCAGCACATACTTCACCCCTTCATAGTTCTCCTTCAATGTACTCGAGTGAGCCAGGGGTTTTGATCCCCCAACTTTATGCTTTGCCGCACCAATTTATGGTAGATTTCGAGGCTTTATGACTTCAAACTGATCCCTTTTCGACATAATCACCCAAAACTATTGGACCTGAATACTTCTTGTCATTAAAATAATCATTTCCAATCAAAACAATTATTCAACATGGCATTGTACCCCCAGCAACTTCTTCTAAAATGCTCCACACAAGCGTACATGTGAACAAAAACGTAAAAAAACAACATGTGGCCATAGCTCAAAAACTTGACCTGACTGAGCAAAACCAATGTGATTTTTGGATTCAGCGCATCAGATTCATCCTAAATCAGCTGAAAAAACGCAGACAACAAATTTGTTGTTGACCAGTGTAATCAATAAAACAACGGCAAGCCACAGTACACAAAACAATACAATACACATTGAGAAGCAGAGGGTGGGGCAAGGCAGGTGGAAGGAGGCCTTGCCTGATGGAGTCTCTCCCCTCACCCTTTGTCAGAAAACCAGAGGCTTTTCTGTTATAATATAATATGTGATGAATTACCAAAGAAAATAAGAGACTGTTTACGTATGCAACGACAGCAGTGAGAATGTTTTTGGCCCAGAGATGGAAAGAAGGTGAAGTACCGACTAAAGAAGAGCGGCAGACCAAACTGATGGAATGCGCAGAAATGGCGAGACTAAGGGGAAAGATCAGAAACCAGGAAGAACAAGTATTTTTAAAAGACTGGAATAATTTTACTGTATACTTGAAAGACCACTGTAGACAGTTAAAATCATGGGCAGGGATACAAGGACACTTGTAATGTGAACTGAACTTTGGTTACTATGGTTACATAAGAGATGGATAATGGTAAAAGATGCAGAAAAAAGGGAAAAGATAACATCTTTAGAACTGGAACCCATGTGGTGGAAGGTCTGAAAGAACCTTGTTACTGTTTATGTTTTGGAAAGGTTACAGGTATCGTGTATAACTTTATGTAAAACCAATTTAATTTTTTTTAAGAGCAGGCCATCTCCCACCCATCTGGTCTAGGGCACCACCCACTAACTGCCTCAGTCTTATCTGGATTGAGTTTCAGTTTGACATTGAGTTTCAGACATCCACTCCACCTTCCTCCCAGGGAAGGCAAAAAGAGCAGAGACTGCTATAGACTACTAAAAATGCTGAAAAACGGAGGGACACATTCCATGCTGGATGCCATCAGACGGTTGACTCATGTTCAGCTTGTGGTCCACTAAGACCATTAGACCTCTGCAATTCTATGATTCTATGGGAAACACCACGCTTGCCAGCAGCACATGTGAAAAGGATCTAAGGGTCTTAGGACACCAAAAGCTTAACGTGAGTCAACAAGGTGAGTCAGTAGCAAAATAAGGTAATGCTATTTTAGGCTACCTCAACAGGCGTCTAATATCCAGGTCCTGGGAAGTAATACTATGTTCCTTTCTGATTGGTCAGACCACACCTGGAGTCCTGTGCTCAATTCTGGATGTCACAATCAAAGGAGGATATTGAGAAGCTGGAATCTGTGCAGAGAAGGGTGACCAATATAATCAAGCATTTGGAAACCTAGCCTTTTAAGGAATGATAGAAGGAGACTGGAAAAGAGGAGATTGAGAGGACATATGAGACCCATCTTCAAATACCATGATTCTCCCTGCTATGAGTTCCTTGATGGTAAGTGAGACTTTTCTTCCATTTGAAGCTCTTTCCACATTCCAAGCACTGATATGGCTTCTCCCCTGTATGAATTCTTTGATGGGAAGTGAGACTATTCTGTCGACTAAAGCTCTTTCCACATTCCAAGCACTGATATGGCTTCTCCCCTGTATGAATTCTTTGATGGGAAGTGAGACTATTCTGTCGACTAAAGCTCTTCCCACATTCTAAGCACTGATATGGTTTCTCCCCTGTATGAATTCTTTGATGGGATATGAGATGGTCCTTCCGATTGAAGCTCTTCCCACATTCTAAGCACTGATATGGTTTCTCCTCTATATGAATTCTTTGATGGGAAGTGAGATGGTCCTTCCGATTGAAGCTCTTCCCACATTCTAAGCACTGATATGGTTTCTCCTCTATATGAATTCTTTGATGGGAAGTGAGTCTATCCTTGCGACTAAAGCTTTTCCCACATTCTAAGCACTGATGGGGTTTCTCCCCTGTATGACTTCTTTGATGGGCTGTGAGCAAAGCCTTCTGACTGAAGCTCTTCCCACATTCCAAGCACTGATATGGTTTCTCCCCTGTATGAATACTTTGATGATCTGTGAGCTTAGCTTTCTGCCTGAAGCTCTTTCCACATTCCAAGCACTTATAGGGTTTCCCCCCTGTATGAATACTTTCATGGGATATGAGATGGTCCTTCCGACTGAAGCTCTTCCCACATTCTAAGCACTGATATGGTTTCTCCTCTATATGAATTCTTTGATGGGAAGTGAGATGGTCCTTCCGACTAAAGCTCTTCCCACACTCCAAGCACTGATATGGTTTCTCCCCTGTATGAATACTTTGATGGGATATGAGATGGTCCTTCCGACTGAAACTCTTTCCACACTCCAAGCATTTATAGGGTTCATACCTTGTATGCCTTCTTTGATGGCAAGTCAGACTTCTCTTCCTACTGAAGCTCTTTCCACATTCCAAGCACTGATATTGTTTCTCCCCTGTATGAATTATTTGATGATCTGTGAGCTTAGCTTTCTGCCTGAAGCTCTTTCCACATTCCAAGCACTGATACGGTTTCTCCCCTGTATGAATTATTTGATGGGATGTGAAACTTTTTTTCCAGGTGAACTTCTTTCCACATTCCAAGCACTGATACGGTTTCTCCCCTGTATGAATTCTTTGATGGGAAGTGAAACTATTCTTGCTAGTGAAGTTCTTCCCACATTCTAAGCACTGATGGGGTATCTCCCCAGTGTGAATTGTTTGATGGGAAGTGAGCTGGCAGCCCCTAATGAAGCCCCTTCCACATTCAAAGCATTTATATGGTTTCTCTCCTCTGTGAATTCTTTCATGTGAAGTAAGGGTACCCTTCCGACTAAAATTCTTTCCACATTCCAAGCACTGATATGGTTTCTCCCCTGTATGAATACTTTGATGGGAAGTGAGATGACCCCTCTGGCTGAAGCTCTTCCCACATTCCAAGCACTGATATAGTTTCTCCCCTGTATGAATTCTTTGATGGGAAGTGAGATGGACCCTTTTCCTGAAGCCCCTTCCACATTCAAAGCATTTATATGGCTTCTCCCCTGTATGAAGCCTTTGATGGTATATGAGATAGTCCTTCCAACTGAAGCTCTTCCCACACTCCAAGCACTGATATGGTCTCTCCCGACTGTGAATTGCTTGATGATAAGTGAGATGTCTCTTCAGTTTGAAGCCCTTTTCACATTCCAAGCACTTGTATGGTTTCTCCCCTGTATGACTTCTTTGATGGGCCTTGAGCACAGCCCTGTGACTAAAGCTCTTCCCACATTCTAAGCACTGATGGGGTTTCTCCCCTGTATGAATTCTTTTATGGAAAGTGAGACTATTCTTGCGAGTGAAGCTCTTCCCACATTCCAAACACTGATGGGGTTTCTCCCTGCTGTGAGTTCTTTTAGGGAAAGTGAGAAATGTCTTCTGACGAAACGTCTTACCATCTTTCAAGTACCGATAACGATTTTTCCCAATAGGATATATTTTATGGGAAGTAGAATGGGAGCTCAGACTATAACTCTCTCCACACTCCAAATATTTATACAACTTCCCCACTGTGTGAATGTTGTCACGGTTCCCCTTGTTCATAATTTCCAATCCATCAGCACCTGAATCAAAGAGAGAAACAGATTAGAGCCTCAGGAAGAAATAGAGCCCCAAATTATGGAAGACTGCTAATGAATGTTTGTGATAGATGAAGAACGGAAGGAAGTTAGATCTGAGGTCTTACTACAGGGTTCACTGCCTTTGTTGACTGTCAATGACACACAGATTGATGGGAACCTGAGATTCAAACAGCCTGGCATCTGGCAGGATAGATCTTGTTTGGCCTAATCATGGAATCTCCTCCATCTGCAAGGCCAGTTGTCTCTTTGGTCAACCAGAAAATGACCAAAGCAAAAACAGAAAACCTCACAGAAGCTGCTACTTCTTCTGCCACCACACAGAAAGTTACATTCAAGAAGGTCTGGGCAGCTCAGACCAGCCTGGTCATGGTTTAAAAAGGCATATGTGGGGCAAGAATACTTGCAGACAGAACTGTAGATTCAAGGTGAGCTATGAGGAATGAGAATCCCAGGTGCTGTCAAGCGCCAGCAAAATATTGCAGGATTCTCACAGGTGTAGGTAGGGGTGTGTGTGTGTGTGTATTTCAAAACATATATTATGATCCAGCTGGAAGCCTTACTGAGAGAGTCCACAATCCTACGATTCTCCTCCATGACTTCCTTATGCAGAGCTCTCTGGTCAGGATCCAGCAACGCCCACTCCTCCTCTGTGAAACACACAGCGACATCTTCAAAGCACAGAGGACCCTGAAGGAAAAGGGAAAAGGTCCTCTTCTGAGACAGCATAAAGATTATCCACTATACATTGCTCAGTTGTTTTCTGCCCATTCATTGTTGTGTTCTTTTAATGGGATTATTTTGCTGCACATTTTAGGTCTGGATGGCTATTTTAGCATTTCAGTTGATTTATTTTACTGTGCATTTTAATGATGGGTATTAATCTTTGTGTGAATGGGTGGAACTCCGCATGGTGTTCTTCAAATTATTCTGTCTGTGGAAGTATTCCTGTCTGCCAGACAGAATGCTCCCTTCTCTACTCCCGCTGTGCGATGCTTGGGGGGCGATGGGACCCTCCCTCTGCCCTACAGCCAACTTCAAGGGGCTCATGGGGGCACAGAGAGGGGGAGGAGGGGGATTCCCCTTGTGCAGCTGATGGGGCTGCTGAGGTGAATCCCGGCCACAGTTTTTATGGCTTCTCAACTGCTTAGAAGCCTGATTAGATTTTGGCATCTAACGATCAATATAGAAATATAACTGCAGCTACTGATAAATCATAAAAATAGTGACATTCCAAGCCCAGTTAAGGAGAGATGGCTGTTCATTCCTGTCAGCACATAGAGCTTCTCCAATGGCACTGTCCATCTTTGTTCAGGACCGAGGCTTTGACAGAAGCCAAGAGGAGGAGAAATTCCTTCCGGCCCAGAGGCTCCCTGGCTGCCCCACTCCTCTGACTCTTTCCCCACAAAGCTCTTTCCCCATACCAGATCTGTTTCCACAGCTGCTGCTTCTCCTCCGTTCTCATGAAAAGATGGATGAGGAGGTCTGGGGGGCATCCTTCGGTCACCTGCGAGAGACAAAAGTCAAAGGGAAGCCATCAGGTCCTGCGTCTCTCACATCTTCAGATACACTGAAACAGAAGTCTCTTTCAGAAGCCTGTTTCAGTGTATCTGAAGAAGTGTGCATGCACATGAAAGCTCATACCAATAACAAACTTAGTTGGTCTCTAAGGTGCTACTGGAAGGAGTTTTTTTTCTTTTTCCAACCACGGCAGACCAACACGGCTACCTACCTGTAACTAGAGGTTCGGCACTTGGAGATAAGTGCCATAGATGTGCCATGGAAAAGGTCTTGCTTGTTGAGTGCATTTTGACATTGTACCCATTTCAAATTTTTGTTCTGTCAAAATATATCTTCCCCCCCTTTGGGCTCTTGGCCCCAAGTGCCTCCCCCCCTAAAGATGAACAGAACCCAAAGATTAGTTTCAAGATCCACAGAATGAGAAGAAAGACGAGTTCCTCCTTACCCAGTGGCCTCCCTCTGGCGTCCAACGGAGTCTTTTCTGCCTCACAGGAATCCAGGCCCATTTCTGCAAAGAGACCCTTTTCCTGAAAGAGTAACAAGGATTTAAAACAGAGAATGGGGAGAAGGATTAGAAAAGGAATGATCGGAGCAAACGCTTTAGGGGAGCAGATCTCATCCCTTGCTTCTCCAAAGAGGGCAAGCCATTAGGAGAGCATCTTGGAAGGCTCCCTGTCTTGCTTGGAGCCCCTTGGGAGTTTCCAGAGGAAAGTCTCTCTCACCTGCTTCCTCTCCTCCGCCTGACTCAGGAGGAAACCTTCAGCCAGGGCTACAGCCTGGGAACTGGTCTCTGCTCCACATTCCCTCACCCAGCTCTCCATCTCCAGCGGAAGGACAGCCAGGAACTGCTCCAAGATCACCAGGTCCAGCATCTGAGCTTTCGTATGACTTTCTGGCTTCAGCCACTGACAGTTGAGGTGGTGGAGTCGGCCGCAAGCCTCTCGGGGTCCTTTGGCCTCCTGAGAGCCGGACTGCGTCAACTGCTGGCTCTGCACCTCTGAGCAGAGGGTGTCCTCCTCACCTGGGATCTTCTGCTCTGAGTTTTCCCATAATCTCCCACTGCTCCCAGTTTGGAGGGCAGGGCCTCCTCCTGCTTCAGGGCCAGCTGAGTCTTGCTCATCCATCTGGGCTCTCATGAAGCCTCCAAGAGATCGGAAGGAATCCTTTCGTTTTCTGCCAAGTTCTGATGGTCCGATTTAGAGGTGCTAGCAAAGCCTACAAAGCAAACATATTGGTCTGTTATCAGACTGATACATGGTCAGGAGAAGAGAAATGTTTCCTGAGCAAGCGTGGCTGAGTCTTGCTAGGAGCCAGGGCTGGACTGCACCACAGCCCTGACTCTGAACTTTCATTAACAGGAAAAAAGGAAGAAGAGAGAGAAGGAAGCGTCTAGCCCTGGTCTAAGGAAAGCGACCATGCAGAATTGCCTCACTGACAATTTCATGACCCAGAAGGTGGAAGAAACAAGAAGGGGATCATCTGTCTTGGACCTAGTCCTCAACAACAGATGGGAACTGATCAAGCAAGTGGAAGTACTGGGAAACTTGGGAGAAAGTGATCATGTCCTCCCCTGAGACAGAGGGAAACGCAAGCTGAGTGTAGTCAGGAATTCACTTTAAGGCGGCCAATTAAAAAAGGCTTAAGGAGGTATGGGTGAGATCCTATGTTCTGAAATACTGAAATAAATGGGAGCTTCTCAAAGGTGAAATATTGAAGGCCCAAATGCAGGCAGTCCCAACCGGAAAGAAAAGTGAGAGGCATCTAAGGAAAACAGTGTGGCTGCATAAGGAAAGTGATGCCCAGCCTAGTAATCAAAGAATAAATGATGTAAGGAGGGAGCTGCAGTCCAGGATCGGAAAAGAGGGAGTAACTGGACACCTGGCTTCTTCAAATGAATTCAGATCTCCAGGACCTGATGAGCTGCATCCAAGGTACTGAAGGAGCTTGGGGATGTAAGCTCAGAGCCTTCATCTAGAGCTCTGAGGATTCCTGGAGAACAGGAGAGGCTCCTGCAGACTGGAGGGGGGCAAATGTTGCCCCCATCTTCAAAAACAGGAAAAACTACTGACCGGTGAGCTTGAGATTGATACCAGGCAACCAGGGAAGGTCCTAGAACAGATCATTAAACCGTCAGTCTGTGAGGACTGAGAAAAGGATGCTGTGATTACTAAGACCCAGCAGGGGTTTCTCGAAAACAAGTCATGCCAGACCAATCTGGCAGCTCCCAGATGATTGGCTGGGCTCCCTTTATTAATGGCATTTCTACCCCTCCTCACTGAGTCCCCACAACAATGGGGCTCCGTTCAAGGTGCTGACATGAGGGGTTCACTTGGACCCCAATCTCTGAGGAGCCTCTGGAGCAGAGCCCACTCATTATTGTTCCCCACCAAATTTCTACCGTTTGCCACAGGCTGTCAGGGAGGGAAAACCTAGTGATTTGCAGTCTGAAGCAGGAGTTGGTCAAACCAGAAAAGCTTTTTTTTTTAACACAAAAAGTTGGTGAAAGCAAGTTGGGTCAGGAGAGGCATTCTTTCAGGCAGAAGTTAAGTTATTCTTAAACTAAACTTCTTTGGGGAAGCTTCGCTTTTCAGGGTCGACGTTTTACTACGGCTTTATATGTGCTGGAAGCTGCCCAGAGTGGCTGGGGGAGCCCAGCCGGACGGGAGGGCTATAAATGATAAAATAATACTGGAAGACACAAGAATTGCCTACCCGAGAAGAATGGCAGAGAAAAGTGATAGACTATATGGAACTGGCTGAGATGACCGGCAGAATTCGAGATCAAGAAGAAGGGTCGATGGAAGAAGATTGGAAAAAATTCAAAACATATCTTCAGAATCACTGTAATATAAAAGAATGTTAGAAAAGGTTGGAGAAGAATATTAGACCGTATTGGCAGACAGAGTATAATGGAATTAAGTAAATATGAAGTGTAAAATAAAAGATAGAGGAGAATTAAATATTTTTGAATGTTAAAATAAGCAAATGAAAAGAAGGTTAGAAGGATTTGCTGGAGATACAATTTGAATTAGAATACAAAGCAGAGAAGTGAGAGGAAGTCACGGAAATAAGTAAATGGGAAAACGGTTCTAATGGTTTAAGTTGAATTTTTCTTTTGTTATTTTTTTATTGTGATTTTTTGTCTTGTGTATTTCTCTTTGTATTGTGTGTTTTTCTTGTAGGATGTATGTGATTTGTTTTTCTTTTTTTACTTTTTACTTTTTCTGTAATCTTAAAATTTGAATAAATATTTTTTTAAAAAATATATATATAAATGATAAAATAATAATCATCATAATGATCAATAATTTGCTCTTTTCCCTTCTCTGTCCCTGACTAAAAACTCCCTCAGAAACGGCTCCTTTTCTTTTCCCGCCCAAAGTGCTGGCTCCGCCCCCTTTGACTGGCTGGGCAGCCAATCAGAGAGAGAGAGGGGCCCCGGCCCCCTGGTGGCCTTTCGGGGGAACTGCACCCCCACTCCGGCCTGGCTCGGCTGTCAATCACCGGCTGCTCCCGCCTCCACCCAGAGACTTCAGATGGCAGAGGAGGAAAATGACTCTCGAGGAGGCTGAATCTCAGCCCAGCCAGAGGCGCTCCTGACCTGGCGCCTGGGGGTCACAGGGACGGCTCTCACTCACTTCTGTCCTCTTTCCCCTTTCTTCCTGGTTTGGTTTAAATCCATTCACGAACCAAGAGCCCACATCCTGACCCCGGGATGCGGAGATCTCTGCCCATTTTGTGAATGTACATGAATGAAGAAGGCAGCCTCTTTACTTGGGCCTGAATAGGCAGCTGAGGCGTCGCCTGCATCTGGAGGAGCTCTGCGTGAGAGGCGAGGGAAGTTTTTAATCTCTGGTGTTTTATTGATTTTTTAAAATATGTTATGGAAGGCGCCCAGAGTGGCTGGGGAACCCCGGCCAGGTGGGTATAACTAATAAATTATTATTATTCTTATTATTATAAAGGCCAATAAGAAGACCCCGGACCCCGTGGTGCGTCTGCCAAGCAGGACCAGAGCCCTTTCCAGAGTTCTGGCTTCCTCCCGAGAATCCTGGGAACCGTAGTTTGTTCAGGATGCGGTGAGCGGACAGGAAAGCGCTCTTTCCCACAATTCCTAGGGTGGCTTAACAGGGGACTCCTGGCCAGGGGACTTGGGGAGCCGCAGCCTGAGCAGAGGGGGCTGGGGAGAGAGGGTCTCCCCATTGCTCTCAGCACTGGAGGGGGCTGCCTCTTTCACCCCACCCGCACCCTGCCATTTCTGGATTACACGTACGGACCACTTTTATGTCCCAGGATCTCAAGGTGGAATACGGGATTCTCCTGCTCCCTGTTTCACCCGCACAACAACCCTGTGAGGAAGGCCAGGCGAAGAGATGGTGACTGACGCTTCATGGCTGAGTGGCGAATCGAACCCTGTCCCAGTCCGGCACTCTAACCATTAGACCACACTGCCCCTCCTTCCCACCATGGCCTCTCCTCTGGGATGGCCAGACCTCCTGAGCCAGCCTCCTGCAGAAAGGAGAAAAACTGAAGAGCTGCTGGGCCCTGTCCCCCCCAGGAGAGATGGCGGCCTCTCCTCCCTTGGAGGTTTCTGAGCAGAAGGTGGAGGGCCGCCTGCACTGGGGAGCTGAGCAGAGATTCCTGCATTGCAGGGGCTGGACTAGATGTCCTTTGGGTCCCTTCCAAGTCTGGGATTCTGGGCTTCTCCCCAAGGCTTCCTCTTCCGTTTCATTCCCGCCGGGTCATCAGTCCAGCATCTGGACCAGCCTTTCTCCAGCTGGGGGCCCCCGGTGGGGCTGGACTACAACTCCCATCACCCCCAGCCTCGCCAGGCCAGGCCTCAGGGATGATGGGAGTTGTAGTCCAGCCCCACCGGGGGCCCCCTCGCCCCCCTTGGCAAAGCCCTGCCTGCCCCTCCCTGCAGGAGCCCCCCCCATAGGACCCCCAGGGGGGAGAGGAGACTCACCGGAGGAGACAAGAGGGGCCCTCCGGAAGACCCGCCCCCTCCCTTCCTGTCCTCTCTAGGAGGGCGGCGCAGCTGCTCTTAACCCTTGGCCCGCCGGGGCGCCCAGCTGGTCTCCTTCGGGGGGAGCCTGGGGGCCGGAGGAGGAGAAAGGGGAGCCCCCTGCCCCCCCCGGGATGGGCAGGGAAAAGGCAGGCGGGGGGCCGGGAGGGGGGCCGGGAGGGGGGCCGGGAGGGCTCAAGTCAGGCAGGGCCAGAGCTGTCAAGGGAGCAGCAGCCTCCCCTGTCCGGGGACAGTCTAGGGGAGATCTAACAATCTGGGATCGCAGCGGGAGGCTCCATGCAGGACTCCTCAGAAACCAGGAAGAGCCCTGGGGCAGGTGCCTTGTGCCAAGGGGGACCTATCCGGTCCAGGATCCTGCGCCCACAGTGCCACCCAGGCGCCCCAAGCAGGAGGAGAGCGCCTTCCCCCCCCCGCCTTGCGCTCTAAGGTAGACTGGTTTTGTCCATGGAGGCTCCATGCAAGAAGAGCTCTGAGGAAGGTGCATCACGCCAAAGGGACCCATCCGGCCCAGGATCCTGCGCCCACAGTGGCACCCAGGCAGGAGGAGAGCGCCTTGTGCCCTCTAAGGTAGACTGGCTCTGGCCCTGGAGGCTCCATGCAGGACTCCTCAGAAACCAGGAAGAGCCCTGGGGCAGGTGCCTCGCGCCAAAGGGACCCATCCGGCACAGCATCCCGCGCCCACAGTGGCACCCAGGCGCCCCCAAGGGAGAGAGCACCTTCCCCCCCACCTGGTACTCTAAGGTAGACTGGCTCTGGCCCTGGAGGCTCCATTCTGGACTCCTCAAGCCCTGCAACAGCTGGATCTAGGGGAACCGTCTAGCCCAGGACCCTGTGCCCACACTGGCCCCCCAGCTGCCCCCCAAGGGAAACCACGAGCAGGATCCGAGCACAAGAGCAGCCCTCTCGCCTCCTGTGGTGTCCAGCAACTGGGATTCAGAAGCCTTGCTGCTTTTGACTGCGGAGCCAGAGCAAAGCCATCGCGGGTTGTGAGCCCTCCTCGCCTCCTCCGTGAATTTGCCCCGTCCTCTTTTAAAGCCATCCGAGGTTGGTGGTGATCACTGCCTCCTGTGGCAGCGAGTTCCACAGTTTAACTCTGCGCTGCATGAAGGAGGCTTTGCTGTTACCCCTCCCCCTGGATCCTGCCACACATTCACCCTTCTTCAATCCAGAAGGAGGAATGACAAAGGCGAGAGTTTTGGAAAGCGAAGGGTTATAGTGACAGAGTTGCCTGCTAGAGAGGAGGGCCGTGAAGAAGGAAGTGGCAGGTGGTGACACGCCCCCCAGAGGCGGAACCCCAGATCTCTCCCCATTGTCATCTCCCTGCAAATTGGAACCCGAGTCTGGCTTCCACTTTTGGCTTCTGCCCCTGCCATGGGTGATTTAGTCGAGATTTCTGCATTTAATAATAATCATAATAATTTTTATTTATACCCCGCCCTCCCTGACCAGAGCCGGGCTCAGGGCTGCTAACCACAAGAAAATCACAGTAGAAATATATTAGGGGGAAAGGGGAGGGACCAATTTAAAATGCAGCCTCATTTTAAAATAGCTGGGGTTGACCTCGGGGTCCCTTCCAACTCTGATTCTGTGATTCCTGCTTGCAGTGCAGGCCTCCACCTCCTGGATGGCACCTCCGCCCTTGCAAGGAAGGCCTTGCAGCCCAGCTCACCTGGCGGCCCAAGTGCCCCCTGGTGCCTGGCAGGGTCGCCCCGACTGCACCAGCCCCTCGCTTGCCAGGAGAGCGACCATCTTTGCAGGGGCAGCAGCAGCACCAGACCCACCCCTGCCAGGTTGCCAGAGGGAGGGATGCACATGGGAGCAACACAATCTGTGCGCCAGGATCCAGAGTGCGAGGAGGGGCGAGGGAGGAAAGCAAAGCCTTCATCAGGCACCTGCGGAACTCTCTCCCACAAGGGGCTGCCAGGGCCCCCAACCTGGATGACTTTAAATGAGAACTGGGGGGGGGGGTTCATGAAGGTGGAGAGGGCTGGCAGTGGCTCTGCTCTATAACAACAACAATAAAATTTATGATTTCTCCCCCGCCCATCTGGCTGGGTTTCCCCAGCCCCTCTCTGCCTCCACAGTCAGAGGGAGCAATGCTCCTGAGGGGGAGTTGCTCTTGTGCTCGGATCCTGCTTGCAGTTGCAGGTTTCCCACAGCTTGGCCACTGTGAGGAAATAGAGAGCAGGACGCTGTTTTTGTTTTTTGCATTGTCACCACAATGGAATTATTATTATTATTATTATTATTATTACTATTACTATTATTACTATTATTGATAATAATAATCGGGCTGGGTTTCCATCGGGCTGGGTTTCCCCAGCCACTCTGGGTGGCTTCCAACAGAAGATTAAAAGTACAGTGGTACCTCAGGTTACATACGCTTCAGGTTACAGATGCTTCAGGTTACAGACAGGAATAGTACCTCGGGTTAACTTTGCTTCAGGGTGAGAACAGAAATCGTGTTCCGGCGGCACGGCGGCAGCAGGAGGTCCCATTAGCTAAAGTGGTGCTTCAGGTTAAGAACAGTTTCAGGTTAAGTACAGACCTCCAGAACAAATTAAGTACTTAACCCGAGGTGCCACTGTACATTAAAACATCAGTCATCAAAAACTTCCCTAAACAGGGCTGCCTTCAGATGTCTTCTAAAAGTCAGATAGCTGCTTATTTCCTTGACATCTGATGGGAGGGCGTTCCACAGGGCGGGCACCACAGGTTGGCATCTGTCTATCTCAGGAGACAATGGAGGAGTGCTCTTCCAGGGGTAAAGCCAAGCCATTAGAAGGTTGCAGTGCCTGCTGTGACTGTAGAAACCGATACAGGAAAGACATGTTTCGTTGCAGCTGAGGCAGATGAAGGCGTCTGGTTCTGCTGCTGCAGATGCACCAGGGCGATTCCTCTCCCTGTGGTCTTTCCTCTTCTGGCCACTACTGTGGATGCACAACCAGGCATCTCATATCCCCCCTCCAACTGAATTCACATTTCCCCTTGACTTAAGTTAGCCATGTTCATTCATTTCAGTTTGCCCACTGAGTATTGCTCACCCAAGAACCATGCAAGGCAGAAAACAAGAATGCCATTATTCAGAGCACTCCGCTTTGATGGACAGATTCTGTGGCTTTTGGGTGTGCTGCAAATATAGGTGTTCAATGTGTTTTTGCAACATGAGAGTAATGCATGCTTGTCCGTATTTATAAATGTTTATATTGGAGGCAGTGAGAGATTTTACTTTCTTGGGCTCCAATGATCACTGCAGTTGGTGACAGCAGTCAGGAAATTAAAAGACGCCTGCTTCTTGGGAGAAAAGCGAAGACAAACCTCGACAGCATCTGAAAAAGCAGAGACATCACCTTGCCAACAAAGGTCTGTATAGTTCAAGCTCTGGTTTTCCCAGTAGTGATGTATGGAAGTGAGAGCTGGACCATGAAGAAGGCTGATTGCCGAAGAATGGATGCTTTTGAATTCTGGTGCTGGAGGAGACTCTGGAGAGTCCCATGGACTGCAAGAAGATCCAACCTCTCCATTCTGAAGGAAATCAGCCCTGAGTGCTCCCTGGAAGGACAGATCCTGAAGCTGAGGCTCCAAGACTTTGGAGACCTCATGAGAAGAGAAGACTCCCTGGAAAAGACCCTGATGCTGAGAAAGATGGAGGGCGCAAGGAGAAGGGGACGCCAGAGGACGAGATGGTGGGACAGTGTTCTCGAAGCTACCAGCATGAGTTTGACCAAACTGCAGGAGGCAGTGGAAGACAGGAGGGCCTGGCGTGCTCTGGTCCAGGGGGTCACGAAGAGGTGGACACGACGAAACGACTAAACAACAACCACAATATTGATATATATATATATATATATATTATAGAGAGAGAGAGTGTTGTTGTCCCCCCTGGTCCTGATCCTGCTGCAGGCTCCTTCTTCTTCTGCCCTCGGGGAGGAGCTTCCAGGGGCAGAGCCAGTCTATCTGGATCGCGAGTTTCACAGGGACTTTGGACCCGCATGAGAACACGAGTCTGCCCGGGCTGTCGGGATCCGGCAACACGCCTCCTCTCCTCGCGCTCCGACGTCAAACTGGGCCAGCTCAGACCCCGCCCCTTCGCCCAGGGAGGCTGCGCATGCGCCCTCGGCGGGATCGGGGCGGGGCTTCTGTCGTTCACGTGATCCCTCCCGGGGCGAGGTCACGTGCCGCATCATGGCTGCGCCCAGGCGCCTCTTCCGGATGCGGCGGCGGCTGCTCCTCCTGCCCTTGCTGGGCTTCTGCCTGGCGGCGGCGGCGGGAGGCAACAGCGGGGAGCTGCCGGCGGTGTGCGGCGGAGGCTGCTGCCCGGGGCGCGTGCGGAACGGCTCCGCGGTGGCCGCGCAGTGCGCCTCCAGGCCGGGCGCTCGGCTGCGGGGCCGCTGCTGCTGCTCGGGAGGCCAGGCCGCCGCCGCCGCCGCGGTGGTGCTGGGGTGAGTCCGGCCCGGGAGGGAGCCGGGGGGCTGCAGCCAAAGGAATCCCCGCCGTGTTTGAAAAGGGGACCCTTCCCGGACATGATTCAGTTTTTAGCGGAGGGAGGGATGAAGACGCAGGTCTCTGTCACCGAATCGGATGTCAGCATGCCGGGAGGGGCGCTGCTTTCTGTTAATGTGTGGTTTTTATGTCCTGGATGCTTTAGTTGAGATTCCTACCTCGCAGGAATTTGGACTGGATGACCCTTGGGGTCCCTTCCAACTCTACTATTCCAGGATCTATAATTCTATGTATCTTGTGCTTTTATGCTGGGTTTTAGAATCATAGAATGGTAGAACTGGAAGGGACTCCCAAGCATAGCTGTCAACTTTTCCCTTTTCTTGCGAGGAATCCTATTTGGAAGAAGGGAATCTCCCTTAAAGAAAGGGAAACGTTGACAGCTATGGTGCTCAAGGATCACCTAGTCCAAGCCCCTGCAATGCAGCAGTGTCAATATGCAGGCCCCAATCCACTTTGAACCTACACCAGACTTTGCTTAGCTTTGCAAATAGTAGCTTTATCCTTGAGTGAAGGGCAGTATATACATTTAATAAATAAATGCCTGAAGAACAGAATGCATAAATATTTATTTTATTTATATCCCACCTTTTCCTCCAAGGACCTCAAGGCCTTGGTTCTCCCCTCCCCATTTTATCCTCACAGCAACCCTGTGAGGTGGGGTTAGGCCAGGCTTCCTCAAACTCGGCCCTCTAGATGTTTTGAGACTACAGTTCCCATCATCCCTGACCACTGGTCCTGCCAGCTAGGGATCATGGGAGTTGTAGGCCAAAAACATCTGGAGAGCCAAGTTTGAGGAAGCCTGAGTAAGGCTGAGCGACAGGTCCAAGGTTCATCCAGTGATCTTCACAGCTAAGCGGGAATTCAAACTCTGGTCTCCCAGGTCACACTCACAGCACCACTGCCTGGCATGTGTGCTCCCAAGGGGCAGTCACCTGGGAAATGTTACCTGTCTCTCTGACCTTAGATTCTGGCAGCAGGGTAGCTGCTCCAGTTGCCCGATGTGAATGCCTTGTCATAGATGATTGTATTTTAGTGTTTTGTTGGAAGCCGCCCAGAGTGGCTGGGGAAACCCAGCCAGATGGGCAGGGTATACCCAGCCAGATGGGCAGGGTATAAATAATAAATTATTATTATTATTATTATTCACAGTGGCAAGCGTAGCAGATGTTGTGCCTCCCAGATGTTGCTGGACTACAACTCCCATCATCCCTTAACGATTGCCCATCTTGTCTGGGGCGGGGGGAGGAAAATGTTCAGCCCACATCACCGCTTGGACTTGGATGCACTGCAGAAAATCTCTTGTGGGCCCTTGGGGAAGAGATGATGCTCTCAGGTGGCCCCCAAAAGACTGATGCCTCTATCCCCAACCTGATACACAGTGCCGGATGAACCCTGTGGAGGCCCCTAGGCAGTCAAAATCTTGGGGGGGGGGGGGCCTTGCAATAATGTAGGCTTCTGAGTTAATGGGAGTTTCTCTTCCAAATTAAAAATTCTTTGAGGATGAAATCAATATTATTTTGATCCGTTGTCGTGGGGCCCCTGGACCGGTGTCTACTCTGGCTATTTGGTAATCTGGCACTGCTGATACGCTCCAGATTTGTGGGACTAGCACCCCCATCAGCCCCTGCCAGCATAGCTGCATGGTGCTGCTGCTGCTGAACATCTGGAGGGCACCTGCATTGCAGTTGGTTGGACTAGATGACCCTCAGGGTCCCTTCCAACTCTACCATTCTATGCTTGGAAGCCTGGAACAGATTGTGACCTGATGCTGCTAGTTGGCGGCTGTTCCAAAGGCCCAACGGAAGTGTGAGGCTCTGCAGCTGAGGTTTGGGGTGAGCCCCATATTATTGCTCCACCCCCAACCTTAAATAATGCCCCCTCCAAAACTGCTGGAGGGCGAGGGAAGGAAGGGCAGGGACTGGGGACTCCTGTTACCTGATGCTCCTCTCTCTTTGCCCTCTAGGCTGGATCTGGGGAACTGCTCGCTGCAGCAGCTGTGTTCCAGCTTCCAGGAGGCCAGCATGGCTTTGCTCATGTGAGTCCATAAACACCTAAGAGGAGCCTGGCTGCTGGATCAGGCCAGAGGGGCCCCATCCAGTCCTGCATTCTGTTCTCACAGTGGCCAGCCAGGTGCCTGTGGAACTCTCTGGCCTTCCAAGCCCTCTTTAGGCTCCTTTGTTCAGGCTGGATTGGTGGGACGGATCCAGCTCTTGGGTCCTAACCTGAAGTCGCCTGTCCTTCCCCCCCGGCCTTCTCAGAGGGAGCTGGAATGACAGAGTTCTGGTCTCTGCTTGGCTTTGAATTTGCTTGCTCACACGTAACACCATGCAGAGATTAGGCTGCCCTGGAATAGGGTTGAGTCACAGTCTTGGTGCCCCATTGTACAGAAAAGTATTAGGAAGGGTGCCTGAGGTTTGTATTCAAGCACCCTCTTCTGGGTTGTTCATCTGCACCCCATTTCAGGCTAGAAATAATGCCTCAATGTGATACACTTGCCCTGAGGTTTTGGTAGCCCAGTCCCAGAGGCGGCAGTGGCGCCCGTGTAATGTGCCACACCAAAAATGGTTAGCAGACCTTGGCAGGAGGTGAAGCGGTGAATGGGGGTGCAAAGGGGCCCCAGCCCTGTGGCAGAGCAGGTGCCTTGAATGCAGAAGGCCTCAGGTTCAACCTCGGGGGAGGGCAGAAGCAAGAAGGGCTGGTAAAAGCTTTCATGCCCCAAACCCTGGAGCCGTGGCTCTCAAAGGGTGCGGTGCAATGCTATGAATCACACACTGCTAGGAGCAGTTTCTTTTCATTTTCCAATGTATTTCTTACCAGTTAAAAAGGTGGTGCAGCCAAAGCAAATTTTTATTCTGTGGCGCAGAGAAAAAAGTATGAGAACCATTGCCCTAGAGAGCCCCTGTCAGTGGGCCTGACTCTGCAAAAGGCCGTTTCCTGTGTTTCCGTACCAGAGCGCAGGGCCTGACTGTGCTTCCTCCTTCTCAATGCAGCGACCTGACTGACAACCCTCTGGAGCCTCTCCCTGAAGACGCCTTCCGGGGCTTCACCCAACTGCAGACCCTGTGAGTGGGGTGGAGAGCTGGGCTGGGGGCTCCTGCTTCTCCTGGACTGTGCCAGCTGAGCCTGAGGGTGATGGCTTCCCCTGGTGCTGCTGCCTCCTGGGAAACAGCAGCTTAGTGGTGGCCGGGAAGCTTTTTGTGGCTCCCGTGGCCCCTTGCTGCAGGGCAGGCCCCTGGGACATGGCTTCCAAGTCTTGCTGCTGGGACAGTTGGGGGGAAACCAGTCCTGGACTTGGTGAGATTCAAAATTCTCCTTGATCCGCAGAGCTCTGCCCCTGACGCTGGATTGCCCGGGAGGCAACGAAGGCTGGGACAACGTCACCGTCCAAGGAAGCAGCCGGATCTGCCACGGCCAGAGGAACCCCTGCAACGGCTCAGGGGGGCTCGGTATGGAGGGGGTGGGCAGGGGCTGGCCTACTTGGGTGCTGGAGGAGCAGCCTCATGTGGAATGGGGGGGGTCAGGGCAGCTGTGGGGCGCAGTAAGCATCGCTTTGGGAAGCCACCAAAGTCCTTCCTATATCCGCCGCACTGAAGGAGCTGCAGGATGATGCTGTGTGAAGTGTTGCGTTCCCAAAGCAAGGAAGGATTGGACTCTGATTCATAGAATACACACGAGGCTTGACCAGCCAGACTCTGGGAGGGGTGGCAATAATAATCCTGTCTAGCCCTTGGCCCAGGTCGTTTTATTCACAAAAGAATTTTTTAAACAGTGTTCGTAAGAACCAATCAGATTTCCTCTGAGCATTTCAAAAACCCCACGTGGGACAAAGTCAGATCAGAAGAAATCCTGTTAACTACAAAGAAACTATTTCCTACTTGAGCATGCATACGTGGTTAATTTAAATAAACAGGAGCCAAGTTAGAAATGCATTTAGTGCCCCCAGAGCTCATAAACCCCTAGGAAAGAAAGCTGCATTTACCATCTCCATGAAAACTCTCTTCCTGGCCCTTAAGATCTATCTAAAGCTACACAAAAGCTACATCAAAGTTACCTCCTATCTTTATGGCTCAGGAAGCCTGGTGAAGCCACCAGTCTGTGTTCTAGAATGCTTTACGTGCCTGTCAGGCGTAGAAAATGGACAGTAGAGAAGATGGGGCAGAGATGCAGAGGCTTGAGGGATTTGGTCAGAAATTATTGTCAACGAATCAAGCCCAGTCACAGCAATGCTTTCATCGCGGACACAATGGCGTGCTCCATTTTTCATAATTCCTCATTGCAATCCCACCTGACCCCCACAGTGTAGGAATTGGAGCCGTGCTGAGCGCAAAGGTGCACCCAAGGGACACCCTCCTCCTCCAACACCCCTTTTGCATCAGGAGAGCGTGAATGCCACACAACGTGCATTTGAGTGCTGCCAGCACTGGGTCTTCCTGGGCAGGGCTCTCCCTTCTTCATGGCTGACAATACATGACTGTGCATTCTTAGAGATACAGCCTGAGGTGCAGGAGTGGGAGGGGGGGGTCTGAACCATTCAGGGGTTCCAGAATTGCCCTGTGGACCGAGAGCAACCCACCCTGGGACCTGGCCATGGTGCCGTGTCTGTTTGGTGTTCAGATCAGGCCACAAGCAGCGCTGAGAGAGCTCAGGGGAGGGCAGGAAAACAGTCCAGAGTCCAGGGCCATCCCAGAATCCCTCATACCACATGGCCCAGTTGCTCAGGGCGACCGCCTGTCTCCTTCGAGGCATAACTCTAGAACGGACCGCGGCAGCTCTTTTGTGTTTCTGCCAAGGGCTAAAGGTAAAGGGACCCCTGACCATTAGGTCCAGTCGTGGACGACTCTGGGGTTGCGGCGCTCATCTCGCTTTACTGGCCGAGGGAGCTGACGTACAGCTTCCGGGTCATGTGGCCAGCATGACTAAGCCGCTTCTGGCGAACCAGAGCAGTGCACGGAAACGCCGTTTTCCTTCCCGCCGGAGCGGTACCTATTTATCTGCTTGCACCTTGACGTGCTTTCGAACTGCTAGGTTGGCAGGAGCAGGGACCAAGCAATGGGAGCTCACCCCGTCGTGGGGATTCGAACCGCTGACCTCCTGATCGGCAAGCCCTAGGCTCTGTGGTTAAACCCACAGTGCCACCCGCGTCTCTTTGGTGTTCCTGCCAAGGGCTGCAGGAGGGGAGGGCAGATGCATCTGGCTCGTGGGGCACCAGCTGCCAGGAGCTTCTCCTGCACAAGACCTGTGGCCTTGCGTGGGACGTTCTGCTCAGACCTCGCTGGAACCGAGGGGAGCCCTGCAAGGACCTGGGGAGCTCCCTGGGGGGAGGTCTCATTGCCTCCACCACCGAGACATCATGGCCTGGCCCTGGTAGCCCAAAAGGAGGCTGGTCGAATCCTGCGTGCAGGTTTCCCATAACAGGCACGTGGTCGGCCAGTGTAAGAACAGGGCACTAGACTGGATTTGCCCCTAGCCTGACCCAGCGGGCTTCTCTTCTGTTCTTCTAGAACCTCCAGGTCCAGAGACAGTCTACCTGGATTCCGAGGTTCTTTGGGTATTTGGCCACTGTAGGACGAGATGCTGGACTAGTTGGGCCACTGGCCTGATCCCGCAGACTCGTCTTAAACATTCCTCACCTGCAGGATGTGGGGGAAGTCACGCTCCCTTGTCCTCTTCCTCCCGCAGGCCACCTGTGCCCAAAGGACTCCTTGTGTTCCCACGACGGGCCCGGCTTGCCCCAGTGCCTCTGCACCAGCCCCCACTACGGCTACAAGTGCCTGCGCCAGGTGAGCTGCCCCAGAGGGTGGGGGGCTTTGTGTTTGAGAGGAGGGGTGCAAAGAGGGGGCCGGGGGGTGTGCTACTCAACTGGAGCAGAGCGGCTTTTTTCCTGCCCCAGGAAAGCCTGGGGGCAGGGAGACAGTGGAGGCCAGGAATGCAGGGCCGCTGCCCCCCACCCTGGCCCAACGGCGGGAGCCCTGCAGCTGTGTGGGCGGCTCAGGGTTGCAGGTTTGAACCCCACGATGGAAAAAAAGATTCCTGCATTGTAGGGGGTTGAACCAGCGTCTTTTCAGCCCTGGCCCCGACTTGGAGGAACGCTCTGTCCCAAGAGACCAGGGCCCTGCAGGATTTGACATCTTTCCGCAGGGCCTGCAAGACAGAGCTGTTCCGCCTGGCCTTTAGTCTGGACTCAGTCTGACCCTTATGTTTCCCTCCCCTTATGGTCTTGATTTATTGGCTACTTTAAAATGAGGCTGCATTTTAAATTGCATTTTAACCTGTATTTTAAATTGGTTTTTTCCCTTATTATGTTTTAACTGTAATTTTACTGGTGTTAGCCGCCCTGAGCCCAGCTCTGGCCGGGGAGGGCGGGGTATAAATTATTATTATTATTATTATATGACCCTCAGGGACCCTTCCAACTCAACCAATTTATGATTCTCTCGTTCCGCAAAAAGACCCTCGACCCAGCCAGGTCCCGCGGCAGCCCCCAGTCTATGGCGCTGCCCCCTGCCGGCCTTCCCCAGACTGGCTCGGGTGTTGGGGGGCCTTGGGGGCTGCCCCAAGAGGAGAAACGTCTAACTCACCTTTCTTTTCCAGGGCACCTTCCCCTACCTGCTGTTCTTTGGAGCCTTGGGAGCCGTCACCATCGCCCTCTCCCTCCTCCTGTGGGTCACCCAGAGGCGGAAGGCGAAGGTTTCCTAGAGGCTCTCTTCTCTCCCCTCCTCCTGGCCTGCGGCTGGACAGACACCCTTTGGCTTGGCCAAAAGTTTGTAATAAAGTCTGGAACACAGAGAGGAATGGTCCTTGTGGCGGAACCGAACCCCCAGGGCTCAGGGGTCTCTGCCGTGGGGCTGCTGGCCAGAGGGTCCCAGAGGAAGAGGCACCCTGGGCCCCCCCCTTCTCCGCCAAGGCCGCTCTGATATCTTGGGATTCTCACAGGGGGCAGAACCTGCATCTCACAAGCCTTGCTGCAGTTGCTTCCTCCGAACCCCCAAAAGGCCTCATGGATGGGGTCCCTGACGCAGTGCATGGGACTCTCTCCCAGAAAACCCGCCGGGCGCTATTTCCCTAGAAAGGTTTGTCCGTTGCCCCCCAGGAAGAGTCAAGCTGGAGACAGGGCAGCTGTGCGTTGACATCCTCACCCGCAATTGCCGAAATGAAGGAACTTCACACTTTCGCTTCTGTGTGTTGACGGCGAGTTGGAAATGCAGAGGCAGCAGCCCCCTGTGAGCTGCTCACGGCCACCTCCGGTTCATTCCAGGCATTTAAACAGCATTGCCCAAAGGTTGCATAAGAACTTTGTTTTTATTTTGAAATATTTTTTGTTTTTATCAATACAAATTTACAATCCAACAATTATATAATTGTCTCTTGAGATTCTCTGAATTGCTTGGCTTCCCCCCGTCCCCTAGAATGGTTCCTTATTAAAATGTTTCTTCTTCTTCTTTGGCGATCCCTCGTAGCTGAGTAAAATTGTCTTCCATAAACACAGTTTTAACAATGAGTCTGTGAGTGACTGTGGAGGCCATTTCTGGACCCACATGTCCTTCCACAGTGGGGACAGAGGTTTCTGGGCAGGAGTTGATCCCGGTGAGGATTTGCCAAGCGTGCCTTTCTCTTAGCACGTTTGCCCCTTGCGTCCTGAGTTCGAGTGTCTTCAAAGCCCAGGACACCTTTGGTGAAGGCTCTTCTCCAGTTGGAGTTCTTCTGTTCTCCAAATTTCAATTTCCAAATCATCCATGCTTTCATTACATTACAAGTGAGTCTCAGAGTCCAGCTAAAGTTTCAATTTGATTACAATGGTCTCCTAAATAAATTATGAATTTCCCCCATTATTTTTATTAAATCTTATCCTCTTGATTCCTGTCTTCCTGTTAGTTTTGCCATTTCGGCGTAGTCCAGCAGTTTGGGTGGTTGCGTAAGAACTTCAGTTGTGATTCCTGCATTGCCCTCACAGGTCTCTTCCGCCTGTATGATTCTATGAACTCGACTGCCCCCCTATTGTGAAGAGGCTCCTGTGGTCACTTGGGGAGACCCTGGCTGGCTAATTTTCCTTCTATGAAAGAGCAGGGCCTTCCTGGGACGCTTGCATTGCAGGGAACTCATTCTTCATCTTTGCTGCTCCCTTCAGCTTGCCAAAGAGTTTTGAAGGGTGCCAGGAAAATACCGTATTTTTTGCTCTATAAGACTCACTTTTCCCCTCCTAAAAAGTAAGGGGAAATGTGTGTGCGTCTTATGGAGTGAATGCAGGCTGCGCAGCTATCCCAGAAGCCAGAACAGCAAGAGGGATTTTTTTTTTCTTGTTTTCCTCCTCCAAAAACTAGGTGCGTCTTATGGTCTGGTTCGTCTTATAGAGCGAAAAATACGGTACTTTTTTATTGGGGAGAGGGAGATGGGGCCACCCTCCAAATGCAGAATCACGTACAAAAAGGGGGGAAACGGCTGTGTCTTTTGCCTGCCTGCCTACAACTCGGATGGACGCCAGCTCCAGAACTCTTGGAAGGAGGCCTTTGCTTCATACAGAGAATTAAACAAGGCAAGTATTCTGGTGGTGGTGCTCCATAGCCTGGAATCATAGAACTGGAAGAAGGGGCACCTGCTCCCTGCTTGATGCCAGAGCAGCCTGCCAGGTGGTATTTGCTGCTCTAAGATTTGAGTTGTGCAAACAGTTCTGCACTGATGGTGGCAGCAGGCAAGATCTGTTAGGCCGGACGCAACAGCCCCAAGCAAGGAGCATCATTCGCATCTGGGGCCCAAAGTAGCTCTTCTGCTGGTGCCAGCTTTACAACCAGGGAGCGCTTTGAAATTTGGCCCATGTGAGAGCCCTGGACTAGGTGGGTGTTACGGAAAAATCTAGGTGTGAGGCTGCTCAGTACCCCACCTGGTCGGACACAGCCCGCTGGTCCCTGCGGAATAAAGGAAGGAGTCCAGCCAACCGGAGCAAATAGCTGTAGACCAAAGTTTATTGCGCAAAAGGTTCAAAGAGGAATTTTTAACCCCGAGGATGGGGTGACAGGGACTTTTAAAACTTCCCCACCATATCCCAGAATACAATTCATACAGCATCCTTGCTACATCCCTGACATGTCACCAAAGGGGAGGGGTAGACAGTAGTTTAACCTTGGCAAACAGGTTCAGACAATTCCTTGGTACAAGATTAGCATAAGGGCAAGACCCAGGTATAAGATGAGCCTAGGCAAACACCTCTGAAGTCCCACCACCCAGAGCACAATAGAACTTCCTTTGCATGTCTGGCATCTCGGCAAGTCCAGTGATGGGATTAGGCTTTCCTTGGCCAACAATCAGCTCAGCAATTGCCACCTCTGGGCACTTCCTGGGGTGGGAGGTGTGTCTACATGTCCTCACCCTTGGGGAGGTGGCAGAGAAAAGAGTCCCTTTTCCAAGGGCAAAAGTGTTGAAATGGAGGAAACTGGCAAAGGAGTTGATTTTATATGGTAAACCTAGGTAACTTCCCTGAGCCGTCAAGTCGAAAGGATACATTTATGCATCATATTTGTAACATTAAACAACTTTAAAGATGTGCCCCCCCCCCCCCCGTAATTTCTGTAACCGTGGGCCATTGGTCTGATCCAGAAGGCTTTTCTTATGGTCTAATTTCCTCAAGTGTTTTCCCTTAAAACAGCCTCAGGAGCCTCTAGCAAACAAAACAAAATTCTTGCTGTGAAAATACTTGAGAGTGGTTCAACGCTTGAGCATTCCCCATACACACCATAGATTTGTAGAGTGGGATGGGTCCCGAGGGTCATCTAGACCAACCCCCTGCCATAATAATAATAATAATAATAATAATAAAATAATTATTTACACCCCACCCATCTGGCTGGGCTTCCCCAGCCACTAATACATCAAACATTAAAAGCTTTCCTAAACAAGGCTGTCTTCAAATGTCTTCTAAAAGTCTGGTAGTTGTTGTTCTTTTTGACATCTGGTGGGAGGGCATTCCACAGGCGGGTGCCACCACTGAGAAGGCCCTCTGCCTGGTTCCCTTGGCTTCTTGCAGCGAGGGAACCACCAGAAGGCCCTTGGCGCTGGACCTCAGTGTCCGGGCAGAACAATGGGGGTGGAATTGCAGGAATTGCAGCTAAGGTGAGCAACCGCTGAGTGGCAAACACTCAAGGCAGCTGCTTCTGCCAGGGCATGGAGCGTGGCTTCTCCTTGCTAAGGTGCCCCACATATAAATGCACCTCAAAGCGTGTCTGGCTCTTCTATGCGCTGCCCCTCCTGCAAAGCGCCCCCTGCTGGCTGTTGCGCCCGGAGATCTGCCCAGGATGAGCCTCCACCCCCCACCTCATCCTCCCACAATGCACTGCTCCTGTCTAAGCCACACGCATGTCCCCGTGCATCTCGCATGGCCTGGAGGCACAGCAGCGTCCCCTGCTGGACTCCCTGGGAAGGACATGCCGAGGAGAGCCACGTGCCAAGGGCTGCCAGAGGCACCTGGGGCAACGTGAACCGGGGTGTGGTGTAATATAATGGGGGACACAAGGGCCCTTGTAGAGTCCTTTGCAGGTTCTCCATCAGTTGAAGAAAAGAACAGAGGCCAACCAAAGAATATCGAGAAGCAAAGCAGCTCGTAAGCCTGATCTTTATTGATCTGTTGCAACAGGGTGCTCCCCTCTCATGCAGGAGGACGGAGGAGGACCCAGAACCAAGGTGTGCCCGCCCTTATATAGAGATTTTTAATTGCCCGCCCTGGAGTTGAAGACCACCCCCAGATACATCATACCTACATCACAGAAAGGGCGGTCTAAAGCAGAAATCTGAGTGTGTTGTTTATCTCCTGTCATCGTTTATTTCCTGTCTGGCAGGTTACCCGTGTTAACAGAGAAAACTGAGGGCTCCTTTGGACAAAAAACAAGGACACCAGCTAGGAATACCAGAGCAAAACTCCCACCTGCCACCAGGTGGAACAAGATGGAAGCCCCAAACAAAAGAGCTCCCAAACTTTTATTAGCTGCTAATCCCCATGTTACACCCCCCCCAAACTACATCATGGTTACATCATGAAAGGGGAGGTCTGGTGGCAGTAGTCTGAGCATCCTGGACCCTGCCCCATGGTTCCTCTTGCCCTCCACCAAAAACCCATCAAGTGAAACAAAAGAGACATTTACATTTCCCTGTTTAACAGCCAAGTTCATCCCACCCTTTTGTCTTCATCTGGGTTTGTTATTTCTGGCATGGCTACCTGTCTGGCACTCAGGTGTCAGGATGCCAGGGATTATCACTCAGGCAGAGGGGCTGCTGAGTAGCTGAGCTCACAGGTCTAGATGAATTTCTGAAGTTTTCCCAGTGAGCCAGTACATAGGTACATTTATCGGAGAATTCTTACATTTGGTATTGTGCAGCAAAGGCCCTTTGAATAGCTAGGAAGAAACTGTGATGAAGTGTTTTGTGGGGACAAGTCACAAAAGTCACAAAAGTGATTGTGCTGGTTTTGGTAGTGGGCTGCATGTGCAGGATATCTGCTGGAGGGGCAACCCCCCCAACCTATACATAAATTCCTGCTACACCTGTTTAATGGTTACTTGATTGGATTTCCTGGGGAGCCTGGCCAGTCTTTTGTAATGATAAATACTTAGTTCCTGGGCCAGGTCACAGGCTCACACCCTATTCAGATCTTAAATGTGCCCTTAAGACAGGATTTGTGAAGAAAGAGACAATGGGGAGGTTTCCCACTTTGACCTTGCAGAGAAATATTTGAGGTCAATTTGTTCAGGACTTTTTTTCTGTGGGGTTTCTGACATGTGCTTTATATATTTATGTACGTGTTTGCTTGGTACATTTATGAACATTTATTACATATAGCGCGGGTGGCGCTGTGGGTTAAACCACTGAGCCTAGGACTTGCCGATCAGAAGGTCGGCGGTTCAAAGCCCCGCAACAGGGTGAGCTCCCGCTGCTCGGTCCCTGCTCCTGCCAACCTAGCAGTAGATAAACCTAGCAAGTAGATAAATAGGTACCACTCCGGCGGGAAGGTAAACGGCGTTTCCATGCACTGCCAGAAGCGGCTTAGTCATGCTGGCCACATGACCCGGAAGCTGTACGCCGGCTCCCTTGGCCAATAAAGCGAGATGAGCACCACAATCCCAGAGTCGTCCGCAACTGAACCTAACGGTCAGGGGTCCCTTTACCTTTACCTAAGACCTTAAAATTCTTATAACAATGGCAAGAGTTCTCTGCGGCTGGTCAGCGGCACCAGGCATTTGCTGCTCGCCGCCCGTGCCCCGGGGTCTCGGGCGATGTCTGAGCAGCCTCTGCCAACGTGGCACCCTCCAAGATGTTGCACTGCAACTCCCACTAGCCCTGCCCAGCTGCTGGCTCCCTTGCACGGGCTGTTGGCTTCCGGGGAGCTTTGACCTTGTTGGGTAATGCCAAAAGCGAAGTCCGCTGGCTTGTTGGCCTGGCCTCCCTGGTGGCCAGCAGCCTTTCACTGCCTCCCCAAAAAAGGTTGGGGGCATTTGAAATTTGGCTTGCACAAAACGGCATTTCTAAGGCTTGCCTGGGCACAGGGCACAGTCAGCAGAGTGGGGCCTTCCCTCTGTCCGTGTAAGCGGGTAGCCCTCCTCTGCAAACTTCATAAATGGCACTTTTTAATGAAAAAAAGAAGCAATAACATTGCCAAGGATGCATCCCTCCATTAAAAGCAATGCAGGAAGAGTGGGTGTGCCGTGCCATGATGTTTCCATTCGAGCCTGGCTGGGGGGCCGTGGAGACCCCCAGCTGTATGTCTTGGGGGGGGCCCTCCTTTTGTGATTAGAGCCTTAGATGTATAATAAATGTTCATAAACGTACCAACCAAGCATGTACATAGATCAGCACAGGAAGACCGTCCAGAAACCATTTTTAATTCCCAAACTGACCAAATGTTTTCTCTGCGAGGAGGGAGGGGGCGAGGGAACCTTCCCATTGTCTCAGAAATTGGGAAATCACCATCTCAAAGGAATGGCCAGACTACCAGGAAAGGCAATCAGATAAGGCATCATCAGATAACCTGGCAGACAGGAAAAACAGCAACCCCTCTTCTGTGATGCGTGGATGGAGGGGGGTCTCGGGCTCCAGGGGGGGCAATTTCCAAAGTCTATATAAGGGCTTGTGCCCCATTGTTCCTCCCGCGTGTGGCGAGCAGGGACCCTGTTGCAATAGCTTAATAGCAGAGATCCGGCTTGGCTCGGCTTCTCCAGATTCTCTGCTTGTTTTCTCCGGGCTCTTGCGTCCCCAGAAGGGGAAAAGGGGCAGGTTTGGGTTTATTACAGGGGCCGCATCTTGCAAATAGGGACCCCTCTCCGGGCTCTTGCGTCCGCGTAAGGGGAAAGGGGGCAGATCGTGGTTTGCAGCCCTTTCCCTCCCGCGGATCGAGGCCTCCCCCCCTCCTCCGGGGCTGGGCTCCCGCCCCCTGGCGGGTCATTTCCTCCCGGCCCGGCCGGCTCCGCCTCTTCTCGGCGCGCCGCTGCTTCCTCGCCGTCCGGCCCCGATCCTGCCCTCCTCCTCCTCCTCCTCCCGCTCCTCCCGGCGGGCGCGCCCACGTGCCGGGCCGGGCGCCGCGATGGGCAGCCTGGTGCTGGAAGATGGCACGCTGGTGCGCGGGCGCCCCTTCGGAGCCGCCAAGGTCGCCGCCGCCGGGGAAGTGGGTGAGTCTTTTGGGGGGGGGTCGGGTGGGGGGGCGGCACAAAGGCGGGACCCCTCCCCCACCCTGTCCTCCTCGGGGTCCGCGGCGCCTGCCCCGCCCCCCGACGGAGCCTGCTCCCTCCACGTGGGCGAGGGCTTCCCCTCTTCTCCTGCCTGGGGGGCGATCGGGGGTCCCCCCTGGATCCGGGGCCCGCCAGCCCCGAAGCGCGCCCAGGGCGGGAGGCCGCAGCTGCTGGAGAGCGCCTCTGAGCGCGTCCAGAGTGCCTTCCGGGGCCGGGGGGGGGTCGCCTTGCGCCGGGGGCCAGGCCTGCTGGGCTGCAATGGGGCTCCCAGGCAAAATCGGGCCCACACCTCGGCATCTGGATCGGGCCCGGAGGGGGCTGGGGGCTCCTGGATCACCCCAGAGGAAGCAAGCCTGGCTGGGGGGGGTCTCCTCTCATGCCCCCCCTTCAGGCTTCTGCGACTTCGCTTTGTGTTGCAGAAATAATCCTGGAGAAAGGGGGGGCAAGCACTCTCAGGGCCCCACAGAGACCTCTGGCTAATGCCAGTTTCTCGGGCCCCAGCCCATAATAATAGTAAAATGACAGGGCGTGAAAACAAAATAAGACCCCCCCAAAAGAATGAGACTAATGTGCCGCTCCAAGCTGATACCGGGCTCTGCGCTGGGCTAGATGACCCCTGAGGGTCCCTTCCAGCTCTGCAATTTTGCGATTCTACGATCTGGACTTGAGGCGCCTAAAACAAGTCGTGAAACTTCCTAAATGCCAACAAATGGATCAGTGTCTGCCTGTGACGCCCCCTTTGAGGTCCAGGCCAGGCAGCCCCCTCCTCCGCTGCCCTCTCAATGAGCCCGGGGGGGTGTCCCCAGAAGTGGGCACTGGGCCCGCTGTGTACCCCCTTCCTGCCCCCCTTCCCTCCTGCAGGGGAGCGGCACCTGATACCTGAGCGGCTTCTGGCGCACTTCTAATTATCGTCACCTGAGAAGGGATGTGGTGGCGTCCGGATTGGCAGGACCGAGATCAGTGCGGCCCCAGAGAACGCGGGAAGGGGGGCAGGGTGTTCTAGGTCCAGGGTAGCTGCCTCTCTGCTTCCTCTGAATCCCCCTGGGGGGGTCAGGCAATAATAATAATAGTAATAATAGTAATAGTAATAATTTATTATTTGTACCCTGCCCATCTGGCTGGGTTTCCCCATTGATGGCGCAGCGGCTTCTGTCACGATTCCCCCCAATGACCCTCCAGCCCCCTGAAGTGGCTTTGGCCAGGTGCCTGGGGGTGCGGCCAGCCACCCCCCACAGATCGGGGCAGGAGGACTGACCCTTTGGCCAGGGCCTTGCGGTGCTGACCAGGCCTCCTCTGGCTTCCCTCTCCGCAGTCTTCCAGACCGGCATGGTGGGCTACCTCGAAGCGTTGACGGACCCCTCCTACAAATCACAGATCTTGGTGCTGACGTACCCCCTGGTCGGGAATTATGGGGTCCCGCCGGACGAGGAGGGTCCGTACGGGCTCAGCCGGGTGAGTAGGCGGGCAGAGATTCCAGGTTCTGCTTCATGTAGCTTGTCATCTAGACTGATGAGCAGCTTCTCAGCAGAGGCCGATATAAATGACACAGCCGCATTTCACATCCGGTCCTGGGAATAAGCTGGTCATTGAGGGTTCTTGTCGCTGTCACAAATGCCAAGCATTAGTCCTTTGGAATCCGGCCTGTGCTTGTATTTAGAGAAGTCGTAAATTAAATTTGTTTAAAAAAACCTTGATCGGATCAACGGGGTTCATGCAGGGAGCTAAGGAACAATCTTGCAGGACTGAAATGGTAATTCCCTGCTTCTGCAGATATTATGATGTGGGTCCCAGGTGGGCCTCTCTGTGGGGCGTATCCCTCTCTCACAGCCCCCCTCGTGCATCAGGTGGGGGAGGAGGGATCCTCAACATGCACTGCAATGTCCTTCACACAACACGTGGTCCAGAGTGCCTTCCATCAGCTTCGGCTGGTGGCCCAGTTCTTAAGCCCCTATCTGGACAGAGAGAGCCTGACTCCTGTTGTCTATGCTCTGGCATCCTCAAGGTTAGATTACTGCAATGCGTTATACATAGGGCTGCCTCTGAAGATGGTTCGGAAACTTCAGCTGGTGCAGAATTCAGTGGCCAGGTTGCTCACCAGAGCAAGACGGTTTGAACATATTGCACCAATTTTGGTCCCACTGCACTGGGTGCCAATTACCGTATTTTTCGCTCTATAAGACGCACCAGACCAAAAGAAGCACCTGTTTTGGGAGGAGGAAAACAATAAAAAAAATATTCTGAATCTCAGAAGCCAGAACAGCAAGAGGGATCGCTGCGCAGTGAAAGCAGCAATCCCTCTTGCTGTTCTGGCTTCTGGGATAGCTGAGCAGCCTGCATTCGCTCCTTAAGATGAACACACATTTCCCTTTACATTTTAGGAGGGAGAAAATGAGTCTTATAGAGCAAAAAAAAATGGTAGTTTCCGGGCCCAATTCAAAGTCCTGCTTTTGACCTATAAAGCCTTAAACGGCTCAGGACCACAATATTTCGAGGACCGCCTCTCCCCATATGAACCTGGACCCCAATATCATCTTTGAGTCCCTCCTTCGTGTGCCTCCTCCGTGAGAGGCCTGGAGGGTGGCAACACGAGAGCAGGGCCTTCTCTTCAGTGGCTCCCCATCTGTGGGATGCTCTCCCCGGGGAAGTCTGCCTGGTGCCTTCATTATACACCTTCAGGTGCCAGGCAAAAATGTTCCTTTTTAACCTTTGATTGATCTGATTGGCATCCTCTGCCCTTTTAAAATGTGGCTCTTTTCTTTGGGGGTGTTATTGGGGTGTTGTATTTATTCTGATTATGTATTTTGTGGTTTTATTCCGTGCTCCACCATGAGACCTCCAGGTATAGGGCACATATATACATTTTAATAATAGGCTTTGAAAGAGGATGAGACAAATTCATGGTGGGCTCTCTGTGGCTGCTGGCCAAGATGGCGATGGTCCCTCTCCACAGCTGGAGGCAGCCATGCTTCCAAAAACTACAGGAGAGTTGCTCTTGTGCTAAGATCCTGCTTGCTGGTTTCCCACTAAGGACAGCTGTGTGGCCCCTGGGGAAACAGGCTGCTGGACTAGATGGGCCCACCTGGACGGACCCAGCAGGCGCTTCTGATATTCCTTAAGACTGTGGTGGTGGGATGCTGGCCCTGATTCCCTCTCCCCTTCCTCCTCCTCCTCCTAGTGGTTTGAGTCCAGCTCCATCCACGTCGCAGCCCTCATCGTCGGCGAGTGTTCCCGAAACCCCAGCCACTGGAGCGCCACCACCTCGCTTGACCGCTGGCTGCAGGAAAAGGGGATTCCTGGCCTGGAAGGTAAGCCCAGGGCCCAGCAGGAGGGGCTGGCGAGGGGCCAGAGGGCTGAGCCTGTTGGTGCCCTCCCTCAGCTGCACCCCCAGACACATCATACCTACACATCACAGAAAAGGCGGTCTGCAACGGAAATCTGAGTGCGTTGTTTATCTCCTGTCTGGCAGGTAACCTGTTAATGGTCACTTGATTGAATTACCTGGGGAGCCTAGTCAGTCTTTTGTAATGATAAATACTTCGTTCCTGGGCCAGGTCACAGGCTCACCCTATTCATACACAGACATAGCCTTAAGACAGGATTTGTGAAGGAAAAGACAATGGGGAGGCTTTTCCATTTTCCTTCTACCTTGCAGAGAAAATATCTGAGGTCAATTTGGGAGGGACAAATGGTTTCAGGACTTTTTCTGTGGGGTTTCAGACATGTGGTTTATATATTTATGTACGTATTTGCTTGGTACATTTATGAACATTTATCTCATTTGTCTTATAAGACCTTAATTTTTTTTATTTCACCGCCAAGAGTCCTGTGGGGGAAAACACATAGGTGGAAAATGCAGAAATGGTGGGGGGATTATAGACACCCCCCAGGAATCCTTGTGACAAATACGCAGGTGTTTCCCCCACATTTGGGATTCTGGGAGGGAGCAGCCTGTGAGCAGACGGGGGCCTCTCATTCCAAATCTTACAGGGGGATAAAAGAGCTTGTTCTCCAAAGCACCCTGTCCATTGTGGATTCCTCCTCCTCCCCCCCAGCGGCAGGCCCCCTTTGGCGCCCTTCCCCGTCGCCCCCACTTTTCCTGCTGCTGTTGATGGAAAATACCATCTCTCCGCACGATGCAAAATGTCAGCTGAGATTGCATTTAGTGAACCCAGGAGGAGCCGGGGGGAACAAAACAAAGACGGCATCCTCATGGGGAGGGAGAGGCCCTTTGGAAAGGGGGGGCACTGAAAAGGGACATATGAGCCCCCTTCATGTATCTGAAAGGCGTCCCAAGCTTGTTTTCTGATGCTCCAGTCAGTGGGGCACAAAGCAACAGATGCAAATGGCAAGAAAGAAGATTCTGGCTAAACGCTAGGGATAATTTTCCTCACCTAAGAGCTGTTGGACAGCGTCCCAGACGCCCTTGCCAGACGGCAGACTCTCCTTTGCTAGAGGTTTTAAGCAGAGGTCAGGTGACCATATGAGCCACCAGGAGCGCTTTAGTTGTGCTTTCTGCACTGCGGGGGCTGGACTGGATGACCCCTGGGGTCCCTTCTATAATTCCGCCACGTGGCAGGGAGAATTTGCCCCCACAGAAGTGTGATGAGCTGTTCTGCCCCTCGGTGGCCGAACATGGCTGTGCGTCTCTGCCCAGGGTCCGCTCTGTGGGGCTGCCTTGGTTCTCCCGCTGAGCCTGGCAGGGGCTGCGAGGGACGCGGATGAGCCTGTCCTGGTGCTGACTGGCCCCTTGTGCTTCCAGGAGTGGACACTCGCGCGCTGACCAAGAGGATCCGGGAGAAGGGCAGCTTGCTGGGCAGGCTGGTGCCCGACGGTGTCCCCAACACCCACCTGCCCTTTGAGGACCCCAACAAGAGGCACCTGGTGAAGGAGGTCTCCCTCCAGGTAGGGGGGGCAAGAGGGGAGCTTGGGTGGTCGGACCTGGAGGTGGCTTGGCTGCCCATGAGGGGGTCTGCTTTTGTGCATGGCAGAGTTTGCTTTCTGGGCCTGCATGTGGCCCTTGGCATTGGGGGCTTAGCAGCAGAGCAGGCTGTGCTCCAGTCTCCACGGCTGGAGGTTTCGTGGGCTGCTTGGACGTAGAAAAATGGTGGGAGGAAGCAGCTGGGGAGCCCCATGGGAAGAAGGCTCAGAGCCCCGAGAGGGGTGGTGAGTGGTCAGAGGGAGAAGCCTGGGAAGAGAAGGTGTCAGTAGCAGAAGGGGTAACCGGACTTGGTGAGCGGGGAGAGTCTGTGCCAGAGAGCAGTCCAGAATCGGAGGCAGAAGCTGATGCAGGAGAGGAGAGAGACCAAGAGGCAGAGATGCCCCCCCCTCCTGTGACAAACTCCCTTCCAGAACCAGAAGAGGCTTGAAGAGGGAGGGGCAGAGACAGGCACACCAACAAAGTCTCAGATTGCTTGGAAAGAACCTGGGAAAGGAGGAGACTTAGGCAAATATAAGCCTCGTGTGGGCAAGATGCAGCAGGAGGAGTTGCTGTGCTTGCTAGGCCTGTCCTCCTGAGCAGACCTTGTTTCCTTGAATAAAGAGCTAACTTCACTGACACCATGCGATTTCTTGCTGCCTTGCTCCTGGCAGCAACGCTTTTGAATGCCATTTCCTGGAAAGCACAGGAGGACAGAGGGCTCTTGTGCCTGAATCCTGCTTGTGGGTTTCACAAAAGAGGCACTGGGAGGACAGGGTGCTGGGTTCGAGTTCACTGCCTGATCCAGCAGGCTCTCCATAAGTTCTTAAGCAGAGGGTGGCCAGGAGCACAGAGCCATCGTGGGCCAGCATCCCAGGGGTTGGGGGTGTTTCCTGGGCCAGCCTGGCCCCTGAGTGCCCCCTGCCCACCCTGAGAGGCTCCCTTTCTGGCCATCAGCGTCACTCTTCCTCCCTGCCTCCCCCGACTGACTAGGCTCCCCGCCTCTTCAACCCCGGGGGATCCGTCAGGATCACGGCCGTCGACTGTGGCCTCAAGTACAACCAGATTCGGTGCCTCTGCAGCCGTGGCGCAGCCGTGAGAGTCGTGCCCTGGGACCACCCCCTGGACAGCGCAGGTGAGTGGAGGCTGCTGGCAGGAGCCTTCCTGGGCGCTGGACGGACACAGGGAGGGGAGGCCTTGGGTCTGGGGGCTGCTGAGGGTCTCTCCTCACTTGGGGAAGGGTCCCAGCTTGCCCCATTTCTGGATTCTCCTCCCAGAGTTCGACGGTCTGTTTGTCAGCAACGGCCCTGGAGACCCCCAGCTCTGCCAAGTGACGGTTGCCAACCTGCGCCGCGTCCTGGAGCTGCCAACCCCGAAGCCCGTTTTTGGAATCTGCCTGGGCCACCAGCTGCTGGCGTTGGCCATCGGGGCCAAGACCTACAAGATGAAGTAGGTGTCTGTGGGGGGAGAGTCAGGGCAGTCACGCAAAAGCCCCCCCCTTTTTTTGCAGCTGACGGTTAACCTGTGGAACTCCCTCCCCCAGGAGGCAGGAGTGGCCTGTCAGGAGTTCAGCCTACACTTGAGTAGGACCCTGGCAGAGACACATGCCCGACTTGCTTGTTCCCTCCCTCCTGGTCAATCGTTCGGGAGTTTCAAAAGCTTTCTTCAGCCCGAACATCACAGCGACCGATGCCAACCGACATTGGTACACTTAGGGATCTGCAGAGTTTGTGCATCATGCGTAACAGACCTCAGCAACTCAGCATGTTGGCTAATCTACTTTATTTCCATCTAAACACATACGGAGCACTGCAACATGGCTCCCTCTCTCTCTAGCATCAGACAGCAAAGAGAGAGAACAAAGGACAATAGTCCCACTTCACGGAACACAGGAACACAAACATCCTGTCTCCATCACTTCCCACTCTGTGGAGTCAAAATGTACACCGTCATGTGGAAGACAACAATCCCATGACTGCAATCAGGGAGCAGGAATTCTAACAGGGCCACCAACCTGGGATGGCTTTCAAAGAGGATTGGAAGTTTTTAACGCCCATGTTTCACTGTGTTTATTATATTGTGTTGGAAGCTGCTGAGAGTGCCTGGGGCAGCCCGTTTTGATGGGCAGGGTGCAAGTAATATATTATTATTAGCACCAGGAGTTGACGCATTCATGGATGGCTCCTAGCCAAGTTGGCTCTGCTTTCCCTCCGCATTTGGTGCTTCCCAATCCCCGTTTCTGGTGCCCGGATCCTGCTTGCTGGTTTCCCATAATGGGCATCTGGTTGGCCCCTGTGAGAACAGGAGGCTGGACTGGATGGGCCACGGGCCGGATCCAGCTGCAGGGCCCTTAAGGACAGTGGAGACCACCTCTGGCCACTCCTGTCTCTCCATGGCAAGTTCGCGCTGGGCACAGAAGTCCTTTGGCTCCTCCCTCTGGCCAGGCCTGACTGCCCCCCTCTCCCCACTGGGCAGGTACGGAAACCGCGGGCACAACCAGCCGTGTCTCCACGAGGGCTCCCAGCGCTGCTTCATCACCTCCCAGAACCACGGCTTTGCGGTCGACTCGGCTAGCCTGCCGGCCGGCTGGTCCCCCCTCTTCAGCAACGCCAACGACCTCTCCAACGAGGGCCTCGTCCACGGCTCCAAGCCTTTCTTCAGGTGAGAGATGGTGGGGGGGTATGCATGGGGGGGCGGTGGTGTCTTGCCTCGCTCCTGCCCCCTTTGGAGTGGGGAGTACGGTGCATGGCAGAGCGCATGCGGGGGGTTGGGCCAGATGACTTTTGGGTTCCCCTCCGACTCTCCAGTTCCGGGATTCTGTGCGCTGGCAGGGTCTCCCCACACCCCTGGGGCTCCTGACCCCCCAAAGCCTTTTCTCCCCCCCCTTCAGTGTGCAGTTTCACCCGGAGCACAACGCTGGACCGACAGACCTTGAGTGTCTCTTCGACATCTTCCTGGAGACGGTGCGAGGCCAGGCGGAGGGAGCGCAGAGCCCGGAGACAGGTGCCTCTTGGGGGGGGGGACAGGTCTGGCCCCTAGGGACCCCTATTTGGGGACTTCCCTGGCTTTTTTCTGGCCCACGTTGGACCAGTCTGGATAGTTAGCCTTGGTGAAGACTTGACGTTTTCATCCCCCAAAAAGTTTTTGATTGGAGTTTCTGCTGAAATGAGGCTGCATTTTAACATTGTATTTTAATCTTGTTTTTTAAGTCGTATTTCAATCAATTGTTTTTATACCTGGTGTTAGCTGCCCTGAGCCCGGTCTTGGCTGGGGAGGGCGGGGTATAGATAAAATTTATTATGATTATTATTAGGGACGCGGGTGGCGCTGTGGGTTAAACCGCAGAGCCTAGGACTTGCCAATCAGAAGGTCAGCGGTTCGAATCCCCGCGACGGGGTGAGCACCTGTTGCTCGGTCCCTGCTCCTGGCAACCTAGCAGTTTGAAAGCACACCAGTGCAAGTAGATAAATAGGTACCGCTCCGGCAGGAAGGTAAACGGCGTTTCCGTGCGCTGCTCTGGTTCGCCAGAAGCAGCTTAGTCCTGCTGGCCACATGACCCGGAAGCTGTACGCCGGCTCCCTCGGCCAATAAAGCAAGATGAGCGCCGCAACCCCAGAGTTGTCCGTGACTGGACCTAATGGTCAGGGGTCCTTTTACCTTTATCTTTATAATTAATATTATTATTTTCCGCCTTGCGTGCTGGTGGGGCCTGCCCCAGTCTCTGCCCTGTCCAGGTTGAGGTATCGCAGGCCCCTCGTGTGGGGCTGGACCACTGTCTTAACTGAGATGCCCCCTTTTTCTTTCTCTCTCTCTCTCCCCCCCCCCTCAGTTCGTGAGCTCCTGCAACAGCGCCTCTGCTTTGCCAAAGCGCCCCCTGCCAGCACCACTGCCCGACCCCACAAGGTGCTCATCCTGGGCTCAGGGGGGCTCTCTATAGGGCAGGCGGGTGAATTTGACTACTCTGGCTCCCAGGTGAGTTGAGGGAGGGAGGGGAGGGCGATCGATTTGATTTGATTGAACGTATTTCCATGCCACTTTATCCCCATTGAGACGCAGCCCAAAGCAGCTTACAAAACAATATGTAGCAATAATGTAATTTTATTTTATCCTGTTTACATTATTTGCAGGCTACCCTTCACTCCGCAGAGTGAGGAGCAAAGTAATGAAAATAGTAAGAGAAAAGCAGTGTACAAAAATTGGAAAATCATGTAAACAATATCAATAAACAATTGTATCGTAAACAAACAATTACAACATGAATTTATATTTGTAATTTAATGAGCTGGGAGCTAAGTAATGAAAACACAGAAAAGCAATGTTCAGAAATTACAGAAACATGTCAACAGCAAGAATAAAGAACAAAAATTTATCATAAACAAGCAAATCTACAACAGAACAAATATTTCGCAATTTAGCCGTGTGCAGTTAAGATTTCAGATCATCACAGGGGCAACAAAAATCACATAATTAGCAAATCAGCAATTGCAATCTATAGAGCACTCTTGGGAAACCTGCAACTAAAAAAAGAAGCTAGACATTACAGTGACCACAAAAGTCATGTTTATGCTTAACAAATCAATGTCGCATTTATAATCTCTAAAACAATAAACAAGATAGCAACCAGAAAATATGCTAAACCCTAGTAAATTAACACACACTATCCCCCCCCCGCATGACTCATACTCCTTCACTCTGTTTACTAAAATACACAACCACAGACACAAGCCGTACAGAAGGTCCCCTATCTCACAGAAATATCTGCAGCAGATCTAGACTTTAAAGTTCCTAGGTGGGGGGAGAGGCCTTGGGGCTTTTGGTGGGGTGACGGGCGGGAGGTCGGGGTGCTGGGAGCATGTGGGGCCTGTCAGAGTGTGGGTGCGGCTGAGATTCCCCCCCCCCCAGCATCTTCTGGAGGGGCTAATCTCTCCCTATCAGCCAAGGCCACGCAAAGCCTTGCAAACTGCTTTCCCACACTGGGACGGCCGCCCTGCGCAAGTGCGCTGCTTCAGATTGTGAACGTTGTGGTTGCGAATTCGAGGTCGTTCCCTTGACTGGCGTCCTTGTTGGCAAGGAGGTTGTGGGTGGGGAGGGACCGGACCACACACACACACACACACACACACACACACACACGACTGACCCAATTCCCTCTTCCTTCCCTCCCTGCCAGGCCATCAAGGCCCTGAAGGAGGAGAACATTCAGACGGTGCTGATCAATCCCAACATTGCCACTGTGCAGACCTCGAAAGGCTTGGCGGACAAAGTCTACTTCCTGCCCATCACCCCCGACTACGTGGCTCAGGTGAGCTGAGCTCCCCCCTCCTGCCGTGGAATGGTAGAATTCAGAGGGACACGCAAAGGGCATCTAGCCCAACCATCTGCAACTGGTATACGGAGTCATCTGGAGGCAGCAAGTAGTGGCTGCTGCAACCCCTCTGCTCCAAGAATTTGTTCCATCCTCTTCTAAATCTGCCCAGATTGGTGGCCCTCACTGCCTCTTGTGGCAGCGAGTTCCGCAGTCTAACTCTGCGCTGCATGAAGAAGGGCTTTATTCTCTCTGTCCTGAACCTTCTGGTTTATATACATATATTTTTATTAGTTTTTTAACATATCGTTTTCCACAATTATTAAACATACTTTTATACCTTATACAATTTTTTTCACTTCCATCAATGACACCTAAAAGTTTTCCAATCTTTTCACTTAATTTACATTTCTTACTTTCACTACATAAATATCATAACCAGTATCTCTCTTCTTGCTCTTCTTTGCAGTATTTCATATATTCCTCCTTACAAAACTTCTTGTAGTCCTACTAGCGTAATTTGTTGATTACAGTTGCTCTTCAAATAATTCGTATATTCCTACCAATCTTCTGTGAATCTCTGGTTTTGAATCCTTCCTGTCATTTTATCCCATTCTGCATAGTCCATTAATTTCGTATGCCATTCTTCTTTTGTCGGTATCTGTCCTGAACCTTCTGATCTTCCTTGGGTGCCCCAGAGTCATACGGTTACGAGAGAGGGAGGGAGAAAAGTCTTTCGTGTAGCAGGGACTTCAGCGGTGCCTGGGTGGCCCCCAGAGCTTTGGAGAGATGTGTTGCGTTAGGAGTCTGCGCCCGTGTGGCATCTTCCTCTGCTCCTCCCTTTTCAGCCCCCTCCTGGTTCTGCAGGAGAGGGTGAGGAAGGACCTGATGCTTCGCTTGCCTGGCCCGCCTCTTCCCCCAGTTCTGAATCTTCTCCTGCCTCCAGCTCTCGCTTCCTGGCCAGCACAGTTCCCCACAAACCACTGCCCCCCCCAGGCGAGGCTCCAGCCCCCTTTCCGCTGGAGTCCCGCCAGTTCCCAACACCTCCTTTCCCTGCCCCCAGGTCATCAAGAACGAGCGCCCCGATGGGATCCTGCTGACCTTTGGGGGGCAGACGGCCCTGAACTGCGGCGTGGAGCTGACCAAGGCGGGGGTCCTGGAGCGCTACCACGTCCGCGTCCTGGGCACTCCGGTGACCTCCATCGAGATGACGGAGGACCGCAAGGTCTTCGTGGAGAAGATGGAGGAGATTGGGGAGCACGTGGCGCCCAGCGAGGCTGCCTGCTCCCTCGAACAGGTGAGGGGGCTCAGGCAGGGTGACCACCTTCAGTCTCAAGGCTGGCCTTTCCTTTGCGGGGGTGGGGGTCTCCAAGGCGGGGGGGGGGGCTTGTTCCTGTGGGAAGAAGGTCTGGAAGAGCCCTGCTGGCTTCTCTTTGTCAAGGGGGGCTTCTGAAAATCAGGGGGCGGGGAGGCTGCTATATCTGAGTGGCTACAAAGGGGCAGAGGGGTCCATCCCCCCTAAACACACACTGCCCCTAGCTAATAATAATAATAGTGATAATAATAATAATAATAATAATAATAATAATAATTTATTATTTGTACCCGGCCCATCTGGCTGGGTTTCCCCAGCCACTCTGGGCAGCTTCTAACAAAGATTAACAATACATCAAAATGTCACACATTAAAAACTGCCCTGAGCAGGGCTGCCTTCAGATGTTTTCTAAATGTCAGGTAGTTGTTTATCTCTTTGACATCTGGTGGGAGGGCGTTCCACAGGGCGGGTGCCACTACCGAAAAGGCCCTCTGCCTAGTTCCCTGTAACCTGGCTTCTCGCAGTGAGGGAACTGTCAGAAGGCCCTCGGCGTTGGACCTCAGTGTCCGGGCAGAACGATGGGGGTGGAGACGCTCCTTCAGGTATACTGAGGCTGTTTAGGGCTTTAAAGGTCAGCACCAACACTTCGAATTGTGCTTGGAAACGTTCTGGGAGTCAATGAAGATCTTTCAGGACTGGTGTTATGTGGTCTTGGCGGCTGCTCCCAGTCTAGCTGCCGCATTCTGGATTAATTGCAGTTTCTGGGTCACCTTCAAAGATAGCCCCATGTAGAGCGCATTGCAATAGTCCAAGCGGGAGATAACCAGAGCATGCACCACTCTGGCGAGATAGTCTGCGGGCAGGGAGGGTCTCATCCTGCGTACCTGATGGAGCTGGGAGACAGCTGTCCTGGATACAGAATTAACCTGCGCCTCCATGGACAGCTGTGAGTCCAGAATGACACCCAGGCTGCGTACCTGGTCCTTCAGGGGCACAGTTACCCCATTCAGGACCAGGGAGTCCCTCACACCTGGCTGCCTCCTGTCCCCCCCAAGAACAGTACTTCTGTCTTGTCAGGATTCAACCTCAATCCATTCACAGTACGAATGGACTCTGAGAACTTGTGTCTGTAAGGACTGGGCGACGTATTCCTTCCACTGCACAACATGATTTTACCTATTAAAATGCTGGGTCTGGGGGTTCTGCAGGGAGCCCACAGCGGCTTCCTGGGCGCTGCCTGGAGGTGCCCTTCTCTGGGCACTCTTGGGGCCCTCCTGGAGGAGGCCGGGCCCCTCACTGCTTCCTCCCTCCCCCCCAGGCGCAGGCGGCGGCGGAGAGGCTGGGCTACCCGGTGCTTGTGCGCTCTGCCTACGCGCTGGGCGGCCTGGGCTCCGGCTTTGCCAACGGGCGAGAGGAGCTGACGGCGCTGGTGAGCCAGGCCTTTGCCCACACCTCCCAAGTGCTGGTGGACAAGTCCCTCAAGGGCTGGAAGGAGATTGAGTACGAGGTGGTGCGGGACGCCTACGACAACTGCGTCACGGTAAGCGGCGGGGGGGGGAGGGGTCGTCTTTGGGTACAAGGAGGCAGGGCTGGCGCTCGCAGGACCCGGTCGGTCCTCACCTGTTGGATCTCTGTCTGGAAGCGGCCAGGCCGGGCAAGTCTCTGATGGTTCCTAGAAGTGAAAGGAAATCACAGCTAAAGGATCCCTGAGAGAGATCCCTAAAGGAGGTTGTGGACTCTCTCTCACTGGAGGTTTTTAAGCAAAGGTTGGGTGACCGTCTGGCACTGAGATTCCTGCATTGCAGGGGTTGGACTGGATGACCCTTAGGGTCCCTTCCAACACAATTCTACAATACTATGATCTCTACTTAAAAATCTCCTGTGAGGGAGAGTTCACCTCCTCCTCCTCCTTCTTTGAGAAAATTTCATTAGTATTTATAAAGAGAGATGCGTACAAAGATTATTATAATTTCTTTTTTTTGCCCAGACTAAAACATTTACAGCGGAACCCTGGTTCTCGTTCCGCTTAGTTGATGAACAAATTGGCTCCCGAACTCCAAAACCCAGAATTAAGTGTTCCGGTTTTTGAACGTTTTTCGGAAGCCGAACGTCCGATTCCGTTGTCATCTATTGTTTCCGGGACGCCTGTGCCAATAGGAAGCTGTGCCTTGGTTTTCGAACGTTTTGGAAGTCAAATGGACTTCCAGAACGGATTGCGTTTGAGAACCAAGGTACCACTCTATCTAGGTCCAATTGGAAAGAAAGAAGAAAGAGAAAAAAGAAATAGATAAAAAAGATGGAAGGATTAAAAGAGAGAGAAATAAAGTTAAGAAACAAAGAAATTTCCGATTCTTCATCTGCCAGCTATATAGAGACCTTATTCGATGTCACCCACTGCCGGAACAGCTTGTGTGGTGGGAGGGGCGTGCTTGTGCCCCCGAAGGGCCCCCCTCTTCCTACCTGCCTCACCTGCTCTCCCCCCCGATCCAGGTGTGCAACATGGAGAACCTGGACCCCCTGGGCATCCACACGGGGGAGTCCATTGTGGTGGCCCCCAGCCAGACGCTCAACGACCGCGAGTATAACCTCCTGCGCACCACGGCCATCAAGGTGGTGCGCCACCTGGGCATCGTGGGCGAGTGCAACATCCAGTATGCCCTGAACCCCGAATCTGAGCAGGTGAGAGCCGACAGGTGGGGCGGGGCGGGGTGGCTGCCCTGTGGCTGAGCAGCGCATGGCGGCTTCTGTCCTCTCTGGCCCCTGGCTGAGCCTGCTCAGACCCCCTTGCCCCCTGCGGGGGTTGTGTCTGCTGCCGCAACCTTCTCTTTTGCCCCCCACCCGCAGTACTACATCATCGAGGTGAATGCCCGGCTGTCGCGGAGCTCAGCGCTGGCCAGCAAGGCCACCGGCTACCCCTTGGCGTACGTGGCTGCCAAGTTGGCATTGGGCATCCCTCTGCCTGTCCTCAGGTAACGCTCACCTGGGCTGGGCATCGCTCTGCCCAATCCCGGCTAGGACGGGGGGCTTGCTGCTCACAGGATCCGAGGGTCCTTCACCGCTTGAGCATCTTGTGGAGCAAAACGGCTTTCCTTGCAAGAAGCTTCCCTTGAAACACAGAAGCGGCTGGGTTGTGTCTTGCTCACGCCTGGGTTTTAGCTGCCCTCGCTTGGCTTTGCCTCCTTGCCCTCGCTTGGCACCAAAGACAGTTCCAGGCAAGGCTCCCTGGGGAGAGCTTTCCACAAACGGGGTCATGGGTTCGAGTCCTGCCTTGCAGGGGGTTGGTCGGGGTCCCTTCCAACTGTACGCTTCTCTGCCCCAGGAACTCGGTCACCAACTCCACCACCGCCTGCTTTGAGCCCAGCCTGGATTACTGCGTGGTCAAGATCCCGCGCTGGGACCTCAGCAAGTTTCTTCGCGTCAGCACCAAGATTGGCAGCTCCATGAAGAGTGTGGGTGAGCGGGGGGGGGGTGTCCCTGGGAGACCCGGCTGGGCTCCCTCACTTTGACCTCCAGCTGCTTCTGAGATGCTAAAGAGGCAGGATTTGGTCCTGGCACTTGCAGGCTTCCTGATTCCGTGACGCTGCCCCCTCCTTTTGCCTTTCGCGGGTCTAGAACTGTCAGTTAAGAGCATGAGCCCTGGACTCCCGTAGACCCGGAGTCGGGACTGGAGTCAGATACAGTTCAGCGCCAAGCGGCTAAGTCTGGTGTCAGCAAAGTTAACTCTTTATTCAAGGAGACAACTCCCGGCAGGTCTTGGCCCTACAGGGCAGCTTCCAGTTCTGAACCTTCCACCCTTCCAAGGTGCCTCTCTCAGATGTTTCCCCAGCAGACTCAAAACTGCATCTGCGCCCCTCTGGCCTCTGTTCTGCCCTCCTTGGAGACCAGTGGGGAGGGAGACTCCCACGATTCTTCAGCAGCCTCTTGACCCCCCTCCTCTGCTTCAGCCTCAAAGTCTGAACTGCTCCCTGTCGCCATCTCTCTGTTGCCCCTTCAGCAGCGCCCCCCTTCTCCCTCGGATCTTGCTCACTTCCTTGGTTTAGAGTAGTGTTCCCAAAGCAAGGAAGGATTGGACCCTGATTAATAAAATACACATGAGACATGACCAGCAAGACTCTGGGAGGAGTGCCAATAATAATTTCTCCACCCCTCGACCCAGGTCGTGTTATTCATGAAAGAACTTTTTACACAGTGTTTGTAAGAACCAATCAGACTTCCTCTGAGCATTTCAAAAAACCCCATTTGGGGACAAAGTTAAAGTTAAAACTACATAGAGCTAATTTCCTACTTGAGCATGCATATGCAATTCAGAGTAAATAAAAGAGGAAGCGAAGAGGAATGCTTTTAGGAAACCCCGGATGTCATAAACAGGAGAGGCAGAATGGCAGTTTACCATCTCCTTGTGAACTCTCTTCCTGGCCCTTAAGATTAACAAACCTAACAATAGCTACATCAAAGCTACCTTCTATCTTGATGACCCAGGATGCCTGATGCAGCAGCCAACAACTGGTCTGTGTCCTAGAATGCTTATATGTGCCTGTCAGGCAGAGAGAAAGCAAATGGCAGAGGTGCAGAGGCTTGTGGGATTTGATCAGAAACTATTGCCAATGAATCGAACCCAGTCAACGCAATGCTTTCATTGCTGACACAATGGCTTGCTCCATATTTTCATAATTCCTCATAGTAATCCCATCTGATCACTACAGTTTAGCGCCTGCCTCACCTGCTTTGGGGAACAGGCTCCCTTCCGGATCAATTGATAACTTGCATCTTCCCCACCCCCCTTCTTTCCTGCCCCCCCCCCGCAGGCGAGGTGATGGCGATTGGGCGCAGCTTTGAAGAGGCCTTCCAGAAGGCTCTGCGCATGGTGGATGAGAACTGCGTGGGCTTTGACCACACTGTGAAGCCTGCCTCAGACATGGTAAGGGGGTCCGGGAGCGTGGAGAGGGTCCGGCTGCCCTCCTGGCCAGACTGTGCCTGCCCCACCGGGCCCAGAGCCCTGACCCTCTCTGCCTGCCCCCTCCCTTTCCCCGACCCGCAGGAGCTGGAGACGCCCACCGACAAGCGCATCTTTGTCCTGGCGGCCGCCCTGCGGGCCGGCTACTCCATCGAGCGCCTCTATGAGCTGACCAAGATTGACCGCTGGTTCCTGCACAAGATGAAGAACATCACGGACCACGCCCTGTGCCTCGAGTCCTACCGCCAGGCCGAGCCGGGCTCCATGCCCGCCGCCGTCCTCAAGCTGGCCAAGCAGCTCGGCTTCTCAGACAAGCAGGTGGCCCAGGCTGTACTCAGGTACCTGGAGGTCGGCCCCCTCCCCAATCCAGCCAGGAGCAGCAGCCCCCTCTTCCCCCGTGGGGAATAGCAAGGGAGGGAGGGAGGGGGGCGTCACTGCAGGCCTGACTGCCACTTCTTTCAGCTGCCCCGGGGCAATTGTCACGGAATCATAGAAGGGACCCCCAAAGGTCATCCAGCCCAACCCGCTACAATGCCGAAATCGCAGGGAAAGATGTTGCGGCTCATGGGAGTTGTCGTCCAAGCCACCTGGAGGGCGCCAGGGTTTATTAGGGACCCCCAAGGGCTATCTAGTCCAGCCCCCTGCAATGCAGGAATGGCAGCTCAAGAATCCCTGACAAATGGCAGTCCCACTTCTGTTCAAAAACCTCCAGCGAAGGAGAGTCCGCCCCCTTCCAGCGTCATCTGTTCCAGCTCTTCCCGTCAGAAGAGTTCTTCCTAATGTTTGGTCAGAATCTCATTTCTTGTAACTTGGCTCCATTGGTGATAATAATAATAATAATAATTATAATAATAACAATAATTTATTATTTATACCCCACCCATCTGGCTGGGCTTCCCCAGCCACTCTGGGCGGCTTCCAACAAAGTATTAAAATACAGTGGTCTGTTAAACATTAAAAGCCTCCCTAAACAGGGCTGCCTTCAGATGCCATCTAAAAGTCTGGTAGTTGTTGTTCTCTTTGACATCTGGTGGGAGGGTGTTCCACAGGGCGGGTGCCACCACCGAGAAGGCCCTCTGCCTGGTTCCCTGTAACTTGGCTTCTCACAGTGAGGGAACCGCCAGAAGGCCCTCGGAGCTGGACCTCAGTGTCCAGGCTGGACAATGGAGGTGGAGATGCTCCTTCAGGTCTACTGGACCTTTGAGGCCGTTCAGGGCTTTCAAGGCCAGCACCAACACTTTGAATTGTGCTCGGAATTCCTTCTCTCTGAAGCAGCAGAAAACAAGCTTGCTCCCTCTTCCATGGGGCAGCCCCTCAGGTATGAGAGGAGGAGACCCTAGAGCCATCTGGCAATATTGGAAGGGCTGCCCCATGGAAGAGGGAGCAAGCTTGTTTTCTCCTGCTCCGGAGGGTAGGACTCAAACCCATGGCTTCGAGGGACAAGAAAGGAGATTCCAACTCAACAGATGGAAAAACTTGATGAAGGTGAGCTGTTTGACAGCAGAACAGACGCCCTCAGGAGGTTGTGGACTGTCAGGGATGCTTGAGCCGAGATTCCTGCCTTGCAGGGGGCTGGACTGGGAGTCCCCTCCAACTATGATTCTCCTGGCAAGGCGAGGGGAGACCCCTTTCCAAAATCCCGGCGGCCGGTGCTGCCAGTCAGTGCAGGCGGACCTTGAGCAGAAGCCCCTGGCTCCGCGCGTTACAAGGGCACTTTTCCTCTCCCAGCACGGAGCTGGCCGTCCGCAAGATGCGCCACGACCTGAAGATTCTGCCGGTGGTCAAGCAGATTGACACGGTGGCGGCCGAGTGGCCGGCCCAGACCAACTACCTCTACCTGAGCTACAACGGGACGGAGCACGACCTGGCCTTCCGCGAGCCCCACGTCATGGTCATCGGCTCCGGCGTCTATCGCATCGGCAGCAGCGTGGAGTTCGACTGGTGCGCAGTGGGGTGCATCCAGGAGCTGCGCAAGGTGAGCCTCTTCCCGGGGGGGGGGTGGATCCGGGGGCCCCCCAGTCTATTCTCCCTCAGATCTTGCTCACTTCCTTGGTTTAGCTCCTGCCCCAATTAGTGCCATGGCCTTCCGTTAAGAGTTTGGGTGTAATCCTTGACGCCTCCCTTTCCATGGAGGCACAAGTTACAGCAACAGCCAAGGCGACATTTTCCCATCCTCACCGTATCAAGTAGTTGGTCTCTTACCTTTCCTGCCCTGACCTGGCCACAGTGATCCATGCGACGGTCATCTCCAGGCTTGACTACTGTAATTCGCTCTACATGGGGCTGCCCTTGAAGCTGTCCCAGAAACTCCAGCAGATGCAGAATGCTGCAGCGAGGCTCCTCACGGGGTCCCTGCCATGGGAGCATATTCACCCAGTGCTTTTCAAGCTGCACTGGCTCCCGGTGGAGTACAGGGTCAGATTTAAGGTGCTGCTTTTGACGTTTAAAGCCCTTTGTGGCTTAGGGCCCTCGTATTTATGGGACCGCCTCTCCTGGTCTGCCCCGCAGAGGACCTTAAGGTCCATGAATAACCATAGTTTAGAGGTCCTAAGATTATACTCCATCAGGGCCAGGGCCTTTTCAGTGATGGCTCCGACCTGGTGGAATGCTCTGTCCCAGGAGACCAGGGCCCTGCAGGATTTAACCTCCTTCCATTGGGCTTGTAAGACAGAGCTATTCCACCCGGCCTTTAATTTGAATTCAGCCTGATCTTTTATTTCCCTTCCCTTCCCTCACCCGCTCTGAGACCCCACAGCTAATTCTCCCCTGGTCTCCTCACTGGCCCAAGTAGGACTAATCCAGCCAGCTAGCCCTGGGGAGTATCTAATGTTTATTGGATGGATTTTCCCCCTAAATTGATTTTTGAATTCTGAATTTATTGTTATTCGTGTTTTATACTGTATTTTATGCTTTTTTTGTTGTTGCATCAATTAAGTGGTTTAAATTTTGTTGTTAGCCGCCTGGAGCCTGGTTTTCTGAACTGGGAAGGGTGGGGTATAAATAAAACATTATTATTATTATTATTATTATTATTATTATTATTATTCCCCCCATCTCCCCCGGCTGCACAGTGTTCGGTGATGCTCCTGCCCCATCTAGCCTTTGTATTTCATAGAGTTGTAGGGTTGAAAGGGACCCCCAAGGGACATCTAGTCCAGCCCCCTGCTGTGCAGGAACCTCAGCTAAAGCATCCATGGCAGAGGACCATCCAGCCTCTGCTTAGAAACCTCCAAGGAAGGAGATTCCCCAGGGAGACAGTTCCACGGTCAAGCAACTCTTGCCATCAGAAAGTTCTTCCTGATGTTTAGTTGGAATCCCCTTTTATGTAACTCGAAGCCTTTGGAGCGGCAGAAAACAAACTGGCTCCCTTTTCTGTGCGACAGCCCTTCAGATAATACAAAATAGAATAAAACCATGCATCTATTATAAAACAGCAACACTGGGGCTGAACTCTGAGCGGCATCCACATCCGATACATTTTCACCTACATTTCTCCTGAATGCAGCCGATGGGGAGGATTGTTGTATCTCAGTCTGGAGGGTGTTCCATAAATGGGGAGCCACCACTGAGAAGGCCCTGTCCTGTCCCTTGTCCCCATTGTGAGCATCACACTGGCTTTCTCTGGGCTTAAGCCTGTGGGTGGCACTGGTGCTGGGGAGGCCCTTCTGTCCGGCCCCCAGGCCATCGATGGTTTGGGGCCGTGTTTCTCCTCTGGAGCCCCAGCTGTCGATGGACTACAACTCCCATCACCCTGAACTAGCCAGCAGCACCCGTGGTCAGGGATGATGGGAATTGTAGTCCCAACAACAGCTAGGGACCCAGGTTTGAGAAGCACTCCCTTCGGGTGCTTGAGGCAGGAAGCTCCCAGCCCCTGGGGGGGGGGGTGGCAGGACAGGGGGCCGGACCCACAACTAATATTCAGGCTGAGTTCCGGGAGAATGAGCTCGACGCCGCGCCTTCCATCTCTCCTCTGCAGATGGGTTACAAAACCATCATGGTCAACTACAACCCGGAGACGGTCAGCACCGACTACGACATGTGTGACCGGCTCTACTTTGACGAGATGTCCTTTGAGGTGGGTGCCGTCGATGGGTGGTTATGCCAGGGGATCGGGGCCTCTAACAAGTCTCCTCTGTCTTGTAGGGCTTCTCCTTATTTAGTTTACGCTACTCCTCAGCCATCCTTTATTTACATAAACAACTACCTGACATTCAGAAGACATCTTAAGGGAGCCCTGTTCAGGGAAGTTTTTAATGTATGACATTTTAGTGTATTTTTGGTCTTTGTTGGAAGCCGCCCAGAGTGGCTGGGGAAACCTAGATGGGCGGGGTGCAAATAATAAATTATTATTATTATATTATTATTATTATTATTTCACAAAGTCTATGTGCTCCTTGTTCATAGGGCCAGGGGATGGACCTCAAAGCAGTTAACAAAAAAAGGAAATATAGAGCAATAAAAGTATCACTGAGTGGCAGCCATCATTCAAAGCATACAGAAAATTGCAGCCACAATAGACTGAAACAAGTGGAAACTCACATCCACTCTCCCGGCAGGCTTGTTTAAGCGAGAATGTCTTTTAGCAGGTTCCGAAAAGAGTGCAGTGATCTCAATAGGCAGGGAGTTCCAAAGGTTCTGTGCTGCTACCCTGAAACATTTGCGTTGTTACTGATGGGGTGCAGCAGGTATCAAGGCTTCCCATGGGAGTGTGCTATTAAAACTGCAAAACAATGGAATAAAACCTCATAATGATTCTCCCCCAAATGATTTCTAGTGATGGCTGTGTAAAGGACGCCCAAGTGGGTGAAAGGGGCTTGGGCTATGCAGGGGGGGGGATCTCCTTGGTGCAGCAGCAGGAGGAGGGGAAACCTCGAGCCGCTGTGCCTGGTGGGCCTGATCCTGCCCCCCGTGGGGTCCTCACCCGGCCTCTCCTCCCTCCGCCCCCCACCAGGTGGTGATGGACATCTACGAGCTGGAGAGCCCCGAGGGTGTGATCCTGTCCATGGGGGGCCAGCTGCCCAACAACATCGCCATGGCCCTCCACCGGCAGCAGTGCCGCATCCTGGGGACGTCCCCGGAGGCCATCGACTCGGCCGAGAACCGCTTCAAGTTCTCCCGCCTGCTGGACACCATCAGCATCAGCCAGCCCCTCTGGAAGGAGCTCTCAGACACCGAGGTGAGCTCTGTCCGTGGGCCCAGCCGCCAGCCTGGCTCGGGCGGACCTCTCTCTTGTCTCCAGGCAACCAAGAGGGGTGGGGGAGAGGGTTCGGATCCTGCTTGCGCGTTCCCCATGTTGGGCATCCGGGTGGCCACTGTGAGAAGGGGGAGGGTTGCCAGTTTTCAAGGCCCAACTCAGTTGGAAAGGGACCCCAAGGAGCCACTGCATTCTAACCTGTATTTTAAATTGGTCCCCCCCCCTATTATGTTTTTACTGTAATTTTACTGGTGTTGGCTGCCCTGAGTCCGGCTCTGGCCGGGGAGGGCAGGGTAGAAATAAAATAAAATAAATTATTATTATTATTATTATTATTATTATTATTATTATGTCCAAACCCCTGCAATGCAGGAAGAATAGTAAGGGGATCACAGTCCTAAATGGCCCCAAATCCCTCGTGGGTGCAGGGGGGCCCCTCCTGGTAGATCCTCCGCCCTCTGGGGGCGCCCAGGGAGAGACAGCCTTCTCTGTGGGTCTCCCTCCTCTTTGCCCCCCTGACCTGTGCCTTTTAGGACCCACCTTATTGTCATGGTTGTAAGGTAAAGGGACCCCTGACCATGAGGTCCAGTCGTGGCCGACTCTGGGGTTGCGGTGCTTATCTCGCTTTACTGGCCAAGAGAGCCGGCGTACAGCTTCCGGGTCATGTGGCCAGCATGACTAAGCCGTTTCTGGCGAACCAGAGCAGCACACGGAAACACCGTTTACCTTCCCGCCGGAGTGGTACCTGTTTATCTACTTGCACTTTGACGTGCTTTTGAACTGCTAGGTGGGCAGGAGCAGGGACTGAGCAATGGGTTGTAAGCAGTTTTAAATTCATGATGCTGTTCTTGCGGCCACTGGCCTGATTCAGCCCGTCTCTTCTGATCTTCTTACTATTTACTGAGCTTATATACCACCCTATACCCAGAGGTCACAGGGCAGTTCACAGAAAAAAGTCTCAACATATATAATCAGAATAAAAAACAACACCCCAATAACACCCCCCCCAAAAGAGCCACATTTTAAAAGGGCGTCGGATGCCGATCAGACCACCCAATGGCCTGGTTAAAAAGGAACGTTTTTGCCTAGCGCCTAAAGGTGTGTAATGAAGGCACCAGGCGAACTTCCCTGGGGAGAGCATCCCACAGACGGGGAGCCACTGCAGAAAAGGCCCCGTTCTTGTGTTGCCACCCTCCGCACCTCTCAAGGAGGAGGCACACGAAGGAGGGCCGTGGAAGATGATATTGGGGTCCAGGTAGAGGCAGTCCTGGAGGTCTTGCGGTCCTGAGCCATTTAAGGCTTTACAGGTCAAGACCAGTGCTTTGAATTGGGTCTGGAAACTGATGCCAGATGCTCCCCCTTGGAGCTGTGGGTCATTCGCTGCCCTTGTTCAGGGCAGAGTCCAGAATGGATGGACCCCGGGGTCCCAGGCCAGAGGGAGTCCCTGGATCTTTTCTCCCTGGAAACCCAAGTGGCTCCTCTGTCGGCCCTGGGCACCCGCTGACCGTTTCCTCTCCCCCCCCCCGCAGTCGGCCAAGCAGTTCTGCTGCAAGGTGGGCTACCCCTGCGTGGTGCGGCCGTCCTACGTCCTCAGTGGGGCGGCCATGAACGTGGCCTACTCGGACAGCGACCTGGAGAGGTTCCTCTGCAACGCCGTGGCCGTTTCCAAGGAGCAGCCGGTCGTCATCTCCAAGTTCATCCAGGAGGCCAAGGTGCGGGGGCAGAGGGAGAGGGGGGTTAGACTCTGGAACTCCCTGCCACCGGACCGGGCTTCAAAAGAGGATCAGGCCAATTCAGGCAGGAGAAGAGAGGCCTCTCGATGGCTCTGATCCTCTTCCAAAGTCAGAGGCAGTAAATGCTTCTGAATTCCACTTTCTGGAAGCCACAGGAGGGGAGAGGAGGTTCTGGTGCTTGGATCCTGCTAGGGGGTTTTCCGTAATGGCCGTCTGTCTGGTCAGCCACTGTGAGAACAGGATCCTGGACTGGATGGGCCAATGGTCTGATCCGGCAGACAGCCTTCCTAACACAAAAACAGATGCTATTCTCCCCTTCCTAGAGACGGGGAAAATTGTGGGGCGGGGGGCTGGGTTTTTCCAATTTTTCCATCTTTCCCCCAGGTCTTCCCATCTCTACCCCTTCCTGATTCAGAGCTGGGGTGTGGTTTTTGTGATCTGGGGGTGAGCCCTCCAAGTGGGGAGTAGATGTTCATCTGCCCTTCACTGCCGCAAAGGTGGCTGTTGGCGTGAGGGAAGCAGAGGGTGGAATTTGCACTTTTGAGTGCCCGGTGAAGCTCAGAGGTGCCCCCCCAGGAGAGCATGAATCGGGGGGGGGGGTGTCTGTTGGGGGCGTGGTGAACACACGCTTCACTCGGCTCTCGCTCTCCCCCCTTGCCACAGGAGATTGACGTGGACGCCGTGGCCTGCGACGGGCAGGTGGTGGCCATCGCCATCTCTGAGCACGTGGAGAACGCCGGGGTGCATTCGGGGGACGCCACCCTGGTGACGCCCCCGCAGGACATCACGCCCAAGACGCTGGAGCGCATCAAGGCCATTGTGCATGCCATCGGGCAGGAGCTGCAGGTCACGGGGCCCTTCAACCTCCAGCTCATCGCCAAGGTGAAGGGGGCGGGGGAGCGGGGCAGCCAGGGGGGTGACAGACCCCTTTGTCCGCCATCGGGGGCCCCCCTATCAGGCTGTGGGGTTCTCTGGCAGGTTTGCTTGGCCAAGTTTTCTATTGCAATACGATCACCTCTGATGCACATGTAACTTGCGCCCTTTCAACCAGACGTGGTTGGAGACAGGCTGGTTCTTTATAATATTTCAAATCAAATATCCTTTATTAGGCATAGCAAACCACACATCAAACAAACACTATATACAAATTGTGCAAAATACAAGCTTAGCATAACTAGGTTTGTCCCAGTCAGAACTTTAACTCCAGAGGAAATTAATTTTCATAAATAATACGATACAACACTACCACATCACCGATCAGTTAAGAACCACTAAATCTCTTTATAATGGCCCAGTCTTTCTACATGGACAGCACTCCAAAATTCAGCCACTATTAAAGTAATTTGATCATTCTTGTCCGAAAGCAGGGTCCTGAACCGTTGGTAGCGTAGAATTCAGCCTATTGAGTTGTAAGGCCTCTAATAATTGTCTTCTGGCATAAATGCCAAAATCACAAGAAAAGAAAATACGCTCCAAAGTATCAGGTTCCTGTTTACTACATTTGCAGAGACGCTCTGATTCTGGGAGAGCTAAATATCTTCCTCTCACTATCATCGAGGGAAACATATTAAATCTGGCTAACATAAGCAGCCTGCCCAATTCATGATTCTTCCCTTTTGAAAATCTCTACACAAAGGGAGATTTAAATAGAGAGGAGAGCAAGTTCTGTGCTTTGCAACCTCGAGAGTGGAGAAAACACTTTTTTCTGTAAGATTCTTCCTGATAATTTCCTAAGTATCTTTGGGGTCAGAATTTTCAAAGTCAGTTAGATTAAGCCGTATCAAGTTCAATTTTCTCCTACAAATCAATGATAAATTGTAAATTACATTATCACTTAAGAGGTCGTAAAGGAGAGAATTAGGGCTCAATAATGCAGGAAGATCCAATATTTCAAGGTTCTCAGCCATACTCTTACCGATAAAGGAAGTATTCCCAACTCACAACATATTATAATATTTATTTTCTGCATTCATGTATTTAGTTGCGCTACAGTTCTATGAAGGCAGAAAGAGCTTTCACGCTTGGAGCAGTGTGCAGGCTCTGACATGCTTGCGCCAGCTTCCTGGAGCCAGTGCGCTGAGCAAGCGATGAACCTCATTCTTTTTGTGCTGGGCTTACCATGCAAATTCCCTGGCCGGCAAGTTCTACTTGGCACAGGATCTCTGCGAGAAGGGAGGATTCTCACAGGGCTTGGCCAGAGAGGATTTCCGTGTATATGCAGACCCCTGGTGTGTGATTATGTTTCAGCCCCTGTTGTTGTTTGGCGCTGAACTTGGCTTGGGCTTAGCGCATCCCTGTGCGACTGGGGCCCTGGGCTGGGGCCGCGTGGCCCCCCTTTGAACCCCTGGCCAACCTCCCTCTCCCCCTCCTCCTCCTCCTCCACAGGACGACCAGCTGAAGGTGATTGAGTGCAACGTGAGGGTCTCGCGCTCCTTCCCCTTCGTCTCCAAGACCCTGGGCGTCGACCTGGTGGCTTTGGCCACGCAGGTGATCATGGGCGAAGAGGTGGAGCCGGTGGGGCTGATGGCCGGCACAGGCATCGTGGGGGTCAAGGTGAGTGGCCGGGGGGGTGAGGGAGGCCTTCTCGGGGGGGGGTGCTGAGGCAGCTGGATCTCCCTCGAGTTCTCCAAGGGGCCTCTTCTTTGGGGCCCAGAAATAATAATTAATAAATAATTTTTTTAAAAAAATTATTAGGAATTCATCCTCATTTCCCCCCTCCCCGTTTCCCTCCCCAAAAGAAATCCCTCCCTCCCTGCCCCCAGACTTCATTTAGCTCTTCTCTCTGGTATTTCAGCAGTTACAGAATTGAATAGAATTGTGAAGGCTTCCCATTCATCTTTACAGTCGCAATTATCCTTGTCATGTAATTTATGTGTCAGTTTTGCCAAGTCCATCAGTTTCTCTTGCCACAGTTCTTTAGTCGGGATTTCCTCATTCTTCCATCCTTGTGCTATTAAGGCTCTTGCCGCCGTTGTCGCACACATGAAGATAGTTTTCAATTTCCTTGGCAGGTCTTTTCCTACAATCCCTAACAAAAATGCTTCAGGTTAATAAATAAATTTTTATTTATACCCCGCCCTTCCCGGTTCAGAAAACCGGGCTCAGGGCAGCTAACAATAAATTTAAAAAACTTAAATTCCTGTGCCACTTAAATCCCCGTGCCCCTCTCTGTCCGCAGGTGCCCCAGTTCTCCTTCTCGCGGCTGGCAGGGGCCGACGTGGTCCTGGGCGTGGAGATGACCAGCACGGGGGAGGTGGCCTGCTTTGGGGAGAACCGCTGCGAGGCCTACCTGAAGGCCATGCTCAGCACCGGGTTCAAGATCCCCCGGAAGAACATCCTGCTCACCATCGGAAGCTACAAGGTGAGCCGGGCAGAGAGGGGAACGGGGGCAGCCTTGGGGCGAGGGAGGGCCTGAGGAGGGGGCCCAGCAGCGCCCCACACTTCCCCAAAGGCATTTTCATTTAGCACCAAGAATTCCATAGTGGAAGAGAGGAGGAAGTCCTGTGCGCAGGGGAATAGACTGGGCTGGCTGCCTGTCTTTCTGGAGGGACGCAGCACATTTGGACTTTGCCAAAGGCTCCCGACTCAGATGAGCAGTCAGGAAAGAAGAGGAGGGACCGTCTTGCAGGTCAGCAACCGCTGAAGAAACACGAAGCAGAGAGTTGGAATAAATGGCCATTTTTCAAGGACTGGAAAGGAGACCTGAGCTTTTTTAACTTGATCTGGAGTTTGGGGTGATCAGTGAAGTGGCCCAGTTTGCTGAGGGCGCGAAACCGTTCAGGGCTGTTAAATAAAGAGAGATTGTGAGAGCTCCAGAAGGGAGCGAATGGGCGGAGGCCAGTGCCACCCTGGGTCTCTCTGCCCTCCACAGCTGGAGGCTGCCATGCTTCTGAGGACCCAAGGAAGGCTCTTGCGCTCGAACCGACTTTTGGGTTTCCCTTTGGGGCACCTGGTTGGGCACTGCTTGAAGAGGAGCGGGGGGTTCTCAGGTTCCTCTGTCCTTGGATGCCAGCCTGTGGAAGCGGGCGCTTGGCACAAGGTGGCAGGAGAAGGCCGGGTGGTGGCAGCTCCCACCCAGTACCGCGAAGACCCTCACCCGGGAGGGAGGCAGCGAGAGGGCGCTGCCATGTGGCCTGTCCTTGGCATCTCTTCCAGAACAAGAGTGAGCTGCTGTCCACCGTGCGAACCCTGGAGGGCCTGGGATACAACCTCTATGCCAGCCTGGGCACGGCCGACTTCTACACGGAGCATGGCATCAAGGTGGGCTGGGCAGGGGGCTGTCAGTTTGGCTGATGCTGAGCCTTGGGGGGGGCGAGGGATGGAAAAGGACCCTGCAGGTGGGAGTGGGACAAGGGATCCATTTCCAAGGCCATGTGGGGTTGGGGGAGATGTTACTCCGTTCAACAACCGGAGCGTCATTTGGCCTCTTCCCACACCAATACAGTAGACTTCTTATCCCCTGGGGGGGGGCACTGAGTGAAGACTCAAGGCCAGTTCCCTCTGTACCAGCCCTGGAGGGACTGGAAGTTTGACATGTAATAATAATGATGGTGATAATGATAATAATACTTTATTTATACCGCGCCCATCTGGCTGGGTTTCCCCAGCCACTCTGGGCGGCTCCCAACCGAATATTAAAAACATGATACAGCATTCTAACTTCCCCCACCCCCCTAGCTTACATTTTTACAACGCCTCCCTCCAAATCAGAATTGTAGCGTTGGAAGGGACCCCAAGGAATCTCAACTAGATCACACACAACATATTTCCTTCCTCTTTAGCCACCAGTTTGTGCCTTACTGCATGTGGGGCTCGGGAAAACCTTCCTATGGGGAGGAGGCAAGGCATGGGGTGCCCTAAGTCCTAAAGCTGTGCAGTTGGAAGGGGACTCCAAAGGTCCTCTAGTCCAACCCCCTGCAATGCAGGAATCTGGTGGCTCCCTGATCCCTAGCCTCCCGTGGCCCTTCCCAGGCCCCAGGGGCAGAACGGGCCCTCCGTCCTTGCTGGGCGTGGCTGACCTGGGGCTGGGGGTCTCCCCCCTTCTCTCGCGCGGCAGGTGATGGCTGTGGACTGGCACTTTGAGGAGGCCGACGGGGGCGAGGTGGCCGGCAAGGAGCGCAGCATCCTGGACTACCTGGCGGAGAACCACTTTGACCTGGTCATCAACCTCTCCATGCGCAACTCGGGCGGGCGGCGACTCTCCTCCTTCGTCACCAAGGGCTACCGCACCCGGCGCCTGGCCATCGACTACTCCGTGCCCCTCATCATCGACATCAAGTGCACCAAGCTCTTCGTCGAGGTGGGGGGCATTTGGGGGGCAGAGTGCTGGGACTGGGCTCTGGGGGTGGGAGACCCCAGTTAGAGGTTCTGAATGGGGAGGGTGGGAGGCAGGCATTGGGGTTCTCGGGGGGGGGTTGCCAGCTATTCCTGGGCAGTTGTGACCCCCTCCTCTGCTCCCCACAGGCCCTTGGACAGATTGGGGGTGCTCCGCCGCTGAAGATGCACGTGGACTGCATGACCTCGCAGAAGCTCATCCGCTTGCCAGGTGGGACCTGGGATATGGGGGTGCCAGGGGGAGGGGGGCATTAGGGGGCAGAAGAGCATCTTCCCCAGACCCCATCCTGGCCCTCTCTTGGCCCTCACTTGCCAGCGTTGGGGTCCTGCCTCCGTCCGTGGGGTCAGAGGGCAGACCTGGCTTGCGTTCTGTCCATGGGGCTGGAGTGAAGCATCAGTCCCTTGGACCCACACGGCTTGTGGGCCCCAGACAGTAAATCCTGCCACTCTGAACAGACCATGGCTGGCCGACCCTGCCTCGGTTTCCCTGACGGTGTGCTCCGTCGTCTGCGCACTTGGCATTTTTGGGTTTATACTGGGCGTTATGTTCTTATGCAACCTCCAGCTCCAAAGGCAGTCCGTCTGGGGGGTTTTGGCCACTGTGAGAAGAGGGGGCTGGACCAGACGCAACGTAGGCTCCTGGCCTGGCAGCAAGTCCACTCTGTGTCCGATGGGGCAGTGAGTGCTTGGAGGAGCCTGGTGCCCCCTTGGGCGGAGGCTGAGCTGGACTCGTTGGGCACCTGCCTGACTCCCCGGGGGGCTCCCTCCGCTGACCTTGGCCCCCTTCTCCCCCTCCAGGGCTCATCGATGTCCATGTGCACCTGCGGGAGCCAGGGGCCACCCACAAGGAGGACTTTGCATCCGGCACAGCCGCTGCCCTGGCTGGCGGCATCACCATGGTGTGTGCCATGCCCAACACCTCCCCGGCTATCATTGACGCCGGTTCCTTTGCCCTGGCGCAGAAGGTAAAGAGGCTCCTGCCTGGCGGGTCCCACCTTGCGGGGGGTTGGACTAAATGACCCTCCGGACCCCTTCCACCTCACAATTCTGTGTCTACAGAGAAGGGAGGTGGGCGAGGAGAGGAAGCCCCTTCTCTGCATTTGGAGGCAGCCAGGCTTCTGAGTCCCAGCTGCTGGAAACCCCAGGAGGGGCGAGAGTTGCTTTTGGGGTCGTATCCTGCTTTCGGGTTCCCCATAATGGGCACCTGCTTGGTCTCTCTGAGACTGGATGGGCTCCCTTTGCCCCGACCCAGCAGGGCTCTTCCTCGGTGGGGGTCACAGTCTACAGCTCCTGGTGTGCCAGCCCCATTGTGAAACTGGGTTTGCCTCTCTGCCCTCTCCCCCCACCCCACAGCTGGCGGAGACCGGGGCCCGCTGCGATTATGCGCTCTACGTGGGCGCCTCCTCGGACAACGCCGGCTCCCTGGGGCCTCTGGCCGGAGCAGCCGCTGGCCTGAAGATGTACTTGAACGACACCTTTTCGGACCTCAAGATGGACAACGTCTCCCTGTGGATGGAGGTGGGTTGGGCACGCGAGAGGCACGTCGAGGCAGACCTTCCCGTCCCTTCTCTGGCCGTGGGATCCAGGAATCCTGTCTTAACTGGGGGTGGCCTTAGGCCAACACCCCAGAGCACAAAATCGCCTTGCTCCGCTGCTTCATTTTGGGGGAACTGGCACAGCTACAGATGCCCATTCAACCTTTGTAAGAATTCAGCATTTTAGGGCAGCCGCAATTAGACTTTGGAACTCCCTGCCTATTGACATCTGGAATCACTGGCTTTTGTTTAGGCACGCCAAGATGCTTAGGAAGTCCGTGTGAATCTCTTTCATCACTTGTATGCCATTTCACCATCAAGTGGCATATGAATATTGGGGAGGCGGTCGTCCCGCCCCTTTGCCCCCGGGGGGGTCTCCTTCCCTCGCCCCTTTACGCTCAGGGGGTCTCCCTCACTCGCTCCTCTCTCTCTGCCCTGGCAGCACTTTGAAAAGTGGCCCAAACACCTTCCCATCGTGGCTCACGCAGAGAAGCAGACGGTGGCTGCCATCCTGATGGTGGCCCAGCTGTACCAGCGCCCCGTCCACATCTGCCACGTGGCGCGGAAGGAGGAGGTGAGCGGGTCGGAAGGGGGGGTGGCGGCCCGGGGGGGCTGCAGGGGGTCCTTGGCTGGGAAGTCTTCTCCTGCAGGGCAGGAAGGGGGCAAGCGAGACTGGCAAAGCACCTCCAGCCTTGGGTGGCTTGAAAAGAGGGCAGGACCGATTCATGAAGGGGGGAGAGGGCGATCGATGGCTCCCGGCCGGCGTGGCTCTGCGCTGACTCCATGCTCAAGAGGCAACGATGCTTCTGAATCCCAGGGGCTGGGAACCACTGGAGGGCAGAGAGTTCCTGGGCTCGGTCTGAGAACAGGATGCCCAACAAGATGGCGTACAGCACCCGGGCTCTTCTGCTGCGCTTCTGGTGCCTCCAAGCTCAGAGACAGTCTGCCTAGAGTCCTAGGTTGCTAGGGGACAAAGTTAAAGTTAAAACTACAAAGAGCTAATTTGAGCATGCATATGTAGTTCAGAGTAAATAAAAGAGGAAGCAAGGAGGAATGCTTTTAGGAAACCCCAGAGGCCATAAACAGGAGTGGAAGGATGGCAGTATTTACCACTCCTTGTGAACTCTCTTCCTGGCCCTTAAGATCTACCTAAAGATTCACAAACTACACCAAAGCTACCTTCTATCTTTATGTACTGAGGATGCCTGATGAAGCAACTGGCCTGTGTTTAGAATGCTTATACGTGCCTGTCAGGCGTAGAGAAAGCAAATGGCAGAGGTGGAGAGGCCTGTGGGATTCAATCAGAAACTATTGTCAATGACTCAAACCCAGTCAATGCAATGCTTTCATAGTGGACACAATGGTTTGCTCCATTTTTCATAATTCCTCATAGCAATCCCACCTGACCCCCACAGGCTGGGCTGGCACTGGGGCAGTTTTGACCAACAGCAGTGGGGGGGGGAATCCGCATGGGGGGGCGCTGGAAGGGGAGAAGGGGGGCAGAGGCAGGTCTCCCTTTCCTGCAACGGAGAGTCAGGAAGCTGCTTGGGGAGGGAAGGTCATCGTGATGAAGCTCTGCCTTTTTACCCCACAACTAAGGGGTGAAGGGCTAAGGGTTGTGTGACCCCCCCACTCCCCCCGCAGATCCTGATCATCAAGGCCGCGAAGCAGAAGGGCATTGAGGTGACCTGCGAGGTGGCCCCCCACCACCTCTTCCTGTGCCAGGAGGACCTGGGGCGCATCGGGGAGGGCAGGGGGCAGGTGCGGCCCATGCTGGGCACCCGCGAGGACATGGAGGCCCTGTGGGAAAACATGGACACCATCGACTGCTTTGCCACGGACCACGGTAAGGGGGGCGTGGGGGTGTTGGCCTCTGGGGGGATGCAGCTGCTGGAAAGGTGGGGGGAAGATCCACCTGCCACGCTCATTTAGAGCCCCATAGCAAATAGAGAGGCAGTGTGGTTCAGTGGTTAGAGTCTTGGCCTAAGACCTCAGAGAGATCAGGGATCAAATCCTTACTCAGCCATGAAACTCACAGGGTTCTCTCTCTCTCAGCGTAGCCCACCTCACAGGGTTATTGTGGAGGATTACCCGTATTTTTCGCTCTATAGGACGCACCAGACCACAAGACGCACCTAGTTTTTGGATGAGGAAAACAAGAAAAAAAATACTCTGAATCTCAGAAGCCAGAACAGCAAGAGGGATCACTGTGCAGCGAAAGCAGCAATCCCTCTTGCTGTTCTGGCTTCTGGGATAGCTGCGCAGCCTGCATTCGCTCCGTAAGACGCACACACATTTCCCCTTACTTTTTAGGAGGGAAAAAGTGAGTCTTATAGAGCAAAAAATGTGGTAAATGAGGAGAGGGAGGGAGAACCACCCCACCACCTTGACCTCCTTGGAGGAGAAGGTGGGATAGATAAATGGGGGGAAGGGGTGCTGTGTGGGGCCCTGGTCTCTGCCACGCGTCTCTCTCGCACTCAGCTCCCCACACGCTGGAGGAGAAGCTGGGCAAGGAGCCCCCGCCCGGCTTCCCTGGCCTGGAGACCATGCTGCCCCTGCTGCTGACCGCTGTCTCTGAGGGACGGCTCAGCGTGGAAGACCTGGTCCAGCGTCTCTACGAGAACCCCCGGCGCATCTTCGGGCTCCCCCTGCAAGAGGACACCTACATCGAGGTGAGGCAGGAGGGTGGGGGGGAGCCCGCCTAGGGTGTCCCTCTGCGGCGGGGGGAGGATGTCACGATTCCTCGCGGTGCTTTTAGCAGAAACGCTCAGAGTCCCAGGGTTTTCCAGTGCAGTCTTTTTAATGTGAACTATATACAGGTATTTACAAAAACAGACCATACAGAGTACCTGCTCCTTAAGGCAAACGAATACTCTCCACCACAGCACCACCATACCACAGCACAACCACCACAACCACAGTTACTGTTGAACAGGCTTTCCTTTTAAAACAGGTGGTAGCCAATCATATTCCTGCTGAGTCACTCTGACCCAGCACTTCACAGAGTATTGCATCAGCCTGTTGAAGCCTGCAGACTTACTCAACATCCTGCGAATCCCAACAAGGACCTGGCAGAGGCGAGGGGGCCTCCCAGGAAAGGCCCTGCTGCCTTCTCCTCCAGCCACAATGCTCTTTCTCTGCCGGTCAAGGCCGTCTGCCTCATACATTTAATAATAATGTTAATTAATTAATTAATTAATTAATTAATATCCCGCCCTCCCCAGCCAAAGCTGGGCTCAGAGCGGCTAACAACAATAAAAGTAACACAGTTTACATACAATCACAATCAATTAACTGAAATGCATTCTAAAATCAATTCATTCTAAAAACAATTCAGAGTCAAATTCATGGCAACCATTGGGCTGGAGTTCTATGAGGATCACAGAAGGAGGGGGTCAGGCTGTGCCCTGGCCAAAGGCCTGGTGGAACAGCTCTGTCTTGCAGGCCCTGCGGAAAGATGTCAAGTCCCACAGGGCCCTAGTCTCTTGGGACAGTGTTCCACCAGATCGGGGCCACGGCCGAAAAAGCCCTGGCTCTGGTTGAGGCCAGCCTAACCTCCCTGTGGATGTTTTTATTTGAAGACCATAAGGTCCTCCGTGGGGGACATTTCCCAACCAGGTGCCCCCAGTGGCCGGGCAGAGCCAGCGACAGCCCCCTCCTCCCCCATGAATTTGTCCAAGCCCCCTAGGCTGGTGGCCATTGCTGGGTCTCCTTTGGCAGGGAGTTCCACCGTTTAACTATGTTCTGAGAGGAAGCTGCTGCTGTTGCCTCCAAGCCCTGCTTGCTTCCTGCAGGCACCTGGGGGCCAGAAGAGGCTGCTGAAGGGCCGGGGCTCAGGGACAGGGTGTCTGCCTTGCATGCAGAAGGTCCCACGTTCCATCCCCGCTGGCAGCATCTCCCGGGGGGCTGGGAAAGACCCCTTGTCTGAAACCACAGAGATCCCCTGCTGCCAATCACTGCAGGCAGCGCAGAGGAACCGCGTGGTTTGACTCTGTCTAAAGCAGCTTCCTATAGAGGTTCCTGTGGACCAGGTGGGCCGTGGGCCTGATCCACCAACTGCAGGGCTCCTGGTCCTCCAGGAAAGACTCCCCTTGGCATGGGACCCCCAGGAGCTGGGGGGCTGAGTCTCCGTGGGGCTGAGCCATTTCCTTCTGGCAGGTGGACCTGGAGCAGGAGTGGCTGGTGCCCCCCAACACGGCCTTCAGCAAGGCCCGCTGGACGCCCTTTGAGGGCATGCGGGTGAAGGGGACCGTGCGCCGCGTCATCCTCCGCGGGGAAGTGGCCTACATCGATGGGCAGGTAAGCGGGGCAGGGAGGGCATAGAGGGAAGGGGCTGAATGGGGCGTGGGGGCCATAGAACCCTAGAACGGCAGAGGTGGAAGGGCCCCCCGGGGTCATCCAGTCCAGCCCCTGCCCCGCAGGAATCTCAGCTGAAGCATCCAGGACAGAGGGCCCTTCAAACTCTGCTTGGAAACCTCCAGGGAAGGAGAGACCACCAGCCTCCGAGGCTGTCAAACAGCTCTTACTATCAGAAAATTATCCCTTATTATTAATTACATTTATATACTACCTTTATTTTCCCGTCACGGTTCTCTCCCTTCCCATTTTATCCTCGCAACCACCCTGTGAGGAGGTAGGTCAGGCCAAGAGATGGTGAGTGACTCCCAAGGTGACCCAGGGAGCTTCGTGGCTGTGAGGGGGATTCGAACCCTCCTCTCACAGGTCACAGTCCAGCACTCTAACCATTAGGCTGCACTGGCTTCCATGAGCCCAAACCAGCTCTACCCATTAACTGTCCTTGTCGGAGGAAGACTAGATGTGATGCCAAGCTTGCAGTTGGGAAAATTGCAGCTTTCCAGAAAAGGAGGTGCAGCCTGGTGGGGTTTAACCCTTTCCTTCCCTGCTGCTGTCCTGGCAAAAATAATCCCTGTGCCTTCTGTTCATCCCGGGATCCTGATGTTTAGGGTCGGCCACTTTCCTCGGGCTGAAGGGGCCTGCAGACGCCGCTTCCTGGGGAGGGTTTCTGGGGCTCTGAGCGCCTCCTGTCTCTCCTTCCAGGTCCTTGTAGCTCCAGGCTATGGGCAGGATGTGCGTAAATGGCCGAGTGCGGTGCCAGCCAAAGAGATCCTGAAGGTAGGCGCTGGGGCTGAGCCCAGAATGCCCCCCAAGGGGGCGGGATAGGGGAGGGAACCCACCTGCCAGGCTGCCCAGCACCCACACCACTTCCTGACCCCTTTCTGTGGGGCTATGAGTGTCTCTTCTGCCCCCCAGAGGGATGAAGGAGAGGTGGCTTAGTCTGCGAAAGGGAAACGGCTGGGTGTTTGGGTGCTGCTTTCGGACGGCAAAGTTCCAAGTCTAAGCAGACAGGAGATCCCTCAGGAAACACACGCAAGAGCAAAAGGAGGACTGAGAGAGGGAGAGGGAGTGTGGCATTTATTTAATTCACAAAATTTACGCACCACTAACAAAATCGAGCACTTTAAGAAACACAAAAGTTAAAATAACTAAAACAGGTGAAACTTTGCACCCGCTTTCCAAACACCTGGGCAGGCTTGTCTAAACCAGAATGTTTTTAGCAGTGGCCAAACAGAGTACAGTGACAGGCCTGCCAGATATCAAGAGGCAGGGAGTTCCAAAGGGCAGGTCCTGCCACACGCAAGTTCTTCCCAGTGCAGAACGGCTCTTGGGTGGCCCCTGCAGGACCAAAATGGGTCCATGGGGGGTAAGATAAATTGCTCCCAAGCTGTTAAGGGACAATCTCTTGGTGACTCAAAAGCAGAGCCTCAGGCCAGTCCTTCCGAGCACAGAGCGAAAAAGGTGTCTGTGTTGGAGCTTTGAGACCCCACCAGCCGTGGAAAATCCAAGCAGGAGGCTTGGTCCTGCTTTGAGCCAACACTGGACTATTGGGGGGGGGGTCTTTGCCGTAGCGCCTGCGCTCCTTTGCTTTGCTGTCCATTTCCTTTTTAAAAAAATAATTTATATTAATTTTAACATATGAATTATAATACATACCACAAAACTTCACAATTTATACAATCTTTTTTCTTTCTTTCTTTTTTGGACTTCCATCAGCACCTCTGATGATCCACTGTTCTTGTCACTTCTTATGCATTTCTTAAATTCATATTGCCTTTAATTATCTTAACTAAACATCCTCCCCTTTATCCATTTTTGCAATAGTTCCAATAATTCACCTCACAAAACTTCTTGCAAACCTACAAACGTAGTCTGTTCTTCATAATTACTTTTCAAATAGTCTGTAAATTTACACCAGTCTTCTGTGAATCTCTGGTCCCACAGATTTCGAATCCTTCCTATTAGTTTCTCTAGTTCGCTTTGCTGTCCATTTCCTAAAAATTCAGGGGCACACCCCTTGTGAGTCCCCCCCATTCGGGGGGGTGTGCGCTGCTGCTACTGTATATCTGTCATTCTCACACACCACAAGAGCAGGTGGGAGATGCCATTGCTCCCCCCCCCATTGCTTAACTCTCCCCCCTTTCAGACGCCAGAGCGGCCCCTCCCCACTGTCCAGCCAGAGGCCTTGCGCTGTCGAGCGCCCAGCCCCCGTCGAGCCGGACCGGTGGGAGACGCCCGCTTCTTCCTGGCCCCCCGCATCCACCGTGCCTCGGACCCCGGGCTGCCAGGTGACGGGCGTGGGGGGTGGCGGGAGGGGGGTCCTTCCTGGGGGCAAAGAGGTGCTGTTGCAAAGGCCTCCCGTCTTTCTCTAACATTGGTCCTCCTTCCTCTCTCCATCCTCCGGCAGCCGAAGATCTCAGGGAAAAAGTGGTCAAGAAAACCGTGGAGCCGCCAGGTGAGGTTTCCTTCCTCCTCCTCGCAGAGCCGCTTGTTACTTTCTCTCATAAAGCGGATGCACCGCTTGGTTTCTTTACAAAAATTAAGAAAACCACGCACCTCAAATAAGACAAAGCAATAAAATGATCGATGAAGAGTTAGCAGCAATAATTTAAGGCTGTGGAAAAGTTAAAATAGCAGTGGACCAAAAGCCGATGGCAACTAGATCTAGGTCTCTGGGTGTGCTTTCCTAAACAATAATGCACAGCACAGGCGCCCACCTGGTGTCAATAGCCAGGGAGTTCCAGAGGGCAAAGACCTGATTTTTCACAAACTGGGATGGGGTATTACGCAGCCCCTGTGGCCGTGCCCTCTCCGCTAATCTAAGCAACCGAGTGGGTCCGTGTGGGGCAAGGGGATCTCGTAGGTAAACTGCTCCCAAGTTGTTCAGGGCTTTGTGTACTGATAGACTTCCTGGGGTGTTTCCAGGATCAGAGAGGAGCTGGGGTTTCCTGCCATACCGTGGCGAGAGGCAGATCCTGCTGCCCCCGCTGGGTGGTGCCTCTCTGGTCCTCCTCGCAGGCGGGGCTGACCTTCCTTTCCTCCCGCAGACTTGGCCATGATCCAGGACGGCCCCCTGTACCTGGCAGGCCCCTTGCCCAGGCAGACGTCCCCGCAGAGCCTGCCGCACCCCCAGACTTCGCCGCTCCTCCACCCGCTGGTCGGGCAGCACGTCTTGTCCGTCAAGCAGTTCACCAAGGGACAGGTACTCACGCAGAGACACACTGGGACACCCCGCTCCTCTGGCCTGCCCTGGGGAAGGGAAAAGCCCAGAGAGGAGCCTGCAGGATCAGGCCAGATGCCCCAAGGGGAGACCCACCAGAGCCTTCTCCCCTCCCGGGGCTTCCAGCCACTGGGATTCAGAAGCATTGCTGGCCATCCTGGCCAGGAGCCATCCAAAGCCCTCTCCTCCTCCATGAATCTGTCCAGCCCTCTTTTCAAGCCATCCAAGTGGGTGGCCTTCACTGTCTGCTGTGGCAGGGAGTTCCACAGTTTAACCATGTGCTCTCTGTGTGAAGAAGGACTTTCTGTCGTATGTCTTGACTCTCCCGGCCTCCAGCTTCATTGGGTCTCCATGGGATTGAGTGTTATGAGAGAGGGAGGAAAGCTTTTCTCTGTCCACTTTCTCGCAGGCCAGGGAGAACTTTTTAAGCTTTGATCGTGTGTTGCCATTTCTCTAAATTGAAAAAGTCCCAACCGCTGCGACCATTCCTCATGGGGGCAGTCGCTCCCTCCCCTCAATCACTGACCTTGTTTGACCCTTCCCTAAGTTTTCAGTACCGAACCATATGTTCCGAACGCTGCCGAGCACCATAGAAAAGTATAATGCCCTTGGTAGCATTTCGAGACCCCCCTCCTGTCCGACTGAGCACCCCTCTCCCCTCTGCTGCAGATGTCTCACCTCTTCAACGTGGCCCACAACCTGCGCATGATGGTCCAGAAGGAGCGCAACATAGACATCCTCAAGGTGAGGTGGGGGCCGGGGGGTAGGGGGTGGGGGTTGGGGAAGGGGAGCCCCCCACCTGTACTGAAGTCCGCCGCTTCCTCCCGCGCAGGGCAAGGTGATGGCTTCCATGTTCTACGAGGCGAGCACGCGCACCAGCAGCTCCTTTGCCGCCGCCATGTACCGCCTGGGGGGCTCCGTCCTGCCCTTTTCAGAGGCCACCTCCTCCTGCCAGAAGGGGGAGTCGCTGGCGGACTCGGTCCAGACCATGAGCTGCTACGCCGACGTCTTGGTGCTGAGGCACCCCCAGCCGGGGGCCGTGGAGGTGAGCTCCGGCCAAGGCCACTCTGATGGGACGCAGGGCCCTCGGGGGCCCCAGCAAAGAGAATCCTAGAATCCCTGGGACTGTCGAGTTGGGAGGGGGACCCAAAGGTTATCCAGTCCCACCTCCTGCAGTGCAGGGGTTACAGCAAAGGGATCTCTGAGCATCCAGGGAGAGGCTGCTCCCCTCCGAGGGAGACCATCCCAGAGGATTGGGGTCTAGCAATCATCATCCCAGTACAGTGGTACCTCGGGTTAAGTACTTAATTCGTTCCAGAGGTCTGTACTTAACCTGAAACTGTTCTTAACCTGAAGCACCACTTTAGCTAATGGAGCCTCCTGTTGCTGCCGCGCCGCCAGAGCACGATTTCTGTTCTCATCCTGAAGCAAAGTTCTTAACCTGAAGCACTATTTCTAGGTTAGCAGAGTGTGTAACCTGAAGCGTATGTAACCCGAGGTACCACTGTATACAAGAAAGGGAGCAGATCGGACCCTGCTAATTACAGGCCAATTAGTCTCCTAAGCATTATCAGTAAACTATATGCTGCCCACTTATGTAATAAATTTGAGGATTGGATGGAGCGAGAATATGTCCTTTCAGAAGCACAAGCTGGTTTGAGGGCAAACCGGTCAACTTTAGACCAAGGCCCAGGACTCCAACGTCTTGTGGGGAAATATACCTCCAGAAAAGGAGGGTCCCTCTACGCAGCTTTCATAGATTTTCAATCTGCCTTCGATTTAATATCACGAGATAGGCTTTGGGGAAAACTAAGCGCCTCAAACATAGACAGACTGTGTCTACTGTGTCTTATCCGCAGTTTATACGAAAACACTCGGGCCCGGGTTAGGTGTGACCGACAGGACCATTTATCCAAGGAAATCCAAACCTCCCATGGTGTTAAACAAGGCTGCGTCCTTGCGCCTACTTTATTCAACTTCTGAATTAACTCCTTAGCAGGAAACATGGAGAAAGAAAATGCCCACCCCCCTAAATTGGCTGGTACACCCCTCCCGGTTCTCTTATATGCGGATGACCGTTCCAGTGTGGAGAAGGAACAGATCCAGCCCATGCCATTAGCGGGGCTCAGTTCCCTGAAGCCTGGGTCTGTGGATGGGCTTCTTCTTCCGCCTGGAGGAGGCTCTGAGCCACTTCACTCCCACCCCAGGCAGCAGAGTTATTGGTTTATTTGTTTGCATTTCTGCACCACCTTATTCTCCAAGGAGCTCAAAGCCCTACGTGCTTCTCCCGCTTCCCATGTCATCCTCACAACGACCCTGCAGAGTAGGTTAGGCTGAGAGAAGTGGTGGCTGGCCCAAGACCACACCCACTGAACTCTCCAGGGTCCGACTCCTCATTCCCGTCCCACAATCACCTCCCACTGCAAGGTAGGCCAGGCTGAGAAAGGCAGCAACTGGCCCAAGGGTCACACCCAGTGGGAGCTTCATGCCCAACTGGGAATTTGAACCCTGGGCTCTTGTGTGGCCCTGGGAACCGCCATGGGCAACTGGGCTTCCATCTCCCAGAAAGGAGGAAATGGGGACCGCGGTCGGTACAATCTCTCCAGGGCGGCCGGGAAAGGGCTCTGAGGAATGCCCCTGCTGACTCCCTCCTTCCCTCCCTCCTTCCTCCTTGTGCCAGCTGGCTGCCAAGCACTGCCGCAAGCCTGTCATCAACGCGGGCGACGGGGTCGGGGAGCACCCCACGCAAGGCCTGCTGGACATCTTCACCATCCGGGAGGAGCTGGGCACGGTCAACGGCATGACGGTGAGGGGACCTCGCTCGGAAGGGAGGGGTTGGGGGGTGGCTTCTTTGCGGGGGCCTCCGGCCAGGGGTGCTGACAGCTGCCTCTGCCCTCCCCCAGATCACCATGGTGGGCGACTTGAAGCACGGCCGGACCGTCCACTCTCTGGCTCGCCTGCTCACCCTCTACCGGGTCAGCCTGCGCTACGTCACGCCACCCGACCTCCGCATGCCGGCCGACATCTTCCACTTCGTGGCCTCCAAGGGGATCAAGCAGGTGAGGGGGAGGGGGCTGCGCTGGGGGTCCCCCCCTGCTGTATTTTAACAGAGCTAAAAGAGTATCAAAAGCAAATCTATTAGTGTTTGATTTAATTTGCTGTTCTCTACGGAAGCCGTTCCCTTCCTAAATTTAACCGATTTGGGCATTTTTAGCCCACTCGGAGGTGAGCAACATTTTAACCTCTAAGCCCCCTCTTAATAGTTCATGCAACACCTTAAAGAAAAGCACAGCCAAGAAAGATACACAAGCTCAGCATCCAGCAGAGACCCCGTTTGTTAGAGGAACTATTGCCACAGGGCCGGCTCCATAAACCTGTGCTTCAGAGAACCACCAGTTAGGGGAACTGCCCCAAAGGCACCTTTTAACAGAGTTCTTTTTTTCCAAATGCAGTACAGGCAACCCCCAATTTGCACAGGGACGGCGTTCTGGGTTATTGTGTGTGTCGGTGGAAATAATAATAATAATAATAACAATAATAATAATATAGTATTATTTATACCCCATCCATCCGGCTGGGTTTCCCCAGCCACTCTGGGCGGCTTCCAACACAATATTAAAATAAAGTAATGTATCAAATATTAAAAACTTCCCTGAACAGGCTGCTTTCAGATGTCTTCTAAAAGTCTGGTAGTTGTTGTTCTCTTTGACATCCAGTGGGAGGGCGTTCCACAGGGCGGGTGCCACTACTGAGAAGGCCCTCTGTCTGGTTCCCTGCAACCTCACTTCTTGCAATGAAGGAACCACCAGAAGGCCCTCAGATCTGGACCTCAGTGTCCGGGCAGAACGATGAGGGTGGAGACGCTCCTTCAGGGATACTGGACCGTGTATAAGCCCTCCCTGCACCCTTCCAAGTCCAAAAAGGGCACATGCGTGCACAATTGGGGGCGCTTTGAATGTGTGTCAATGGTCGTACAGTGGTGCCTCGCAAGACGAAATTAATCCGTTCCGCGAGTGTCTTCGTCTAGCGGTTTTTTCGTCTTGCGAAGCAACCCTATTAGCGGCTTAACGGATTAGCGCTATTAGCGGTTTAGCGGCTATTAAAGGCTTATCGGCTTTTCGGCTTAGCTGCTAAAAGGCTCTTAAAGGCTTAGCGGCTTAGATAAAGGGGGGGGGGGGAGCGAAAAAAAATCTCAAGACTCGCAAGACATTTTCGTCTTGCGAAGCAAGCCCATAGGGAAATTCGTCCTGCGAAGCAACTCAAAAACGGAAAACCCTTTCGTCTAGCGGGTTTTCCGTCTTGCGAGGCATTCGTCTTGCGGGGCACCACTGTACGTCATTAGCTCATAGGATGCATACCTGGAAGGTCAGGGAACACAGCTTTGCCTTGTTATCTTCCGTCCCCTCAGACTCTGGAGCCTCAAGAGTCACGCTTCACCCACTGATCATCCTGCTTCCTTGACGACCAGGCTTCCTTAATTTACCATTCCTGTAGCTTCCCACACCTTGGGGAATCTCAAGGAAGGCACATTGCGCCCTCAATCTTTGCAAACTACCCGTCAGGGATAGTTAAGCCAGGAATGCCACAGTCCAGCAGTTTACACAGCGTACGAGAGGTACAAAAATACAGGGATGCAAGAATCAAATCATGCCTTGATACCCAAGTTCTACATAGAGAATAAATACAATTACTGTATTGGCCCGAATATAAGCCGCACTTTCCCCCCAAATTCCTACCGTGAAAAGTTAAAGCATGGCTTATATTCGCAGTCTTATGGTATGCAGCCAAGAGTCGCGAGGAAGGGAACAGCTTATATTCGGATGTTTTTTCTTTTTTTCTTTTCCCTCCTCCAATTTTAAAGGTGCGGCTTATATTTGGGCCAATATGATATAATTGGAGATAGAAGGCTGCTGAGCGGCTAAAGCATTTTCTTCTTCTTCTCCCTTTTCCATGCTTGATCTGTGTGTTGCTTTGATCCGTGCAAGCTGCCTCGAGTCCCCTTCTGCGGAAAAAGGCAGAGTATAAATCATGGGGTATTTTTATGCCTTAAAGCGTTGTAGATGTTTTTCTTGGTGTTACCTTTCTGCAAACGGCGTTGAGGCGGGCTCTGTTGCCGTTGTTCCAGTCGAGAGGCGTGTGGATTTTAAGGAATAACAAAAAGGCAAGTAAATAAATGTAGGAGCCATAATCGCGGTAATAAATTCTCAGGAGGAGTTTGAGAACATCGAGGAGGCTCTGCCCGACACGGACGTCCTCTACATGACCCGCATCCAGAAGGAGCGCTTCGCCTCAGTCCAGGAGTTTGAGGCGGTGAGTGAGGAAGGGGCCCTGAACTGCTGCCCCCACCCCGTGGCGCCCCCAAGTCCGCTGGCCCTCGGAGGCCCGGAGGCCACCCAGAGGGGATGGGGAAGAGGGTCCCTGGGCGGGAGGGGTGGGGCCACCCCCAGACGCATGCTCACTGGCTGTGTTCCTCTCCCTCCTCCCTCCTCAGTGTTTTGGGCAGTTCATCCTGACCCCTCACATCATGACCCGGGCCAAGAAGAAGATGGTGGTGATGCACCCGATGCCCAGGGTCAACGAGATCAGGTGCGCTGGCCAGGGAATGGCTTCAGGGTGCCAGATGGAGTGAAGGGACATTTTGGGTGGAGCCTAGGAATTTGGACGAGTGGCGGACCCAGCGGAGCTCCCATGTAGGAGGATCTGTGGGTCGGGGGGGGCGGGTTCATAAGCAGCAGAAGTCCCCAGCTTCTTCCCTGTTTCTTTGCTTCTGGCTGCTTGGAGACTCTGGAGCAGTAGAAGGGTGTGTCAGATGGGGGGGTGTAGTTTGGCGATGGGAACGCCCAGCCTCAGTCGGTCGCCTTGGGATCTGTAGAACCACAGAGCATCAGAGTCGGAAGGGACCCCCAGGGTGTGGCATTCCCAAAGCAAAGCCAGGAGTGAACTCTGATAAAATACACACAGAGGCTTCAACCAGCAAGACTCTGGGAGGGGTGCGTATAATAATAATTCCTCACCACCCTCCGGCCCAGGTCGTTTTATTCCCAAAAGAACTTTTTTACACAGTGTTTGTAAGAAACCCCATGTGGGGACAAAGTTAAAGTTAAAACTACAAAGAGCTAATTTCCTACTTGAGCATGCATATGCAATTCAGAGTAAATAAAAGAGGAAGCGAAGAGGAATGCTTTTAGGAAGGTCATAAACAGCAGTAAACAGGAGAGGACAGAAGGATGGCAAGGAAAGAGTATTTGCCATCTTCCTGGCCCCTAAGATCTATCTAAGATTAAACTACATCAAGGTAACCTACTATCTTTATGTACTGAGGATGCCTGAGGAAGCAACTGGCAACTGGGCTGTGTACGTGACTTGTCAAGCTAGAGAAATAGACGGTAGAGGAAATGGCCAGAGATGCAGAAGGTTGTGGGATTTGATCAGAAATTATTGCCAATGAATCGAACCCAGTCAACGCCATGCTTTCATAGCGGACACAATGGCTTGATGCCTATTTTATAATTCCTCATTGTAAACCCATCTGATCCCCACACTCTGGATATTTGCACTCCTACCCCAGGGGTCAGCTCCCCCACCCGCAATGCAGGAACTGGAGCTGAGTCAGAAGAGCGGCCTACCTTGCAGGGCGGGTGGCAAAGCATCTTGCACAGGAGAAGCACGTTGTGTGCAGAGCTCTGGGCCCTCGGAAGGGCGAGGGGCGGCAGCCTGGGGCGCTTGCTGACTTGGTGGCGATCATGACCTCCCCCCGCTTTCTCTCCTTCCAGCGTGGAGGTGGACTCGGACCCGCGCGCTGCCTACTTCCGGCAGGCAGAGAACGGCATGTACATCCGCATGGCCCTGCTGGCCACCGTGCTGGGACGGTACTGAAGCCGCCTGGGCGGGACTCTGGGCCCTGGTCCGCGTTGCCCACCTGGCTCCTCCACCAAAGAGCAAAAAGCGGCGCTGCTGGAAGGCAGCCTTGGGACAGCTCCATGCTGGGGGGTGGGGGCACGGGAAACTGGGGGGGAGCAAGCTCAGGAAAGGCCCCACCCTCCCTGCCTCCCCAGCTCTTGTCTTCCAGCCTCCAGGATGGGCTCTGTGGGGCTCTTTGCCTTCCCCTCTTGGGCTGAGCTGCTTCCTGGGCCCAGCCCTGGAGACATTCCTCCTTCCCGAGGACCAAGTTCTGTTTGTTTTGGGTCTGGGTTGGCGGCCCCCCTTGGCAGGCTGCAACACCCTTCAGCCCTCGCTGCTTCCCTCGAACGGCCTGCTGCCCGCAGTGACTTTTCTACACATACTAGTGAGCCAAGCGGATCCCTTTGTTTCCGTTTCTTTTTTTTAATAAAAACAGTTGAATACAACCTACTGCTCTTTTGTGAACTGCTTTGGGGTGCCTGTGTGGCTTTCTTAATCCCACCAGCGTGTAAGTTTTATTAATAAATCCGTTCCAGAGAAACGGTTTGCACAGGGATTGGATGATTCCGAGAATTTCCCATAGAGAAAACTCCCTAAGGCCTTCCCAACTAACAAAAGTCAGGGAATAAAATCAGAAACAGTGTTACCATTAAACTACAGTGGTACCTTGGTTCTCAAACGCTTTGGTACTCAAACAACATGGAACCCAAACACTGCAATTCTGGAAATGTGTGTTCTGGTTTGCAAACTTCTTTCGGAAGCCAAATGTGCTCCATTTTGAGTGGTACGCTGTCTGTCTGTCTGTTTTTTGCTATTCATTTTGCTTTTTTGCGGCTTTTTTGGTTTGGTTCTGTGACTGTCGAACCCAGTTCAGTTACTGATTGACTGCAGTACATTGATTATTGCTTTCATTTTATGGATCAGTGGTCTCATTGGATAGTAAAATTCATGTTAAATTGCTGTTTTAGGGGTTGTTTTTAAAAGTCTGGAAGGGATTAATCCATGTTTCATTACTTTCTATGGTAAAGTGCACCTTGGTTTTGGAACGCTTTGGTTTTGGAACAGACTTCTGGAATGGATTAAGTTTGAGAACCAAGGTACCCCTGTACAAACTCTCACACACACAAACAAACAAGCAAGCAATGAAAGCATGGTTTTGCAGTGCAAAGAGTTGACAAGGGAGCAGGAAGAGGAGGTGAAGGCGATATTACGACAGCTGCAAATGAAGATCTGCCTTTGTGACTCTTGTTCAGATATCTGAAACTAAAAAGTGTGAATATATACTGCTACAGCAGCTTGAAAGCACCATAAGGTTTGACATTATCATTGCGCTTGTTAAGAAACATCGAAAACACCGTTTCTCCCCACAAACCTGGGCCACCTCCAGTCCTCCTTCTGGCCCCCTGTGAGAGGGAGGCGCCAGGGGAGGAAGGGCTTCAATCCAGCCAGGGCTTCCCCCAGCCAGCCAGCCCGCCCGCCCCCGGGAGACCCAGTCGGCCTGGCAGAGAGCCTGCAGTTCTCCCTTTCTCGGCTCCTGCCCGGGCTTGCTGCTTCTGGCAGAGCCTTTTCCAGGCCAGCACCTCCTCCTTGTTGCAGGACTTTATGTCTAGGTGGGGGGGGGGGTTGCCCCTCCAGCAGGTCTCGTGCACATGCAGCCCACTACCAAAACCAGCACAGTCATGTTTGTGACTTGTGTGATTTGTCCCCATCTTGTTCCACCTGGTGGCAGGTGGGAGTCCTGGCGCCCCAGGCTTCAATCCAGACCAAGCCTCCTGGCTGCCCTTTTGCTCTGCTCTTCCTGGCTGCTCTCCTTGCTTTTTGTCCAAGGGAGCCCCCAGATTTCTCCGCTAACATCCTCCGGCCCCGCGGCTCCCCCAAGGCGCGCCAAGGGTTAAGAGCAGCTGCGCCGCACTCCTAGAGAGGACAGGAAGTGAGGGGGCGGGGGCGGGTCTTCCGGAGGCGCCCCTCTTGTCTCCTCCGGTGAGTCTCCCCCACTTTCCTGGGGGTCCTGCCATTGGGGGAAGGAGGGGGGCCAAGAAACCCCCTTCAGGTGGGGGGGGACAAGGCCCTGGGGGGCCGGGCGGAAAGCGGGGGCCGGAAAAGAAAAGCAGCAAATAAGGATTTTTTTTGGGGGGGGAGCCCTGCCTCTCCTCGGGCTGCTGCTGCCTTGGGGGGCCCGGGCATCTCCGGCTGGAGGGGGGGCCAGCATCCCCTGGGATCCCCCCCTGAGACCCCCAAGCACCTGCTCCCTGAAGAGCCCAGACTCACGGGGACAAACTGGGCAGCTGGGGGAAATGTCAAAAATGCTTTTTAATGGTTTTTAATCCCTTGCATTTTAAATTGTAAGATTCGGGCCTCATCATGGGACTGAAACTGCCTTGTTTGCGCTGGTTGATGATCTCTGGTGGGCTGGGGACAAAGGTGAGAGCTCAGCTGCATCTCTTAGAGGCGTTTGATGCCATTGTTATTATTAACCTTCCCTTTCCCAACGTTCCCAGGGCAGATGAATTCTACTCCTCTTGATCCGGAGCAGAGTAAAACTTAAACATGTTGCAGGATTCGCTGTTGCAGGATAGACCAGAGGCCATTGTATTTCATTCAGCAGAGCTTTACTGCTACTGAAGGCAAATGAGCCTAAGGGTCCCAATTCAGGATTGGCACACATTCAGTATTGGGACTATCCATAAGAAATCCACTTGCAGCAGACTTAACTTAAACTTACAGTAGCTTATAATAATATGTCTAAAGCGTAACACTATACAGTGGTACCTTGGGTTACATACGCTTCAGGTTACAGACTCCACTAACCCAGAAATAGCACCTCGGGTTAAGAACTTTGCTTCAGGAGGAGAACAGAAATCACGCAGCGGCGGCAGCAGGAGGCCCCATTAGCTAAAGTGGTGCTTCAGGTTAAGAACGGACCTCTGGAACGAATTAAGTACTTAACCCAAGGTACCACTGTATGCAGAATGCCACACGAGAAGAAAGAGGGACAGAAAGAGAAGTGAAACGCAGGCTCCTTCTGGCCTTACTCTTCTAGTCAGCATGTCCTTGACAGAAGAGAGAACAGGGACAGTCTAATCCATCAGTACTCAGCTTCTCTGAAGGAATAACCCAAACATCAAGAACCTTCTGCTTGTTTCACACAGAGAAGCTTCCAGAACCCTCTTGAACTAATTAGAATAGGAAAGATCTCTACACATCAGATCAATACTTTCTGTACTTAGAAATGCAAACTGACAATGACAACATTAAAACTATATTTAAAACAGAAAGAAGGTGAATTCTACTTGACTTGCTTTTTAGCACTGTTCTTTGGCCCCACCTAATAATTGTTGTTGTTGTTGCTGTTTAGTCGTTTAGTCGTGTCCACCTCTTCGTGACCCCCTGGACCAGAGCACGCCAGGCACTTCTGTCTTCCACTGCCTCCCGCAGTTTGGTCAAACTCATGCTGGAAGCTTAGAGAACACTGTCCCACCGTCTCGTCCTCTGTCGTCCCCTTCTCCTTGTGCCCTCCATCTTTCCCAACATCAGGGTCTTTTCCAGGGAGTCTTCTTATGAGGTGGCCAAAGTATTGAAGCCTCAGCTTCAGGATCTGTCCTTCCAGTGAGCATTCGGGGCTGATCTCCTTAAGAATGGAGAGGTTTGATCTTTTTCCAGTCCATGGGACTCTCAAGAGTCTCCTCCAGCACCAGAATTCAAAAGCATCAATTCTTCGGCGATCAGCCTTCTTTATGGTCCAGCTCTCACTTCCATACATCACTACTGGGGAAACCAGAGCTTTGACTATACGGGCCTTTGTTGGCAAGGTGATGTCTCTTCTTTTTAAGATGCTGTCTAGGTTTGTCATCGCTTTTCTCCCAAGAAGCAGGCGTCTTTTAATTTCGTAGCTACTGTCACCATCTGCAGTGATCATGGAGCCCAAGAAAGTAAAATCTCTCACTGCCTCCATTTCTTCCCCTTCTATTTGCCAGGAGGTGATGGGACCAGTTGCCATGATCTTCGTTTTTTTGATAATCATAATAATAAACTTATATGCCGCCCCTCGGACTGGGTTTCCCAGGCATTCTGGGCAGCTTCCAACAAATTAAAACACAATAAGACAACAAACCTTAAAAACTTCTCTATACAGTGGAACCTCAGGTTACATACTTAATTTGTTCCGGAGGTCCATTCCTAACCTGAAACTGTTCTTAACCTGAAGCACCACTTTAGCTAATGGGGCCTCCTGCTGCCGCTGCACCGCTGCTGCACGATTTCTGTTCTCATCCTGAAGCAAAGTTCTTAACCCGAGGTAATATTTCTGGGTTTGCAGAGTCTGTAACCTGAAACGTCTGTAACCTGAGATACCACTGTACCTGGCTGCCTTTAGACGTGCTTTGGCCTCGCCCAGTTAGCCCTTGGGGGGTTGGCCAGCCAATAATCTGGCCCACAGAACAAGAAAGGACCCCACCCAAGTAGTGTGCCTTGAGGACATTGGGGATTCCAAATGTTAGAAAATAAGACAGAAGCTGGAAGGAAATGGGCCCTGAAGTGGGGGTGGCAGAGGAAGAGAGAGCACTCTTGAGGGTCCCCAGCTTAAGACCCCAACTATGGCCTAGTGTCTAAATTATATTCACTACAAAATACTCACTTGCCCATCATCATTCTGTCTTCACTTCTTCTCCTGACCTTGTATCAATCTGATAACAGAACAATGTATTTGCTTTGTAGGATTTGTGAGCAACTCTAAATCAGATAGAACTTGACAGAAGACTAAAGGGTTCCTTCCAATTTCTTGGAGGCTTCCTGAGAGCACCAATGGATAAGCAAGACAGTTCCTGGCTGCCCTTCTGCCGGAGATGGAGAGCTGGGTGAGGGAATGTGGAGCAGAGACCAGTTCCCAGGCTGTAGCCCTGGCTGAAGGTTTCCTCTTGAGTCAGGCGGAGGAGAGAAGGCAAGCAGAGCAGCAGGTGAGAGAGACTTTCCCCTGGAAACTCCCAAGGGGCTCAGAACGTGAGGGAGAATCTCCCAAACTGCTCTCCTAACGGCTCACCACCTTTTGGGAAGCAAGGGATGAGATCTGCTCCCCTAAAGTGTTTTCCTCGGTCATTCCTGTTCTAATCCTTCTCCCTATTCTCTGTTTTGATCCTTGTTGCTCTTTCCAGGAAAGGATCCGTTTGCAGAAATGGACCCAGATTCCTCTGAGGCACAGAGGACTCAGATGGACACCAGAGGGAGGCCACTGGGTAAGGAGAAGTGAGATTTTCTTCTCATTCTGTGGATCTTGAAACTATCTGTGCGTTCTGTTCATCTTTGGGGGGGGGGGAAGCACTTGGGGTCAAGAGCGCCAAGGAGGGGAGATGTATTTTGACCCAAAGTAAGTTTGAAATGAGTACAAATGTCTAAATGCACTTTGCAAGAAAGACTTTTTCTAAGGCCCATCTGTAGCCTGAAATGCGCTGCTGAAGCTCTGAGAGACGCAGGAGCTGATGGCTTCCCTTGACTTTTGTCTCTCGCAGGTGACCGACGGATGCCCCCAGACCTCCTCATCCATCTTTTCATGAGAACGGAGGAGAAGCAGCAGCTGTGGAAACAGATCTGGTATGGGGAAAGAGCTTTGTGGGGAAAGAGTCAGAGGAGTGGGGCAGCCAGGGAGCCTCTGGGCCAGAACAAACTTCTCCTGCTCAAAGTTTTTTTTGTTTCATTCTCTTGATTTTCCATTTTTCTGCTTCATCTCAGCCACGGCCAAGGCGTCCCACGTGAATTCCTGAGATGCATAAAGTCCTTTTACATCAACCTTTAACTTTTCCTGGCCCCTTTTCACACCTTTCACCTCTCCTTCTGTACATTTAGTTTTCTCCTCCACCCCTTTTAACCCAGTTTCCACTCTAGTGGTTCTCACATTTAATTCCTTCATTTCCCCCATCATTTCTAACATTGTATTTTATTTTATTTCCAGTTTGGGTGGCTAATGCACCCACAGTTTCTTTAAAGTTGTTTAAATTCTAGTTTAAATTCTGAAAAAGGATCAGCCAGTTCAGATCTGGGGCCCTCTTGCAAAAAAACCTTTCTGCCTGGTTTCACTACTCTTGAATTCAACACCAATATTTTCTCAACCTCAAAGAGCTTTCAAAACAAAGACCCTTTTCCACCAAGTCCCAAGCTGCTTGGCCTTATCAACCCTTTGTCAAGGTCACTTCACAAAACCTGGAAAAATACAGCATTTGGCTAGTTTCCCTTTGTTCTAACCCCTTTACCAACACCTAGTTTTATCCTAGAATTATAAATGAAAGGATCAATGCAAATTTACAAATCCAAATTGAAAAGGATAATGGTATTCCATACATATATACTTTGTCATATTCTAAAATATAAATGTATAGAAATATAGAAATTTATGTTATAAAAGTATAAGACATAGAGGTGTTAAATTAAGAAGTGAAAGAAATATGTAAATAACAGTCTTTTACACAGGGCTATTTAGTATGTAAAATAAAGTAGTCCAAACCGTAAAATTTATCTCAGTTCCAGTTGGTTTAAACAAAAAAGCAAAACACAACAAGAGAATTTGACTCCATTTGCTGATACTCAATGTCCAGTGAAAATATAGTTTAGTATTCCAACGTAGTTTTAATTCCAAAATAATCTTTCCAGAATATAATTATAATCCACATTCTTTGTTCTTGAAACTTGACACAGTATTCAGTCCCAGTTGTTTTCTCCAATCTCTCAAGATTCTTTAAGTTTTAAAAGTATTAATAACTTAACCAATTAATAATAATAATAATAAAAATCCCTTAGTTCCACCAGGTTTGTTCTCAGTCAGAAATCAGTATGTATCTCCAAATTCCATGCGAATGTAACTGTAGTTGCAGTCTATGTCAAGTCTCAATACGCTCTCAAGTTCAGATCTACTTTAGTTCAAGTTTAATGTTTAAAAAGTCAGTAAAATATCCAAATTGGTATTTAAAAAGCTTTGTATAATCCTTTGTCTTTGTCAGCCATTTGTTGTTGTTTAGTCGTGTCCACCTCTTTGTGATCCCCTGGACCAGAGCACACTAGGCCCTCCTGTCTTCCACTGCCTCCCGCAGTTTGGTCAAACTCATGTTCGTAGCTTCAAGAACACTGTCCAACCATCTCGTCCTCGTTCGTCCCCTTCTCCCATTAGCTGGCTTTAACTCCAAAGGTTGATCCACAGTTTCCCACTTGTAAAAGTTCTAATGCGGTTAAAATACCCACAGACGGGAGTAGACTTCCTTTTTAACCTCCTGTTTTTTGCCGAATTAGTAATAAATTTTCCTTCTCACCTTGCGATCGGTTTGAAATAATTTGGAAAGATAGTCCACTGCTGGCTGGTTCAGAGGCTACACTACGCAGAGTCACGCTGGTGTGTAGATCGCCGGCTTTTCTCTCGGGTTTCTTGCCCACTCGCCTTTTGGTACAGGGGCAGAGACTGGAGCTACCGAGTTGCCATTTGCTGTCTGCAGGACATCACGACACCTCAAATACCCCTTTGAGGCATTTTGGGGGTGCACCTCGCCTGAGCACTTCCCCCGATCCACTGCAGAGCAGAGTTTGACACAGCTTTCAAACTCGCAGTCCGTTTGCCATTCACACATACCCAGAAGTCCCATTAAATCGTTAAAATAGACAGCCATACCTAAAACGTGCAGCAAAATAATCCCATTAAAAGAACACAACAAGGAATGGGCAGAAAACAACTGAGCAATGTATAGTGGATAATCTTTATGCTGTCTCAGAAGAGGACCTTTTTCCTTTTCCTTGAGGGTCCTCTGTGCTTTGAAGATGTCGCTGTGTATTTCACAGAGGAGGAGTGGGCGTTGCTGGATCCTGACCAGAGAGCTCTGCATAAGGAAGTCATGGAGGAGAATCGTGCGATTGTGGACTCTCTCAGTAAGGCTTCCTGTTGGACCATAATATCTGTTTTAAAATCATGATACATATATAAATATTTTAATGGCACTTGACAGCATCTGGGATTCTCCTTCCCCACAGCTCACCTTGAATCTACTGTTTTGTCTGCAAATATTTTTGCCCCACAGATGTCCTTTTAAACCATGACCAGGCTGGTCTGAGCTGCCCAGACCTTCTTGAATGTAACCTTCCATGTGTTGGCAGAAGTAGCGGCTTCTGTGAGGTTTTCTGCTTTTGCTTCTGTCACTTTCTTGTTGACCAAAGAGACAACTGACCTTGTAGATGGAGGAGATTCCATGATTAGGCCAAACAAGATCCTTCCCGGATGATCCCAGGCTGTTTGAATCTCAGGTTCCCATCAATCTGTGTGTCAATGAGAGTCAACAAAGGCAGTGAACCTCGTAGTAAGGCCTTAGATCTAACTCCCTTGAACTCTTCATTGATCACAAACATTCATTAGCAGTGCTCCATAATTTGAATAATTTGGGGCTCCATTTCTTCCTGAGGCTCTAATCTGTTTCTCTCTTTGATGCAGGTGGTGATGGATTGAAAATTATGAACAAGGGAGACATTCACAGAGTGGGGAAGGTGTATAAATATTTGGAATGTGGAGAGAGTTATAGTCAGAGCTCCCATTCCACTTCCCATAAAATAAATTCCATTGGGAAGAATCGCTATCAGTGCTTGGAAGGTGGTAAGACATTTCGTCAGAAGAAATGTCTCACTTTCCATCCAAGAACTCACAGCAGGCAGAAACCATATCAGTGCATGGAATGCGGAAAGAGCTTCAGTCAGCGGTCCAATCTCACGACCCATCAAACCATTCATACAGGAGAGAAACCATATCAGTGTTTGGAATGTGGAAAGAACTTCAGGAAGAAAGCTAAGCTTATGGCTCATCAAAGAATTCATACAGGAGAGAAACCATATCAGTGCATGGAATGCGGAAGGTGCTTCAGGCAAAGAGCACATCTCACTTCCCACCAAATACTTCACAGTGGGAAGAAACCCCATCACTGTTTGGAATGTGGAAAGAGCTTCAGTTACAGGCATGTGCTCAAGGCCCATCAAAGAATTCATACAGGGGAGAAACCATATCAGTGCTTGGAATGTGGAAAGAGCTTCAGTCAAAGGGTTGCACTCACAGCCCATCAAATAATTCATACAGGAGAGAAACCATATCAGTGCTTGCAATGTCAAAAGAGCTTCCGTCGGAGGTCCCATCTCACTTCCCATCAAATAACTCACAGTGCGGGGAAAACCCATAAGTGCTTGGAATGTGGAAAGTGCTTTAATCAGAGATCCTATCTCAATTCCCATCAGAAAATCCATAGAGGGGAGACTCCGTATAAGTGCTTGGAATGTGGAAGGAGCTTCAGTCACAGAGCTGTGTTTAAGGCCCATCAAAGAATTCACACAGGGGAAAAACCATATCAGTGCTCGGAATGTGGAAAAAGCTTCAGTCAAAAGGCTGTGCTCACAGCCCATCAAAGCATTCACACAGGTGAAAAACTGTATCAGTGCTCAGAATGTGGAAAGAGCTTCAGTCAGAAAGCTAAGCTCATGGCTCATCAAGGAATTCATACAGGAGAGAGACCTCATAAGTGCTTGGAATGTGGAAAGAGCTTCAGGCAGAGGGGGCATCTAAAGGGTCATCAAAGCATTCATACAAAGGAAAAACCATATCAGTGCTTGGAATGTGGAAAGAGCTTCAGGCGGAAGAATATTCTCACTTCCCATCAAACAATTCACACTGGGGTGAAACCATATCAGTGCTTGGAATGCGGAAAGCACTTCAGTCATAGGTCCCATCTCACATCTCACCAAATAACTCACAGTGGAAAGAAACCCCATCACTGTTTAGAATGTGGAAAGAGCTTCGGTCACAGGGCTGTGCTTAAGGCCCATCAAAGAATTCATACAGGAGAGAAACCCTATAAGTGCTTGGAATGTGAGAAGAGCTTCAGTCGGAAGGACCATCTCACTTCCCATCAAACAACTCACACTGGAGTAAAACCATATCTCTGCATGAAATGTGGAAAGACTTTTAGTCGGAAGGATAGTCTCACTTCACATGAAAGAATTCACAAAAAAGAACAACCATGTAAAAGCTTCAGATGTGGAACGGACTTCATTAAGGGATCCCAGTTCACTTCCCATCAAGTAACACACAGTGGTGAGAACCCGTACCAGTGCTTGGAATGTGGGAAGAGCTTCAAATGGAAGAGAAGTATCATTTGCCATCAAAGCATTCATACAGGGCAGAAACCATATCAGTGCTGGGAATGTGGGAAGAGCTTTTCCTGGAAGACAAATCTCATTTCCCATCAGAGAATTCATACAGGGGGGGCACCATATCAGTGTTTGGAATGTGGAAAAACATTCAATCAGAAGTATACCCTTACTTCACATGAAAGAATTCACAGAGGGGAGGGAGGATATAAGTGCTTTGAATGTGGAAGGAGTTTCAGTAGGGGCTCCCAGCTCTCTTCCCATCAAAGAATTCATACAGGGGTGAGACCATATCAGTGCTTGGAATGTGGGAAGAGCTTCAATAGGAAAAAAAGTCTAACGTCTCATCAAATAACTCATTCAATGGATGAACCCTATCAGTGCTTGGAATGTAGAAAGAGCTTCAAATCAAAGAGAAGTCTCACTTTACATCAGAGAATTCATACAGTGGTGAAACCATATCAGTGCCTGGAATGTGGGAAGAGCTTCAGTCGGAATGAACATCTCACTTCCCATAAAACAATTCACAGTGAGGAGAGACCATATCAGTGCTTGGAATGTGAGAAGAGCTTCAAATCAAAGAGAAGTCTCACGTTACATCAAATAATTCATACAGGGGAGAAGCCACATCAGTGCTTGGAATGTGGAAAGAGCTTCAGTCGTAAGGAACATCTCACTTCCCATAAAACAATTCACCGTGAGGAGAGACCATATCAGTGCTTAGAATGTGGAAAGAGCTTCAAATGGAAGAAAAGTTTCACATTCCATCAAAGAATTCATACAGGGGAGAAACCATATCAGTGCTTGGAATGTGGGAAGAGCTTCATGCAGAGGTCTAAGATGACAATCCATCAAAGAACTCACTGCAAGGAGACTCATAGCATTTGAAGATGGCTGACACATCTCTTAATCTCCTCTTTTTGAGACAAAACATATCCAACTCAGAACTTTGGGTATAGGGCGGTGTATCATTTTGGTCTCCCTCCTCTGCACGTGTTCCAGCTTGACAATATCCTCCGTTTATTCTGGCGTCCAGAACTGGACCCTGTACTCCAGGTGTGTTCTGACCAAGGCAGAAGGGAGCAGTAATCTTACTTCCGATGATCAGGACGCCAGATGTCTGTTGATGCAGCCTAAAATAACATTAGCTTATTTTACTGCTGCCTCACATTGTTGACTCATGTTAATCTTGTGGTGGACTAAGACCCCTAGGTCCTTTTCACATGTACGGCTGGCAAGTCTAGGGTTCATCATGGGAATCAAGGAATTGCAGAGTGTTGAGGGAGCACAAGAGTCATTGTTCAACCCTCTCACAATGCAGGAATCTCAAGTAAAGCATCCATGACAAATGGTCATCCAAGCTCTGCTGAAAACTTCCAACGAAGGAGAGTCCACCACAGTTTTATGGGTGAATCAGAGGACAAAGGGTATCAGAAAAGATTATGAACGCCTGTTAAAGCAGCAGGAAACCCGTTTTATTTTTATGTTTAAATCCATTCATCCAGGGGGACGTAACTCTGAATTAGACCTCAATTGTTGTTGTTTTTTCATTATCTGTGTCTTTGCTCTTACTTTGTACTGTGGCTTTAAGCTCGGTCTCCTTGTTATCAGTATCACCTGGAGCTGGCTATATATATTTTTCAAAAAATGTTGTTAGTAACAGTGACTACATAATCGCATGAGCACTGTTCCAGAGTACAGTGGTGCCTCGCAAGACGAAATTAATTCGTTCCACGAGTTTTTTCATCTTGCGGTTTTTTCGTCTTGCGAAGCACGGTGTCGGAAAAGTTTTGGAAAAGCTTCAAAAATCACTAAAGTCTTCAAAAACCTCAAAAAAGGCTACCACACCGCGTGCTATGAGTTGCTCCTCGAAGTCAAGTCGCAACTGCACCTCTTCAAGCAATGCACCCTGTATTACTGTAACGGTTTTAAGAAAAAGGAAACAAACTTGCAAGACGTTTCCGTCTTGCGAAGCAAGCCCATTGGGAAAATCGTCTTGCGAAGCAACTCAAAAAACCAAAAACCCTTTCGTTTTGCAAGTTTTCCATCTTGCGAGGCATTCGTCTTGCGAGGTACCACTGTATTTTTCATTCTCATACATATTATATCCATTCCAAAAAAAGATTGGGTATGTAACCTTTTTACGTTTATAATTCCACGCTATTTGAAGTTGTTATTATATACGTGCAGGTCATCGTTTGAATATTTTATTTTCAGATAATGAAGAAATTACATAACTTTTTACTTACGAGTGTTTGTTGAACTAATTGGCTGAAGAAGAACAGAACGAAACAGTAGTTGCTATCCGGAAACACTGTTCAGCAGTTCAGAGTTGGACATCAGAATTGGACATTTGCTGATTATACAAAGCTTTATAAGCTTGATCTCTGCTGGGTAAAGTCTGGCACAGTGACTTATTCAAGGACTTTCAGAGATTTCAGCTTGATAGTTTTGATGTTTTGCATTATTTCACAAAGTTTTCTATACTGTAATTGTTTCTGGCCATTGTGGTGCTTTCGATATTGCTGTATCTTATCCAATCAGCAGGACAATGTTTTACCTTTGGGAGTTAATGTTACATTAGTTTATGAATTAGGTCTTCTACACGGAAAAATGTTTAGAATTTATCAGGCTCCGTTAAGCTTGTAGATAGTCCCTTTCTATAAAAGTGTATTGTTGTTTAGTCGCTGAGTCGTGTCCGCCTCTTTGCGACCCCCTGGACCAGAGCATGCCAGGCACTCCTGTCTTCCACTGCCTCCCGCAGTTTGGTCAAACTCATGATGGCAGCTTCAAGAACACTGTCCCACCATCTCGTCCTCTGTCGTCCCCTTCTCCTTGTGCCCTCCATCTTTCCCAACATCAGCGTCTTTCCAGGGAGTCTTCTCTTCTCATGAGGTGGCCAAAGTATTGGAGCCTCAGCTTCAGGATCTGTCTTTCCAGTGAACACTCAGGGCTGATTTCCTTCAGAATGGATCGGTTTGTTCTTCTTGTAGTCCATGGGACTCAAGAGTCTCCTCCAGCACCAGAATTCAAAAGCATCCATTCTTCAGCGATCAGCCTTCTTTATGGTCCAGGTCTCACTTCTATACATCACTATTGGGAAAACCATAGGTTTAACTATACGGACCTTTGTTGGCCAGGTGATGTCTCTGCTTTTTAAGATGCTGTCTAGGTTCGTCATTGCTTTTCTCCCAAGAAGCAGGTGTCTTTTAATTTTAATACAAGTGTATTAGAGTCCAATAAATTCTAAAAAATGTTTTTGCTGCTAGAGATGTAATTAGGAAAACGCTTTTTTTAAACATATGTTCATAGGATGTCCAAAGCTTGCATTTTGGAGGAAAGTATTAAGGTGCATAAATACTACAGACCAACTTTATATGTGTTGACAATGGGTTAATGTAAATGAACTCTTTGCATCCTTCCTTCTGATAAAAAACTGATATTTATTCACTGGAAAGATAATGCCAAGGTCCCCTTTGAACGATGGATACATGATAGGACTATTCTTGCAACATAGGAGTGTAGATTGTGAAGAAAGATAATGATATTTAGAATGCATTTATAAAAACAATGAATTGTTAATAATATTTTACTTGTGAGAATAATTGTTCCACTTATATACCTACATATTGTATTGTATCACAGTTTAAAGCAGTTTCCTTTGGTTTGGCTTGACCTTTCTCCATCTTTGTCACTTCATTTCTCTTCTGAAAATTTACAACAAAATAGAAACCCGTCACGCTTCTGCCTGGTTGAACAGACCCCCATCGCTCCTTGAAGTGAAGCCATGTGACCTTGACTTTCAACTTCCTTTTGACCCAGGGTCTCATTGGGGACCCTCTGTTTTCCTCAGAGTCAGATCAGTTAGCCTGTGTTTCACAATTGTGCATTTTACAAAGAATACAACATTAAGGAGTTAAGTGGAACCGCAGTGATCCAGGTGAATGTAATTAAGGTCCAGCTCCTGATTCACTGTTTTTTGTGACTCTCATTCACTGTCCCTTAAAAGAAGGGAAAATATGTTTGCATGCCAGTAGTAGCAGTGGTAGAGAGGGGAGGGCTAGAGGAGGGTCTGAATGCAGAATGTGAACTGGGGGGGGGGGGTCCATAGCGTGAGCTTGTATTTCGCCCAGGACATCCAGCGGGAGGCTTACTGCTGTGGGAGCCAGCTGGGAGAATGGCCAGAGTGTGGAAGAGGCCGGAGAACCTTCCACCAGGAGCCGTCCAGGAGAATAACGGGACAGGCAGGCAGCCTTGGCCTCCTGGAACAACCACACTGTTGTCCTTGCACTTAAAAGGACTGCACCCTCTGGTGAGAGAGAGACTTTGTGTTGAGACCTTGCATTGGAGCTTCCTGGTCATTGACCGTATTAAAGATATTTGATTTGACCTTGCATTGGAATGGTTGCCTGTTTGCTCATTAAATGAATTAAAGACTTGTCTTCCTTCATCTCTGTGAGATGTGGTTATTTCATCCTGGGGGTCCATCCTGCTGCACTGTAGAAACACAACCAACCAGATCCTTGGGTTCCCCTTGGCTAACTATGGACCCCCTTCCCAGAGGATGCAGGGCTTCCCCCAGCCACCCATCCCTTTGGAGAGCCAGTCTACCTGCGGGAGATTCTGCAGTCCCCCTCCGGGCATTTGGCCCTTTCCGCCTGAGCCCGTTCAAGGTGTGGAGGGCACACGGAAACAGCGTATCCCTTCCCATCACAGCGGTACCTCTTTATCTACTTGCACTTGTGTGCTTTTTGAACACTTGGGTTGGCAGAAGCTAGGACAGAGCAACCGGAGCTCACCCCATTGTGTGGATTTGAAGGGCCGACCTTCTGCTGGACAAGCTGAAGAGGCTGGGGGGGGGGTGCAGGCGAGAGAGAGGGAGGCACCTGTTGGCTGAGTGTATCCGCTGTCTGCCAGTCTAGCTGCTCCGTGCTTTGGAAGCCCCCCCAGCCGGTTTACCCCCAGAGGCCAGGACTCTAGGAGCAAGGTTGCCCCCGAGAGAGAGGGCAGGAGGGGGGGGCAGGGGTGCATCCACCTCCCTAGGGCAAGTAAAACAAGAGAGGTACTCACCTAACTGACCAACCTAACCAAGGCCTGCCCCCCCCAAAAAAAACCATTGGCTATGCCCCTGGAGCTGCCTGTGCAAGAAGCATCCCTCTGGAGAGCCAGTGTGGTGTAGTGGTTAAGAGCGGTAGCCTCCTAATCTGGGGAACCGGGTTCGAGTCTCCGCTCCTCCACCTGCAGCTGCTGGGTGACCTTGGGCCAGTCACACTTCTCTGAAGTCTCTCGGCCCCGCTCACCCCACAGAGTGTTTGTTGGGGGGGAGTGTAGTGATCAGGTGGGATTGCTATGAGGAATTATAACAAATATAGAGTAAGCCATCTTTTTTTTAAATATTTTATTAAGGATTTTCTTGTTTTACAGAAGTAAGTGTAATGCCTCGTATTTCCCCCCCCCCCCCATGTAACATTTTTACAAATCCGTTTCATTTGTTGAGGCATTAGGGGGAGAAGAAAAAAAGGAAAAAAGAAAGGGGGGTGGAGAGAGGGAAGATGGATGGGGGTGGGGTCGGGGGGCGGTGTTTCTATTATGTTTAATGGATGGAGAGTTTGGGGTCAGCGTTGCTTGTGTTGTTCACTTGTGTTCCTTTGGCGGTGAGAGAGTAAGCCAGCTGTGTCAGCAATGAAACCCCCCGAGGCCAGGACTCTGGGAGCAAGGCTGCCCCGAGAGAGAGGGCAGGAGGGGGGTCAGGGGTGCATCCACCTGCCTGCCCGACACCCAGCCAGCCTGCAGGGCGCTCTGCACATGTTCCGATCTCCCTCTCCCTCTGGCCCAGCCTTTTCCTCGCCCCAAACGAGACCTCCCTCGGGAGGGACCAGCTGGGCGCGCCCGGCAGGCCAAGGGTTAAGAGCAGCTGAGCCGCACTCCTAGAGAGGACAGGAAGTGAAGGGGCGGGTCTTCCGGAGCCCCTCCCTGGCCCCCCTCTTGTCTCCTCCGGTGAGTCTCCTCTCTCCTCTCGGGGTCCCCGGGATGCCGGGCGGGGGGGTCCTGCTCGGCTCGAGGCCTCTCCCCCCCCCCGGCCCAGCCGGCGACCAGGCGAGGGTCCGGCCCCTGAGGCGGAGGGGGAGATCCCTCCCGGTAGGGAAACAAGTGCCTTGCTCGACAGAGGAGGCAGCCCCAGGGAAACCTTTGGACACGAAATGAAGGCCGCAAATCAGAAGAGGGAGGGCGAGAACATGGCTGTCCACCTTTCCCCTTTTTTATGGGAAATTCCCTTATTCCGAAGAGGATTCCTCGCAAGAAAAGGGGAAAGTTGACAGCTATGGCGGAGAAGAGGAAGGTCTTCCTCCTGCAGCGTCTTGTAAGAGAGAAAGAAAAGCTCGCCGAGTCCAAAAGACGAAGCCTCTCCGGAAAGACAAGGGCTTGTTGCAAAGCCTTTAGAAATAAGCAGGAGGCAGACGAGAGAGAGAGAAAGGGAGCATCTGGCTGAGCGCAGGCATTTCTCCCTCCTGGCTCAGCGCGACCTGGAGATCCTCAAAGCAAAAGTGGCAACAGAAAGGAACCTTAGAGGATCTGCCAGGATTTTCCAAGCCAGATTGCTAATTCCTTTGTCAATTTCATTTCGATTTCCTGCTGCATTTTGGACCGGTTCCAAGTCGTGTTCAGGAGCAGCTTCGCATAGAGGGCTTTGCTATCATCCCCTCGGATCCAGAGCCTGGAGTCCCCTGGACATGGCCTGTCTGTCCCAACCTAGTCAGCAAGGCCCCCTGAGCCGCCCCTGAGATGGTGGGATGCAGGAGGACCCCCAAGCATCTCTGGCTCTGTGGGGATTGTGCAATGGAACATCATCATCATTGCGGTCATTATTATTACTATCCTCCCCTTCCCTGAAGTTTCCATGGCAGATGAATGTAATGGAATTCTACTCATCAATCCGGAGCAGATTCCAACGTATAGTTAGCAGAGTAAACATTAAACACGTTGCAGGATTCCCCAAAAATAGACCAGAGGCCATTGTATTTCATCCAGCAGAGCTTTACTTCTACTGAAGGCGAATGAGCCTAAGAGTCACAAATCCAATACATTCAGGATTGGCACCGTGCATAAGAAATCCACTTGCAGTAGACTTAACTTAAACTTACAATAGCTTATAATAATATGTCTAAACCTTAACATTATATGCAGAATACCACACCAGAAGGGAAAGAGACAGAAAGAGAAGACAGAAAGAGTAAGGCTCCTTCTGGTCTTACTCTTATAGTCAGCATGACCTTGACAGAAGAGAGAACAGGACCAATCTAATCCAGCAGTACTCAGCTTCTCTGAAGGAATAACCCAAACATTAGGAACCTTCTGCTTGTTTCTTTCACACAGAGAAGCTTCCAGAACCCTCTTGAACTAATTAGAATAGGAAAGATCTCTACGCATCAGATCAGTACTTTCTGTACTAATAAATGCAAACTTTAAAACTATATTTTAAACAGAAAGGCTTCGCCCAGTTAGCCCTTTTGGGGGTTGACCAGATAATCATCCAGCCCTCAGAACAACAAGAAAGGACCCCACCCAAGTAGTGTGCCTTGAGGACGTTGGGGATTCCAAGTGCTAGAAAATAAGACAAAGACAGGAAATAAATATGCCCTGAAGTGGGGGTGGCAGAGGAAGAGAGAGCAGTCTTGAGGGTCCCCAGCTTAAGACCCCAACTATGGCCTAGTGTCTAAATTATATTCAGCACAAATTACTCACTTACCCATCATCATTCTATCTTCACTTCTTCTCCTGACCTTGTATCAATCTGATAACAGAACAATGTATTTGCTTTGTAGGATTTGTGAGCAACCAACTCTATATCAGATAGACGGAACTCGACAGAAGACTAAAGGATTCCTTCCGATCTCTTGGAGGCTTCATGAGAGCCCAGATGGATGAGCAAGACTCAGCTGGCCCTGAAGCAGGAGAAGGCCCTGCCCTCCAAACTGGGAGCAGTGGGAGATTATGGGAAAACTCAGTGCAGAAGATCCCGGGTGAGGAGGACACCCTCTGCTCAGATGTGCAGAGCCAGCAGTTGACGCAGTCCGGCTCTCAGGAGGCCAAAGGACCCCGAGAAGCTTGTGGCCAACTCTACCGCCTTGACTGTCGGTGGCTGAATCCAGAAAGTCATACGAAAGCTGAGATGCTGGACCTGGTGATCTTGGAGCAGTTCCTGGCTGTCCTTCCGCTGGAGATGGAGAGCTGGGTGAAGGAATGTGGGGCAGAGACCAGTTCCCAGGCTGTAGCCCTGGCTGAAGGTTTCCTCCTGAGTCAGGCAGAGGAGAGAAAGCAAGCAGAGCAGCAGGTGAGAGAGACTTTCCTCTGGAAACTCCCAAGGGGCTCAGAATGTTATAAGCCAAAAATAGCTTATCTCCTGAGTTTATGCCAATAAAAACTCAGAAACGTGAGGAGTCCAACGTTTATTGCAAAGCAATAGGTTACAGTCGGTTTGTTCCGCAAAACTGCAACCCTGCCCAGTGGTCCAGGTGGTGGTATTTATAACATTTCAAACAAAGCTTTTCAATTTTCACCAATCATATACCTCATTACTTCATTTCTTGTTTTACACATGCGCAATAAGCTCTGGCAATTTATGCTGATTCAGGTTTGATTCTCACCATGTTCTGTTGCATTGTGCTATACACATGTTGGGAACCTGTGTTACATGTAGTCATTAGCACCATGTAACAACTTGAGCTGTATCTTTATAATTCACATATTAGCTTTATTCCTGCCCCAAATGGAGGGTGGCAACTTGCAAAATCATCAGTTTCATAAAGTAACAGGTTACCATAAATTTTCTATTAAAGCACACTCAAGGATTTACAGGAGTACACATCACATTTATTGTGGCCTTTTGGGCCCACCACCACAAGAATATGAAAGAGAATCTCCCAAAATGCTTTTCTAATGGCTCACCCACTTTGGGGAAGCAAGGGATGAGATCTGCTCCCCCAGATTGTTTGCTTCGGCCATTCCTTTTCTAATCCTCCCCATTCTCTGTTTTGAATCCTTGTTGCTCTTTCAGCGGAAGGATCTGTTTGCAAAAATGGGCCCTGATTCCTGTGAGGCAGAGAAGACTCTGTTGGATGCCAGAGGGAGGCCGCTGGGTAAGGAGGAAGGAGTTTTTCCTTATTCTGTGGATTTTGAATCTAATCTGTGGGTTGTGTTCATCTTTAGGGGGTTGAGTCCCTGAGTGTTTTTCCCCTGCCAGCAAACAGTTAACTGGCAACAGCTCCTGATTGGCCAGAGCGCCAAGGAGGCAGTTGGAGTGGAGGGAGAGATGGTGTGGGAGAGTCATGGTGTGGGAGAGTCATGGTGTGGGAGAGTCATGGTGTGGGAGAGTCATGGCGTCTGTGAGGGGATTCTATGCGGAGAGTTCCTTCTGACCAGGGTCATGATGAGGATAGGCGAGAACTCTCAGAAGATGCTCTCCGGTTCTGAATGGCAGAACCCTGTAGAAATAGACAAGACACAGCCCCACACGGTGCTGACAGGAAAAAGGGTCCTCAGAGGGAATCCTCTGACAGGAAAGGGCAGGAGGGATTCCGAGGCCAAGGAGGATTTGGGAGTCTGTAGGGAAACAGTCCAGCGGAAATCCAGTTGAACTATGGGAGATGTCTTGTAGTGTCCCCAAAACAAGGAAGGATTGGACTCTGATGAATAGAATACACACGAGGCTTGACCAGCAAGACTCTGGGAGGGATGCGTATAATATTTCCCTCTCCGCCCCTTGGCCCAGGTCGTTTTATTCACAAAAGAACTTTTTACACGGTGTTCGTAAGAACCAATCAGATTTCCTCTGAGCATTTCAAAAAAACCCACGTGGGACAAAGTCAGATCAGAAGAAATCCTGTTAACTACAAAGACTACTTTGAGCATGCACACATATCTGAGAGTAAATAAAACAGGACTAGAGGAGGAATGCATTCAGCAAAACCCTGGAGGTCATAAACAAGCAGTAAACATGAGAGGAAGGATGGCAAGGAAAGATAGATATCTTTATCACCTCCTGTGTGAAAGACTATTTATTTCCTGGCCCTAAGATTAACAAAACCAAGGAAAGGTACATCAAAGAAGCTGCCTACTATCTTTATGGCCCAGGATGCCCGGTGAACAACTGGCCTGTGTTTAGAATGCTTGTGTGTGCCTGTCAGGCAGAGAAATTGGACAGAGACGCAGAGGCGTGGATTGATCAGAAATCATATCAAAATGGCTTACCCAGTCAACGCAATGCTTTCATTGCTGGCACAAATGGCTTGCTCCATATTTTTTATAATTCCTCATAGCAGTCCCACCTGATCACTACAATGTATAAAAGAAAGCCTGGGCAGCATACAGCCAACGTTTTAATAAAAAGCAGCAGCACTGTGCCATGGTGAAGAACCACACTGTTTGCTCCATTTCTGTGGAAGAAGAAGAACCAAAACCCCTTGTTTACATCTGTCAGGGGTTCAGGAGCAGAGGCACAGGAAAGGGAGGAAATAGAGAGCGAGGGGGAGGAGTCCGAAGGAAATGTTAGCGATGACAGCGGTCCGAGGTCTCTGAGTCTTTCCAGCGAATCGGAAGATTCACAGAAAGGGGCTCCCTTGGTCAGAGCAAGGGGGTGCCGAGGGGACACCCCAGGAAGAAGGGGCCAGAGGGGACTCAGAGAGCAGCAGTTGGAAATCAGGACCAGCGTCCACACCAGAGTGCAGTAGGGGAGGAGTCCCAGGCATCGGGATCAGGCGGCGCACTGCCAGTGGGAGGACATGAGTCAGGATTGGCCACGCCTCCATCGGGGAGCGAGGAAACGGTCGAGAGGAAGGTTGAAGGCTGGGAGCGCAGCGCAAGTTCAAATGTACAGGAGGGCGGCGCAGTTGGCAGCCCGGATAGGGAGCCAGGTCCCAAAGCCCGCCGAAAAGAGGGGAGGAGTCAGGAGGGTCAGCGTCAGAAGAATCCAGGAAGGAAGGGACCCGGGGGTAGCAGGACCCAGAGGAGAAAGGAGAGACGTAAGAGGTGGAGTAAGGCTAGAATCTTAAACTGGTGTACAGGGGCGGAGACTCAGATGGAGCTTCGCCGATCTAACCCCTAGACGTAGAGCTGGGGCGCTCCGGCTTGAAAATGGAAACTGTACTTCAATAAAGACTTTTGTACATTACTGCCGGCTAGCGTTGGTCCTCTGTGAGCTGGGACCTGGAGCCAGCTCTGACAACATCCATTATAATAAAATCTGTTTGCAACCTGTTTTCCCCCAAGAAAACCCCTCTGAGGCTCCCGATTCCTTCTCCGTTGGGGATTTCACCTGAGGGAGGGAAACAGGGCTGGCGCAGCGGCGCCAGGGAGAGAGAGGGCCGTTGCGCTGCGGCATATTAATTGGTGGCAACGCCGTGATACAAAGTTAAAACCCACATAGAAACCTGCCCACAGACACAGAACAACCAGCTTAATAAAGTATTGAGGTTATTTTATTAAAAGAAAGAAAATTTTCTGTCAGAAAACGGCCAGCAAGCACCAAGCAAAAGAGACCCGGGATGACCAGGGCAGGGAGCTGCCGCATCTGAGGAGAATCCTAATACTGAATTAGAAATGATGGGACTAAGATTAGAATTGGCCATAGTTGAAGCAGAGAAAGAAAGACATAAAGTTGAAACAGGGAAAGGAAAGGAAAAGGCAAATTAGCAGCTGAACAGGCCAGAATTACAGCTGACAGTTAGCGCAGATGCAGGCTGAGAGAAAGAGAGAGCGGATTAGCTCATGAGGAAAAAGAGAAAGAAAGAAATGCCAGATTAGCCCAAGAAGAAGGAGAAAGGGAGGCCAAGATGGAACATGAAAAAGACATGTTTCTTTTGAAAATGGAGGAAATGAAGCTGAGAGCAGAACTGCCACATCCCTTGGTGGGGGTTGGAGATTTTACCTCAGCTAATTCAAGAGATTTCCTAAGTATGTCCAAGGTGGTGATGTACAGGCATTCCTGTTTAGTTTGGACTTTCCTGAGGAAAATTGGATGCTTTCTTTATGCCACAGATATGTGGAACTTTGAGGGAAATATACTCAGATTTAAGAGAAGATGAAACCTCTGATGACCTCACATTCAAAGAAAGAGCAAAAGGGCGCTTTGGTTTAACTGCAGAGCAAAGTAGAAAAGCCTTTTGTGACACTGAAAGAAAACCAGGAGAGACTTCTGCCCAGCTGGGTAGACATATTGATAAAGCTCTGGGCAGATGGGTGGAAGGAAGGAAAATGGAAACCTGCGATGAGCCAGTCTGTAGCCTGAAATGCGCTGCTGAAGCTCTGAGAGACGCAGGAGCTGATGGCTTCCCTTTGACTTTTGTCTCTCGCAGGTGACAGACGGATGCCCCCCAGACCTCCTCATCCATCTTTTCATGAGAACGGAGGAGAAGCAGCAGCTGTGGAAACAGATCTGGTATGGGGAAAGAGCTTTGTGGGGAAAGAGTCAGAGGAGTGGGGCAGCCAGGGAGCCTCTGGGCCGGAAGGAATTTCTCCTCCTCTTGGCTTCTGTCAAAGCCTCTGTCCTGAACAAAGATGGACAGTGCCATTGGAGAAGCTCTATGTGCTGACAGGAATGAACAGCCATCTCTCCTTAACTGGGCTTCGGAATGTCACTATTTATATGATTTATCAGTAGCTGCAGTTATATTTCTATATTGATCGTTAGATGCCAAAATCTAATCAGGCTTCTAAGCAGTTGAGAAGCCATAAAAAACCGTGGCCGGGATTCACCTCAGCAGCCCCATCAGCTGCACAAGGGGAATCCCCCTCCTCCCCCTCTCTGTGCCCCCATGAGCCCCTTGAAGTTGGCTGTAGGGCAGAGGGAGGGTCCCATCGCCCCCCAAGCATCGCACAGCGGGAGTAGAGAAGGGAGCATTCTGTCTGGCAGACAGGAATACTTCCACAGACAGAATAATTTGAAGAACACCATGGGGAGTTCCACCCATTCACACAAAGATTAATGCCCATCATTAAAATGCACAGTAAAATAATTACATTAAAATGTTAAAATAGGCCTCCAAGCCTAAAATGTGCAGCAAAATAATCCCATTAAAACAACACAACAGTGAACGGGCAGAAAATAACCAAGCAGTGTGTGGTAGATAATCCATTAACACAAAGAAGAAGAAGATGATGATGATAATAATTTATTATTTGTACCCCGCCGATCTGGCTGACTTTCCAATCGAGTGTTAAAAACAGTACAGCATTAAATATTAAAAACTTCCCTGAACAGGGCTGCCTTCAGATGTCTTTTAAAGAGAAGATAGCTGCTTATCGGGTGGCGCTGTGGGTAAAACCTCAGCGCCTAGGACTTGCCGATCAGAAGGTTGGCGGTTCGAATCCCCGCGGCAGGGTGAGCTCCCGTCTTTCGGTCCCAGCTCCTGCCCACCTAGCAGTTCGAAAGCACCCTTAAGTGCAAGTAGATAAATAGGTACCGCTTTATAGCGGGAAGGTAAACGGCGTTTCCGTGCGTTGCGCTGGTGCAGGCTCGCCAGAGCAGCTTCGTCACGCTTGCCACGTGACCCGGAAGTGTCTTTGGACAGCGCTGGCCCCCGGCCTCTTAAGTGAGATGGGCGCACAACCCTAGAGTCGGACACAACTGGCCCGTACGGGCAGGGGTACCTTTACCTTTAATGAAGGGAGGGCGTTCCACAGGGCGGGCACCACTATCGAGAAGGCCCTCTGCCTGGTTCCCTGTAGCTTTGCTTCCCGCAGGGAGGGAACTGCCAGAAGGCCCTTGGAGCTGGACCTCAGTGTCCGGGCAGAATGATGGAGGTGGAGACGCTCCTTCAGATATACTGGACCAAGGCCGTTTAGGGCTTTCAAGGTCAGTACCAACAATTTGAATTGTGCTCAGAAACGTACTGGGAGCCAATGTAGGTCTTTCTGACCGGTGTTATATGGTCTTGGCGGCTGTTCCCAGTCCCCAGTCCAGCTGCCGCGTTCTGGATTAATTGCAGTTTCCGGGTCACCTTCAAAGGTAGCCCCACGTAGAGCACATTGCAGTAGTCCAAAGTAGTCCATTGCAGTAGTACAAAGATTAATACCCATCATTAAAATGCACAATAAAATTATTCAGTTACCCTATTTTTTGCTCCATAAGGCGCATCTGACCATAAGACGCACCTAGTTTTTAGAGAAGGAAAACGGGGGTGGTTGTGAATCAAATGTTGTACTAAACTATTTAATAAACTACCGGTATATCAGAGTGAAAGGGACAGGAGCTATATGTTTGTTTAGCGGATCAGCTGAGACGCTGGGGGATTTGCATAATTTTCCCCTCTCCCTCATCCTGTGCCCTCCCATCCCCAGCATCCTTCCTATTTTACCTCCTGGTTCTCACTGCGCTCGTGGCTCAGAGCTCGAGGTGGTTTTTTTTTGCTGCTGGTTGCTTAAATTTCATCCTTCCCAATCCAGCCCCTCCTGTGCCCTGTCGTCCCTCTGCAGCCTCATTGCTCCATTTAGGGAGCGTGCGGACCTTTGCTAGCTGAGGCTGCTGCAGCTGTTGCTGGCTACGCACCACTTTTTAAAATGCCTGCTGGCTTTGAATCGCCTGCCTCCCCTTGCTGTTTTACTTGTTTGCTCTGTGCCTGGGTTTTTTCCCCATTTAACAGTTTGCAGCCTTTTCCTTCCGCTGCTTGTTTTGAGGCAGGATAGATTTGAGCACGTGAGCAGGACTTGGATTGCAGGGAATTCGCCACTAGCTGTGTAAATGCGCTCCTCCTTGCAGCCTTCTACTTTGTTTGTACACGTGGCTACCTAACAATAGCGAACCTACCTCTTTTCTACTGTAAAAGTTACACTTTTGCTCCGATTCTGTTGCTGCCAGTGGCTTCTTATCACTCGAACTGAACCTGATATAGTCTATTCAGCTCTGCTTTTAGCACCTCTTGTTTGTTTTATGGCTGTGCCAGTTACAACTGTTTAGCTGTTAGTTAGCGAGACCAGTTGCTAGGCAACAAGCGGGGGAGCAGCACGCCCCCAAACAGACCCGACACAAGGACCCCAGCGGCCTCCTCTCATGTAAGCGGCTCCTCTCCTGCTTTGCTGCTTTAAAGCGAGTCATGGAGGAGGGAAGGAAGGGGAGCCCATTCATCACTCCTCCCTGGCTCGCTTTAAAGCAGCAAAGCAGGAGAGAAGCCGCTTACATGGCTCCCGCTTTGCTTGCTTTACAGTGAGCCGAGCTGGGGAGGAGGGAGGGAAGGAGAGCCATGGATCCTCTGCTTGCAACTGCAGCGGCAGCAGAGGGATCCCACGGCCGTCTGTACGCATTCACTCCCTAAGACACACAGACATTTCCCCTTGCTTTTTAGGAGGAAAAGAGTGCGTCTTATGGAGCGAAAAAACGCTAAAATGCTAAAGTAGGCAGTACCTATGCATCAAAATGTGCATCAAAGTAATCCCATTAAAACAACACAGCAATGAATGGGCAGAAAACAACTGAGCAATGTATAGTGGGTAATCTTTATGCGGTCTCAGAAGAGGACCTTTTTCCTTTTCCTTCAGGGTCCTCTGTGCTTTGAAGATGTCACTGTGTATTTCACAGAGGAGGAGTGGGCGTTGCTGGATCCTGACCAGAGAGCTCTGCATAAGGAAGTCATGGAGGAGAATCGTAGGATTGTGGACTCTCTCAGTAAGGCTTCCTGCTGGATCATAATATATGTTTTGAAATCCAATACATTATAAATTTTTTGATGGTGCTCAACAGCATCTGGGATTCTTGTTCCCCACAGCTCACCTTGAATCTACTGTTCTGTCTGCGAATATTCTTGCCCCACATATGCCTTTTTAAACCATGACCAGGCTGGTCTGAGCTGCCCAGACCTTCTTGAATGTAACTGGCAGAAGAAGAAGTAGTCAACAAAGGCAGTGAACCCTGTAGTAAGGCCTCAGATCTAACTCCCTTCAGTTCTTCATACATCACAAACATTCATTAGCAGTGTTCCATAATTTGAATAATTTGAGGCTCCATTTCTTCCTGATGGTCTGTTTCTCTCTTTGATGCAGGTGCTGATGGATTGGAAATTATGAACAAGAGAGGCCATGACAACATTCACAGAGTGGGGAAGCTGTATAAATATTTAGAGTGTGGAGAGAGCTATATTCAGAGCTCCTATTCCACTTCCCATAATATAAATCCTGCTGGAAAGAATCTCTATCAGTGCTTAAAAGATGATAGGACGTTTCGTCAGAAGAAATGTTTCACTTTCCATCCAAGAACTCAGAGCAGGGAGAAACCACATCATTGCTTTGAATGTGGAAAGAGCTTCAGCCAGAGGGCTAAGCTCATTACCCATCAAAGAATTCATACAGGGGAGAAACCATTTCAGTGCCTGGAATGTGGAAAGAGCTTCAGCCAGAGGGGTCATCTCACTTCCCATCAAACAATTCATACCGGGGTGAAACCATATATGTGCATGAAATGTGGAAAGACTTTCAGTCGGGAGGATAGTCTCACTTCTCACCAAACAATTCACAGTGAGGAGAGACCATATCAGTGCTTAGAATGTGGAAAGAGCTTTAAATGGAAGAAAAGTCTCACTTTACATGAAAGATTTCACAGAGGGGAGGGACCATATAAGTCCTTGGAATATGGAAGTAGCTTCGGTCAGAATAGTAGTCTCACTTCACATCAAAGAATTAACATTGAGGAGAGACCATATCAGTGCTTGGAATGTGGAAAGAGCTTCAGTCACAGGGCTGTGCTGAAGACCCATCAAAAAATTCATACAGGGGATAAATTGTATCAGTGCTTGGAATGTGGAAAGAGCTTCAGTTACAAGCACGTGCTCACAGCCCATCAAAGAATTCATACAGGTGAGAAACCATATCAGTGCATGGAATGCGGAAGGAGCTTCAGTAGGAAGGACCATCTCACTTCCCACCAAATAACTCACAGTGGAAAGAAACCCCATCACTGCTTGGAATGTGGAAAGAACTTCAGTCACAGACATGTGCTCACGGCCCATCAAAGAATTCATACAGGAGAGAAACCGTATCAGTGCATGGAATGCGGAAAGAGCTTCAGTCACAGACATGTGCTCATGGCCCATCAAATAATTCATACAGGGGAGAAACCATATAACTGCTTGGAATGTGGAAGGAGCTTCAGGAATAGGGCCGATCTCAATTACCATCAAATAAGCCACAGTGGAGGGGAAACCCATAAGTGCTTGGAATGTGGAAAGAGCTTCAGTCAGAGAGCTAAACTCATGGCTCATCAGAGAATTCATACAGGAGAGAAACCATATCAGTGTTTTGAATGTGGAAAGCGCTTCAGGAATAGGACCCATCTCACTTCCCATCAAAGAACTCACAGCGGGGAGAAACCCCATAAGTGCATGGAATGCGGAAAAATCTTCATGCAGAGGGATCAGCTAAAGGCTCATCAGAGAATTCATACAGGGGAGAAACCATATCAGTGCGTGGAATGTGGAAGGAGTTTCAGTAGGAAGGACAATCTCGCTTCCCACCAAATAACGCACAGTGGGAAGAAACCCCATCACTGCTTAGAATGTGGAAAGAACTTCAGTCACACGGCTGTGCTTAAGGCCCATCAAAGAATTCATACAGGAGAGAAACCATATCAGTGTTCAGAATGTGGGAAGAGCTTCGGTAAGAAGGCTGTGCTCACAGCCCATCAAAGAATTCATATAGGGGAGAAACCACACCAGTGTTCTGTATGTGGAAAATGCTTCAGTCAGAAGGTCCACCTCACTTCCCATCAAAGAACTCACACCGGGGTGAAACCATATCTCTGCATGAAATGTGGAAAGCCTTTCAGTCGGAAGGACAGTCTCACTTTACATGAAAAAAATCACAGAAAAGAAGAGGCATATAAAAGCTTCAAATGTGTACGGGACTTCATTAAGGGATCCCAGTTCACTTCCCATCAAATAGCACACAGTGGTGAGAAAGCATACCAGTGTTTGGAATGTGGGAAGAACTTCAAATTGAAGAAAAGTCTCACTTTACATAAAATTCTTCACAGTCAGGAGAGACCATTTCAGTGCTTGGAATGTGGAAAATGCTTCAGTCGCAAGGCATATCTCACTTCCCATCAAACAATTCACTGTGAGGAGAGACCATATCAGTGCTTAGAATGTGGAAAGAGCTTCAAATGGAAGAAAAGTTTCACATTCCATCAAAGAATTCATACAGGGGAGAAACCATATCAGTGCTTGGAATGTGGAAAGAGCTTCATGCAGAGGTCTAAGATGACAATCCATCAAAGAACTCATCGCAAGGAGACTCATAGCATTTGAAGATGGCTGACACATCTCCTCTTAATCTCCTCTTTTTGAGACAAAATATATCCAACTCAGAACTTTGGGTACAGGGCGGTGTATCATTTTGGTCTCCCTCCTCTGCACGTGTTCCAGCTTGACAATATCCTCCTTTTATTGTGGCGTCCAGAACTGGACCCTGTACTCCAGGTGTGTTCTGACCAAGGCAGAAGGGAGTGCTAATAATATTTCCGATGATCAGGACGCCAGATGTCTGTTGATGCAGCCTAAAATAACATTAGCTTATTTTGCTGCTGCCTCACATTTTGACTCGTGTTAATCTTGTGGTGGACTAAGACCCCTAGGTCCTTTTCACAAGTAAAGCATCCCTGACAAATGGCCATCCAAGCTCTGCTGAAAACTTCCAACAAAGGAGAGTACACCACCTCCCGAGGGAGACAGTTCCACTGTCGACCGCTCTTACTGTCAGAAGGTTCTTCTTGATGAATAGTCAGAATCTCCTTTCCTGTAACTTGAAGCCATTGATTTGAGTCCTACTCTCCAGAGCAGGAGAAAACAAGTCTGCTCCATCTTCCCTTGATATATCTGAAGTTGGCTGTTGTATCTCCTCTCAGTCTCCTCTTTTCCAGGCTAAACATCCCCAGCTCCCTCAACAGTGGTTCCATGTGGTGGGTGAGTTTCTTTTTATTTTCAAGAAAGGTTAAGAATAACTCTGCAGCTGGATTAGCCCATTGTTCCACCCAAAGGCCTTTCTTAAAAAGGAAGACAAGACCGGCCCTGCCATGAGTCTTGCCTCAGGCAGTGGCTTTGGGTGAAGCAGCAGTGTCTCTGCCCAGTGAGGCCCTTCCATGACAGAGGAAGCTGGCTGAAGTCTTGTCAGGATTTTGTCTGTCCAGCAGTGGCAAGCAGCTTGGACCCATCAGGGCCTGGGAGAGGAAGAGAACCAAAAAGATGCCGTAGCTCCTGCTACAACTGAAGGTAAAGAAGGGTCCAGTGAGCAGACCCAGCGCCTCTCTCCTGCGCCCAAGAGGCCCTTGCTGCAAAGCAGAGGAGGCCACAAAGGCTGCTCATTGGGGAAGGGGAGCCCAAAGCAGAACCCCTGTTCCTGCTTACTGCAACATGCTGACCTTCCCTTTGTTGCCTCATTTCTTAGTCTTCAGCCCTGGCCTAACAACAGGCATGGCCAAACTCGGCCCTCCAGATATTTTGGGACTACAGTTCCCACCATCCCTGAACACTGGTCCTGTTAGCTAGGGATGATGGGAGTTGTAGGCCAACAACATCTGGAGGGCCAAGAGGCAAGAGGTTTCAACACCAAGTGGTAAGAATCCCTACATACCTGTTTGCTTTTCTCCTCTATTTGGCAAAAGGTTGTAGTTCAGCAGCAGGGCACTTGCTTGGCATGCAGAAGGTCTTGAGTTCAATCCCCTTCTGGAGAGGTGCTGCCAGTCAGTGTAGACCAGTGCTGGCCAAAGGTGTCCAATTCTAAATATGCTTTTGCTGCTACTTCTTTGAAACATATGTTCATGGGATGTCCTTTTATTTCATCGTATCAAAGAACATCTTCAAAGTTGGTTACATCATAGACAATTACAGGATATATTTAAGGAGGATAACAAAAAAGGCTTCTCATATTCGGCTTCCAATTTCCAAAAGGAAGTGATAGAAGAAAACACAAAATTATTTAAAAAGGCATATAACATCCTTTTGGAATGGGAGACCAAAGATGAAGAAGTAAAATCAGTAATGATTAAATGGGTGCAAGATGTAGGACATAATATACAATTTCATGAATGATAAAATTGTAGAAAATAAATTTGAAATTTACAGATTGCATATTATTGAGAGAGAATTATATGAAAATGATGTCCGGATGGTATTTATCACCAGTTAAATTGGCAAAAATGTATAAAAACGAAAAGAAAAAGTGTTGGAGATGTGAAACAGAAGGTACGTTCTATCATATGTGGTGGGATTGTAAGAAGGTAAAATCCTACTGGGAAATGATATACAATGAATTGAAGAAAATGTTAAAAATAACTTTTGTAAAAAAACCAGAAGCCTTTTTATTAGGTATGTTACCTAATAACATACCAAAAGAAATGGTATGTTACCTAATAACATACCAAAAGAAATGAGGACTTTATTTATGTATGCCACTACAGCAACAAGAATGTTGATTGCACAAAATTGGAAGACTGGAGAAATACCAACTAAAGAACAATGGCAAGAGAAGTTGATGAACTATGCAGAACGGGCAAAAATGACAGAAAGACTAAGAGAAAAAGACAACAGAGACTTTGAAAAAGATTGGGAACCATTCATAATATATCTGCAGAAACAAAGAAAGGCAATAGACTTGATGGCAGGATTTAAATAAACATCCACATTATTAGCATCAGAAAATGTTTGGAAGATAGTGAAATAAGCTGATGTATTTAATTTTAATTTTATGTTTTTAAGGTTTGATGTTATGTTATTAATAACTTTTTCTGTTGAGAAATAGCAAAGTGGGTGAAAATAGAAACAAACCAGAAATGCAAGTTGAGGGAAGTCTTGGAGGGGAGGGAGGAATATATAGGAAATGTTAAGAATTTGAGATGTATGTAATGAATGAAAATGAAAAATGAATAAAAAAATTAAAGAAAGAAACATATGTTCATGGGATGCCCGAAGCTTGCACATTTTTGGAGGAAAGTATTAAGGTGCATACGAACTACATACCAACTTTATATGCATTGACAACGGGTTAATGTAAATGTACTCTTTGCATCCTTCCTTCTGCTAAACAACTGATATTGATTCATTGGAAAGATAATGCCATGGTCCCCTTTGAACGATGGATACAAGATAGGACTGCTCTTGCAACATAGGAGTGTAGATTGTGGAGAAATAGAATACATTTATAAAAACAATGATTTGTTAATCCAGTGGTACCTCAGGTGAAGTACTTAATTCGTTTCGGAGGTCCGTGCTTAACCTGAAACTGTTCTTAACCTGAAGCACCACTTTAGCTAATGGGGCCTCCCGCTGCTGCCGTGCCATCAGAGCATGATTTCTGTTCTCATCCTGAAGCAAAGTTCTTAACCTGAAGCACGATTTCTGGGTTAGTGGAGTCTGTAACCTGAAGCGTATGTAACCTGAGGTACCACTGTAATATTTTACTCATTACTATATCGTACTACTTACGTATATACCTACATATTGTATTGTATCACAGTTTCAAGCAGTTTCCTTTGGTTTGACCTTTCGCCACCTTTTTCACTTCATTTCTCTACTGAAAATTGACAACAAAATAGGAATTTTAAGAGAAAAAGAGAGGTTGAATGGTGCATTTCCTTTGAGGGGGTTTCCCGTGGGAGTGGGAAGAGGTTCATAAAAGAGAAAAGTGCCGCTCCTGATGCAGTCCATGTGGAAGGCGTTGAGGCGTCGCTCCTGGTGGGTGCAAGTGGCCCAGATCTGGGAGAATGGCCACAGTGTGGAAGAGGCCGGAGAACCTTCCACCAGGAGCCGTCCAGAAGAATAACGGGACAGGCAGGCAGCCTTGGACTCCTGGAACAACCGCACTGTTGTCCTTGCACTTAAAAGGACTGCACCCTCTGGGGAGAGAGAGACTTTGTGTTGAGACCTTGTATTGGACTGGTTGCCTCTTTGCTCATTAAATGAATTAAAGACTCGTCCTCCTCCGTCTCTGTGAGATGTGGTTATTTCATTCTGGGAGTCCGAGGGGGAACCTTCTGCAGTGTAGAAACACTACCAACCAGATCCTTGGGTTCCCCTCGGCTATGCACCCCCTCCCAGAGGATTCAGGGCTTCCCCCAGCCATCCATCCCTTTGGTGAGCCAGTCTACCTGCAGGAGATTCTGCAGTCCCCCTCCGGGCATGTGGCCCTTTCTGCCCGAGCCCGTTCAAGGTATGGAGGGCACACGGAGGGCACACGTTCAAGGTATGGAGTCACACTTCTCTGAAGTCTCTCAGGCCCACTCACCTCACAGAGTGTGCGTTGTGGGGGAGGAAGGGAAAGGAGAATGTGAGCTGCTTTGAGACTCCTTCGGGTAGCGATAAAGCAGGATATCAAATCCAAACTCTTCTTGGGACTGGCAGTGAAATATACTCGGAGTCGAGAGTGGATTTCATTCTCTTTATTCAGCTCATAGTGGTGAGGAGGAAAGTTTCCCCACAATATCTGCTTTATATACATTATTTACACAATGGGCTGCACGCGATTGGCTAATTCTGGGATTCTTCTGTGGACCAATCAGTTTGTGGATTCACTTCCACCTGGAGCTCGATTGGGTGGCTCCTGCGGACCAATCATACTGCTGCATTGTTCTAGGACCAATCAGACTGCTGCATTTTGGATCCTATTCAACTCAGTGCATAACAGGCAGAGAGAGGGAGGGTGTCCGACCACGCAGGGCTCTCTCAGGGCATCTGTCCTTTCTGCCCGCTCCCGCTCCAGGTCTGGGGTGCGCGGCAGCTCCTTGAAGCCTCACCATCCCCTCGCTGGGGAGGAACAGGGGAGACCCCGAAGCTCCAGAGGCGCAGCCGAGACAGGGTGAACGGGGGAGAAGCTGGTCCAGGGGAGGTGGAGGGCAGATCTGCCCCTGGGCGGAGGAAGCGAGCTGAGGGTTAGCTCCTTGCCCAACAGCGCAGAGGGACCATTCTGACCTCCAGACTCAGCTCCTGTCTGCCCAGCCCAGACCCCGTGAAGAGCTGGGGTGATAGAGGACTCCAGTTGGGGCGACACCCAGAGCGAGGCTGGGCTGGAGTCTAGCAGCAAAGGGGGCTTTCAGCTTTGAGTGCCTCCGTTTTGCCCCCTTCCCTTGCCAGCTGCAGCCCCCCCGATGTTTCTGGACCGACCTCCCACCCCCGATGCAGAGCCTAGGAAGGGGGCTGGGGGGCATAGCTGCCAACCATCCCTTTTTTGGCGGGACAGTCCCTCATCCCAGCGCCGTGTCCTGATGATGTCCCTCCAATTTCCCGGGTTTCAAAGGAAGCAGCTCCTCTCCCTCCCTCCCTCCCTGCTGGCCAGGGCGGAGGGAGGCTCCAACTGGGTTGCTTGGCTGCGTTGCTCACCCAATAAGGAGTCTAAGAACGACTGGGGGGTGGAGCTTGCGTGCCTTGTGCCGATCAAATCGGCCGCGTTGCCTGGGGACTCGCCTTTGCTCAGCGCTTCCCAGCGGAGAGGTGACGGTGGTTTTCCTTGCTGCATCCCCTTTGCTGGGTTGCTGCGCTGTGGGAACCCCCGCTTGAGGCTTCGTTTGGCTGCTGGCTGGGCTTTCTGCCTTTGGCTCGGAGGGGCTCAGAAGTTGAATATACCTGTGCTCTGAAAATCCCTTATTTTGGCTGCCGATCCCTTATTTTCGAGGCTGCTGGTCCCTTATTTTCAAATCTGTAGCTTGACAGCTCTGCTGGGGGGTCGGCCGAAGAGCCCCCCTCGGAGCCTGCCTGCTGGCGCCCCCCTCCCTCCCCGGCGTGCCAGGCTGCAGCTCTGCCTTGCCGAGCCCAGGTCCGCATCCGCGGGGCAGCCTGGCCGGGCCTCCTGGAGGCTGCCCTGCCGGGGGAAGCGGCCGAGGAGAGGTCTGCCCGAGACCCGGCTGGCCTGCAGGGCGCTCTGCACATGCTCCGATCTCCCTCTCCCCAGGCTCCCGCAAACGAGGGACCAGCTGGGCGCGCCAAGGGTTAAGAGCAGCTGCGCCGCCCTCCTAGAGAGGACAGGAAGGGAGGGGGCGGGTCTTCCGGAGGGCCCCTCTTGTCTCCTCCGGTGAGTCTCCTCTCCCCCCTGGGGGTCCTGGGGGGCTGCAGGGGGGAAGGAGGGGGGCAGAGAAGCCCTGGGGGGCCGGGCGGAAAGCGGGGGCCGGAAAGGAAGCGCAGCAAGTGAGAACTGGGGGGGGGGATCCCTCCCTGAGACGGGGGGGGGGAGTGCAGGAGGACCCCCAAGCATCTATGGCTCTGGGGATTATGCAATGGAACATCACCATTGCGGTTATTATTATTATTATTATTAACCTTCTCTTCCCCCAGAGTTCCCAGGGCAGATTACAACATTAAAACTATACTTAAAACAGATTTTAAAAAGCTTGCTGTCACAGACAGAAGGTGAGTCTTACTTGCTTTTCAGCAGCGTTCTTTTGCCCCACCTAATCATCATCATTATCATAGATTTATATGCCCCCCCCCGCCTGACCACATTTTCCAGGCATTCTGGGCAGCTTCCAACAAATAAGAACACAGAAAGGCTACCTGAAGACGTACTTTGGACTGGCCCAGTTAGCCCTTGGGGGGGGGGTGACCAGACAAGCATCCGGCCCTCAGAAAAAAGAAAGGACCCCTTGAGGACGTTGGGGATTCCAGGTGCTGGAAAATAAGACAGAAGCAGGAAGGAAATGGGCCCTGAAGTGGGGGTGGGAGAGGAAGAGAGTCACTCTTGCGGGTCCACAGCTTAAGACCCCAACTGTGGGCCAGTGACCCCTTCCCAGGCTGTGGCCCTGACTGAAGGTTTCCTCCTGAGTCAGGCGGAGGAGAGAAAGCAGGCAGAGCAGCAGGTGAGAGAGACTTTCCCCTGGAAACTCCCAAGGGGCTCAGAACATGAGGGAGAATCTCCCAAACTGCTCACCTAACGGCTCACCACCTTTTGGGAAGCAAGGGATGAGATCTGCTCCCCTAAAGTGTTTTCTTCGGTCATTCCTGTTCTAATCCTTCTCCCTATTCTCTGTTTTGATCCTTGTTGCTCTTTCCGGGAAAGGATCCGTTTGCAGAAATGGACCCAGATTCCTCTGAGGCACAGAGGACTCAAATGGACACCAGAGGGAGGCTGCTGGGTAAGGTGAAGCGAGATTTTCTTCTCATTCTGTGGATCTTGAAACTATCTGTGGGTTCTGTTCATCTTTGGGGGGGGGGAAGCACTTGGGGCCAAGAGCGCCAAGGAGGGGAGATGTATTTTGACCCAAAGTAAGTTTGAAATGAGTACAAATGTCTAAATGCACTTTGCAAGAAAGACTTTTTCTAAGGTCCATCTGTAGCCTGAAATGCGCTGCTGAAGCTCTGAGAGACGCAGGAGCTGATGGCTTCCCTTTGACTTTTGTCTCTCGCAGGTGACAGACGGATGCCCCCCAGACCTCCTCATCCGTCTTTTCATGAGAACGGAGGAGAAGCAGCAGCTGTGGAAACAGATCTGGTATGGGGAAAGAGCTTTGTGGGGAAAGAGTCAGAGGAGTGGGGCAGCCAGGGAGCCTCTGGGCCGGAAGGAATTTCTCCTCCTCTTGGCTTCTGTCAAAGCCTCGGTCCTGAACAAAGATGGACAGTGCCATTGGAGAAGCTCTATGTGCTGACAGGAATGAACAGCCATCTCTCCTTAACTGGGCTTCGGAATGTCACTATTTTTATGATTTATCAGTAGCTGCAGTTATATTTCTATATTGATCGTTAGATGCCAAAATCTAATCAGGCTTCTAAGCAGTTGAGAAGCCATAACAAACCGTGGCCGGGATTCACCTAAGCAGCCCCATCAGCTGCACAAGGGGAATCCCCCTCCTCCCCCTCTCTGTGCCCCCATGAGCCCCTTGAAGTTGGCTGTAGGGCAGAGGGAGGGTCCCATCGCCCCCCAAGCATCGCACAGCGAGAGTAGAGAAGGGAGCATTCTGTCTGGCAGACAGGAATACTTCCACAGACAGAATAATTTGAAGAACACCATGCGGAGTTCCACCCATTCACACAAAGATTAATACCCATCATTAGAATGCACAGTAAAATAAATTAGTTGAAATGCTAAAATAGGCGTCCAGACCTAAAATGTGCAGCAAAATAATCCCATTAAAAGAACACAACAAGGAATGGTCAGAAAACAACTGAGCAATGTATAGTGGATAATCTTTATGCTGTCTCAGAAGAGGACCTTTTTCCTTTTCCTTCAGGGTCCTCTGTGCTTTGAAGATGTCACTGTGTATTTCACAGAGGAGGAGTGGGCGTTGCTGGATCCTGACCAGAGAGCTCTGCATAAGGAAGTCATGGAGGAGAATCGTAGGATTGTGGACTCTCTCAGTAAGGATTCCTGCTGGACTATAATATATGTTTTGAAATACACACACACACACACACACACACACACCCCTACCTCCACCTGTGAGGACTTGACCTGGCATGTGTAACAGAGACTTGGTTGGATGAAGCAGATGGGCCTGTCCTTGCCGCTGCTTGTCCACCAGGTTTCTCTTACGCACAGCAACCCAGGTCATGTGGGCGGGGAGGGGGGGTTGCAGTGATTTTTAGGAAGTCATTAGTTTGCACCAGGCGTCCTATTGGGAAGACCCAGTTTTCCGAGTGCATGTTCTGGAGGTTGGGCAATAGGGGCAGTACAGGATTCCTATTGGTGTACCGACCTCCCCGCTGCACCAAGGATTCCCTGCCCGAGCTGCTTCAGGTCGTGGCAGATGTTCTCCTGGAGACACCTAGTTTGGTTGTCCTAGGGGATTTTAACATCCATGCCGACACGACCTTACAAGGGGCCGCTCGGGACTTCGTGGAAAGCATGGCCTCCATGGGGCTGTCCCTGAATAAGTCTGGCCCAACCCATAGCCGTGGACATGCCTTGGACCTGGTGTTTACCTCTATGGATGTTGGTGATCTGACACTAAGTAAAAGCGAAACGAAAGAAGTGCCATGGTCAGATCACTTCCTGGTGCAACTGGACTTCTCTGCGACCCTTCCCCTCTGCAGGGAGGTGGGACCGATTCAGATAGTCCGCCCCCGCCACTTAATGGATCCAAATGGTTTCCAGAGAGTGGTAGGGGATGCTTTATCCCATGTTGATGGCCTTTCAGCTGATTCCCTGGTGGCCCGCTGGAATGTGGAGTTAACCAGGGCTATTGACTGTTTGGCTCCGAAGCGCCCTCTCCGATTGCATGGAGCCCGGACAGCCCTGTGGTTTTCCACGGATCTGAGGGCAATGAAACAATCGTTGAGACGGCTAGAGCGCCGGTGGCGGATAACTCATTCCGAATCTGACCGGCACAGGTTAGAGCTTAACGTCGAGCCTACCAAGTGGCGATAGCGACAGCGAAGAAGAATTTCTTCACCGCCTCTATTGCATCTGCAGAAAACAGCAGCAGGAGACTTTTTCTGGTGGTTCACAATTTAGCGGAACCACCTGCAACATCGGGGCCCAGTATGGGCCACATGATTTCCTGCAATGATTTTGCAAAGTTTTTTGTAGATAAAGTTGCTCAGGTTCGAGAAGAGGTGGACTCCACAGTGGGAGCAGGGCCAGGGCGGGAGAGTGCTAGAGTCCTGTCTAGTCAAGTTGTGTGGGATCAATTCCAATCTGTTACCTCCGAGGATGTGGACAGGCTGCTTGGACGAGTGGAACCAACCACCTGTCTCCTTGATCCCTGCCCATCCTGGCTCATAAAAGCTAGCCAGGAAGGGCTGGGCGATGGGCTTCGTGGGGTGGTGAATGCTTCCCTCCGTGAGGGAGCCTTCTCAGACCCGCTGAAAGAGGCGGTTATTAAACCGCTTCTTAAAAAAACATCTTTAGATGCGACCACGATGGCCAACTATCGCCCAGTCTCAAATCTTCCATTCTTGGGCAAGGTGATTGAGCGAGCAGTTGCTGAACAACTCCAGGCACGCCTGGAAGAAGCGGACCATTTGGATCCCTTCCAGTCGGGATTCAGGCCTCATCACGGGACTGAAACTGCCTTGGTCGCACTGGTTGATGATCTCTGGCGGGCTAGGGACAAAGGTGAGAGCTGTTTCCTAGTTCTGCTGGATCTCTCAGCGGCGTTTGATACCATCGACCATAACATCCTTCTGGACCGTCTTGAGGGGCTGGGAGCTGGGGGCACTGTCATACAGTGGTTTCGCTCCTTCCTCCTGGGCCGTGTTCAGAAAGTGGTGGTGGGGGATGAGTGTTCAGACCCCTGGGCCCTCACTTGTGGGGTGCCTCAGGGTTCTGTTCTCTCCCCCATGCTTTTCAACATTTACATGCAGCCGCTGGGAGAGATCATCAGGAGGTTTGGGCTGGGTGTTCATCAGTATGCGGATGATACCCAGCTCTACCTCTCTTTTAAATCAGAACCAGTGAAGGTGGTGAAGGTCCTGTGTGAGTGCCTGGAGGCAGTTGGAGGATGGATGGCGGCTAACAGATTGAGGATGAATCCTGACAAGACAGAAGTACTGTTTTTGGGGGACAGGAGGCGGGCAGGTGTGGAGGATTCCCTGGTCCTGAATGGGGTAACTGTGCCCCTTAAGGACCAGGTGCGCAGCCTGGGAGTCATTTTGGACTCACAGCTGTCCATGGAGGCACAGGTCAAATCTGTGTCCAGGGCAGCTGTTTACCAGCTCCATCTGGTACGTAGGCTGAGACCCTACCTGCCCGCGGACTGTCTCACCAGAGTGGTGCATGCTCTGGTTATCTCCCGCTTGGACTACTGCAATGCACTCTACGTGGGGCTACCTTTGAAGGTGACTCGGAAACTACAACTAATCCAGAAGGCGGCAGCTAGACTGGTGACTGGGGGCGGCTGCCGAGACCATATAACACCGGTCTTGAAAGACCTACATTGGCTCCCAGTACGTTTCCGAGCACAATTCAAAGTGTTGGTGCTGACCTTTAAAGCCCTAAACGGCCTCGGTCCTGTATACCTGAAGGAGCGTCTCCACCCTCATCGTTATGCCCGGACGCTGAGGTCCAGCACCGAGGGCCTTCTGGCGGTTCCCTCATTGCGAGAAGCAAAGCTACAGGGAACCAGGCAGAGGGCCTTCTCGGTAGTGGCACCCGCCCTGTGGAACGCCCTTCCAACAGATGTCAAAGCGATAAACAACTACCTGACATCCAGAAGACATCTTAAGGCAGCCCTGTTCAGGGAAGTTTTTAACGTGTGATATTTTACTGTATTTTTGGTTTCTATGGAAGCCGCCCAGGGTGGCTGGGGAGGCCCAGCCAGATGGGCGGGGTATAAATAAATTATTATTATTATTATTATTATTATTAGAATCCTGCAGTATTTTGATGGTGCTTGACAGCATCTGGGAATCTCCTTCTCCGCAGCTCACCTTGAATCTACTGTTCTGTCTGCAAATATTCTTGCCCTACATATGCCTTTTTAAACCATGACCAGGCTGGTCTGAGCTGCCCAGACCTTCTTGAATGTAACTTTCTGTGTGGTGGCAGAAGAAGTAGCAGCTTCTGTGAGGTTTTCTGTTTTTGCTTCTGTCACTTTCTGGTTGACCAGAGACAACTGACCTTGCAGATGGAGGAGATTCCATGATTAGGCTAAACAAGATCTATCCTGCCAGATGCCAGGCTGTTTGAATCTCAGGTTCCCATCAATCTGTGTGTCATTGACAGTCAACAAAGGCAGTGAACCCTGTAGTAAGACCTCAGATCTAACTATCTTTAATTCTTTATCTATCACAAACTTTCATTAGCAGTCTTCCATAATTTGGGGCTCCATTTCTTCCTAAGGCTCTAATCTGTTTCTCTCTTTGATGCAGGTGCTGATGGATTGGAAATTATGAACAAGGGGAACCATGACAACATTCACACAGTGGGGAAGTTGTATAAATATTTGGAGTGTGGAGAGAGTTATAGTCTTAGCTCCCATTCTACTTCCCATGAAATATATCCTATTGGGAAAAATCGTTATCGGAACTTGGAAGATGGTAAGACGTTTTGTCAGAAGACATTTCTCACTTTCCCTAAAAGAACTCACAGCAGGGAGAAACCCCATCAGTGTTTGAAATGTGGGAAGAGCTTCAGTCACAGGGCTGTGCTCAAGGCCCATCAAAGAATTCATACAGGAGAGAAACGCTATAAGTGCTTGGAATGTGGAAAGAGCTTCAGGCAGAAAGCTAAGCTCACAGATCATCAAAGAATTCATACAGGGGAGAAACCATACCAGTGCTTGGAATGTGGGAAGAGCTTCAGTCGAAAGGACCATCTCATATACCATCAAAGGATTCATACAGGGGAGAGACCATATCAGTGCTTGGAGTGTGGGAAGAGCTTCAGTCGAAAGGACCATCTCATATACCATCAAAGGATTCATACAGGGGAGAAGCCATATAAATGCTTTGAATGTGGAAGGGGCTTCATTAAGGGCTGCCTGCTCACAGCTCATCAAAGAATTCATACAGGGGAGAAACTATATCAGTGCTTGGAATGTGGGAAGAGCTTCAGGCAGAAAGCTAATCTCACAGCTCATCAAAACATTCATACAGGGGAGAAACCATATCAGTGCTTGGAATGTGGAAAGAAATTTAGCCGGAAGGATACCCTTACTTCACATGAAATAATTCACCAAGGGGAGAAACCATATAAATGCTTTGAATGTGGACGGGGCTTCATTAAGGGCTGCCTGCTCACAGCTCATCAAAGAATTCATACAGGGGAGAAACCATATCAGTGCTTGGAATGTGGAAAGAAATTTAGTCGGAAGGATACCCTTACTTCACATGAAATAATTCACCAAGGGGAGAAACCATATAAATGCTTGGAATGTGGAAGGGGCTTCATTAAGGGCTGCCTGCTCACAGCTCATCAAAGAATTCATACAGGGGAGAAACTATATCAGTGCTTGGAATGTGGAAAGAGCTTCAGTCACAGGCAGGGTCTCACTTCCCATCAAAGAGTTCATACAGGGGAGAAACCCCATCAGTGCTTAGAATGTGGGAAGAGCTTTACTTGCAAAAATAGTCTCACTTTCCATCAAAGAATTCATACAGGGGAGAAACCATACAACTGCTTAGAATGTGGGAAGAGCTTCAGTCGAAAGGATAGTCTCACTTCCCATCAAAGAATTCATACAGGAGAGAAACCATATCAGTGCTTGAAATGTGGGAAGAGCTTCAGTAGGAAGAAAAGTCTCACTTTCCATCAAGGAACTCACAGCAGGGAGAATCATGTTATTTGAAGATGGGTCTCATATGTCCTCTCAATCTCCTCTTTTCCAGGCTAAGCCTACCCAGCTCCTTCTATCGTTCCTTAAAAGGCTAGGTTTCCAAATGCTTGATTATATTGGTCACCCTTCTCTGCACAGATTCCAACTTCTCAATATCCTCCTTTGATTGTGACATCCAGAATTGAGCACAGGACTCCAGGTGTGGTCTGACCAAGGCAGTATTACTTCCCATGACCTGGACATTAGACGCCTGTTGATATAGCCTAAAATAGCATTACCTTATTTTGCTACTGACTCACCTTGTTGACTCACGTTAAGCTTTTGGTGTCCTAAGACCCTTAGATCCTTTTCACATGTGCTGCTGGCAAGCGTGGTGTTTCCCACAGAATCATAGAATTGCAGAGGTCTAATGGTCTTAGTGGACCACAAGCTGAACATGAGTCAACCGTCTGATGGCATCCAGCATGGAATGTGTCCCTCCGTTTTTCAGCATTTTTAGTTGTCTTAAAATGCTGAATGCTAGATGACACAACCTTGATGGCAGAAAGTGAGGAGGAATTAAAGAACCTTTTAATGAGGGTGAAAGAGGAGAGCGCAAAATATGGTCTGAAGCTCAGCATCAAAAAAAGAAGATCATGGCCACTGGGCCCATCACCTCCTGGCAAACAGAAGGGGAAGAAATGGAGGCAGTGAGAGATTTTACCTTCTTGGGCTCCATGATCACTGCAGATGGTGACAGCAGCCACGGAATTAAAAGACGCCTGCTTCTTGGGAGAAAAGCAATGACAAGCCTAGACAGCATCTTAAAAAGAAGAGACACCACCTTGCCAACAAAGGACTGTATAGTTAAAGCTATGGTTTTGCCAGTAGTGATGTATGGAAGTGAGAGCTGGACCATAAAGAAGGCTGATCGCCGAAGAATGGATGCTTTTGAATTAGAAGAAGAAGAGTTTGGATTTGATATCCCGCCTTTCACTCCCTTTAAGGAGTCTCAAAGCGGCTCACATTCTCCTTTCCCTTCCTGCCCCACAACAAACACTCTGTGAGGTGAGTGGGGCTGAGAGACTTCAGAGAAGTGTGACTGGCCCAAGGTCACCCAGCAGCTGCATGTGGAGGAGCGGAGACGCGAACCCGGTTCCCCAGATTACGAGTCTACCGCTCTTTTTTTATATATATAAAATATTTATTAAGGTTTCAACATATTACAAAAATAAGAGAAAAAAGTAAAAGAAAAGAAAAATAAAAAAATAAAAATACAAAGTGAAAACAGTTAGAAACAAATCAGTCTTTCCATATCTTATCTTTCATCTGCTTGTTTCCCTGACCTCCTCGCACCTCCCTTTTTTGTATTCCAGTTCAATTAGTTATTTCAGCAATTCCTTTCCCTCTTTGATTTTATCTTAATCTTTTATCTTAATATATTATAACTTTAAATTATCACCTGTTGACAATCCATTTTTACATATTCCTTTAAAACATTGCTGCTAAAAACCACTTAACTTCAATCCAACATCATTCTCACATTCATTAACTTTGCAGTATTTCTGTAAATAGTTTTTGAATTTCTTCCAATCTTCTTCCACCGACTCTTCTCCCTGGTCTCGGATTCTGCCAGTCATTTCCGCCAGTTCCATATAGTCCATCACCTTCATCTGCTATTCTTCCAGTGTGGGTAACTCTTGTGTCTTCCAATATTTTGCAATAAGTATTCTTGCTGCTGATGTGGCATACATGAAAAAAGTTCTATCCTTTGGCACCAATTGGCCGACCATGTCCAGGAGAAAGGCCTCTGGTTTCTTCAAGAAGGTATATTTAAATACCTTTTTCATTTCATTATAGATCATCTCCCAGAAAGCCTTAATCCTTGGGCACGTCCACCAAAGGTGAAAGAATGTTTCTTTACATTTCCAACATTTATTATCGGGCAAATGGTAGATTTTTGCAAGCTTGACTGGGGTCATATACCACCTGTATATCATTTTCATAATATTCTCTCTTAAGGCATTACATGCCGTAAACTTCATACCTGCGGTCCATAACTCTTCCCAGTCAGCCATCATAATGTTATGTCCAACGTCTTGTGCCCATTTAATCATAGCAGATTTCACCGTTTCATCCTGAGTGTTCCATTTCAAAAGCAAGTTATACATCTTTGACAAAATCTTAGTTTTAGGGTCTAACAGTTCTGTTTCCAATTTTGATTTTTCCACCTGGAAGCCAATTACGAGATTACGAGTCTACTGCTCTTAACCACTACACCACACTGGCTCTCCAACACTGGAATTATGGTGTTGGAGTAGACTCTTGAGAGTCCCATGGACTGGAAGAAGATCCAACCTCTCCATTCTGAAGGAAATCAGCCCTGAGTGCTCACTGGAAGGACAGATCGTGAAGCTGAGGCTCCAAGACTTTGGCCACCTCCTCAGAAGAGAAGTCTCCCTGGAAAAGCCCCTGATGTTGGAAAAGATGGAGGGCACAAGGAGAAGGGGACGAGAGAGGACGAGATGGTGGGACAGTGTTCTCGAAGCTACAAACATGAGTCTGACCAAACTGCGAGAGGCAGTGGAAGACAGAAGTGCCTGGCGTGCTCTGGTCCAGGGGGTCACGTAGAGTCGGACACGACTAAACGACTAAACAACAAGCAGTCTCTGCTCTTTTTGCCTTCCCTGGGAGGAAGGCGGAGTGGACGTCTGAAACTCAGTGTCAAACTGAAACTCAATCCAGATAAGACTGAGGCAGTTAGTGGGTGGTGCCCTAGACCAGATGGGTGGGAGATGGCCTGCTCTTAAAAAAAATAAAATTAAATTGGTTTTACATAAAGTTATACACAATAACTGTAACCTTTTCAAAACATACAAAATATCAAGGTTCTTTCAAACCTTCAGACCTTCCCCCACATGGGTTCCAGTTCCAAAGATGTTATCTTTTCCCATTTTCCTGCATCTTTTACCATTATCCATCTATTACGTAACCATAGTAACCAAAGTTGAGTTCACATTACAAGTGTCCTTGTATCCCTGCCCGTGATTTTAACTGTCTACAGTGGTCTTTCAAGTAAACAATAAAATTATTCCAGTCTTTTAAAAATACTTGTTCTTCCTGGTTTCTGATCTTTCCCCTTAGTCTCGCCATTTCTGCGCATTCCATCAGTTTGGTCTGCCGCTCTTCTTTAGTCGGTACTTCACCTTCTTTCCATCTCTGGGCCAAAAGCATTCTCACTGCCGTCATTGCATACGTAAACAGTCTCTTATTTTCTCTGGTAATTCATCACATATTATATTATAACAGAAAAGCCTCTGGTTTTCTGACAAAGGGTGAGGGGAGAGACTCCATCAGGCAAGGCCTCCTTCCACCTGCCTTGCCCCACCCTCTGCTTCTCAATGTGTATTGTATTGTTTTATGTACTGTGGCTTGCCGTTGTTTTATTGATTATAGTTTAGATATTATTGTAACTGTTGAGTGGATTTCTGTTTAACTTTTATGTGTTATCATTATGTTATACTATTCTAATTAATGGTTGAATGTTGCTATTTTGATGTAGGCTGCCTATTTTAAAGTTATGTTTTGTATTGCATTAGATTGTTAGAAGATGTACATTTTCTGTTTCTTCAGCTTGTAAACCGCCTTGAGTATTGTAAGATAGAAAGACAGTATACAAATTAAAATTGAATCATAGAATCATAGAATCATAGAGTTGGAAGAGACCACAAGGGCCATCGAGTCCAACCCCCTGCCAAGCAGGAAAGACCATCAGAGCACTCCTGACATATGGTTGTCAAGCCTCTGCTTAAAGACCTCCAAAGAAGGAGACTCCACCACACTCCTTGATGATGTTGATGATGACAAAAGTTTTCTTAAACGCTTTCTTTAATTCAGTATATATCATTTCCCAGAACGCTTTTACCACTCCATAGGACCACCACATATGATAAAAGGTACCTTCTTTCCTTTTACATTTCCAGCACAAATTTGAGCTGGTTCTATACATTTTTGCAATTTTACTCAGTGTTAGGTACCAACAGTACATCATTTTCATATAGGTTTCTTTTAACGGAACAGCAAGCCGTAAACTTCAAATCCTCATTCCATAACTTTTCCCATGATAAAAATTGTATATTATAACCAAAGTCATTGATTTAACTTCATCATTTTTAGTATACCGTTCTAGGGAGATGGCCTGCTCTTGATGGGATTACACTTCCTCTGAAGGAGAGCTTCATAGCTTGGGGTCCTCCTGGATCCTTTCCTGTCGCTCCAGGCTCAGGTGGCCTCCGTGGCCCAGAGCGCCTTCCATCAGCTTCGGCTGGTGGCCCAACTACGCCTCTGTCTGGACAGGGATCACCTAACTACTGCTGTTTATGCTCTGGCAACCTCAAGGTTAGATTACTGCAATGCGTTACACGTTGGGCTGCCTCTGAAGACGGTTCGGAAACTTCAGCTGGTGCAGAATTCAGCGGGCAGGTTGCTCACCGGAGCAAGACGGTTTGAACATATTGCACCAATCCTGGTCCGACTGCACTGGCTGCCCATTCAGTGTGCTGGTTTTGACCTATAAAGCTTTAAACATCTCAGGACTGCAATTCCTCAAGGACCGCCTCTCTCCATATGAACCTACCAGGACCCTGAGATCACCTGAGGCCCTTCTTTGTGTCCCTCCTCCTTGAGAGGTCCGGAGGGTGGCAGCACAGGAACGGGGCCTTCTCTGCAGTGGCTCCCCACGTGAAGAATGCTCTCCCCAGGGAAGTTCCCCCAAGCGCCTTTGATATACACCTTTAGGCACCGGGTAAAAATGTTCCTTTTTAACCAGGCCTTTGGTTGATTTGATTGACATCCTATGGCCTTTTAAAATGTGTTTGGGGGGAGGGTTTATCGGGTGGTGGTTGTTTTTAATTTTGAATATTCTGTGGTTTTATATTCTGGTTTTATTTTGTGAATTGCCCTGAAAGCCTGCAGGCATAGGGCGGTATATAAATTTAATAAAGAAATGAAATGTCTCCTCCCAGGATTCTCTCCCCTCTGGATAAACAGCTCCTGCTGAAGTTGGAGAGGGGCAGCGAGAGCGGCAGTAGCGGACCCAGCACCCCCCTCTTGCGCCCCAGAGGCGCTTGCTCTAAAGGGGAAGGGGAGGCCAAGGCAGCCCCCCTTTTCCTGCTCAGTCCAACACGTGGACCTTCCCTTCCTCTGCTGGGTGAGGCAAGGACCCCTGGACGGTCAGGTCCCGTCAAAGGCGACTGGGGCGCAGAGCTCATCTCGCTTCAGGCTGAGGGAGCCCAGGTTGGTCCACAGACAGCTTTCCGGGTCATATGGGCAGCAGGACTGAACCGCTTCTGGTCCAAATGGACACCGTGAGAAGTGCCAGAGCGCACAGAAACACCACAGGGGTACCTATTTCTCTACTTGCGCTGGTGTGCTTTGGAACTGCTAGGTTGGCAGGAGCTGGGACAGAGCAAGGGAGCTCAGTCATGGGGACTGGAACCACAGACCTTCCGCTGGGCAGCCCAAGTCTCAGTGGCTTATAGACCACAGAACCCCCTGCGCCCCACGACCTTCCCTTTTTGGGGGGGAAATTCCCTTATTCCAGCGCCGTTTCCCACTGGTACCCCGGATTGTTAGATCTCCCATAGAGTGTCCCCGGGACAGGGGAGGCTGCTGATCTCTTATTTTCAAATCTGAAAGTTGACAGCTATGGCAGGATCCTGGGCCGGATGGGTCCCTTTGGCGCGATGCACCTTCCTCAGAGCTCTTCTTGCACGGAGCCTCCCTGGCCAGAGCCAGTCTACCTTAGAGGGCAAGAGGCGCTCTCCTCCTGCTTGGGGCGCCTGGGTGGCACTGTGGGCGCAGGATCCTGGGCCGGATGGGTCCCCTTTGGCGTGATGCAGCTGCCTCAGGGCTCTTCCTGCACGGAGGCTCCATGGACAGAGCCAGTCTACCTTAGAGGGCAAGGCGGGGGGGAAGGTGCTCTCCTCCTGCTTGGGGGCGCCTGGGTGGCACTGTTGGCGCAGGATCCTGGCCGGATGGGTCCCTTTGGCGCGATGCAGCTGCCTCAGAGCTCTTCTTGCATGGAGCCTCCATGGACAGAGCCAGTCTACCTTAGAGGGCAAAAGGCGCTCTCCTCCTGCTTGGGGCGCCTGGGGGCCACTGTGGGCGCAGGATCCTGGGCCGGATGGGTCCCTTTGGCGCGATGCAGCTGCCCCAGGGCTCTTCCTGGTTTCTGAGGAGTCCTGCATGGAGCCTCCCTGGCCAGAGCCAGTCTACCTTAGAGGGCACAAGGCGCTCTCCTCCTGCTTGGGGCGCCTGGGTGGCACTGTGGGCGCAGGATCCTGGGCCGGATGGGTCCCTTTGGCGCGATGCAGCTGCCTCAGAGCTCTTCCTGCATGGAGCCTCCCGGGCCAGAGCCAGTCTACCTTAGAGGGCAAAAGGCGCTCTCCTCCTGCTTGGGGTGCCTGGGTGCCACTGTGGGCGCAGGATCCTGGGCCGGATGGGTCCCTTTGGCGCGAGGCACCTGCCCCAGGGCTCTTCCTGGTTTCTGAGGAGTCCTGCATGGAGCCTCCAGGGCCAGAGCCAGTCTACCTTAGAGGGCACAAGGCGCTCTCCTCCTGCTTGGGGCGCCTGGGTGGCACTGTGGGCGCAGGATCCTGGGCCGGATGGGTCCCTTTGGCGCGATGCAGCTGCCCCAGGGCTCTTCTTGCATGGAGCCTCCAGGGCCAGAGCCAGTCTACCTTAGAGGGCAAAAGGCGCTCTCCTCCTGCTTGGGGCGCCTGGGTGGCACTGTGGGCGCAGGATCCTGGGCCGGATGGGTCCCTTTGGCGCGATGCAGCTGCCTCAGAGCTCTTCTTGCATGGAGCCTCCATGGACAGAGCCAGTCTACCTTAGAGGGCACAAGGCGCTCTCCTCCTGCTTGGGGCGCCTGGGTGGCACTGTGGGCGCAGGATCCTGGGCCGGATGGGTCCCTTTGGCGCGATGCAGCTGCCTCAGAGCTCTTCTTGCATGGAGCCTCCATGGACAGAGCCAGTCTACCTTAGAGGGCACAAGGCGCTCTCCTCCTGCTTGGGGCGCCTGGGTGCCACTGTGGGTGCAGGATCCTGGCCGGATGGGTCCCTTTGGCGCGAGGCACCTGCCTCAGGGCTCTTCCTGCATGGAGCCTCCATGGACAGAGCCAGTCTACCTTAGAGGGCACAAGGCGCTCTCCTCCTGCTTGGGGCGCCTGGGTGGCACTGTGGGCGCAGGATCCTGGGCCGGATGGGTCCCTTTGGCGCGATGCAGCTGCCCCAGGGCTCTTCCTGGTTTCTGAGGAGTCCTGCATGGAGCCTCCAGGGCCAGAGCCAGTCTACCTTAGAGGGCAAAAGGCGCTCTCCTCCTGCCTGGGTGGCACTGTGGGCGCAGGATCCTGGGCCGGATGGGTCCCTTTGGCGCGATGCAGCTGCCTCAGAGCTCTTCCTGCATGGAGCCTCCAGGGCCAGAGCCAGTCTACCTTAGAGGGCAAAAGGCGCTCTCCTCCTGCTTGGGGCGCCTGGGTGCCACTGTGGGCGCAGGATCCTGGGCCGGATGGGTCCCTTTGGCGCGATGCAGCTGCCCCAGGGCTCTTCCTGGTTTCTGAGGAGTCCTGCATGGAGCCTCCCTGGCCAGAGCCAGTCTACCTTAGAGGGCACAAGGCGCTCTCCTCCTGCTTGGGGCGCCTGGGTGGCACTGTGGGCGCAGGATCCTGGGCCGGATGGGTCCCTTTGGCGCGATGCAGCTGCCTCAGAGCTCTTCCTACACTGGAGCCTCCCTGGCCAGAGCCAGTCTACCTTAGAGGGCAAGAGGCGCTCTCCTCCTGCTTGGGGCGCCTGGGTGCCACTGTGGGCGCAGGATCCTGGGCCGGATGGGTCCCTAGGCGCTAAGAGCAGCTGCGCCAGGCCCTCCTAGAGAGGACAGGAAGGAGGGAGCGGGGCGGGTCTTCCGGAGGGCCCCTCTGGGCGCCTCCGGTGAGACTCCCCCTCGGTCCTGGGGGGCTGCAGGGGGGGAAGGAGGGGGGCAGAGAAGCCCTGGGGGGCCGGGCGGAAAGCGGGGGCCGGAAAAGAAGCGCAGCAAGTGAGAACTGGGGGAGCCCGGATGCAGGGGTCCTGCCGTGGGGCGGGGCTGCTCAGCTGGAGGCCCTGCCCCCTTGGCCCAGGCGGGGAGGGGGCTGTGGGTCAGGGGAGCCCGGGATGCAGGGGTCCTGCCGTGGGGCGGGGCTGCTCTGCCCCCTTGGCCCCGGCGGGGCGGGGGCTGTGGGGCAGGGGGAGCCCGGGATGCAGGGGTCCTGCCGTGGGGCGGGGCTGCTCTGCCCCCCCTTGGCCCAGGCGGGGAGGGGGCTGTGGGGCAGGGGGAGCCCGGGATGCAGGGGGGCCTGCCGTGGGGCGGGGCTGCTCTGCCCCCCTTGGCCCAGGCGGGGAGGGGCTGTGGGGCAGGGGAGCCCGGGATGCAGGGGTCCTGCCGTGGGGCGGGGGCTGCTCAGCTGGGCCCTGCCCCCTTGGCCCAGGCGGGGAGGGGCTGTGGGTCAGGGGAGCCCGGGATGCAGGGGTCCTGCCGTGGGGCGGGGCTGCTCTGCCCCCCTTGGCCCAGGCGGGGAGGGGGCTGTGGGGCAGGGGAGCCCGGGATGCAGGGGTCCTGCCGTGGGGCGGGGGCTGCTCAGCTGGAGGCCTCTGCCCCCTTGGCCCAGGCGGGGAGGGGGCTGTGGGGCAGGGGGAGCCCGGGATGCAGGGGGTCCTGCCGTGGGGCGGGGGCTGCTCTGCCCCCCCTTGGCCCAGGCGGGGAGGGGGCTGTGGGGCAGGGGGAGCCCGGGATGCAGGGGGTCCTGCCGTGGGGCGGGGGCTGCTCTGCCCCCCCTTGGCCCAGGCGGGGAGGGGGCTGTGGGGCAGGGGGAGCCCGGGATGCAGGGGGTCCTGCCGTGGGGCGGGGCTGCTCTGCCCCCTTGGCCCAGGCGGGGAGGGGGCTGTGGGTCAGGGGAGCCCGGGATGCAGGGGTCCTGCCGTGGGGCGGGGCTGCTCTGCCCCCCCTTGGCCCAGGCGGGGAGGGGGCTGTGGGGCAGGGGGAGCCCGGGATGCAGGGGGTCCTGCCGTGGGGCGGGGGCTGCTCTGCCCCCTTGGCCCAGGCGGGGAGGGGGCTGTGGGGCAGGGAGCCCGGGATGCAGGGGTCCTGCCGTGGGGCGGGGGGCTGCTCTGCCCCCCCTTGGCCCAGGCGGGGAGGGGGCTGTGGGTCAGGGGGAGCCCGGGATGCAGGGGGTCCTGCCGTGGGGCGGGGGCTGCTCTGCCCCCCCGTGGCCCAGGCGCGGAGGGGGCAGTGGGGCCGGCGGAGCCGGGGAAGAAGGGGTGCCTGCCGTGGGGCGGGGGCGGCTCCGCTGGCGGCCTCGGCCCCCCCTTGGCCCTGGCGGGGAGGGGGCTGTGGGGCAGGGGGAGCCCGGGATGCAGGGGTCCTGCCGTGGGGCGGGGCTGCTCAGCTGGAGGCCTCTGCCCCCTTGGCCCAGGCGGGGAGGGGGCTGTGGGGCAGGGGGAGCCCGGGATGCAGGGGGTCCTGCCGTGGGGCGGGGCTGCTCTGCCCCCTTGGCCCAGGCGGGGAGGGGCTGTGGGGCAGGGGAGCCCGGGATGCAGGGGTCCTGCCGTGGGGCGGGGCTGCTCTGCCCCCTTGGCCCAGGCGGGGAGGGGGCTGTGGGTCAGGGGGAGCCCGGGATGCAGGGGGTCCCGCCGTGGGGCGGGGCTGCTCTGCCCCCCTTGGCCCAGGCGGGGAGGGGGCTGTGGGGCAGGGGGAGCCCGGGATGCAGGGGGTCCTGCCGTGGGGCGGGGCTGCTCTGCCCCCTTGGCCCAGGCGGGGAGGGGGCTGTGGGGCAGGGGAGCCCGGGATGCAGGGGTCCTGCCGTGGGGCGGGGCTGCTCTGCCCCCCTTGGCCCAGGCGGGGAGGGGCTGTGGGGCAGGGGGAGCCCGGGATGCAGGGGGTCCTGCCGTGGGGCGGGGGCTGCTCTGCCCCCCTTGGCCCAGGCGGGGAGGGGGCTGTGGGGCAGGGGAGCCCGGGATGCAGGGGTCCTGCCGTGGGGCGGGGCTGCTCTGCCCCCTTGGCCCAGGCGGGGAGGGGCTGTGGGGCAGGGGAGCCCGGGATGCAGGGGGTCCTGCCGTGGGGCGGGGCTGCTCTGCCCCCCTTGGCCCAGGCGGGGAGGGGGCTGTGGGGCAGGGGAGCCCGGGATGCAGGGGTCCTGCCGTGGGGCGGGGCTGCTCTGCCCCCCTTGGCCCAGGCGGGGAGGGGGCTGTGGGGCAGGGGGAGCCCGGGATGCAGGGGTCCTGCCGTGGGGCGGGGGCTGCTCTGCCCCCCCTTGGCCCAGGCGGGGAGGGGGCTGTGGGTCAGGGGGAGCCCGGGATGCAGGGGGTCCTGCCGTGGGGCGGGGGCTGCTCAGCTGGAGGCCTCTGCCCCCCCTTGGCCCAGGCGGGGAGGGGGCTGTGGGGCAGGGGGAGCCCGGGATGCAGGGGGTCCTGCCGTGGGGCGGGGCTGCTGCTGGGCTCTGCCCCCTTGGCCCAGGCGGGGAGGGGGCTGTGGGGCAGGGGGAGCCCGGGATGCAGGGGTCCTGCCGTGGGGCGGGGCTGCTCTGCCCCCTTGGCCCAGGCGGGGAGGGGCTGTGGGGCAGGGGAGCCCGGGATGCAGGGGGTCCTGCCGTGGGCGGGGCTGCTCTGCCCCCCTTGGCCCAGGCGGGGAGGGGCTGTGGGGCAGGGGAGCCCGGGATGCAGGGGGTCCTGCCGTGGGGCGGGGCTGCTCAGCTGGAGGCCTCTGCCCCCTTGGCCCAGGCGGGGAGGGGGCTGTGGGGCAGGGGAGCCCGGGATGCAGGGGTCCTGCCGTGGGGCGGGGCTGCTCTGCCCCCCTTGGCCCAGGCGGGGAGGGGGCTGTGGGGCAGGGGAGCCCGGGATGCAGGGGTCCTGCCGTGGGGCGGGGGCTGCTCAGCTGAGGCCCTGCCCCCTTGGCCCTGGCGGGGCGGGGGCGGGGGGTCCGGGGGCGCCCGGGCTGCCGGGGGTCCTGCCGTGGGGCGGGGGCTGCTCAGCTGGAGGCCTCTGCCCCCCCTTGGCCCAGGCGGGGAGGGGGCTGTGGGGCAGGGGGAGCCCGGGATGCAGGGGGTCCTGCCGTGGGGCCGGGCTGCTCTGCCCCCCTTGGCCCAGGCGGGGAGGGGGCTGTGGGGCAGGGGGAGCCCGGGATGCAGGGGGTCCTGCCGTGGGGCGGGGCTGCTCTGCCCCCTTGGCCCAGGCGGGGAGGGGGCTGTGGGGCAGGGGAGCCCGGGATGCAGGGGTCCTGCCGTGGGGCGGGGGCTGCTCAGCTGAGCAGCCCCTTGGCCCAGGCGGGGAGGGGGCTGTGGGGCAGGGGGAGCCCGGGATGCAGGGGTCCTGCCGTGGGGCGGGGCTGCTCTGCCCCCTTGGCCCAGGCGGGGAGGGGCTGTGGGTCAGGGGAGCCCGGGATGCCGGGGGTCCTGCCGTGGGGCGGGGCTGCTCTGCCCCCCCCTTGGCCCAGGCGGGGAGGGGGCTGTGGGTCAGGGGGAGCCCGGGATGCAGGGGTACATGCCGGGGGGCGGGGCTGCTCTGCCCCCTTGGCCCAGGCGGGGAGGGGGCTGTGGGGCAGGGGAGCCCGGGATGCAGGGGGTCCTGCTGTGGGGCGGGGGCTGCTCTGACCACCCCTTGGCCCAGGCGGGGAGGGGGCTGTGGGTCAGGGGAGCCCGGGATGCAGGGGTCGTGCCGTGGGGCGGGGGCTGCTCAGCTGGAGGCCTCTGCCCCCCCTTGGCCCAGGCGGGGAGGGGGCTGTGGGTCAGGGGGAGCCCGGGATGCAGGGGGTCCTGCCGTGGGGCGGGGCTGCTCTGCCCCCTTGGCCCAGGCGGGGAGGGGGCTGTGGGTCAGGGGGAGCCCGGGATGCAGGGGGTCCTGCCGTGGGGCGGGGCTGCTCTGCCCCCTTGGCCCAGGCGGGGAGGGGGCTGTGGGTCAGGGGAGCCCGGGATGCAGGGGTCCTGCCGTGGGGCGGGGCTGCTCTGCCCCCTTGGCCCAGGCGGGGAGGGGCTGTGGGGCAGGGGAGCCCGGGATGCAGGGGGTCCTGCCGTGGGGCGGGGCTGCTCTGCCCCCTTGGCCCAGGCGGGGAGGGGGCTGTGGGTCAGGGGGAGCCCGGGATGCAGGGGGTCCTGCCGTGGGGCGGGGCTGCTCTGCCCCCTGGGCCCCGGGGGGGTGGGGGCTGTGGGGCTGGGGGAGCCCGGGATGCAGGGGGTCCTGCCGTGGGGCGGGGGCTGCTCTGCCCCCCCTTGGCCCAGGCGGGGAGGGGGCTGTGGGGCAGGGGGAGCCCCAAGCATCTATGGGTCTGGGGATTATGCAATGGAACATCACCATTGCGGTTATTATTATTAGTATTATTATTATTAACCTTCTCTTTCCCCAGAGTTCCCAGGGCAGATTACAACATTAAAACTATACTTAAAACAGATTTTAAAAAGCTTGCTGTCACAGACAGAAGGTGAGTCTTACTTGCTTTTCAGCAGCGTTCTTTTGCCCCACCTAATCATCATCATCATCTTTTTTTTTTATAAGATATTTATTAGGATTTTTTAAAATATTACAATAAAAAATGAAAAAGAAACGAAAATACAAAATAAAAGTGATTAAAAACACTCAGGTTTTCCATTGCTTATTTTCCTTTAGCTTATTTCCCGGACCTCCTCATACCTCCCTTTTTTGTATTCCAGTTCAGTTTGTTGGTTCAGCAAATCCTTACCCTCTTTATTTATCCTAATCTTTGGTCTTAAAATAGTAACGTTAGATTTTTACCTCTTAATAACCCCTTTTTCATATTCCCTTAAAGCATTACAGCTAGAAACCACTTAATTTCTATCCAACATCATTCTAACATTCATTAATTTTACAGTATTTCTGTAGATAATCTTTAAATTTTTTCCAGTCTTCTTCCACCGACTCTTCTCCCTGGTCTCGGATTCTGCCAGTCATTTCCGCCAATTCCATATAGTCCATCACCTTCATCTGCCATTCTTCCAAGGTGGGTAGATCTTGTGTCTTCCAATACTTTGCAATGAGTATTCTTGCTGCTGTTGTGGCATATATAAAAAAAGTTCTCTCCTTCTTTAACACCAGTTGGCCGACTATGCCCAGGAGAAAGGCCTCTGGTTTCTTAGGGAAGGTATATTTAAATACCTTTTTCATTTCATTATATATCATTTCCTAGAGAGCCTTAATCCTTGGGCACGTCCACCAAAGGTGGAAGAATGTACCTTCAGTTTCTTTACATTTCCAACATTTATTATCGGGCAAATGATAGATTTTTGCAAGCTTGACTGGGGTCATGTACCACCTATAGATCATTTTCATAATATTCTCTCTTAGGGCATTACATGCCGTAAACTTCATACCTGTAGTCCATAACTGTTCCCAGTCGGCCATCATTATGTTATGACCAACATCTTGTGCCCATTTAATCATAGCAGATTTCACCGTCTCATCCTGAGTATTCCATTTCAACAGCAAGTTATACATCTTTGACAAAATCTTAGTTTTGGGTTCTAATAGTTCTGTTTCTAATTTTGATTTTTCCACCTGGAAACCAATTTTCTTATCCAAATTATATGCCTCCATTATCTGATAATAATGAAGCCAGTCTCGCACTTTGTTTTTTAGTTTCTCAAAACTCTGCAGTTTCAGTCTATCTCCATCTTGTTCCAAAATTTCCCAATATTTCGGCCATTTGGCCTCCATATTGAGCTTTTTCAGAGCTTTTGCTTCCATCGATGACAGCCACCTTGGAGTTTTATTTTCCAATAAGTCCTTGTATCTTATCCAGACATTAAACAATGCTTTCCTGACAATGTGATTTTTAAATGCTTTGTGTGCTTTGACCTTATCATACCACAGATATGCATGCCATCCAAATACATTGTTAAAGCCTTCTAAATCCAAAATGTCAGTGTTTTCAAGAAGCAACCATTCTTTCAACCAGCAGAAAGCTGCTGATTCATAGTAAAGTTTAAGGTCATAGATTTATATGCCCCCCCCCGCCTGACCACATTTTCCAGGCATTCTGGGCAGCTTCCAACAAATAAGAACACAGAAAGGCTACCTGAAGACGTACTTTGGACTGGCCCAGTTAGCCCTGGGGGGGGGTGACCAGACAAGCATCCGGCCCTCAGAAAAAAGAGAAAGGACCCCTTGAGGACGTTGGGGATTCCAGGTGCTGGAAAATAAGACAGAAGCAGGAAGGAAATGGGCCCTGAAGTGGGGGTGGGAGAGGAAGAGAGTCACTCTTGCGGGTCCACAGCTTAAGACCCCAACTGTGGGCCAGTGACCCCTTCCCAGGCTGTGGCCCTGACTGAAGGTTTCCTCCTGAGTCAGGCGGAGGAGAGAAAGCAGGCAGAGCAGCAGGTGAGAGAGACTTTCCCCTGGAAACTCCCAAGGGGCTCAGAACATGAGGGAGAATCTCCCAAACTGCTCTCCTAACGGCTCACCACCTTTTGGGAGATTTGGAAGATTGGAAGATTGATTTGGGAGAGTGCTGGGAAGAATTTGAAGTTAAGGAAGTCTTTAACTCTAGTGTGACTGTGAAACAGGTGAATAACCATCTTTTGGATACATATTTTTTGGATTATAAAGAAGAAGATTGGGAGTGGGACTCGGGGGAAGGGGACAATATAATGAAGGAAAGTGGAAATTATTACTGGATGGAACCCTCCGGAGACCCACTCCCTCAGAGACCAACAATAGACAAAGAACTGTGTAAGCACAAACAAGAACAAAAAAATTGCAGAAGGGGCCTAGAAGAGATTTAAGGGCCTCGGATATTAGAACACCAGATTGATGGACTATGTAACGGACAGAAAGGACTGACATGACTGAAACCAGGAAGATGGGACGCTGGATGAAAATTATAGAAATTTTTATGTTAATTTTGGAATTAGATTATTATTAATGAAATTTGTCTAATATTAATGAAATTTGAGGGAATATGCTGGAAAGGAATCAAATTGGCTTTAGTAGAAATGATTTTAAGGAGAAATGTAGGAATGTGATGTGATTTTGAAATTTTAAGATTTTTAAGATAAGATAAGGTTAAAGAATAAGGCAAATTGAATAACAGATTATATTAAAAGAGGGAAAGGCCATGTTGATTAACAAATAAGATAGATTGTGAAGATTAATTATTTAAATTAAAATTGAGAAATATGGGAAGAATTTGCTGAAATAACGAATTAAATTAGAATACAAAGAGGGAGGCGTGAGGAGGTTCAAGAACCAAGCAAATGAAAAGTTGAAATTTGAGATTTATAATTTCTTTTTTCTTTTTCTTTCTTATTCTATTATCTATTCTTTTTTATTTTTTGGGCTAGGGTTGGGGATTTTTTATGTATTGATGAAACTTTGAATAAATATCATTAAAAAAAAAAAAAAAAGAACATGAGGGAGAATCTCCCAAACTGCTCTCCTAACGGCTCACCGCCTTTTGGGAAGCAAGGGATGAGATCTGCTCCCCTAAAGTGTTTTCTTCGGTCATTCCTTTTCTAATCCTCCGTATTCTCTGTTTTGATCCTTGTTGCTCTTTCCGGGAAAGGATCTGTTTGCAGAAATGGACCCTGATTCCTCTGAGACACAGAGGTCTCCATTGGACACCAGAGGGAGACCACTGGGTAAGGAGAAGCGAGTTTTTCTTCTCATTCTGTGGATCTTGAAACTATCTGTGGGTTCTGTTCATCTTTGGGGGGGGGGAGCACTTGGGGCCAAGAGCGCCAAGGAGGGGAGATGTATTTTGACCCAAAGTAAGTTTGAAATGAGTACAAATTGTTAGGTGGATTTATTGCTTTATTGTTGGCGTCCGGCACGCTTCCCCTGCACTCCTCTGCAGGTCGTAAAGCAATTAGCAGAATTGCACAGCGTCCGTGTTGAAAGGGCAGTAAAAGAAGTCCCACACGTTTCTTCTTTCCTAATATCACTTTATTTGCTCAAAAGTAGCATATTTACAAGCCATAAACACCATCTGATTCAAGCTGCATTTTGCGTCCTTCTCTCTCAGAGTGCAGCTGCGTAACTAAGCTGCTTTCACTTTTCACTCAGCTCACAGCATTCCAAGCTGCTTTCGTCACGTCCTGGCTTACTTCCCTTGTAAGCGCCTCCTCTCAGCCTCGAGACACAGAAGGTTAACCCTTCACTACACCCAACACCCCCTCTTGTCTCGCGCCTGAGGGGAGAATCGACCCTTGGTCGTCCCAAACCCAGACCTTCACAAAACTCCCCATGTCTTTGGAAGGTGAGTGGCTTCGTGAACCCATCAGCTAGGTTCTTGGCAGAGGGACAATACTTCAGCGCAACTAATCCCTCCTGAACACTCTGGCACACATTCCGAAAGCGAATGTCTAGGTGTTTAGTTCTGGCCTTGAACTGACCTGACTCTGCCAAACGCAGGCATGGTTGATTGTCCTCGAAAACACGTATCGGCAGACAATCCACTTCGCAGAGTTCCTGCACCAAACAAGCATAGAACTCTACTTCTCTGCACACCTCTGAAAGAGCACTAAACTCAGCCTCAGTGGATGAGAGCGCTATAAGACTTTGCTTCTTGGATCTCCATCCAACTACTGAGTTCCCAAACTTCACCACTAGGCCAGACACAGACTTGCGATCCTCAAGATTAGCCCAATCCGAGTCCACAAAGCAAGTCAGTTTCACTTCTCCTTGTGCTGGCAACCTAAGACAAAAGTCTTTGGTCTCCTGCAAATACCTCAGAACTCTCTTGATGCCATTCCAGGCTTGCACACTAGGGTTTGATGCCTCCCTGCTGAGCAGATTGACAGCAAACGCTATATCAGGTCTGCTCCATTGGGACAAGTACAACAAACTCCCTAGGGTTGACTGAAACACTTCAGTATTTTCGAACGCAGCGAGTTCTACTTGCTGGCTGTCCTTCACAAAACTAGTCTCCATAGGACTTTTCACTCCTGCACAATCACTCATCCTGAACTTCTGAAGCAATTGCTCAATTTTACCTCTCTGGCTGAGCAAAAAACTTCCATCCTGTGCACGCTCAACATTGACACCTAGATAGGTTTTGACAGCACCAAGCTGTTTAAGCTTGAATCGTTTACCTAGCTCTTTGGCAAACTTCTCCGCCTGTTCATCTGTTTCTGAGAAGAAAAGCACGTCATCAACATAAATCAGCACCAGTTCCTGTGAGTCTCCTGATCCTCTAAGGAACAGGCAACTGTCAGCAAGACTCTTCCTGAAACCTAGCTTCTCCAAAGCTTCATTTAGGCACATGTTCCAGTTTCTAGCAGATTGACGTAATCCATAGATGGATTTGTGCAATCTCCACACAACATCCTGCCTTGAGTTCTCAAACCCCGGAGGAGGAATCATGTACAGCTCCTCCTGGAGAACTGAGTTAAGGTAGGCAACATCCACATCAAAGTGGTTTACCTTCCAGTCTCTCTGTGCTGCACAAGCTAAAAGCGTTCTCAGAGTCTCCGCTCGTGACGTTGGCGAATACACCTCCGTGAAGTGTATTCCCTTCCTCTGAGTAAATCCTCGAGCAACTAATCTGGCTTTATACTGCGGCTCTCCAGCGTCAGTGGGTTTCAAACGGTAAACCCACCTGGAATTCTCAGCCTGCTTGCCTGGTGGCAACTCTGTGAGTGAGAACACACCTAGATCTTTCATGGACTTCATCTCTTTGTCCATTGCTCTGTGCCACTTGCCTGCTTCTTCCTCAGGTAAACTCTGAATATCCTCGAAGGATTCAGGTTCACATCTTGCAGAACCTACCCAGACGCCTGAAGCGTCGTACCGATCAGGAGGCCTCCTTGTCCTCGCTGATCTCCTCAGTGTGAATCCTGGTGACCCTGCCGCTTCACTGGGTCCAGCTAAATCATCCTCAACTTCAGTGTCTTCCCCTCTGACCTGCTGCGCCTCTTGGGCCTTACAGCTGGTCCAGCAGGTGAAGAAGGCTCACTCTTTGGCTCAAACTTGACACTTGCCTGAGGAGGTGTTCTAGGTTCCCCCCTCTGAGGGATCCTGAGCTGTCCCTGCCTTGGACTCTGTCCCTCTGGACCGTGGTCCCCAGCACCAAGTTCCTCTTCCTCCTCAACATCTGAGTCATAGAACTGCTGTGGAAGCACGTCTGGATTAGCGTGCAGACGCTTCCAACCAGCTTGCTCACAGAACTCAGCGCTATTGCTGATAACCAACCTAGACTGGTCTCCACTTGGGTACGCAAACCGCCAGGCCTTTGAGCCAGGCTCATACCCTACAAAGATCATTCTTTTAGATCTTGGCTCACCTTTCTTGCGTAGAGCCTTTGGAATAAGCACCCAAGCCTCACAACCAAACACACGAAGGTAGTGTACCTTAGGCTTCCGTCCATGAAGTAAGAAATACGGTGTATTTCCTACACTAGAGTTGTACACTCTATTCTGCGTATGGACCACATAGTGCCAGGCCTGAGACCAATATTTCTGGGGTAGCCCTGCATCCCACAGGATCGCAGACACAGCTTCCTGCACCGTCCTGTTCTTTCTCTCTGCCAGCCCATTCTGTTGCGGAGAGTAAGGAGCGGTCAGTCTGTGGCTAATCCCTTCTCCCTAAAGAAATCCTGTAAAGCAGAACCAGTGAATTCAGCACCTCTGTCACTTTGAAAACCACAAACTTTGGTGGAAAACGTTACCTCAACTGCGGTGATCCAATCCCTGATCATTTTAGCCGCCTCCCTTTCGTTTTCAGAGAGAAGGTCCAAGCAGACCTCGAAAAATCATCAATCAAAAGCAAAGAATACTTGAACCTCCCAGTGACTCAACAGACATGGGTCCACACAAATCTGCATGAATTAATTCAAAGGGTTGTGTGGTCTGTCTCTCTGACCTTGGATATGAGCATGTCACAACCTTCGCCTGTTTACATGCATTGCAATCTAAAAATTTGTCACAGACATTAAATTTGCACCCTTGTGTCAGCTCTGGTGCTTTCTGGAGATATCTCCAATTCAAATGGGCGAAGCGTCGGTGCCAAATATGTGAACAACCATGGTGGGGCGCTACATTTACACATTGGCCCTTCGCATCTTCGGTGTCATCTTCTCCTGTGGAAAAAGGCACATTTACAGCAAACAAATTATCTTTAGACTGCACTGTGTACACGTGTTTCCCATCCTTGGAGAATTCACATTTGTCACCTGCAAAAGAAATTTGAAAACCATCAATCAATAGATCATGCACACTTAACAAACAGTTAGTTAAACCGGGCACTGCATAAGCTTTGACTTCATGCTTAAGGAAAGGACAGAAGAACAGTCCTGTCTCTGTTAGCCTTTTTCTGCTTCCATCTGCAAACTTAACATACTTCTCAGTTTTTACTGTCCTGCAATTCCTCAAAAGATCAGCAGATGGCACCAACGAATTTGAGGCACCACTGTCAATGATTACAGTGAGAAAGTCTTGTTGTTTACATTCCTGGGTCGCCAGGGCAACAATCTCCTCACTACCCCCCTCCTTGGGGCTTCTGCAGATGTCCTCTCTGGTTGTCACGGCAACAGACTCCCCCCGGCAGGAAGACTTGCCCACGACCTTCACAGCTTCCGTAGATGCAACTCTCTCAGTTGCCATGGAGACTGGACTTGTCTCGGCGTTCCCACACAACTCTGAAGCGCTTATCTCTACTTGCTGCAGGTGGCTGACCTTGAAACCTCTAGCACTTTTCAGCTTCCCAGGCTTCGACTCACGACGTAAACAACTCTTGGCAGCTTTTGGAGAAAGAGGCGTCTCTGAGCTTTCACTGCTCACTGCCCCGCCCCACTGCTCATGGGGTCTCGAAGACGTTTTCCTGCACCCCCTCTGATGAATGAAGGGCTCTCAACACTTGGCCTCTCTTCACACAGACACGTTGCAGCATCCACACAGCTCCCAGGCTCAGCAAAAGCACAAGCAGCATTGCTAGCAACAACAACAGCAACAGTCCCTTCGCCCCCCTGTGGGGGCTCCCAGCTCCTCCCAGCTGTGTATTGGCACTCAAGAATGTGGCCGGCACCATCTTGCCTCTCCCTTTCGGATGCAGCCACTTCTCGGCCCTTGCTTCCCACTCCAGCTCCACAAGCTTCTTGGAGTGCTAGCCAAGCGGCCTCTGGCTGTCTTGCACCCAGGACAATAGGCACCAGATGAGCATCCACACTTTCTGCCAAAAAAAGCAAGCACACGCTTCTCAACTTCACTTTGCTCTGCAGCCCTATTAGCCTCTGCTTTCCCAGCTGCATTCTGTGTGGGGTGAATTACATTCCACAGCTGCTCCCCAACTAGCAAAAGCTCCACTTGAAAGCTCCACTGCAGCCAATTTTGGCTAGTCAGTTTCTGACATGGCAGTTTAAACTCAAAGCCATGTTCACAGGGCTGAGCCATTGCCTCCCTTCTGTTGGCTTTTCCAAAGGGTACTCACTAAGCCAAACTGGGAACTCCGGACGTCATGGCTCTCAGCTCCCTCTCCGTCAGCCTCCTCCGATCTGCCTCTTTGAAGTCTCGCTTGGCAGTCGATCAAACTGACGATCAGCAAATAAAGCTTCAAAGCCCTTTCTCACATGCTTCACGTTGACCCATAACCATGTTAGGTAGATTTATTGCTTTATTGTTGGCGTCCGGCACGCTTCCCCTGCACTCCTCTGCAGGTCGTAAAGCAATTAGCAGAATTGCACAGCGTCCGTGTTGAAAGGGCAGTAAAAGAAGTCCCACACGTTTCTTCTTTCCTAATATCACTTTATTTGCTCAAAAGTAGCATATTTACAAGCCATAAACACCATCTGATTCAAGCTGCATTTTGCGTCCTTCTCTCTCAGAGTGCAGCTGCGTAACTAAGCTGCTTTCACTTTTCACTCAGCTCACAGCATTCCAAGCTGCTTTCGTCACATCCTGGCTTACTTCCCTTGTAAGCGCCTCCTCTCAGCCTCGAGACACAGAAGGTTAACCCTTCACTACACCCAACACAAATGTCTAAATGCACTTTGCAAGAAAGACTTTTTCTAAGGCCCATCTGTAGCCTGAAATGCGCTGCTGAAGCTCTGAGAGACGCAGGAGCTGATGGCTTCCCTTTGACTTTTGTCTCTCGCAGGTGACCGAAGGATGCCCCCCAGACCTCCTCATCCATCTTTTCATGAGAACGGAGGAGAAGCAGCAGCTGTGGAAACAGATCTGGTATGGGGAAAGAGCTTTGTGGGGAAAGAGTCAGAGGAGTGGGGCAGCCAGGGAGCCTCTGGGCCGGAAGGAATTTCTCCTCCTCTTGGCTTCTGTCAAAGCCTCGGTCCTGAACAAAGATGGACAGTGCCATTGGAGAAGCTCTATGTGCTGACAGGAATGAACAGCCATCTCTCCTTAGCTGGGCTTCGGAATGTCACTATTTTTATGATTTATCAGTAGCTGCAGTTATATTTCTATATTGATCTAATCAGGCTTCTAAGCAGTTGAAAAGCTTCCAAGAAGTTGAGGAGCCATAACAAACAGTGGCCGGGATTCACCTCAGCAGCCCCATCAGCTGCACAAGGGGAATCCCCCTCCTCCTCCTCCTCCTCCTCCTCCTCCCCCTCTCTGTGCCCCCATGAGCCCCTTGAAGTTGGCTGTAGGGCAGAGGGAGGGTCCCATCGCCCCCCAAGCATCGCACAGTGGGAGTAGAGAAGGGAGCATTCTGTCTGGCAGACAGGAATACTTCCACAGACAGAATAATTTGAAGAACACCATGGGGAGTTCCACCCATGCACACAAACATTAATACCCATCATTAAAATGCACAGTAAAATAAATCAGTTGAAATGCTAAAATAGGCATCCAGACCTAAAATGTGCAGCAAAATAATCCCATTAAAAGAACACAACAAGGAATGGGCAGAAATAACTGAGCAATGTATAGTGGATAATCTTTATGCTGTCTCAGAAGAGGACCTTTTTCCTTTTCCTTCAGGGTCCTCTGTGCTTTGAAGATGTCGCTGTGTATTTCACAGAGGAGGAGTGGGCGTTGCTGGATCCTGACCAGAGAGCTCTGCATAAGGAAGTCATGGAGGACAATCGTAGGATTGTGGACTCTCTCAGTAAGGCTTCCAGCTGGATCATAATATATGTTTTGAAACACACACACACACACACACACACACCCCTACCTGTGAGAATCCTGCAATATTTTGCTGGCGCTTGACAGCATCTGGGATTCTCCTTCCCCCAGCTCACCTTGAATCTACTGTTCTGTCTGTGAATATTCTTGCCCTACATATGCCTTTTTAAACCATGACCAGGCTGGTCTGAGCTGCCCAGACCTTCTTGAATGTAACCTTCCATGATGTGGATAGAATTAGCAGCTTCTGTGAGGTTTTCTGTTTTTGCTTCTGTCGCTTTCTGGTTGACCAAAGAGACAACTGACCTTGCAGATGGAGGAGATTCCATGATTAGGCCAAACAAGATCTATCCTGCCAGATGCCAGGCTGTTTGAATCTCAGGTTCCCATCAATCTGTGTGTCAAGGAGAGTCAACAAAGGCAGTGAACCCTGTAGTAAGACCTCAGATCTAACACCCTTCCGTTCTTCATCTATCACAAACATTCATTAGCAGTCTTCCATAATTTGGGGCTCCATTTCATCCTGAGGCTCTAATCTGTTTCTCTCTTTGATGCAGGTGGTGATGGATTGGAAATTATGAACAAGGGGAACCGTGACAACATTCACACAGTGGGGAAGTTGTATAAATATTTGGAGTGTGGAGAGAGTTATAGTCTGAGCTCCCATTCTACTTCCCATAAAATATATCCTACTGGGAAAAATCGTTATCGGTACTTGGAAGATGGTAAGACATTTCGTCAGAAAACATTTCGCACTTTCCCTAAAAGACCTCACAGCAGGGAGAAACCCCATCAGTGTTTGGAATGTGGGAAGAGGTTCAGACACAGGCCTGGGCTCAAGGCCCATAAAAGAATTCATACAGGAGAGAAACGCTATAAGTGCTTGGAATGTGGAAAGAGCTTCAGGCAGAAAGCTAAGCTCACAGATCATCAAAGAATTCATACAGGAGAGAAACCATACAAGTGCTTGGAATGTGGGAAGAGCTTCAGGCAGAAAGCTCTGCTCACAGATCATCAAAGAATTCATACAGGGGAGAAACCATATCAGTGCTTGGAGTGTGGGAAGAGCTTCAGTCAGAGGGGTCATCTCACTTCCCATCAAAGTATTCATACAGGGGAGAAACCCCATCAGTGCTTAGAATGTGGGAAGAACTTCACTAGCAAGAATAGTCTCACTTTCCATCAAAGAATTCATACAGGGGAGAAACCACATAAGTGCTTGGAATGTGGAAAGAGCTTCAGTTACAGGGCTACGCTCAAGGCCCATCAAACAATTCATACAGGGGAGAAACCATATCAGTGCTTGGAATGTGGAAAGAGCTTCAGGCAGAAAGCTCTGCTGATATCCCATCAAAGTATTCATACAGGGGAGAAACCACATAAGTGCTTGGAATGTGGAAAGAGCTTCAGGCAGAAAACTCAGCTCACAGCTCATCAAAGAATTCATACAGGGGAGAAACCATATCAGTGCTTGGAATGTGGAAAGAGCTTCAGTCAAAAGAATAGTCTCACTCCCCATCAAAGAATTCATACAGGGGAGAAACCATATAAGTGCTTGGAATGTCGGAAGAGCTTCAGTCACAGGCCTGCGCTCAAGAGCCATCAAAGAATTCATACAGGGGAGAAACCACATAAGTGCTTGGAATGTGGAAAGAGCTTCAGTCACAGGCCTGGGCTCAAGGCCCATCAAAGAATTCATACAGGGGAGAAACCACATAAGTGCTTGGAATGTGGAAAGAGCTTCAGTCAAAAGCCTAGTCTCACTTCCCATCAAAGAATTCATACAGGGGAGAAACCATATCAGTGCTTGGAATGTGGGAAGAGCTTCAGTCACAAGCCTAGTCTCACTTCCCATCAAAGAATTCATACAGGGGAGAAACCATACAACTGCTTGGAATGTGGGAAGAGCTTCAGTCAAAAGCCTAGTCTCACTTCCCATCAAAGAATTCATACAGGGGAGAAACCACATAAGTGCTTGGAATGTGGAAAGAGCTTCAGTCACAGGCCTGGGCTCAAGGCCCATCAAAGAATTCATACAGGGGAGAAACCACATAAGTGCTTGGAATGTGGAAAGAGCTTCAGGCAGAAAGCTAAGCTCACTTCCCATCAAAGAATTCACACAGGGGAGAAACCATATCAGTGCTTGGAATGTGGGAAGAATTTTAGTCGGAAGGATACCCTTACTTCACATGAAAGAATTCACTGAGTGGAGAAACCATATCAGTGCTTAGAATGTGGGAAGAGCTTTAGTCGCAAGGATAAACTCACTTCCCATCAAAGAATTCATACAGGAGAGAAGCCATATCAATGCTTGGAATGTGGAAAGAGCTTCAGTCAGAAGGGACAACTTACTTCCCATCAAAGAATTCACCATGAGGAGAGACCATATCAGTGCTTGGAATGTGGAAAGAGCTTCAAATGGAAGAAAAGTCTCACTTTCCATCAAGGAACTCATAGCAGGGAGAATCATGGTATTTGAAGATGGGTCTCATATGTCCTCTCAATCTCCTCTTTGGCAGGCTAAGCCTACCCAGCTCCTTCTATTGTTCCTTAAAAGGCTTGGTTTCCAAATGCTTGATTATATTGGTCACCCTTCTCTGCACAGATTCCAACTTCTCAATATCCTCCTTCGATTATGACATCCAGAATTGAGCACAGGACTCCAGGTGTGGTCTGACCAATCAGAAAGGAACATAGTATTACTTCCCAGGACCTGGACATTAGACGGCTGTTGAGGTAGCCTAAAACAGCATTAGCTTATTTTGCTACTGACTCACCTTGTTGACTCACGTTAAGCTTTTGGTGTCTTAAGACCCTTAGATCCTTTTCACATGTGCTGCTGGCAAGCGTGGTGTTTCCCACAGAATCATAGAATTGCAGAGGTCTAATGGTCTTAGTGGACCACAAGCTGATCATGAGTCAATCGTCTGATGGCATCCAGCATGGAATGTGTCCCTCCGTTTTTCAGCATTTTTAGTTGTCTTAAAATGCTGAATGCTAGATGACACAACCTTGATGGCAGAAAGTGAGGAGGAATTAAAGAACCTTTTAATGAGGGTGAAAGAGGAGAGCGCAAAATATGGTCTGAAGCTCAGCATCAAAAAAACGAAGATCATGGCCACTGGGCCCATCACCTCCTGGCAAACAGAAGGGGAAGAAATGGAGGCAGTGAGAGATTTTACCTTCTTGGGCTCCATGATCACTGCAGATGGTGACAGCAGCCACGGAATTAAAAGACGCCTGCTTCTTGGGAGAAAAGCAATGACAAATCTAGACAGCATCTTAAAAAGAAGAGACACCACCTTGCCAACAAAGGTCCGTATAGTTAAAGCTATGGTTTTCCCACTAGTGATGTATGGAAGTGAGAGCTGGACCATAAAGAAGGCTGATCGCCGAAGAATGGATGCTTTTGAATTAGAAGAAGAAGAGTTTGGATTTGATATCCCGCCTTTCACTCCCTTTAAGGAGTCTCAAAGCGGCTCACATTCTCCTTTCCCTTCCTCCCCCACAACAAACACTCTGTGAGGTGAGTGGGGCTGAGAGACTTCAGAGAAGTGTGACTGGCCCAAGGTCACCCAGCAGCTGCATGTGGAGGAGCGGAGACGCGAACCCGGTTCCCCAGATTACGAGTCTACCGCTCTTTTTTTATATATATATAAAATATTTATTAAGGTTTCAACATATTACAAAAATAAGAGAAAAAAGTAAAAGAAAAGAAAAATAAAAAAATAAAAATACAAAGTGAAAACAGTTAGAAACAAATCAGTCTTTCCATATCTTATCTTTCATCTGCTTGTTTCCCTTACCTCCTCGCACCTCCCTTTTTTGTATTCCAGTTCAATTAGTTATTTCAGCAATTCCTTTCCCTCTTTGATTTTATCTTAATCTTTTATCTTAATATATTATAACTTTAAATTATCACCTGTTGACAATCCCATTTTTACATATTCCTTTATAACATTGCTGCTAAAAACCACTTAACTTCAATCCAACATCATTCTCACATTCATTAACTTTGCAGTATTTCTGTAAATAGTTTTTGAATTTCTTCCAATCTTCTTCCACCGACTCTTCTCCCTGGTCTCGGATTCTGCCAGTCATTTCCGCCAGTTCCATATAGTCCATCACCTTCATCTGCCATTCTTCCAAAGTGGGTAACTCTTGTGTCTTCCAATATTTTGCAATAAGTATTCTTGCTGCTGTTGTGGCATACATAAAAAAAGTTCTATCCTTCTTTGGCACCAATTGGCCGACTATGCCCAGGAGAAAGGCCTCTGGTTTCTTCAAGAAGGTATATTTAAATACCTTTTTCATTTCATTATAGATCATCTCCCAGAAAGCCTTAATCCTTGGGCACGTCCACCAAAGGTGAAAGAATGTACCTTCAGTTTCTTTACATTTCCAACATTTATTATCGGGCAAATGATAGATTTTTGCAAGCTTGACTGGGGTCATGTACCACCTGTATATCATTTTCATAATATTCTCTCTTAAGGCATTACATGCCGTAAACTTCATACCTGTGGTCCATAACTGTTCCCAGTCAGCCATCATAATGTTATGTCCAACATCTTGTGCCCATTTAATCATAGCAGATTTCACCGTTGCATCCTGAGGGTTCCATTTCAACAGCAAGTTATACATCTTTGACAAAATCTTAGTTTTAGGGCCTAACAGTTATGTTTCCAATTTTGATTTTTCCACCTGGAAGCCAATTACGAGATTACGAGTCTACCGCTCTTAACCACTACACCACACTGGCTCTCCAACACTGGAATTATGGTGTTGGAGTAGACTCTTGAGAGTCCCATGGACTGCAAGAAGATCCAACCTCTCCATTCTGAAGGAAATCAGCCCTGAGTGCTCACTGGAAGGACAGATCGTGAAGCTGAGGCTCCAAGACTTTGGCCACCTCCTCAGAAGAGAAGTCTCCCTGGAAAAGACCCTGAGGTTGGGAAAGATGGAGGGCACAAGGCGAAGGGGACGAGAGAGGACGAGATGGTGGGACAGTGTTCTCGAAGCTACCAGCATGAGTTTGACCCAACTGCGGGAGGCAGTGGAAGACAGGAGGGCCTGGCGTGCTCTGGTCCAGGGGGTCACGAAGAGGCGGACACGACTAAACGACTAAACAACAAGCAGTCTCTGCTCTTTTTGCCTTCCCTGGGAGGAAGGCGGAGTGGATGTCTGAAACTCAATGTCAAAGTGAAACTCAATCCAGATAAGACAGAGGCAGTTAGTGGGTGGTGCCCTAGACCAGATGGGTGGGAGATGGCCTGCTCTTAAAAAAAAAAAATTAAATTGGTTTTACATAAAGTTATACACAATAACTGTAACCTTTTCAAAACATACAAAATATCAAGGTTCTTTCAAACCTTCAGACCTTCCCCCACATGTGTTCCAGTTCAAAAGATGTTATCTTTTCCCTTTTTCCTGCATCTTTTACCATTATCCATCTATTACGTAACCATAGTAACCAAAGTTGAGTTCACATTACAAGTGTCCTTGTATCCCTGCCCGTGATTTTAACTGTCTACAGTGGTCTTTCAAGTAAACAATAAAATTATTCCAGTCTTTTAAAAATACTTGTTCTTCCTGGTTTCTGATCTTTCCCCTTAGTCTCGCCATTTCTGCGCATTCCATCAGTTTGGTCTGCCGCTCTTCTTTAGTCGGTACTTCACCTTCTTTCCATCTCTGGGCCAAAAACATTCTCACTGCCGTCGTTGCATACGTAAACAGTCTCTTATTTTCTTTGGTAATTCATCACATATTATATTATAACAGAAAAGCCTCTGGTTTTCTGACAAAGGGTGAGGGGAGAGACTCCATCAGGCAAGGCCTCCTTCCACCTGCCTTGCCCCACCCTCTGCTTCTCAATGTGTATTGTATTGTTTTATGTACTGTGGCTTGCCGTTGTTTTATTGATTATAGTTTAGATATTATTGTAACTGTTGAGTGGATTTCTGTTTAACTTTTATGTGTTATCATTATGTTATACTATTCTAATTAATGGTTGAATGTTGCTATTTTGATGTAGGCTGCCAATTTTAAAGTTATGTTTTATTATCACATTTTTGTAATGCATTAGATTGTTAGAAGATGTACATTTTCTGTTTCTTCAGCTTGTAAACCGCCTTGAGTATTGTAAGATAAAAAGGCAGTATACAAATTAAAATTGATGATGTTGATGATGACAAAATTTTTCTTAAACACTTTCTTCAACTCAGTATATATCATTTCCCAGAACGCTTTTACCACTCCACAGGACCACCACATATGATAAAAGGTACCTTCTTTCCTTTTACATTTCCAGCACAAATTTGAGCTGGTTCTATACATTTGTGCAATTTTACTCTGTGTTAGGTACCAACAGTACATCATTTTCATATAGGTTTCTTTTAACGGAACAGCAAGCCGTAAACTTCAAATCCTCATTCCATAACTTTTCCCATGATAAAAATTGTATATTATAACCAAAGTCATTGATTTAACTTCATCATTTTTAGTATACCGTTCTAGGGAGATGGCCTGCTCTTGATGGGATTACACTTCCTCTGAAGGAGAGCTTCATAGCTTGGGGGTCTTCCTGGATCCTTTCCTGTCGCTCCAGGCTCAGGTGGCCTCCGTGGCCCAGAGCGCCTTCCATCAGCTTCGGCTGGTGGCCCAACTACGCCTCTGTCTGGACAGGGATCACCTAACTACTGCTGTTTATGCTCTGGCAACCTCAAGGTTAGATTACTGCAATGCGTTACACGTTGGGCTGCCTCTGAAGACGGTTCAGAAACTTCAGCTGGTGCAGAATTCAGCGGGCAGGTTGCTCACCGGAGCAAGACGGTTTGAACATATTGCACCAATCCTGGTCCGACTGCACTGGCTGCCCATTCAGTGTGCTGGTTTTGACCTATAAAGCTTTAAACATCTCAGGACCGCAATTCCTCAAGGACCGCCTCTCTCCATATGAACCTACCCGGACCCTGAGATCATCTTCTGAGGCCCTTCTTCGTGTCCCTCCGCCTTGAGAGGTCCAGAGCGTGAAGAATGCTCTCCCCAGGGAAGTTCCCCCAAGCGCCTTTGATATACACCTTTAGGCGCTGGGCAAAAATGTTCCTTTTTTTTTTTTTAATGATATTTATTAAAGTTTCAATAAAAGATTAAACATAAAACATAAAAAAGAAATACACAATTCAAAAATACACAATACATAATCCAAAAAAGAAAAAAAAGAACAAAAGACAAAAAAGAAAAAAGAACAGTTAAAAACAATATCACCTTTTCATCTCCATTTTTAAATTTACTTATTTTCTGGACCTCCTCATACCTCCCTCTTTTGTATTCCAGTTCAAATTGTTTGTCCAGCAATTTCTTTCCCTCTTTTTTAATCCCAATCTTTAATCTTGATATAATATAACATAAAAATTTTACCTCTTAAAAACCAAGTTTCCATTTCCTTAAATTTTTTAATCCTAATCCTTAATCTTAATCTATCTATCACTTTAAATCCTGTACAGCTGGAAGCCACTTATTTTCAATCCAACATCCCTCTAACATTCTTTAATTTTACAATGTTTCTGCAGATAGTCTTTGAATTTCTTCCAGTCTTCCTCCATCGACTCTTCTCCCTGGTCACGGATTCTACCAGTCATTTCCGCCAGTTCCATATAGTCCATCAGTTTCATCTGCCATTCCTCCAGCGTGGGAAGTTCTTGTGTCTTCCAGTACTTTGCAATGAGTATTCTTGCTGCTGTTGTTGCGTACATAAAGAAAGTTCTATCCTTTTTTATTACCATTTGGCCGACTATGCCCAGGAGAAAGGCCTCTGGTTTCTTGGGGAAGGTATATTTAAATACCTTTTTTAATTCATTATATATCATTTCCCAGAAAGCCTTAATCTTTGGGCACGTCCACCAAAGGTGAAAAATGTACCTTCAGTTTCTTTACATTTCCAACATTTATTATCGGGTAAGTGATAGATTTTTGCAAGCTTGACTGGAGTTATGTACCACCTGTATATCATTTTCATAATATTCTCTCTTAAGGCATTACATGCCGTAAATTTCATTCAAATGTTCCTTTTTAACCAGGCCTTTGGTTGATTTGATTGACATCCTATGGCCTTTTAAAATGTGTTTGGGGGGAGGGTTTATTGGGTGGTGGTTGTTTTTATTTTGAATATTCTGTGGTTTTATATTCTGGTTTTATTTTGTGAATTGCCCTGAAAGCCTGCAGGCATAGGGCGGTATATAAATTTAATAAAGAAATGAAATGTCTCCTCCCAGGATTGTTTCCCCCTCTGGATAAACAGCTCCTGCTGAAGTTGGAGAGGGGCAGCGAGAGCGGCAGTAGCGGACCCAGCACCCCCCTCTTGCGCCCCAGAGGCGCTTGCTCTAAAGGGGAAGGGGTGCCAAGACAGCCCCCCCTTTTCCTGCTCAGTCCAACACGTGGACCTTCCCTTCCTCTGCTGGGTGAGGCAAGGACCCCTGGACGGTCAGGTCCCGTCAAAGGCGACTGGGGCGCAGAGCTCATCTCGC